TTTTACTTATTAAAGGTCGAACAACGTGAGAAAAAATATTTTAATTGAACATGTAAAAAGATAAATTATTTTTTGTTAATTACATAAAACGCATGGTGACTTTATGGTGTGTTATTAAAAAAGAAAAAAATTATTTAGTAAATTTGTGTCGTCAAGAAAACAAAAAAATGATAAGACAAAGTACTATATGAACAACGTGATTGATTTTAGGAGAAGAAAAATATTTTTGTTGGACACAAAATTGGATTTAAAAAAATTTTTAAATATTTTTCTAACGTTAAAAATTTTTAAAACTAATTTTAAACCTATTAAGTATCAATTTAATATTATTTCCCAACAAAAGGATTCTAACCCTGCCCATTTTTGGGGGTAAACCAAAAATTTTCCAACTACACCATAATTAACGAATATTTTTAAAATAGAGGGGATGAGACAAAAATTTATCAAATTAATAAAAGTAAACATAAATGTTTCTCTAAAATCTCGTATGTAAATAAAAAAAGTTAAACCACTTAACCACGGCTAAACGACATTTGCGGACCCGCACTTGCGGACCGACACTTGCGGACCGACTTTTGCGGATTCGCACTTGCGGACCGACTTTTGCGACCGACTCTTGCGGACCAACATATGCGGACCGACACTTGCGGACCCGACATTTGCGGACCCGAAAGGAAATAAAAAATTTTCAATAAAATAGGCCGGCAGACACTTATAAAAAGTTGGTTTTATTTTAGAGCAAGGATGTCACGGGTTGGAAAAAAAGTCGGGTCGGGTTTCAGGTCGGGTTTTCAAAATTTTCTTCTGATCGTGTTTCGTGTCGAAAAAAGGGGTCGGATCAGTTATCTGGTAGTATTAACGGTAATCCGAAGAATAGCGTAGGGATTTCGAAGAATAGCGTACCTCTTCTCCCACTGGCGGACTCGATTTTGGGTCCGTCAGTCAGTGGGCCGGTCTTTTTTAAAAATTAATTTCGGGTCCGCAAATGTCGGTCCGCAAGTGTCGGTCCGCAAAAGTCGGTCCGTAAGTGTCGGTCCGCAAGTGCGGGTCCGCAAGTGCGAATCCGCAAATGTCGGTCCGCAAGTGCGGGTCCGCAAAAGTCGGCTAACCCTTAACCACGACTTAAAATAATTTTTTAATGCAAACAAGACGGGATATGGGCTCGAACCCCGCCTTGATCGATATATTAAAAAAACTAAAAAAGAAACCAAAAACTTTTTAATGAAAAAGAGAGTAAAAATAATTTTAAAAAAGAATCGAGTAAAAATTAATATTTATATGTGAGCCAGGGGCAAGCACATTGCTGTAAATTTTAGTCTTGCATGTTTTGCGTTATTTTTTAACGAAGTTAACGCAAACACACAAAAATACACCCAACATAGAGTAAAAATTGGAAGAATTCTTGCTCCTTTGTCTTCCTAAAATCATTACCCTTGTTTCCATAACGGATATGGATAACCAATAGCTCTTTTAAAAGAGCATCAAAGACTTTCTCTAAAACCTAGTATGTGAATAAAAAAAAAGTCAAACCACTTAACCACGATTTCAAATAATCTTTTAATGCAAACAAGGGCGTGGCGCGACACATGAGGATATGATATTTGAGGACCAGACACTTGAGGACCGACGTTTGAGGACGCGACCTTTGAGGACGCGACCTTTGAGGATGCGACTTTTGAGGACGCGACGTTTGAGGATGCGACCTTTGAGGACGCGACTATTGAGGATCAGACATTTGAGGATACTCTAATGTCAAAAAAAATAAATAATGTTAATTTTATGTTTAAAAATTTAAATGTTATAATTTTATGATTTTCTCAAAGCCTTCGAGTAAATAATTATTAATGAGAAATGACTTTGAAAACTGGAATAAAAAAACTGAAACTATTGTTAGGGTCACCGGAGGTTCTGGTTCCGGTAGGCCGGAAGTTCCGGGATTTTTTGGTTCCGGTTCTGGCCCTTCAGTTCCGGTTAAAACGGAACTTTTTAACACCCCTAAGGATGTGAATTAAGCTATAAAGGATCTTCCAAAGATCTTAAGGATCCTCCTGCGGTTCAGGTAAATAGAAAAAATATGAGCAGAAGAATAGAAGGAATATCATCATGGGATTTAGGAGTTTCTGTATCTGGGGTATTTAGCTGGAATTTCTGTATTTCAAAAAAAAATGTCGGTGATTATGGAGACTGTTTTTTGTAGAAAATATCGATTTCTGCTGGATAGGAGCGGCTCAGAGGCACTTCGTTTACTGATGATGATCCTGATCCCTCCCCTAAATCCTCCGTCATCCTCCCAAATCCTGTGATATCCTCCTTAATCCATCCAAGTTTTCGGTTCACACGCCTCTAGTTTATAAACCAAAAAGAACGAGACGTAATAAATCCTGTTTCGGAGCCGGTCAAAGTTTCAGTTCCGGTTCCGTTCCGGCCAAATTTGTGGTTCCGGAGAAGCACTAATATTTACTCGAAGGCTTTGAGAAAATCATGAAATTATAAAATTTAAATTTTTTAAACATAAAATTAACATCATTTATTTTTTTGACATTAGAGTATCCTCAAATGTCTGATCCTCAAAAGTCGCGTCCTCAAAGGTCGCATCCTCAAAAGTCGCGTCCTCAAAAGTCGCATCCTCAAAGGTCGCGTCCTCAAAGGTCGCGTCCTCAAAAGTCGGTCCTCAAGTGTCTGGTCCTCAAAAGTCATATCCTCAAGTGTCGGGTAGCCAACAAGGGGGGGGGGGGCAAACAAGGGTTGATTATTCCCATTCCTTCTTAAAATAAAAAACAAAATTTTCCTTAAATTCTGGCTCCTTAGTCTTCCTAAAATCATTAAATTTTCGATTTGTTTTATTTAAAAAATTTAAACATTAAAAATATGTCTATCAAAAAAGTCACATTAAAGCTCAATACGATAAATGAAAAAAAAATAAATTAAATAAACTTGGCACCAAGTAACAATAAATAAATTTATCATTTAATTCTCTTAATCACAATTTTAACTCCCGGCATATACTTTACGTTATCTTCATAACTTGACACATCAATACGCTTATATTTGTCTTCAATGCATACAGAAAATTTAATTTTTGGATTGTGGTCATTGGAAAGTAGAAATTTTGTTGTTTTAATATCTTCTTTAAGTTTGGTTTTGATGTTTGTTGCATTTTTACTCGAAATAAGAGATCCATACATAACATCAAATTCAATATATTTCGCCATTTCAGAAAGATCTTGTGATGTTTCAATATGCTAAACGTGAATTAATTTATTTAAATAAAATTTTTCTAAAAATCTTGCAGTATATTCAATATAAAAAGCAGGCCCGTAGCCAGGATTTTTTCGGGGGTTTTTTTCCCTCCCTACCCCCCCCTGGTTACGGGCCTGTAATAAGGGGTCTAAAAAATTTTTGGATGTAGTTTAGTCGAGTGCCAACTCTAAATAGGTCAAAACATATGACATTCGATTCGTCTCGGTAAGCTGAATCATTGGTACCCACTTTCTATAGGTGTGAAAATGGCTGTGGAGTATACATAATTAAAAAGCTTTCATTTCGGTGTACCAGCCCCATTTTTATAATAAACTTGCACAAACCTTTATAATAGAATTGTAAATTCTTGAATCAAGAATCTCATACGTAATAGCAAAAAATTTATTTCCTTCATTTTTCAAAATTTTAATCAAGATGTCTATACAATTTTCCACGTCGATATAGCGTCCAAGAGCAATTGTGTCGGGTTCGCCGTCGACGGAACTATCATAAACAAGAACTCTAAATTGATTACAAATCAGATGATTGACAGCAAAATTTAAAGCATGATCAGCTTCAAGAAATACTTCTCCCAATTGAGAATGGATTTGTAAAGGTTTAATTGTTGTTGTGTCTTCATCAAATAATAAATCAATCATTTCTGGATTAATTGTAATATAAAAAATTCGAAAAAGTTCGAAGGCACAGTTGAAAAATAGCTGTAATAAATAGCGAGCAATTTTCATTTCCACAATGCTTTTTGGAAACTTTGTCAATTGTAATAAGTATATTGCTAAATAAAATTTTTTAATTAGAGAATAATTTTTTTGAAAGGTTTGACAAATGCCCAGTTTTTTTCGGCCTAACATAAAATTTTATTTTCTGAATAGTTGTTGATTTTTATTAAGTTTGTTCACGGTCGATTAGCCGCCCCGAAACCCGGTGTTTTTGGCCATAAACCGAAAACCAGGGGTCAAAACAGGCGAAAACCGAGAACCGGCCTAGATCGAACGGTTTCGGGTTAAACTAGAAAAAATTAGTAACGTGATCTTTTGGTATTTTTGAGGTTTATCAGTAAATATTTGTGATGTAGGAATATTTCATTACAGGATTTTAAATAGATAAAGTTTGAATTGGATATTCTGTATGAGAAATTTAGCCAAAAACTGGCTTAGGTTACCGAAAACCAGGAATAAGTCAAAAACCGAAAACCGGGGGTAATAGTTAATATAATGAACAACCATCATTTTTATAATCAAAAAATGCCCCATAATTACATATTCCATAACCTCAAATAATAAATAACCTTTATCCACTTTGTAATCATGTTGCAATTCGCAGAAAATAGTATCAATGGGTGGGTAATCATCGTCCTCGTTGTCGGAATATTCCCAATCTTCTTCCGCTTTTATAAACATAGGAATTGAGTTTTTTATTCCGGCCTTCCACTAAAATCAATGTTTAATATGTAAACGTTAATTTAAGAAAACCTTTTCTTCAAGTTGTTTACTCAAATTGAAATCATAAAGTTGAGGTTCTAGTTTCATGAATTCATAATTACGTTCACAAAATCCATAATACCCATGTTCATCCAATTTCAAGCGATAAAGTTTAGGATATGGCTCATAATCTTTATACCTATTATGTTCGTAATGTAATTGATAAGTAATAATCTGAAAAATAATTATTAGAGAGTAAGCAAAATCATTTTCCGTGGATCACTAGCAGTTTCTAAGCTCTAATTTTTCTAAATTAATACGGTCCGAAAATATCCTGAGATTGGGAAAGAAACGCGGTATTTGGGAGAGCAAGTGCAGAGGCTCTGAAAAAATGGGGAGGTCTGAACTGGGGCAGAGGTTCTGAAAAATCCGGCCGGATCAGGCCCGGCGCCGTGCATTATTAGGGAATCAATTTATAAAAAAACCTACAAATTCAAGTCTTTCGTATTTCTTCCTTGCCAATTCCTTTTCATATTTGTCAATAAATTTTTTTAAATAAAAACTTGTTTCTTGAAAAGATAATAATTGATTGAAGGTCAGACATTTAAGCACATCGAGTTGAATTTTATCCGGAATGTCTATTTTTGCAAGTCTTTCAGTAGTTTTAATTTCATCGGGTACTTTGTCGTTGTCAATTGGAAATATTTGGTACCATTGACCTCCCTAAAAAATATGATTTTTTTTGATTTTACACATAAAGTTAATAAGAAACCTTTTTATAATATTTAACTCCTTCGTGTTCAATGATTTTTCGATCCAGGTTGCTCATTATTATAAAAAATCTAATTTAAAATAGAAAATTTGGTCTGCAAATTGAGGATTAAAATAGAAAAGATTTTATTATAAAAAATAATTTTAATGATTAAAAAAATCAACGACATTTTAATTAATAAAATTAATAAACATTTATTTATTCAATAACATCGAAAAAATTTTTAACAGAAATCTTATTATTTAAATAGAAAGGATAAATATAACAATAAGGGATTTAAAAGACAAGATAATATAATATTTAGGGTTGCCAAAATGGACTGACTCGAACCGAAAAATCGAGTCGGGTATAGGAATAGGGTTGTCGGTCGTGGAAAATCTCGGATATACGGAACCGAAGAACCGAACAGAAAAATCATCGGTTCAGTTCGGTCTAAAACCGACAAGTTAAACCACTTAACCACGACTTAAAATAATTTTTTAATGCAAACAAGGCGGGATATGGGCTCGAATCCCGCCTTGATCGATATTTTAAAAAATAAAAAAAGATTCTAAAATTTTTAAAATTTTAGGTTGGCTAATAGAAATATTATAACAAAAAAATAGGCGAATTTAGGGGCTTCTTTCACACTTTTGTTCACAATTTTAGAAATACTCAACAAAAAATTCTAAAATTGGAGAAGATATATTTAACGACTTGTCTAACAGTAATATTTATTCGACAATTATTTGCATATTCCAAAACTTCTTTTTCTTTAACCATTTGAATAAATTCGTCTCCAAAGATTCTTGGTTGTTCTTACAAAATTCTGAGAACTCCATGATAAACTAACCGTTGCTCTCCACTCATAATTAAAATATCTCCAGAACGCAAAATTATTGCATCAACAGGATAATTAAGAGTACCCCCAGTAAGATAAATGGCTGGTTGGCCAAGAGAAATTGAGACGAGGGGACGAGACAAGTCACGTTCAGATCTGTTAAAAAATTAAAAAGAAATTTTTTAAGTTAAAAAAATTTTTAAAATTTATTTCAAACCAATTGAGTATTGATTAAAAATTATTTTCCAACAAAAGGATTCGAACCTTGCTCATTTTTGGGGGTGAACCAAAAATTTTCCCACTACACCACAATTTACAATATTTTAAAAATAGAAGGGAAAAGAGATAATTCCTAGATTTAAATCAGATTCAATTTAAAATGTAAAAACCTGTCAACATGTGGCGAAAGATGAGACTTTTCTGGATAAAAATTGACAATAGCAGCATCAGGAAGGAAATCGCCCAAGCCTAGACCTAAGGGAAAAATTCAGTATTTAATTTAAATAAATTTTTTGCAACTCACTACAAACATCCAAACGACTCAATTTAGCCATTTCATCAGGCAAAGATTGCCTCGCATTATTTAAATATTCTTTTGTATCCCAATTGTAATCATTCCACAAGGTTACCCATCGAAGTTTTTTTGAACAATTTTTGAAGACATTTGATCCTCTGTAAGGATTGTTGTTTTGAACAAATAAATTTGTAATGTTTGGAGGCTCTGGGTATTCTAACAGACAGTTTTCCATCCAACGAAGTTGCTCAGTTAAAGTTAAAACGCCTCCAATAATAAATAGGCCAGGCCTAGAAAAAATTGAAAAAATTTTGAAAAAATTTTAAGAGGGGACCTAATGTCCCATAAAAATTAAAATTTCTACCAATTCAAAAAAGTAGTGAGAGACCATTGTTGCATAGGCCTTTAAAAGGCGAATTAAATTTAACAAAATTTGTAAAAATGAAAATTTAGCAAAATTTGGGATGAAATGTCATTTTTTGGTTTAAGGAAGGAGACCAAAATTGATAAAAACAAGGGCTTAAGGGGATTCCAAATTAAATTTTATTTTAAAAATAAACCTTAAACCATTAATGCCTACAGCATTTAAACATTTGCCAGAAACATAATTCAATTTGAAAGAAAATTCTTTTGAAGATTTGTAAGAGAGCTGTGGAGGAATAGATTTTTGAGTAGTTGGAGATTTTAAAGAAATTGAAGCAAATTGTTGTTGTTCTTGGATATTGTTGAAAATTGGTGAATTGTTTAAAATAGGTGTTTCTGGCACAAATACAACTTCTTCTGAAATATTTAAAGACAAATTTTGTTGTTGTGGTGGTGGAAGAGGTATGTTGTTTGGAGGTGGAAGAGGTTGGTTGGCAGCATAAACTAGACAGAATAATTTTATAAATTTCAGATGATTAAAAGGCTAGCACCACGGAATCATATTTTTGAAAAATTTCGAAAATAGCACCAAAAATATTATCAAAAAACCCCAAAAATCAAAACAAATAAAAAATTATTTACCACAAGTGTGTATGGGTGAATTGATGACAAAACCCCAGTATAACTTCAATTGTGCTCTACATCTTTTCTTGTTATTCTTACATCTCCACTGTTCGCTTCGCCCGAGTGTCCCAACATAATCGCAATTTTGAAAAATTAATTTTTTATTTCCATATGGTGTTTTTCCTTCTGTCGGGCGGAAATTTTTGAGAATTTTTGAGAATTCATTTTCTGATGCACCATGATCGAGCAATAACTTTAAAAATTTTTAATCATTAAATAAGTTTGCTACTTTTGCCATGTATATTCCTGAACTATACACCAGTAAACCCCTCACACCCAAAATTAAATACTCATCAGTTTAGGATAAACTTCACAAATTTGAAAAGCTACTGGAGATGGGGACTGCCCACTATTTAGGATTCCCCTATTTATAAGATACAATTTTCAATTCCAAGAAATTTAAAAGAATTTAAATAAACCTTTTCAATCTTAAAAATACTACAAGCAACATTTGTTGCCAATTTTAATGCCCACAATTTTCCATCAGAAATTCCAGCTTCGTTTGCATTAACCAATTTTGAATTTAAAACATCAATTCCTTCATTGGTTGATCCATTTTGATGAGCAGCATACAAATTAGCCAATGCTGTAGCAAATTCTCTAATTGAATATCGTTCAGGACCAGCTTGAGTTTCTCCAAAAAGTTTAATTTTACGGGACAATTCAGGGAGTAACTAAAAAACTTTATTTAATGGACACAAGATTTTACATGTTTGAGATCAGTTGGACCTCACTAAGGGTAACCCCGGTATTGAATACTCTTGATTAAAATATTTTAAATTTGGTTCACACTAGATGTGGAGAGTGCCTCAGCACTCCATGGTGAGATATCCAATCATATTATTTTTCAACTAAAAAATGAAAACAATTAAATCCCACTTTTTCTCTTTCCTCAAAGTGTTAGAAATACACACAATCAGACTTTTACCTTCCTTCACTACTATTTTCCTATGCCACTAGAAGTTTGACCATTTTTGATACTTTGAGGAAAGAAAAAGCGGAGGAGGGAAGTAAAAAAAGTCAAGTCTACCCTAAAAACCAGAAATTTTAAAAGCTTTGACTTGCTTCTGGTTAAAAACCTTGCCCAGATTTTTTACCTTTTCTTAGAAAAATAAGAGTCAAGGAAAAATAAAGATCTGAAGAATCCAGATCTAACAATAAGCCGATTTCTATTTTACCAATTTTTAATCACTTACTATTTTCCAGTGGACATCTGGCTGGGCTGTTGCTCGATAAAATCCAGAGGCACTTTTTGCATACTTTAGAGAAACCTGAGAAAATTTTTTTTAAGTTTTTAGGCCAAAAATAAATTTAAAAAACCTCAGCTTGTACAACACTATCTCCAGCTAAAATAACCAAAGCAGTTAAATTACTTTCCTGTGGAGGAACAACTTTTGAAGATAATTGAAAACGTTCAGTTGAAGGTTTTGCCCGAGGCTCTGAAGCTAATGTTGGGTCTGAACATTTGTGCTGAGCATTTAAACGACGACAACAATCAGCTAGCAAATAACGGAGCTTAAAAGAAATTTTTTTAGAAATTACCGAAGAATAAAAGGGTACGGCCCTACTGGCCTGGGAACGACCCTACAGAGAAGAGTTGCGGAGAATTCAAGTTATGTGGCTTCCTTCGGGGAATCACTTAAGATGGGGCTTCCCCCGGGTAATCCCTTCTTGGGTACGGGGGTCGAACCCTAATTCAAATTAAAAAAAACCTGTTCAATAGTAGACGAAGCCCTAGCTTTTTGAAACCATTCAGATTCTAATGTAACCGATTTTCTAAAGAAACAACTTGTGATGATTCGTCTGATGATGAATAAGAACATTCCTCTTCGACGTCGTTGATCATTTAGTGAAAGAATTTCTCCCGAGATTAATCAAAGCCGCTGCTTTTGAAATTTGTCTTTATTTTCTCTGCGTAAAGCCCAAGTAGGCGCGCGGCCAAGTAGGCGCAAAGCCATAACTTGCTTCAAGATTTCCGAATCTTAACAATTTTAGTATTAAACGATTCCACTCAACGAGCTAATTATGGCTTTGCGCCTACGTGGCCGCGCGCCTATTTGGGCTGTCCCATTTTCTCTTAATTAAAGCCAGACACATCAGAGAATCAATACTTTTCTCTTTCTCTAAACAAAGTCTTATCTGTGCCTTTTTCTCTAATTTCAATTAAAAGACATTATGCCAAAATAAATAATTGCAATTTTTTGGCTTAAAATTTTTCCCTTTTTTTCTCAATATTTCGCGCAAGGATTTTACTCTTTTTTTTTCGTTTTGTGGGGGAAAAGTTACTCGTGTAGCCTAACCCCGACGAGCCCTGATGAGAAGAGGAGAGAAAATGGTAAAAACCGATTACCATTTTGTCGCATACCATTTTGTCTAGTTACATTTTTGTTTTTTCCAAAACGAAATATTGATTGGTAAAGGAAATAGTGTGTACAGAGATAGATACAAAAAATTATTTCTTGATGACGCATTGTTTTTGTTTCTTTCCAAATTTTAATATTTTTTAAGGATTCTAGGCAACCGTAAAGATTTTTTGCGGATTTCCCCTTCTTTTTTTATATCCATTCTCCCCAAACAATTCCGTTTGGGTCAGAATTCTATGAAGATTCCAGGGGGATAAACGATGAAAAAAAATCTGCATAGGAAATTCACAGATTCTTAATCTTTACGGTCGCCTAAATTGATTATTTAAGGGCAATTTAAATTAAAATATATTCGAGAATGGCAATTAATCGTTTGGAAAATTTATTTGTCTCAAATAACGCTGCTTCAATTCTTAACGAATTAGAGGTCCAACATCCTGCTGCTCGTATTATAGTCCTGGCCGCTCAAATGCAAGAAAAACAAATTGGTGATTGCACAAACATGGTTGTGATTTTTGCTGCTTCTTTGTTGGAACAGGCTTCGCAGTTGCTTTCTATGGTTTGTTTTATTCTCATAAAGCTTGTAGGGAAGGGATTCGGTCAATCGGTTAAGCATCGGATCGTGGTTAGCAAAGCCTTTGTTTTTTCAATAACTGCTAGCCGGTAGCTGGGTCGGTTCTTTTCCATGACTAAAATGAGGGTTGGGGGTGGGATTTCTGTCCATTTCTAATTTTTCAATTTTTTAGAAAAAGGGACCTAAACCGATTGAAATTGTTTCTGGCTATGAACAAGCGTTGGCTAAAGCTGAAGAAATTCTTCCTGAATTAATTGGTGGAAAGACAAACACACCTCAGGTTTGATTGTTTGAATTTTTTAGAAAAAAATAATAGGATAGGATATCTCACCATGGAGGTCACCCTTAGGACTGAAATAATTATATTTTATAATCAGGTTTAACGTAAATGTGAAGTGTCACTGAGGCATTCCATATCTAGTGTGAACCAAATTTAGAATATTTTAATCAAGAGTATTCAATTCTGGGGTTACCCTTAGTGAGGTCCAACTGATCTCAAACATGTAAAATCTTGTGTCCATTAAATAATGTTTTTCTAGTTACTCCCTGAATTGTCCCGTAAAATTAAACTTTTTGGAGAAACTCAAGATGGTCCTGAACAATATTCAATTAGAGAATTTGCTACAGCATTGGCTAATTTGTATGCTGCTCATCAAGATGGATCAACCAATGAAGGAATTGATGTTTTAAATTCAAAATTGGTTAATGCAAACGAAGCTGGAATTTCTGATGGAAAATTGTGGGCATTAAAATTGGCAACAAATGCTGCTTGTAGTATTTTTAAGATTGAAAAGGTTTGTTTAAATTTTTGACCCTATCTGAATAAGAGGGCGCTTTGATTTTTTTCATCATTTTTTTCCTACATTAATTAATAAATAATGGTCAGTCTTTTCTTCCGCTTTAAATTCCACTCTTTTTCCTGTGGCATATTCAAATGAGAGGACAGACAAAGCACACACACACGGACTGACAAAACACGAGTGTTTTCTGTCCGAGTCCGCCCGTGTTTTGTCTGTCTGTTTCCGTCTGTGTTCGTCCGTGTTTTGTCTGTCCGATCCCGTCTGTGTTTTGTGTCACCGTGTGCATCCGTGTTTTGTTTGTCATGTTCCTCAGTGTTCGTCCGTGTTTTGTCTGTTTGTGTCCGTCCGTGTTTTGTCTGTCCGAGTCCGTTCGTGGTCAGTCTTTTCTTCCTCTTTGAATGCGTCCACGGACGAGCACAGACGAACACGGAAGAGCATGGACAGACAAAACTTGTCTGTATAATGCGTGCTTTGTCTATCCTCTCATTTGAATATGCCACAGGTAAAAAAAGTGGAATTGAACGCTGAAGAAAAGACTGACCATTATTTATTTATTAAGGTAGGAAAAAAATGATGAAAAAAAATCAAAGCGCCCTCTTATTCAGATAGGGCCAAATTTTTTTAAATTTCTTGAAAGTAAAAATTGTATCTTATAAATAGGGGAATCCTAAATAGTGGGCAGTCCCCATTAGCTTTTCTAATTTGTGAAGTTTATCCTAAACTGATGAGTATTTAATTTCGGGTGTGAGGGGTTTACTGGTGTATAGTTCAGGAATATACATGGCAAAAGTGGCAAACTTATTTAATGATTAAAAATTTTTAAAGTTATTGCTCGATCATGGTGCATCAGAAACTGAATTCTCAAAAATTCTCAAAAATTTCCGCCCGACAGAAGGAAAAACACCATATGGAAATAAAAAATTAATTTTTCAAAATTGCGATTATGTTGGGACACTCTGGCGAAGCGGACAGTGGAGATGTAAGAATAACAAGAAAAGATGTAGAGCACAATTGAAGTTATACTGGGGTTTTGTCATCAATTCACCCATACACACTTGTGGTAAATAATTTTTTATTTGTTTTGATTTTTGGGGGTTTTTTGATAATATTTTTGGTGCTATTTTTGAAGTTTTTCAAAAATATGATTCCGTGGTGCTAGCCTTTTTATCATCTTTAATTTATAAAATTATTCTATTTAGATTATGCTGCCAACCAACCTCTTCCACCTCCAAACAACATACCTCTTCCACCACCACAACAACAAAATTTGTCTTTAAATATTTCAGAAGTTGTAATTGTGCCAGAAACACCTATTTTAAACAATTCACCAATTTTCAACAATATCCAAGGACAACAACAATTTGCTTCAACTTCTTCAAAATCTCCAACATTGTTGGAAGAAACTACTCAGAAGTCTATTCCTCCACAAGTCTTTACTTTGGACTCAACTGAATCTGCTGGAATTGTACAAAATGTTGATGTTCAGTCATTATCTACTGCTAAAGGTTTTTCATGGAAATTTTATTTTTTCAAAGAATTTTTCGAAAATTTTTTTGAAGATTTTTTCCAAAAAATATTTTTCGAAAAAAATTTTTTTATTTTTAAAATTTTTTTAAAATTTTTCAACGAAAAATTCCTTTCTTTTTAAAGCTTCACAAAATTTGACTGAAAAGTCTTCCATTATTTGTTCATCATCCAATTTATTGACTCCAAAAAGAATTTTTTCTTCAATTTGTGAAGAAAAGGGAAATGCTGTTGTTGATGTTATTCAATTGGATAGTGCTTCTTTTCAACAAACTTCGTCAAAAATTCAAACGCGATCAATGGCTAAAGGTTTTTTAATAAATATTTTTTAATAAGGTTGGACGAGACCTTTTAATTCTTCGATTATTGTTCCCTGTGGCGGGTCAAAAAGAGAAGAGAGAAGGGAAAAGTCCACCACAGGGAAAAATAAACCTCGAATTAAACTGTCTCGTCCTACCCTATTTTTTAACAAAAAAAATTTTTTTTGAAGCATCTTCAAAAATCTGTTCATCATCCAATTTGTTGCCTAAACGAATTTTTTCGTCTATTTCTGGTAGAGTACAAGACAAAGAAGAGGAGGTTATTCAACTGGATTCTTCTAGTAAACGGCAACCTTCAAGTATCCATCAATCTCTTTCAACAGCTAAAGGTTTTTTCTTCTAATAAAAAAAATTTTTTTGAATGAAAAAACATTTGCCACAAAATTAATTTTTTTTTAAAATCTTTTGGGGTTTCCTAGGATTAACAAAAAAAATTTTTTTCAAATCTCTGGGGTTCTCGGGTTAACAAAAAAAATTCTTCTTGAAAAATTTTTTCTTAAAAATTTTTTTTAATTTTTCTTTTAAAATAGAATCTTCAAAAAATGTGGCACAAGAATCTTCAGAAATTTCATCAATTACTAATTTATTACCTTCAAGAACAATTTTTTCTTTTATTAATGAGGAAGAAGAAGAATCCAGGGAAGTTATTCAATTGGAAGATACTTCTATTGTTCAATCAAAATTTAATGTGTTTGATTCTATGAGGGATTCTCATCATCAAACATCTTTGTCATTAAATACAGCTAAAAGTCCTTCAAATATAGAGGAGAATATTCCAAGAGATGAAACTGTCCCACACTCTTTTGCTCCAAAGAAGAATTTATCTCAAAAGATTTTCTCAACTTCTCGAGTCCAACAGGAACGCAAATCGTCAGAAAAGTCTTCATCATTTAATTTGGAAGTGGAAGTAGTGGAAGAACGAGAATATGTTTCGGATGAGGAAGAAAATGAAGAGGAAAAGGAAGAAGAGGAAATGGAGGAGAATGAAGAGGAATTGGAGGAGGGGGAAGATGAGGTGAAAGATGAAGAAGAAATGGAAGAGCAAGAGGTGGAGATGGAAGAGAATGAAGAGGAAAGGGAGGATGAAGAAGATGAAGTGAATGATGAAGAGGAAGAAGGAGATGTGGAAGAGCAAGGGGTGGAGATGGAAGAGAATGAAGAAGCTGAACTGGAAGACGAAGAAATAGAAGTAGAATGTCAAGAACCATCAAAATCTGTTGAAATTCAATTAGTGTCAACAGCCAAAGGTTTTTTTTGATAAATCTTTTTGTAAAATGAAAAATATTTTTTTTTAGAATTTTCAAAAAATTTGTCACGAAAATCTTCGAAACTTTCTTCCAATTTGCCACCTAAAAGAATTTTTTCATCAGTATGTGAGGAAGTGGAAGAAGGACAGAATGTTATTAAATTGGATAGTGCTTCTTTTATTCAACAACAATCTTGTTCAAGAATTCAGCAATCTCTTTCAACAGCCAAAGGTTTGCAAAAAATTTTTAATAAATTTAAAAAAAAGACTTAAGAAATAAAATTTTTCTTGGGGAACTTTTCTTTAAAAAAAGTTTTTTGGTCAGACCTTTTTTTGAAATTATTTTTTGATTTTTTTGTGAAAAAATTCAGCCCGAAGGGTGACGTCTTATACCACTCATTCCTTTCAAAAATTTTTTTTTATTTTTTTTCATTTTTTTCCATTATAGAAGCTTCTTCATTTCACCAAAAATCAGCATTAAACACTGCCAAGAACATGGCTTCTCAACCTATTGAAAAAGAAGCGACTTCAAAATCTCGTGGCCAACGTTCCTCAAATAAGCTTTCTTCATCGACAGTGCCTTATCTTTTTTCTCCGAAAACTTTGCAAAAGTCACAACCAATTTGTGATGCTTCTCGAACACAAAAATCTGTTGAAATTTTTGAAGGAATTGAAGGAACATCCAAATCTGGTGAAAAATCATTCTCAACAGCCAAAGGTTTTTTAATTAAAATAATATTGGTATTAGAAGGTCCTCTTTCCTCCAAATTTCATACTTGGTTTATTTTCGAAAATTATTTGTGGTTGACAAGTCGGAATTTTTTTGCTTTTTCTTAGGATTATTTAATTTTAAAGTCTTAATTTTTTTGAGAAAGAAAATTTTTTCCCTTTATTCTGAATTGTATAGCTTGTTTTTTTAAATTTTTAATTCTGGAATTTTTTAAGTTTTTCAAATAAGAATTTTTTTATTTCTAGAAATTTCTACAAGAAGCCAAGTCCAGAGCCATTCAAAAGATTTGTCTACAAGGAATTTGGAAGAATTAGAAAATACTCCACCACCATCAACAAGTCAGCAACATCAACCTCGACAACAAGCAGTTCAAAATTTAAATAGAGATGCTTCAATTCGAAATTCTCGACGATTGTCTTTATCACCATCGAGTAAATTTTATTTTTTTTAATCAAAATTTTGTTTAATCGTCTTTATACCTTTCTTAAGGTTGTATTTTCCGGAAATGTTATAGTTTTCCATTATGTATTTTTTCTAATTTTTGGTGTCTTTCGGAAGGTCTTTATTTTCGGAAGGTCGACATCTTTTTTTCTGGAAAAATTTTATAGTTCTATAATCTTTTCCAGAATTTATCGTTTTATTGAATTTTTTTTCGGAAAGTTCTATAATTTTATCTAATCCTTTTTAGTGTTTTCTGGAAATATTCCTCAAAACAGTTAATTTACTTTTCTTGAATAATGCAAAAGGACAAAAATTTATTTATTTTATAATTTTGCAGTGCAGCCACAAGAATTTTCACATGTTTTGCAGCACTGTACCGATGGCTATATTATGACCTGGGATGAGTTCCTTGCCCACACTGATTTTGAATGTCGTTGTAAACTCGGTGAAGGATCTTATGGAGAGGTCTACAAAATGTTTGATTCTAAAGGGACTTATGCTATGAAGGTATTTTTTCTCTTTTTTTAAGTTTGTCAAAAAATTTATCAACTTTCGAATTTTCTTTGAAAATTTTTAATTAAAAAAATTTTTTCGCCAGGTCATTCAAGTTACCGAGGAAAATCCGATACCAGCCGTCTTTTCTGAAGTTTTCATCACACGGCATTTATCAGAACTCAACAATGCCGGTGATTTCTCAACTCCTTCATATATACCTCTTGTCCGTGCTAATGTAGTCAAAGGTTTAAATTTTAAGAAAAATTCTTTTTTCTAATTTTTTTGCTTTTAACAGGTATCTATCCGGATATTCTTAAAGCTGCGTGGAACAAATACAAGGAAGAAAACCCGGAGATTGCAGAAAATAAACATTATACTAACAATGAGCACATAGACAACACCTATGTTGTCCTAGTTATGGCAAATGGTGGAGTCGATCTAGAACTATATTTGCAAGAGGTTTAATTTTTTAACTTTATTTTTTCTTTTTATTGGACTGAGAAAAATAGAGTCGGGGAGAAACCCTTTGGATTTAAGTAAATGCACATATAGTTTTTTTGCCACCCACACTTTTCCAGTCTTTAATCAATTTTTAAAATTTATTTAAATATCTCCTAATCCGCTCTAAGATAAGAATGTTCGTATAAGGATGTAGTACAAAAAATTGAGAGATGATTTCTAGTAGCATGAATATTTTTTTAAATTCCAGGCCACCAAATCACAACGTGTTTCAATTTTTTACCAAGTTGCCCTATCCCTTGCTATAGCTGAAGAAAGATATAGTTTTGAGCATCGGGATCTACATTACAGCAATATATTAATCAGCAAAGTTACTTCTAGAGAAAGAGAACGTCGAGATAAAATTTGGTTTTTTTTGAAATTTTTTTGGAAATTTTTAAATTTTATTTTTCCAGTTATTACTACAATGGTGAAAAAATTGAAGTCCGTTCTCATGGCGTGCATGCTTCATTAATTGATTTCAACAATTCTCGGATGACAGATGATGTTACAAGACAGTCTGTTTATGTTAAATTTGCTGTTAAATCATATAAAAAAGGAGCTGATTATCAATTTAAAATTTACCCGATGATGAAAGAACTAAATGAGTTTGTTAATTTTTTATTAAAAATTAATACATTTTCAACCCCCTTCCTGAAATGGAGAAAATGAGAAAATTTTAGGCGGGGAAACGCCAGAGTATACGCCAAAATTTTGGCGCACACCCCATTTTAGCCTTCTTGAAATCGTTGGCCTCCTGGCTATGCCCCTGTGTTATTGTGAGATCACTTTAAATGAGGGCCTAGTAGCTTTGCAGCTCCTCGATTTAATAGTCATTTAAGATTTTAAAAGCGTCTCTAAAATAGAGGTTTATCAATATTTTGGGTATCCTGGAATGAGATTTGGCTGTATAACAAAATTTTCATTTCAAAAAATTTTTTTTCAATTTGTCAATTTTCTAGGGATGATTGGTCAACCTTCCATTGCAAAACAAATCATTATTGGCTACATTACCTTTATGACAAATTATTCAAAGTCGAACCTTTTACACTGGAAGAACAAGCAGTTTTTAAAAAGATTTTTGATCGTTTACTATTAAAGACAAAAAGAAGAGGATTTGCAACAACTAAAGATTTTTTGAATAATGAAGAAGTTAGAGAAATATTTGGTCGTTACGTTTTTTGAAAAGCTATGAGGTTTGGAACTTTTTCTTTTTTTTAATCAACGTCAAGTCAAACCTTTTAAACTTTTCTTCGGATCAGGTTCCGGGTCGAAAGAAGTTCGGCTCAGTAAGGGTGATTAAGAGGGTAAAAGGGTTCGAATCTAAAAAAGTAAAGGTTTCTGGTGGCCCGCGACACTCCTGGCCAGTTCATAGAGGAGAAATACTGGCTACGTGCCTGGGAGTGGAGGAGAGGCTTCTGTGCACGAGTTGGGCTCGTTAAAGGAAACCCCTTCCTTTTTAGTCCAAAAAGATTCATTTTCATCTTTTCTAGTCTCTCAACAACCCAGCAAATTGGTACTTACTTTTACCAGATTCAACATTTGTCAATATTTATGAATTAGAAAAACTTGTAAATTCACTTTTATGGAATTCCCCCGTCGCTTTTGGATGGAATATTAATAAAATAAAAAATAAAGACTTAAATGAAGAAGATGGAGGGGAATGGAGAGGTTTTTTTTAATTTTTTTTTAAATTTTTAAAAATTTTTTTAAAGAATTTTGCTTTGGAAACGTGTATTCGTCTAGCAGCCAATCTCATTTGTGTTTCAACATTTCAAGGATATGAGCATCGTTGGTGGAGGATTTCTTCTGATGATCAACAAAGCCTTTCTCCGTCTATACATGGTTTGTTTGTTATTTTTACTTCAAGTGATTGGAACTTTCGGATTTTCTCGTACCAACTCTATTGGTCCATAACAAATTTCAAGGGGGAGGAGGGGATGAGACAAGGAATCCTGGCTTACAGGGGGTAGGGGAAATTTTGTCTCTTACCTCTTCGCAACATTTCATTTTTTGCTTGTACTCGTCCTTGTGCTACGAGCGCCCAATCACTAGTTATTTGAAAAAATTTTCAAAAGCCCCCATGATTTTTTAGATCAATTTGAACGTCTTGCTCTCTCTCCTCTTTTCAATAAATCGTTAACTATTTCTCCATTACTTTCTGAATTGGATATATCTTTTCTGACCAAGCATTTTTTAAATGTTGAATTTATTCGAACCGAGGAAGAAATTAAATTGTTAGAGGAAGAAACAGAAAAGTATTATTCAAAAGAAGAGACTGGATGGCCTATTGGAATTATGGATGCTTCAAAACTATTAAATCGATTTCAAGGTTTTTTTAAAAAAAATTTTTTGATACGTCCCCTCATGGGAATTAGGAGTAGATAGGCTTATCTATGTTGTTGAGTACCCAAAACTCGTATCCAACGAATGGGCCTGTATTTGGGACTTGTATCAGAACTTTAGGTTACTAGAGCTCTCTCCATTCCATTAAAAGGTTATTTTGGGAATATAGGAACCTATTGAAAGAGATCATATGTGGGAGGGGAAGGAGGATATGTCGGAGGGAAAGACGATAGTGCTAATTTTTATTCAACACTAGAACTTTCATTTTTCAGCTCCAGTTTTTCATCACCATCATCACAATTACAACAACAATTTCTACATCCTCCACGTCTCCCATTAACTTTTAAAGATGCTGAAAGTCCAAATTTAACTCCAGGTTTTTTTTAAATATTTTTTTGCCTTTTTTTAATTCCAATCCATTTTTTAAGATTCAATAATTTCTCCTCGACATAAAAACATAAAAAGCTGCCTTCGCTCTTCTTTCAATGTCAACATGTTTTTCCTAGGCCACCCTCTCTCATACTTACATCATTAACAACAACACAACCTCTCCAGCTTCCATTGAACCTACAACAACAACTTCATCATTCTTCTAATTTATCTTCTAGAGATGCAACAGAAAATCACATTTTTGAAAGGTTATAACCAAAATTTATTTTAGAAACGACGACTGCGAAACGATTGCTCCCCAACAGCAAAGATTACCGCCGCCACCTCTACCTTTCCCACAACAATTTCCTCTTGTCTTTACTACACCACCACTTGTACCCAACACCTCGTGTTGCTTCTCTTCAAATTCCTACTTCAACAACCTCCACAATATCAATATGTTGCTCCAACACCTATGCCAAGTCAAAATTATATACTCAAAACTGTGGTGCAGGCAATTAATGCTGGAAAAACTAAAGAGGTTAAATGTTGTATGTCACCCGAAAGAGATGATTGGGCAGCAGCAACAGTTCCTCTTGTTTTTACTACACCACCACTACTTGTACCGCTTACAACAACAACACCTCGTGTTGCTTCTCCTCAAATTCTACCACCCCTACTTCAACACCAACAACCTCCACAACAGCAATATGTTGCTTCAACACCTATGGCAGGTCAAAATGATATACTCAAAACTGTGGTGCAGGCATACTCAAAACTGTGGTGCAGACAATTAATGTTGGAAAAACTAAAGAGGTTAAATTTTGTATGTCACCCGAAGGAGATGATCCGGCAGCAACAACAACAGTGGATAACAAAAGTAAACCCTATGGAAAATTTTTCTAAAATTTTCTTTTAATTTTTCCTCCAACACTTGTTCAAACTCAGGTTTATTAAAGATTACTTTTTGAGTTTAACTGCTAAATTTAAGGTTGAAGGAAGCTCTACACTTTTTTCTTTGGACTTTTTTTTGGGGAACCGGCTTATTTTTTTAAAGCCGATCTTGCTGAATCGTTTTCCAGCTGCAATCAAAGCTTTTTACATTTCTTGTTGTGAAGATGAAGAAGAAAAGAAGAAGGATTTGACAGAATCTGTAGATTTGTTAATGCCTGGGATTGGAGAAGTTGTTGGTTTATTTTTATTTTATTTATAAATAAGAAACGGATCAGAACGTGTTGGTCATGATGGATTTTTTTGTCAAGAGAGAAGCATTTGTTTGCTGGGGAATTTTTAAGTATTTCAAATTCCATCGACATTCCAACTTGGATTAAATTTAAGCTGGGAATAACTCGTTCAAATTATTCGTTCTGATCTCTTTAAATTCATTTTGTATATGGTTGTATATTTTTTCCCTTTCAAGCTTTAAACAAATTTTTTATAAAAAAAAATTTTTTTTAATTTTTATTCGTTCAAATTATTTGTTCTAATTTCTTTAAATTCATTTTATATGCTTGTATATTTTCCCCTTTCAAGCTTTAAACAAATTTTTTATAAAAAAATTTTTTTTAATTTTTATTTGTGTACTATAATTTTATGCTATAATTTTTTTATACCTACTTAATGTTTTCTTTTAATTATTTTACCATTTCTTCTAATTTTTAGATCAAAATTTCAATTTACTTTAATTAAATTATTTTACAATAATGAGCGAGGATCGAAAAATTATTAAACATGAAGGTGTTAAATATTATAAAAAGGTTTTAATTTAATTTTAGATCAAAAGACAAAAAATAAATCTTTTAGGAAAGTCGTTTGGTTCCAATTGGAGAAGACAAAGTGCCTGCTGACATTAAAACCAAAAAATCCAAATTAAACCTTCAACCAGAAATTCTAATTGATATATTTAAACTTCTCAACTTTGTTCAATTATTGGCTGTTCAACAAACAAATTTTTATTTCAAAAATTTTATTGACAAATATGGAAAAGAATTGGCAAGAAAGAAATTCAAATATCTTTATTTTGTATTTTTTTTATAAATTTTTTTAATAATGATAATTTTTTAGGTGCTTGATTTCGACTTTCGTTTTGACGGACATAGTATATTTGTTCGACTAGAACATCAACCTAATGATTTTCAATTGAGTGAACAACTTGAGGAAAAGGTTTTAAGAACTTGACGTTTTTTTAAATAATCTTAAATTTTAGTGGAAACGTGCAATAGAAGAGTCAATTCCAATGTTTTTAACATGGCCTGAAATGGAGGAACTAGAAACCGTTGTTTGTGATTTGGGACAAGATTATTTCAACGAGTTTCACGAGATGGGCCAAACTATTAAGCCTAGTGAGCCTTTTTAATGTAACTTTTGTAAGGATGATTTATCTAGCAGCATTTAAAACGCTTAGGCGGGGGTTAAACGATCTAAAAAGGAAAAAGAGAAAGCATTAGTCGATGCCTAGGTAGCTCATTGGGAGAGCTCCTGTATATGTTTACCGAAATCACCTAGCAACAAGTATCAGGTTGTCGCAGGTTCGAATCCTGCCCGATGGCTAAACTTTTGCAAACTATTTCTATTTTCAGGATTGTTTTTTAATAGATTTCATAATTTGAGAATTTTCGGTTAGGTATTCTCTTATACAAATTGAAAGGAATAAAATTTCAAGTTTAAGTAAAAGAAAATGTTCACTTTGCATTCTTTTTGTTCTTTGGACCTTCAATCATTAACAATAAATTATTTTTTAATTGTTAAAATTTTATTTAGATGCATACTGTTTAAAATTGCCATGGATTCCAAAAAGTATAAAGGATATGAAAATTGCTCGATCTTTATTCCAACTACTTTTTAACTGTGCTTTCACAATTTTTGAGATTGGTTCTACTATAATTAATCCACAAATGATCCAATTATTGTTTGATGAAGATAAAACAAATATGCCTTTACAAATACATTCACAACAAATCGAACTACTTCTTTGCGGGAATCATGTTTTTGACTTTGTTTTGAATCATTTGGTTTCTAATGAACTTGAATTCTATATTGATTCTACAGAATTTGATATAGAAAAAAATTTGGACGTTTTATTCAAAGTTTTGGCAAATGGAGGAAGTAAATTTTCCATGATTAATTTTCCATGTATTGATTCTAAATTTTACAATTTCATTATAGAGGTTTGTACATTATTATAAAGATAAAATAGGGCTAGTTATATCGATTATGGGTCCGGGAAAAATTTTATTCTGTTTTCAATAAAAATTGTCAAGGCTCAAAATTTATTTTCAGAGCTCTATTTCAGACATTAAAATCGGTCAATGGAATGACTGAAAAATTTTAAAAACTGAGCTTTGTTTTAAAAATTTAATAAATTCCATTTTAGCAAATAGTAGAAACATCACAAGATCTTTCTAAAATGGTGAAGGAAATTGGATTTCATTGTATGCGTGGACCTCGAATTACTAAAAGAGCAGAAGAAGCAGAAGATACTCTAATCTTGACTGACGGCTTTGATAAAACAACAATATTTCAACTTTCCAATAAACACAATCCAAAAATTAAATTTTTTGTATGCATTAAAGAAAATACTATGTTCCAGGATTATGGTTACCCGGATACCGCTAGCGTTGAAATTAAGAGAAAAAATTGATAAATTTATTTATAGACTTATTGTTAGGTTTATACCGTATTTGCTAAAATAATAACCCAGGGTAATTATTGTTTCAACCTCTCGCTGGAGGGGGTAATTATTCGAGCTTTTTTTAAAAAGCTATTTATAACTATTTTTAGGAGGGGCAATTATTTCTTCTATCTCTGGCTGTAAGGCGTAATTAATAGGGCGGGGGTAATTATTTGAGAGAGGGACATTATTTCAGCATTTGCGGTAGTTTAATTTATTTTTCTCGTTTATTTTAAAAAATTTGCTTTAATTTGACTTTTTAGATACAATTCAAGAATTTTTTTCACAAAACATAAAATAAAGATAAAAAATTTTACAAAATAGAGATTGAGCAATAAACAAGCTCTCTGTAATTTTTAAATTTTGTCTAATCAAGTTTTAAAATAAACATTTTACAAAAACATTTTAATATTGCTCTCAATCTCTATTTAAACAAAACATTTTAGTAAGGATTGTTTTTGACTAGTGGAATGTTTTTCTAGGTATAGATAGTTTTTGGAATTACATATTAAATTTTTGGGTATATAACTTTTACATTAATAGAAAAAAAGTGATAGGACAAGACAGAAATATTTTTTAGATAATTTTTAAAATAAGGAGAAATTAAATTTATGTTAGAAAAAATATTTTTTAAGAGGGAAAAAATTTTTAGAAGAGAAAATTTTATAAGGATTTTTTTGTATTGCAAAAAGCAAAAATATTTTTTCTAAAATCATCCCATAAATTCTCCAATAGATTCTCTCATAAATTCTCTATGTCTTCTACTATTTTCAATCCTCTCGTAAGGTGTGCTTATATTAGATTTAGAGAGCTTCCATTTAGAGAGGGGTGATACTATTAAAGAATTTACGGGGTCTTATCCAAAACTTCTCTCTTTCAAAAAAGAAACCTCTTTTCAATTTTTATTCATGCTGTTTTTTACTCAAATCTCGCAAATTATTCAAAAATCGTTCTGGTGTAATTATTTGATCAGAACCAATAACAACTTCCCAAGCTTTTTGTGAACGTGTTACTTCATATGCCGAACGCATTTCAGAAAAGGTTACACCTCCAACAATAAAAATTATTAGACGAGGGCCTGAACGCATTTGTGAATAACGTTGGTCTTTGTGCCATTGGCCATAACGGGCACTTGTTGGGGCGCTTTAAAGAGAAAAAGTTCTAAAATAAAACAAAATCCCCTACCGATATGGCTGGCTAATTTGACGTCCAGCCAAAAAAGGAAAATGTTTAATGTCCAATTTGTCTTCTATTGCATCCTCCATTATATCTTTAATTATAGGGACCCAGCGAGATTCACGGTAAACTTGTTCATTTCCACGTTCACGACGAGTTGGGGTCCAAACACGCTTTCTGCCTTGCTTAAAAATTTAGGGAAAAATTTTTTAATTAAAAGAAAAATCAAAAATATAATTTTAATTATTTCATTTCAGAAAATAAAATCCCAACGCCAAATCATTTAAAAAATTTTAAAAAATCCGAAAAAAAATTTTGGGACAAAATGTCCACTTTTTTTTGTCCTCCTGAAAATTCCCTACAAAATATTCACTTACATCAATAGTAATATTCAAGCTTAACAAAGAAGCATTTACAAGCGTTTCCTTTTCCATATGTGGAATGTTTGCATGTTGCAACAATTTATTTAAATTTTCATCGGTTATACCTTGAGAAAAAAATATTTTTTGAAAATAAAAAAAATAAAATAAAACCATTTCTATGAAGAATATAAAGAAGAATAAGACGCAATCTATCCTCCATTTTCACAGCTGGATCAATTAATAGAGGCACCATTAATTTCATTGGGTCCTTAATACGTTCACCTTCTGCATCCATTCCCAAAGCCAAATCCTTTAAGAGAAAAATTTTTTTTCGAAAAAAACTTGAAAATTCAAGAAATTTCTTGAAATTTTTGAAAATTTCCAAAAAAAAATTTTTTGGAAAACCCCCAAAAATTTCAAAAAAATTTTCTTAGAAAAAAAATTTTTCCTCCCACAAAACCTGTTCAACTTTACAAAGCTTATCAATTCCATTTTTGTATTTATTCATACATTCTTCAGCCAAATGAAAATGTGTACTTCAAAAAAAACAATTTAAAACAAAAAATAAATTCAAATTAAACCTAAATTTATTCAATTCTTTTTGGTATTGTGGAGCCTTTTTAATTAGCAAAGACAAATCTTTGATAGATTTTGCATCGCTTGGCATTTTCTTATTTTCTGAGAATTTTTTCAATCCACGAGTTACCTTTGAAAATATTTGAAAAATTTTCAATAAATTTTTAAAATTAAGATATCGAAAATTAAGATACCCTTCGAGCAAGTCTCCCCCACAAAATTAAAAAAAAATGCTAGAGGTGTTCCCTCTCCAAAATTAAATCCATCCTTCAAGAGAATCCATCCTTCACAAGAATTACAGCTTATCCCAAAAAGAAGGTTAATAGGAAGGCAAAGGTGGCTAGTGGTTGGAGGACCAGAAGAGGTCGAGAGCTATCCGTCTCCAAAAATTCCCCCCCCCCCCTCCAAAAAAATTTTAAATAACAAAAAAACCTCTTGAGAAACCACAGCAATATGTTTATGTCTATTCTCTATCCACAAATCATCACTTTCATCCAACAAAACTTCTTTATCCACAGATTCTGCCCCTCCAGTTTCATAACGATAAACATCATTTTCGATATTTAACAAGTCTTGAGTCATTGCTTGTAAAGTTAATTCGTGCAATAAAGGAGAAACCGCATCAAATCCTCGATCAATTATTATTAGTTGAGAACGAGCTTTTTCTGTTCCTTCACCCATAGAAGGCTCATCAGCTTTGTAAGCATCCAATTTTGCTTCAACCAAATGTCCCAAATCAACGTTACGTTCAACATCAGCACGATAACTAGGATATTTTTTAATTAGGAAGAGAAATTAAGAAATCAACCCAGAAGAAAAAAATCCAAAAGAAAAAATCATCCCAGAAGATTTATCCCACTCCCTAAAGATAACGTCCTAGTGGGCAAATGACCCTGAAGATAAGCGTCAAAAATATCAACACTAAAAAATTAAAAAAGACTTGGACGCTGACCTCTATGGATTTGAATTTCTGGGGTGAACCCCAAATTAATTTTTACACTCTTGTTTAAGTAAGAAAAATCGAGAAAGTTTACGTCCCCTTCTTGCTTCCTAGCCTAAAGAAAATAAATTCCAAAAAATACCGAATAGACGGATACTCTCCAAGAGTAGCACAAATCGTTGCTATTTGCTCCGCTATACGGTCCAAGTTCTCCGTCAGGCTGCCTGGCTTTTGAGGGTTGTAATACAGAAAAAAAGTCGATGGCGAATCGAGAGTATAAACCTCAAAAATTGGTAGAAAATTCAAAAAAAATCTTCAAAAAAATTACTTGCGATTCATAAGGAGTAAAAGCAATATTTATTTCCTTCAAAGTCTTTATATGACGAGCAGCTGGACTACGCGAAAGAGTAGAAAAGAGTTGATCTGGACAAGCTTCAGTAAAAAACACGTGTGCACATTTGTATAAATTGTGAGAACCAGAAAAGTCTTGCGTCAATTTATCGACAGATTCCTTTAAAAGAAATTTTATTTAAATTTGGAAAAAGTCAAATTATTATTATTATTTAAATTTGGAAAAGTCAGTCACTTAAATATGAGTGACACCAAAAGCAAAGTGCGGTCCCACAGCCATGAGGCTGAGATAAAAAAGATGGGATACAAGTTTAAACTGTCAGGAATTACATAAGGGTTCAAAGTGGTTGAAAAGGTTAGGTCTACTGATTCTGGACAAACTTATGACCACCTGAAACCACGATGTACAAAAATAAAAGTTTCACTTTCAATCCTTTTTGAATAAAAATGGAATTTTGAAAAATAAAGGGGGGACCGCAAACTTAACTATTACTAAAAAAGCAAAAAAACCTTTGTTGGAGAAATCAAATAAATAGCATCAATAGTAGGCAGAGGTTCTCTTCGTTTATTCAGATCCTCAACAATAGTAACTCCTTGATCCATTACATCATGCATTTTGCAACAAGCACTTAACATTCTCATTGCAAGTCGATCAACTATTAAAGCATTCCAAGCCCCTCCCTTTTCGGGTTTGTGTAGAGGGGCAAGCACTTCGTTGATTAATTCTTAGAAGAAAATTATAAAATTTCAAGAAAGATATCATAATTGCTCTAATAAAAGCCCACTCTCTAATAGAAGCCCACCAATGAAAAATAAGCCCAGTAAAGGGATATAGTGAAAAATAGAAGCCCCGGGGCTTTAAATAGAGCCTCTACGGTAATTTAAAAAGAAAAACTTACTTTGTCCAACAATTGATTTTAGCGTCATTTTAATATTTCAATTAAATTACAGAAGCAAATTTAATCTGAAAAATAAAAATTTTAATTTTAAAAAATCAAAGAGAGAGTAAAAGTGAATGACTAAACAATTGTGAGTCATACATTTTTTATTTAAATTTAACTCAAAAACGTGTAAAAGTCGTCAAACTCCCCATCCTTTTTGCTAAACAAACTTGCCAAATAAAAACAGGATATCGGATTTTGAAAGATTTCGAGACTAAAATTTTGAAAATAGTATGTAAAACGATGAGAGTGACGTTAAAGAAAGAGAGTAAAAACTTTTCGCCAAACTTTCTTTCAAATAATTAATTATGGCACTGAAATGGCCGTTTTATTTGTGCACTGAATTTATTCGCACTGAAACGACATTCTACTGAAATGATTTTTGAGTCTCATTTCTCTCACTCTCTCTTTAAAAAACACCCTTATGACTCTATTGGTCATTAATTAATGGCTGCTTTTTATAAGAAAAGAGCATGTAAAAACAAGAGAGTGAGAGAGAAATAGAGTAATTTTCTTAAATTGATTTCTGCTTGTAGTGACGGTTATTTTTCCTGTTTATTTTTCTTTTTTGGCTTGTTTTAGTTTAATTTCTTTACTTTTTTTAGTTGTGTTCGTTTGCTTTTAAAATTTTTTAAACAAAAAAACTTGACTGACATTTAATTATGGCTTCTTCTGGTTTTAGCGTTTATGGTATAAAAAATTAAAGAAATGGGGAAATTTGGGTGAAATTTTGGGGGAAATGAATTAAATAATCCAAAAAATCATGCAAGACAACACATTTTTTGCTTTAAAAAGGCATCAAAGCTTGTGTGGAATCATCAATTTTCTGATCTCCGTGGGTATAAATGCTGAAAAGCTTTAAAAGGTTTGTGTGTTTGTTGTTTTAGTATGACTTACATGCATTCTTTTTTTACTTTTTTGAGAGTTTCTGTGCCTTTTTGACTTGATAAACGTTTAAACTTTAAAAAAGTTTTGTCTAAAACTAATTTTTATATTTTCCAGTTGGTAACATTCCGTATAACACCACGGAGACTGATCTTGGAAATATGTTCTCGTCTTGTGGCGTTGTGACTAACGTTCGGTTTGTTTTCAACTTTTTGTTAAAAATATGGTTGTGGTGTAGTGGGTTAGTTGTTATCTCCATGGCTTCTAGAGGTCGTGGGTTCGAACCCTGTTGGGGCAAACATTTTTTAATTTGCTTTTTCCTGGGCGTATAATATATCGTTCGACGCGTCTCGTCGTTCTGAATCCGATGAAATTAAAATTGGGATTAATAGCTTCTAAACAAAATTATAATTTTATTTTTTAGCATTGTCATCGACCGTAACACCAATCGTCCAAAAGGCTTCGGCTTTTGCGAGTTTCAGGACCAACAGGGGGCGGATGACGCTGTTGCCAAAATGAATGGAACTGAGATGAATGGCCGTCCGTTACGCGTTAGTTATGCCAACAACAAGTGAGAAGACTTGAAGGTTTGGGAGATGTCAGAAGAATTTTAACGATTTGTGGAGACTTTTTTTGGATTTTGGCTTTTAATGTTATCAGAAAATTTTCATTTTGTTTTTCTTTGCCTATCCATTGATTTAAAAACTGCTTTTGTTTTAAATAAAAATCGTTAAACTTGGATTGTTGTCTTTTAAGTTTGGTTGACCTCCAATATTTTAAGAATCTTTAGTTTTTGTAACCTCAGTTTATTGACTTGACTTTCCATTTTTACGTTGAAAACACATCAAAGATGACCACAACAATTCCTGGTTCGTTGGTTAATAAGACCAAAAAGCACTTTATGGGAATGTCCGCCCCAGCTGGCTATGTTGCTGGTGTTGGAAGAGGCGCTACTGGATTTACTACAAGATCTGATATTGGACCTGGCGTTGATTTGCCCGCTGATCCTGGGATGGCTGGGGCAGCTGCAGGGGCAACTCCAGCTAAAAAGCCTAAAGATGACGATAATGATGAGCCTGAAGATTTAAATGACGCTAACTACGATGAGGTTTGAGTTTTGTTTTAATGTCTGTTAGTTTGGTTTAGTGTGAAAGGTTTTAGGCCGCATAAGGGATAGGTCGCGGGTTCGAGTCCGCTCGGCGCCCAGTATTTTTTTACTTTTAGGAAATAGGTTTCTGATTGGTTTTTATTATTCTCATCGTGTTCCAGATTTTTTCTTGATAAGGGAATTATTCGTTTGTGTCATTTTGTTGTTTTGATGCTTGTGATAGGTCATGGGTTCGCATCCGCTTGGGTGACATTATTTTTTATTTAATGTGTTTTTTTGTTTAAGATTCCTTTTTTTGACTCCCCGACATTCTCGTTCCATAAACATTACCTTCTAAACTTTCCAATTTTTAGTTCGAAGGTTATGGAGGAAGTTTATTCGCAAAAGACCCTTATGATAAAGATGACCAAGAAGCTGACGAAATTTATCACGCTGTTGATATGAGGCAAGATGAACGTCGAAGGGATTATCGAGAAAGAAAGTATAAAGAAGCAGTCGAAAACTACAGAAAAGAAAGGCCCAAAATTCAACAACAATTTAGCGATTTGAGAAGACAATTGGCAACAGTCAAGGAGGAGGAATGGGCATCAATTCCTGAAGTTGGTGATAGCAGAAATAGAGCAAAGAGGAATCCAAGAATGGAAACGTTTGTTTTTTGTAATTTTTGGAGGGGATTTAAGGGTCCTTTTTCGACCTTTTAAACTCCCCATCCCACAATAGCACTGTCACTGGTTACTCGAAATTTTGTACTTTTATCGACCTAAGCCACTGATTTGTGAAGCCCGACCCGACTTCTCAAACCGTGACAACCTTCTTAATACATAATAGAGTTATTAGTTTCACCAGATTCTTGGTCCATCAAAAATCTTCTGCTTTTAGTTTCGGTTTGTAATTGCCATCCTACTCAATGGTCATGAATATAGGCATTTCTTTTTTAATAACCGCCCGGTTAATTTTTCCCTGTGACGGTTTCTCTTCTCTCTTTAACCCGCCACAGGGAAAATTAACCGGACGGTTAACCGGTTTTGTTCCATTCTCCTTTCTAGCACAAGAAATCTTTTCTTTTTTAGTTTCACGCCTGTACCTGACTCTGTTATAGCTTCAGCAATGGGCTATGGACAAATGAACACAGTAATGGATTCAAGTATCCAAAATGGAATTTCTACTCCTTATTCTGGTTTTCAATCTTCTTTGGGTGGCGGCTTTCAATCAACCTTTGGCGGATTCCAATCAATTTTAAATCCTGGATTGGTCACTCCAGGTTGGAAGACTGGGTCAGGAACGTCTTCGGACTTGGATTTGCGCAAAATTGGACAAGCAAAAAATCGGATTATGGATATTAGACTTAACCAGGTTAGTAAAGCTTTTTTAATTTATGAGGGAATTAGCTAGAGTATCTTGATCTTACTACTAAATGCCACATAAAGTCATTCTCTTACCGCCAGGCTTTTCTTTTAATGAAGCTCTTAACGAGTTAAATAGTAGTAGCCTTCCCTAGCCCTGTTATTTTCTCTCCCTAAAAAATATTTTTTAAATCAAAATAAATTGCCAAATGAAGAGATTGTAAAAGATTTGACGCTCAGTAAAAACTAACACATTTTTTAATCGCAAGTAGGCTTAAATGGTTTTGCTTATTTGCATATTTTTGGGATGGAGAAATCATTCTTAATTTTTTCTCATTGTCCAGCATTTGTAAATGTTAAAAATGTTTGGGCATTGATGAGTAATTTTGGACAAAACTCATTTTTATTTAAATTCCATCTCGAAAAATTTTTGATTAAAAAATGTGTTTGTAATTTACTGATAGGCGTATGATCACTTTTAAGTTTTCAATCTGATGGCAATTTTCTCTCAATAAAATTAAATTTTATTATAAGGAAAAAGGTAGAGATTCAACAGGCTAGCATTTATAAAACACTTACTAGGCATGGGTTTAAGATTTATTAAAAGAGAAGGTGAAAGCAATGCCCCGGTAACTCGTCAGTAGGGGGACCACTCACCTGGACATGGTAAGCGAAAGCACCTTGCAATTACTGCTCATGTCAGTAACTCACAGGATGTGCTCTGGGCTAAACTTTTGTCCCTCTTATTTATTTTTCTCTCCTTATTAATTTCTCCTTTCTTAAGGTTTCGGATTCTGTTTCTGGCCAAACTGTGGTAGACCCAAAAGGTTATTTAACTGATCTTCAATCAATGATACCTCAATTCGGAGCGGACATGCAGGATATTAAAAAGGGTCGAATGCTTTTGAAATCCTTGCGTGAAACAAACCCAGAAAAACCTCAAGGTTCAAACTTATTTTGAAAGTTTAAAAAAATATTTTTAAAGGTTGGGTAGCCTCTGCACGTTTAGAAGAAGCTAGTGGTAAATTACAAGCAGCGAGGAATTTAATTATGGAAGGACTTGAAAGGATTGATAAATCTGAAGATTTGTGGCTTGAAGCAATTCGATTACACCCTCCTAATGTTGGAAAGAATATTGGTATTTTATTTAGAAATATATTTTGGTTAGAAACACATTAGGTTAATGAAAGAGTTTGTGGGGTATTTGATGGTGATTTAGGGGAGTGGGAAGTTACCTGAAGGCTGAAAACTTTCGACATTAGTTCACAGTCCAGCCCCTGACTTTTCTTTCAACCCAACCCATCCCTTCTCTGAATAGACTGACATGAGTTTAATTGCTGTTGGCTGTCATTAATTTGATTTTTATTGTGATATTTTTCCTTTTAAAATTCACCTAAAATTTTTATTTTTTTAAGTTGCCAATTCGGTTCGTGCTCTTCCCCATTCAGTCAAAATTTGGTTAAAAGCTGCTGACCTTGAAATTGATGTTAAAGGCAAAAGAAAAGTTTTGCGTAGAGCTTTGGAAAGTAATCCAAGCTCAGTTCGTTTATGGAAAGCCGCGATAGATTTGGAAGATCCTGAAGATGCTCGAATGCTTTTGTCTAGGGCTGTTGAATGTTGCCCTTTAAGTACTGAATTGTGGCTGGCTTTGGCGAAATTGGAGACTTATGAAAATGCTCAAAAGGTTTTCTTTTTAAATTAGGGTTGGCTCGACTCCCTGTCCTCGATGGATAATTTTTAGATCATTCCATGGCCCAAATTCCGTCATGCGCTCCCCGTAAAGGTACTTTCAATATGTGAAAAAATAAAAAAACCATTCTCATTTTAACGCAGTTACCGATATTATCAAATTAGAGCTGCCCCCACCGGCAATGATTTCCCCGTTCTCCTGCCTGCTATTCCACTGTGTTCTCCGACGGGTCGCGGACAAACCCTGTTTTTTAACGCTCGTTTTTTGATTAAAAAATTTCTTTTTAAAGGTATTAAACAAAGCTAGAGAAAATATTCCAACAGAAAGAATGATTTGGATTGCAGCTGCAAGACTAGAAGAAACTCGTGGACAAGCTAAAAGAGTCCCAATTTTAATTGAACGTGCTTTAATTTCTCTTCGTTCTGCACAAGTTGAAATAAACAGAAAACAATGGTTGGAAGATGCTGTTGAATGTGAGGCTGCTAATTGCCCATTGACTAGTAGAGCTATTATGTAAGGTTTATTTTTTACTTAAAAACTTAGGAGCGGTTCTGTTGTGTTCCAGGCTCCTATAACTTAAGAAGTGTCGGCCTATGCTTCATTTTCTTGGTACCATGAACGTTAAGAGGTTGTCATCCGTTCATGAGTTATGCTGATTAGAATTAGTGATGTCACGGATTACCCGGAACCATGGCTTTTTTCGACACTAAACTCGTTCCGGCTTTTTTCTTAACCCGTGACTTCCCTGATTAGAATTCTAACACAACTACTAATTGTGAATTATATATACCCGAACCATTTTTTTTTAACAGACAAAATGTCATAGCAATTGGTGTTGAAGACGAAGATAGAAAACACACATGGATGGAAGATGCAGAATGGTTTATAACACAACATGCAATACAATCAGCTCGAGCAGTATATTCCTACATTTTAAATATATTTTCAAAGAAGAAAAGTATTTGGACTCGAGCAGCATTTTTTGAAAGAGAATTTGGTTCTGTTGAAAATTATGAAGAAATTTTGAAGAAGGCAACAGAAAATTGTCCAGATGCTGAAAATTTGTGGTTAATGCAAGCAAAATCGAGATGGCAGGGAGGGGATGTTGAAGGTGCTCGTCAAATTTTAGCCCAAGCTTTTAGACATAATCCTAATTCTGAAGAGATTTGGATGGCTGCGGTTAAACTTGAATCGGAAAATGAGGTTTTTTTTGGATTTTTTAAAATTTATAAGGGGTTTAAAAAATGTAGGGGGTCTGAAAAAATCCAAAAAATATTTTTTATTTCTAATTTCGTTAATTTTCTATAAATAAAAAATAAATACCCTCAATGGGTATCGAACCTTCGACCTATTTTTTTCAAGTCTAGTTGTTTACCCACTACACCAAAGAATTTCTTGGGGGGAGAATTGTTGATGAGAGGAATATTCTTGTTTTTGACTTCTATAGATTTTTAAAAAAAAATTTCTGATTTTTTAAAATTTTTATTTTTCAATTAGGAATTTGATCGTGCACGAAAATTACTTGAACGTGCTCGAAATTCTGCACCTTCCCCCCGTTTTTGGATGAAATCTGCACGTTTAGAATGGTGTTTAAATGATTTGGTTAGAGCAAAAGAATTGTTAAATGAAGGAATTAAATTATATCCAAATTTTGAAAAATTTTATATGATTTTTGGACAAATATTTACACAAGAAGGCAATTTTGATGAAGCAAGAAAATTTTATATTGAAGGAACTAAAAGAAATGTTCATTGTATTCCTCTATGGTTATTGTTGGTTAGACTAGAAGAATTTAGAGGAAGACATATAAAAGCGAGAAGTGAATTAGATATTGCAAAAACTAAGAATCCAAAATGTGATGAATTGTGGTTGGAAGGTGTTAGAATTGAAATGAGAGCTGGACAGAGAGAATTGGCACAATCAATGTTGGCTAGAGCTTTGCAAGAATGTGAACATTCTGGTTTGTGTAGATTTTTTTAAATTTTTTTTTGGGGAATTTTGAGGGAAAGGAATATTTTTGTGAATATTTTGGAAACTCGCTTTAAGGTGGAATTTTTTTAATTGGTTGACCACTGTGTATTAGAGCTTCTTAAGAAGAGGGCCCCTCTTCCAAATCGATTCCATAGCTACGCCCTTGATACCTACAAGTAAGGTCAACCTTTTATTATTTTGATACTTGACCATGGTTAAATTTAAAAAAAAATTTGACTTTTTTAGGAAGACTTTGGGCAGAAGCTATATTCATTGAATTACGCCATGCTAGAAAAACAAAAATTGTGGATGCATTAAAGAAATGTGAGCATGATCCTCATGTACTTTTGGCTGGTTCTAAGCTTATTTGGGCTGAAAGAAAATATAAAAAAGCGAGGGAATGGTTTATGCGAACAGTTAAAGTTGAACCTGATTTTGGCGATGCTTGGGCATATTTTTATAAATTTGAACAAATTCATGGAACTCAGGTTTTGTATTTTTTAAATTGAAGTTCGACCTCACTATAAGATGGACCTCCGGGATTGGAATTTTATCCTATAATGAGATTTTCAAATGAGGATATTACTAACAATGGAACCTCTCTCGATTTTCCCATGTAAGACAGCTTCCCCAACCCTTGGGCTATCAAATTAAAAAAAGCATATTAAATTAGATGGGTTGTGTTATCCAAGACCCGGACTTTTTTCGAGCCAGATCCGTCTGAAAAAGATTTTAAATCCGATTTGAACCCCGACCTTTACTTTTTCAACCCGGCCCATCCCTGGTCTACACAATAGAGTTAATTATTCTCTTTTTAGGAACAAAAAGATGAAGTAAAGAAGCGTTGTTTACAAGCAGAGCCACGCCATGGAGAACTTTGGCAAGCAGCATCAAAAGATGTTAAAAATTGGCGTAAAAGAACAGGGGAACTTTTAGAAATAATTGTTGTTAAGTTGGAAATACCTACATAAATTATATATTTATTTTTTGATCTCCCCCTTCCATTTTGTCAGAAAGTATATTTTTATTTTGGATTAAAGGAAATTTTAAAAAAAGATTTTCAATTTTCGATGATTCGTTTAATAACGAAATTTTTTTTGGCTCTTCTTTAGGATATGCGTTCCATGATTTTTTATGCGTCCCATGTTGTTTATGCGTCCCATAAGTATATCCGTCCCATTGGAAGTCTGGGACGCATATTCTTTGATGCTTCGCGTGTCCTAAAGTATAGCCATTTTTTCTTTTATTCAATTTATCTTTCAAAAAAATTTTTCCCTTTCAGAAAAATGTTCTTCAAACAATTTATAGCAGCTTGCAACCAAAACATAATTCCTGTTCGTTATGAAAGATCTTTTAGAGGATTAAAAAAGTTGATGGAAAGGCAAGGTTTGGTACCTTTTAGTGAAGATGATCAGGCTTTTAATTGTTTGTTTTTTTTTATTTTTTGGAATAATTTTAGTTCTTAAGATTTGGAAAGGAGGGCTGGAATGTTGAAGCCAGTGCATACCGTGGAAGAACAAATTGAATATATGGCTAGTGAAGGTTTTTTTAAACTAATTTTGGGTAGTCTGGGTATTGGGCGTTTTGTGGCTCCGGCTCTGACCATTTTCAAGTCTAGGCACTGGCTGGGCTTAATGTCGGCTTGCGAGCCGGTGATTTTCAGAGCCGCTCAATGTTGGCTCCGGGTGATAAATCTGAATATTGCATGGCGGGTTTAAGGTATGAGGACTTCTTGGATTTTCTAACTTCTTGGAAACGTAATTTACGTTATCGCGGGATTTAAAAACTCCGGGGGCTATCTCCGAAGTTCTAGTCAGAGCCATAGCTAATAAGAATTTTTTAAATTCTCGGAGCTGAAGTCACACAACGCTTGATACTCCCAGCTCTGTTAAATCCTTTCAAAAATTCTTTAAAAATCTTTTTTCAAGCTTATTGGAATGTCTACAAAGATAGACCAATTTGGGAAACTTCTTGGAAACGTAATTTACGTACACAATTAAAATGGCAACCACCAACCAGACTTTTTTGTATTGACCGAAATGGACGTTTTAATGTAAATAATGCTTGCCCTGTTTGTCGAGACGAATATTTTTTCTTTGATTACAGGGTTTGTTTTGGAATTTTTTGAATTACTTTGAATTTTTGCCATTTTAGAATCCAAAATTAATGCAACATTTTTTACAACCTGGAACTGACTTGCCCATATCTAATTTAAAAACTGGTTTGTGTATTGAACAGACAATCAATTTACAAGCTCAAGTGTTGAAAGCAAAGGAAAATGGTTTTTTTTTTTAATTTTTTTTTAATTATAATTTTTCCCCCACTTTGGATTATTTTAGGGATTTTTTAGAAAGGCCTTGTCTTGAGACTCACTTTTCTACTTTTAAGTAAGAATGTTCCCCTCTCTAAGGCAATCATGAACGATAATTTTCGTGTGATTTCAAAAATTCGTTTCTAATTTTGTGTGGGCATGTTTCCCTTCTAGACTTGTGGGGTTTTTTCAATAACTGAATTTTTCCAGACCTTTTCGTCTCGATTTTGTACGGGGTTTTTCCTCCTATTTTTTAGTTAAGGTTTATACCAAAATATCACGGGTGTTTACCCAAACCCTGTACTTTTTGCAACCGAAATCCCAATCTTTTTTTCGACTCTGGTCCATACCCAATCTCGCTGTCCAAATAATTTACTTAAAATTCTTTAAAGGAACACTTCCATTCAATGTTGAATTTCGTTATTTTGATTACAAAGAGTGGTATCCAGAATTATGGAAAAATAGAGAAGATGAAACAACAAAGCTTGTCGGAGATGAAGAACTTCCAAAAAGAAATGTTTCTGTAGACGATGTTTATCAAAATCCGGATATTGTATTTCCTATACATAATAGAGATGTTAATACAAAATGGTTTGAATTTTTTTTAATTTTTTGTTTAAAAAATTTATTTTTTTAAAGGGATGAGTGGTGGATGAGACAAGAAAAATTTACTAGAAAGGGGCGATAAATTTAAATTATTTTTTTGTTGTCGTTGATTTATTTGGATGAATTTTTTTTGATAGGTTTATTAAATTAAAAAAATTGAATTTTGATTTTTTTGAAATTTTTTGAGTTAAAAACCTATAACTTTTTGTAGGATGTTCAGATCGGATTAGTCTAATTATAAAAAAGATGCGGCATTTCGAGACCTTTCGAAAGATATATAAATTTCTTTCCAGTATTGATATTAGAGAAGGTTATGGCCATAAAACGCTATTCCGTTGACGATACTCAAACGTCCCCTCAACCAGTATTATGGATTTTAAAGTAAATGAGAGCTACAAAGGTAGAGAAAAAAATGGAAAAAAATAGTGAGTTAGACGACAAAATTAAATAGAAAAATAGTGGTTAGAGAACATAACTAAATGCACTCGTTTGCAGCCGTTTCAGTGCCTCAGTTCAGAGCTAAATGGTTACTGTAATAGAGGGGGGAAACTCAATTATCAGGATTTAAAAATCAGAATTAACAAATCAGAATAATTTAAAATCAGAATTAATAAACCAGAATGAACTTTTTAATAAATATATTCTGTTTTTAAGTCAGTACAGAATATCGATCTTCAATGCATTTCCATCGTGGTAAAAGAAATTCATTAGCGATAAATATTTTATTGTTTTTTTGTTTATAAAATTTTACTATTCAAAGTCATGGTAAACATCCAAAAAATTGTTTGGTTTAATCACAAAAAAATTTCACAAAAACAGTTTTTTTTTCGTGGGAAATTTAGAATTTTATTCAATTTAAAAATTCGCCAAAATTTGGCGTAATGTTTCATGCGCCAAATAAATGACAGTTTATCCCAATAATTAATTCTGTTGAGTATTGGACAGTTGAGTCTGGCGACTGAAAAATAGAAATTAAATTGGACGGATGGGCGCGGCAGTTGAGTGCGATAAGGGAAATTTTAAAAAATTTTATATTTTCGAAGTAAATCGATACTAATCAATGAAATCGATATCAATCGATGATTAATTTTAAAAATAATTTTTAAATATTTATATTTTCAAAAAATCGATATCAATCAATACAAATTCATAATTTAATTTTAATAAAGTTAAATTTCCAAAAATCGATAATGATCGATAACTATTTTTTAAAAGATTATTATTCTCCAAAAAGATCGATAAAATCAATACTGATCGATAATTTGTTTGAAGGAATTCTTAGTTTTCCCAAAAATCGGTTTTTAACTTTTGCCATTCCGCTCTCAAAATAAGCACCGAACTGGCCATAAACAAATATTATTTTTTTTCTCTAACTACACTATTTCTTTTTTATAATTTCTTTAAACAACAGGGAATCATTTATTAGTTTGTTTATTACTGAACGTCCAGTTAAGTCATGATGTTAATTAAATATTCTGATAAAGAAAAACACCAATCTCCATTATTAAAAATTAAAAGAAAAAATACAACATTTTTAAATTATTCAAATATTTATCACAACACCTTTTTAAACCTCCTTCCCTTTTTATTCTATAATGTTTCCAATCATCAAACTGACTGTTTCATCTGTTGATCTAAAAAAAACAATTTTTTTTGAAAAAATCTTCAAAAATTTTCTCCTTTACCTAACAGCCAAATTAATTGTCACAGTTTGATCAGAAGGATCCAAAGCCATTCTTATACGACACAAAACATTAATTCCTCCTCTAAATATTCCAGAAAGTAGCAAAGTGTGGGAAGACTTTCCTTCAGGTACACGTTCTGAATGTTCAACAGGCAAAAGGCCAATACATTTTAATAAATTCTTTACTGCATCTAAAAAGAGAAAGAGAATTTGTTTAAGAAATCTATTGGAGGAAGGGTTCTTCAAAAACAAAATTTTTATATAAAATTCCCTTCACCACTCCATTCTCCTTTCCTAGTCAAATTATTCAAGGTCCTTTTAAGAAAAAATCTATTGGAGAACCCCAAGGAAAATCCCCCAAAAAACAAAATTAAAAAAACCTTCAAGAGTATTAACTGTAGACAAAGCATAAGTTTCATCAACTTCATATTTATCTGTCAATGCTTCCCAAGCAGTAGAGAATGATCCTTTTGGTAGTATTGGTAATAAATAATCGGCAATGGTTACTTCAATTGATTCGAGCTGGAAGAAAAAAAATTAATTTTTAAATTTATGGATTGAAGGAATAAGGAAATTTTCAATGCTATAACTCAACAAAGCAGAAAAGAACCGAACCTGTCCTTCGAAGCTGTTAGTCCAGGGAAAATCTAGGTTTAGACACGGAAGCTGAAAAAACGCCTGACTAGAATGGACTTGGTCCAGGTGTATGGATTTTCCTAGGACCTGCTTTCTGGGAAAGATTGTTCCTGGAAAGGTTTCCTCCTCACATCAACCCTTTTTTCCTGTCAAAAAGAACCAGCCAATGCTTCTTTTAATGTATGTCTTCCCTTCTAACAGAATATAACCCCCCCTAAATCCCCAAAAATTCTCATACCGCATAAACATCAGCATAAAATTCTTCAGATTCAGGTTCACCAGTTGCTGGATCAACATCTCTAACTTTAAATTTTAAAGTTGCATTAAATGTCCCAGTTAATCTTCCATCTTCTGGCATTTTTAACAAAACATAATTTACATCAGTTTTGGAAACTGGCAAAGATTTTATTGGTAAATTCAATTCAATTTGCCAATTATCAGACTCATCATCTGGTTCGTCTTGAGGTTCTAAATGAACATAAACATCCTCCAAAAGTTGATCATTCACTGTATTTCGACAATCAAACTTTAAAGAAAAAATATAAAAAAGCGGTTTTCTTGCGAGTTTTCGGTCTTCTGGTCACCCGACTTTTATAGAGCTATCTAACTGTAAGATGGTCTATTGTTTACTCGTTTTCGTAGTCTTTTCAAACTTGAATCGAGATTTTTCTCATGGGGGTTTTCGGTCTTGGGGTCAATTCCTGAATCCTGGGAAAGGCTTCGACCTTTGAAAACTCTTGCATGACCTATCTCTCATCGAAACGAGCCAAAATCCAGCTTTAATTTTGTGGTAGAGCCGGGATCCCCCAACTTTTATTTTAAAAAAACCTGTAAAAGCACATAATCATTAAAAACGTGTTTAACACAAGAAACGTTATATTCAGTAACACTTTCTGTCAATTCAAATGTTGGTGAAGATTTGAAAAGAGGGCCAAGTTTTTCAAATTGAGGAATTGCCGAAATTTGAGCTTAAAAATAAAAAAGACAATTCATCCCACTCCTAAAAAATCCAAAAAAACCTGCAAATATTTCCATTCTCGAAGCTTTACTTTCTTTTTTAATTGGTTCTTCAATTAACATTGTTGATTTCTTCTCTTTTTTAGCATTATTAGTTAACGGTTCCAAAGACAGTGGGACTTGTTTAATATCAAAAGGTTCTTCAAAATGTTCATTTTGGACATATTTTTCTAATGAATGTTGAAGACCGGCAATTGAAACCTTTAAAAAATTGGGTTAGAACATATAGTCCATCAGATTTTGGAGTGGATTAAGAATAAAGTCAGATCGAATTTCGGATCAAAAAAAATCTGGGCTTCTGGTAACCCGTGACACATCCTTGGTAAATACACCTCTAAAATTGGCATATAGGTTCTAATTGCTACTGAAGACAGTGACTCATTCTGTTAAGTTTACTATAACAGTGAACTACTCTTTTCTTAGGTGTCAAATATAGGGGGTTGGGAGCAGAGCTGCCTCGAAACAAGAAAATCTTCGAAAATCGGAAATCGAAATTTTATGAAAAAATTCGAAAATCAAAATTTCGACAGCAGTTTTGGTTTGGAGGGATTTAAATTAAAAGAGAGAGGTCCATAAAAGACTATTACCAATAAAAATTAATTAAAAACAAACTTTGAGTGTATCCAAAATATATGTAACAATAGCTGTTTGATCTTCACTCTTCAAAATAGACAAATACAAAGTAGCTCTATCTCTAACTTCATCATCAGTATCCAATAAACAACGTTTTAATAAAATTATAATATTTGGACGTAATTTTGGACATTCTGCACCAAATTTTGCTAAAGCTGTTACTGCCGCTGCACGAACCTTTAAAATGAAAATTTTTAATTTCCCTAGAAAATTTCCTGAAAAATAAGTCTCTCAAACTTATAGTCTCCCAAACCCTCAGAAAAAATAATAAAAGGAGAGGGTGTGAATCCTTTAAAGAAACAAGTCTCTCACGTTTTGATAATCACCCAGAACCCACAAAAAATTTAGAAAATTGGGGGAATGCCTAGTCTCAATCATTCAAAATAATCGCTTCATTTTTGTTTATAATCATTTATGAATTAAAAACATATTTTAGGCCTTTTAGTTATCATCATTGACCGGCACAATTTAGAAAAAATTCTGGAGAAAATCGGGACTTGAGGGCATGGATTGAAATGGAAATCTTGCAGACTTTTGGGTGGACAGAAAATAACTAATGGATTTTTTCCTACTCTTTACAAGTGTCACAATTTAAAATAAAATCCTCAAGTCCCAGTCCAAAATCCCCAAGTCCCAGTTCCTCAAAAAATTTCCCTCAAATTTTTCCTTCTCATGTTAGAAACCCTCAAGAATCCCACTATCATCATTAGAAAACTAAATTCCCCATCCCCTCCAAATTTTAACAACAAAAGAAAAAACCTGTGTAGTCTCCAAAATAACACGATTATAAATAAATCTAATATATCTTGCTGGATGATTTGTTGTCGGCCCTTCTCTTCCCAATAAATGTAAAACTTTAGTTGCCAAAGCAGCATGTTCACAATCTTCAATAAATTCACACAAATGTGAAAGACCCAAATCTTTAGCATTCGAATTATCTTCAACAATTGCAATCATTGTATCAACAATAGCTTTTTTATATTCAAATCCACCCTCATCGCGCAACATTGAAGCCAAGAAATTCATTAAAGTTGCATGTTTACGTGGATAGCGAACACAGAGAGAACGAATTGCTTCGATTACAACAATCTTAAAAAAAAAAGAAAAAATTAGTGAGACAATCTATCCCTCAATTTTTATTAAAACATAAAGATTCAGGTAAAGGACATATGAAATTCAAAAAATTTTTAGACTTCCCATAACTTTGAGAAGCGGTACAAGCATTTAAGTTTGACTCTTTCCTGAAGCTATATTTGGACCATAACTCGTTTGATTCGTAACCAAATTGAATAATAATTATATCAATCGAAAGCCGTGGATGTTAGGATTATTCTAGCTAACAGGAAAAAATTTTTAGACTAAAAGTTCGTAAGTTTCCCCAAAAGACCAATTATTATTACAAATTACTATTCTGATTTTTATAGAAGGGGTTATTGTTAAAATTTATAGGAACATTTTCTTAACATACTGACCTTAAGAAGCATAAATAGAAAACCCAAACCCTTCTAAACATGTTTAAAATGAAAAAACTGACTTTAAATTCATCACTTATTTCACTAACAAAAGTCCCAATTTGTTTCATTAAACGTTCAACAGAAGCTTCAGCACCGGTTTTTAAAAGTGTAGTTATTGCTAAAGTTGCGATAGAGCGATTTTGATCCGTTATAAGTTGTTCCAAATCAACATTACAAGAAATTACTGCTTGGGGATAATTGATGGAAATTCGATTTAATGTACGTACAGCAGCAAAACGAAGAGCGGATTTTGGAGAAGACAAAAAAATTTGAAGAACACTTATTGCTGAAGCTAATTCTCCACTGCAAAAAAAATAATTTTTTAGATATTTGGAAATTAAAAAAAACGGTGAAGAAAGGTTAAAAATGAAATTGAATCATGTAAAAATTCTTGGAATTCAGGCGGATCCGAACCGGCGACCCAACACCATTCGAATCAAACACACTAACCATTACACCAACACACTCGCTTACCAACCTTCCCATAAATCAAACTAAAACTAACCTAGAAATCGAAGGCATCCTAACAATAGCAGAAGCAGCTTCATAAACCACCATTTCGTGTTTATTTCGCAAACAACTTTCAATAAATTGGAATGCAATGCGGTCACTAAATAAAAATAATCTTTAAAATTTAACAAAAATCAAAAACCTTCCATCATCTTCTTCCACCAATTTTGCCGCAATTCGAATTAAATAGCAAATAGCCAACGGCGAACGCAGTCCAGATTTGCTAAATTTTTGAACCATTTTGAGGATAGCAAGTCGATCACTTGAACGAATTTGGTAGAGAAGACTTAGAGCGTGAAATTGGACCATATGGTTGTCAGAAGAAACGGCTTCTTGTACTTCATTTGCCCAACGGCGAACAACGTCTGGGCTTCGTTTCATTAAATGAAGTGAAGAAACTAATGCCGCTGAAGAGACTGAAGGGACTTTGTCGACTATAGCTTGCTTCATATAACGTTCTATTGCTTGCAGCATTCCTGTATCGGTTAAAATACGGCATAGGGCACGAATTGCAGATGGACGATAGACATCTTCACGGCCAGTCATGTCTTTTGTTAAACTAAAAAGAGGGAGGTTTTATTGAAAAAAAGGTCACAAGAAAAAGGACCCAAAACAAAAGAAACCAAAAGAAATCGAGTACAGGGAATAGGTAGCGAGTGCCTTTAAAAAATTTGGGATTTGTCTATTGTTTTGGTTTATGATCTAAGATTGACAAGATCCAGAAGAACTCCAAGACTGACCAGGATCTTGGGCGTGAAATTAAAAATGAACTTAAAACACTTAAAGAACTCGAACTCAATGTCCAGAAGCTCGATCAAGCTTGGAGAATGCTCACATCAGTTCCCCTAGACTCCGTACTCTACTCCCAGGATCTCCCCTAGTTCAATAAACCCCCAAATTCATAGGCAAAAAAAACCTGCTAGTAACAATAATAACATCACTAGAAATTGTACACAATTCTTTAATAGCCAAATACACCAACATTCTTAAAGTAACATCCTTTGCCTGCCACAATTTCGTTATAGCAAAAAAAGTATCGGTAGCCTCAGTCTTTCCAATAGTCTCTCCATGTTGAATTAAATAAAGTAATTTACACAAAATTGGGCGGCATTTTCTTGCATTTATTGGAGTTTCGTTGAATGCTCGAGTCTTTAAAAAGTAAAAATTTTTTAAATTGGGTCACTCCAAGTTTCGTTTCCCCCTGTTATTCTTCTTCAAAAGCTGCTTAATGGTTACAAACTTTCCTCAATTCCACTCTTTTTTCCTATGGCAGGTTTACTCAGACTTGTGTATAGACACAGATTTGTTGGTTTCTGGTACTATCTCATTATACCTCCATGCGTCCGCAAATGGAGATGTGGGGAAATCTAAGCGTCTGACATTGTATTTGCCTGACCTTTAATCCTTGAACATTCTTAAAACTTAATGGAGGTAGAAGGCAAAGTAAACATTTGCCGCCAAACATTTGTGGACCCTGTCTATATCAGGTCTGTTTCTAACCCACAGAATTTATCAAAAATAAAAAAAAACAAACTTCTTGAACAACAGTTGCTTTGTCTAAATGATCGTAAGGATTGCCGGCTCCAGCTTCATCGTCTTTCTTGTCTCGTCGCATTTTTTTAATAAAATCGAATATATTTATTGTTTTAAAACCTTAAATAAACAAATTTTAGTTAAAAAAGTTTAAGGAAAATTTCGAAAAATGAGTAAACGTGTATTTATTTTGGGGAGAGCGTCTATAAGGAAAAAATTTGACAAAAGATCGACAAAGCCATAATGAGTCAAAATGTCGTCACGGCCAGAAAATGATAATAGACCGGCAAAGGCAAAATCAGACAAAAGGTCGACACGACAAAAAATTGTAAAAGATCGAACAAAGCAAAATTGTTCAAAACATCGATATGGCTAAAATGGTTAAAAGATCAACAAGGGCAAAAAGGGTCAAAACATCGACTTGAGCAAAAAATTAAAAGATCGAAAAGGTGAAAATATGACAAAATATCGACGGTTATAACGTCTTATCAAAATAAATAATTATTTACTAAAAAAGTTATAATTTATTTTTTTAAATTTCCACATTTTTTTCAGCTTGTTTATGAACAATAACTAGCAATTCTTTAGCTGCTTTAGCAACATCATAAGCTGCTTGACAAGCTTCATCAATATTTAAAGGCCTCGAAATACATTTTCTCGATAATTGTTTCATTGCTGCTTCCATTTTAAAGGCACATTGTTGAATTGATTCGATACGGATATACGAGTCTGGGATTACATTAAGTATTCGAATAATGTGGTGATTGATCTAGAAAAGGAAAATTTTAATCAGAGATAAGAAAAAGTTTGTGAAAAAATTGTTGCGGACAATCCGCAACAATTTTGCGGACAATCCGCAAATATTTTACGGACAATCCGCAAAAATTATTGCGGACTCGTCCGCAAAAACATTTCTAACAAAAAATTTTTTTGCGGATTTGTCCGCAAAAATATTGCATAAAATCCGCACATTTTTACGGACAAGTTTTTTATCCGCAAATACCTCAATCCTTCAAAATATTCAGAAAAAATCCCTTTAAAAAACAAACCGTATCAGCATGATACATTGCATTTGTTTCTCTACTATTTATTTCTATAGTTGGTTGTAAATCGGCCAATAATGCCTTCAAAAAATAAATTTTATTAAAAAAATTTAAAAAAAAGCAAACCTTGATTGCACTAGTTAACAATTCCGTTTCCAATATTAAATTGTCAGGGAATACTGAAAAAAAATTAAAAAATTAATGTTCACAAATATTGTCCGCAAAAAAATTAAATGTCCGCAAAAGAATAAAAGTCCGCAAATATTTGTCCGCAAAAAATAAAAAATGTCCGCAGAAATTTTAAAAATAAAATATTAGAAACCTTCTTCATTAAATATTTTATTCATATCATTTCCTTGTTTATTTGTTGTATTTATTAATTGTTCATTTGTTTCATTTCTAGTTGTTGTTGAATGTTCAACATCTTTTTGTTGAACTATTTTTAGATGCTATAAAAAATATTTTTGAAACTTCGTTACTTTTTAGATAACACCAAAAATTGTCCGAAAAAAGGACCACAAAATAGCCTATATTAAGCAAAAAATTATTGGCCCTATCCCAAAAGAAGGGCGGAATCGTTTTTTTTCATTACTTGCAAGGAAAGGAAAAATGGAAACGGATGGACACGAACAAACAAAACACGGGCGAACTCGGTCCGACAAAACACACACACACCGTCCATGTTATGTCTGTACGTCTTCGTCTGTGTTATGACTGTCCGAGTCCGTTCGTGTTTTGTTTGTCCGTGTCCATCCGTTTCCATTTTTCCTTTCATTTTTCTCAATTTTTCCTTTCCTTGCAAGTAGTGGAAAAAAACGATTCCGCCCTTCTTTTGGGATAGGGGCAAAATATTTGTCCGCAAATATTTTTTTGGTCCGCAAAAACCATTTAAGGAAGAAAATCAAAGAAGTATCCCAAAAAACATTAAAAAAATTCACAATTTTCTTACCGAAATTGAATGACTCGAATTTTTTCTATAACTTCTTGTCTCATTTGAAATATTATTTATATTATTACTTCCCAAAGAATGCTTCTTTTCATTATTATTAAAACAATTTATTCCACCATCAATTTTACTTGAACCAGCAAAAGAATTTAGTCTTTCTTCATGTCCAAGTAAATTATTTTGAATTTTCATTGAACTGGAAGAATGGGCTGAATGTAGAGGAATTGACGGGATTGTTGTTGGTATTAAATTATTTGTATTGTTGTTAGTAGATGAATGACGACCACTAATTTTTGTTGATGGATAAGTATCTTGAAAAAAAATAAATTTTAAAAAAATTATAACAAAAATTTTTTCTTTCAGACAATATTCGCGGACAATTAAAAACATGTCGAGGGGATTACCCGCAATAAGAAAACATAAGGAACAGGCTTCTAGGTACCAAATCCAACCCGAATTTTAAGTAATGTTTCAGACAATAACATGGACATGCCCACCCCCTTCCAAGCTTTTATGAAAACAAATTTTTTGTGGACAACCAAAACAATTTTTAAAGAATTTCCCTTAGACGCAGCATAAGGTCCAAGCTTCTAACTAACCATAAGTGCCGAATCCAACTCACATTTATATCTCCTATTTCAATATCTTGGATCTAGACATTACCGCATGGTTTTCATTTTTATATAAAATCTCAAAAAAACCTGTAGAATAATTATGAACATATTTTTGTTGTTGCTGATGAGTAGGTCTCATTAAAGTAGATGCTGACATCATTACTGCACCAATTTGAGCTGTAGCATTATTTAAGGACACAGACAAGGAATTTTGTAAAGGTGGGGTTTTAGTTGAAGTTTGCTGTCCTTCAAAAAAATTTTTTTAAATTATTCTTAAAACTTTCTTGTCCGCAAAAAATTTGCGGATAAAATTTTTATCCGCAAACATTTTTGCGGACAAAAATATTTTCAGAAAAATTTTTAACTTCCAGAAACCTTGTGTTGGCGATGCTGATCTATTATATTGATTATATTGTTTCCACAATTTTTCATTCATTTCCTGTCGAATATTTGTTTGGTCATATTCTAATCTTTCCAATGCTCGTTGCATTTGTTTAAGAGTTCTAGAAAAAAATTTTTTTTAATTTCAAAAAAAAATTCAAAAAACCCCAAAATTTCAGAATTTGACATTTCCATCCTTTCCAGTTTCTCATTTGTATCTCTCAATTTTTCTTTTAATTCCAAATAATTATCTAATGAAGAAAAGTGATGTTCTTGGTCAGAATGTAAAGTTTTATGATTTTGACTTCTAAAAATAAAGGAAAAAACGATTTTCTCTCTAATTGTAAGCCCTTAAAAAAGTCCGCAAATATTATAAGAGTTCGCAAATTTTATCAGCATTACATGCTCTAATGACGAAACACGTTGTAATGCCAAAACGCCGAATTAAAAAAACACCAAACTCCAAGGAATAGAAAGGGCATCAGAAGAGGAAATTGGGTCGCGTTTTCGAAAATTTCTCGGGTTGGGTTTGGGCCAAAAAAAGTCCGGGTTTCGAGTAATCCTTGACATCCCTTTTGCGGACTTTTTAGAAGCACAGAAGGAAAAAATTAAAAAAAACCTATTTTCAGTTGAACTTTCAGAAAGACACAATTTCCCTCTATTATCAGAATAAACACCATCCAATTGTTCATCACTCAAAAAAGAAATTCTAAAAAATATTTTTTTAAAAAGTAAAAAATAACTCCAAACAAAACTCATTATTTTTCACATCCTCAACAGGAATTTGTATTCCAAAATAACGTCTTCTAATTTCTTTAAGTAAATCAATTACCAAAAAGAAAAAATCTGATGAACTAAATTTTGCCAATTTTTGACGCATTTGGTTACGTGTAGCAGAAAGTTGAGGATTTGGCTTTAGAAAAAGAAATTTTTTTCTTAAAAATAGTCTACAAAAACTACTTTACCTATAAAGAAAACCCTTCAGTGATTCTGAGTCAATCTATATTTTTCCGTTACAGATATTCGGAACCGTCAAGCTTATTGTTAATTGTATACGAGGATTGTTCAGACCGAATTTTAGAAATCAGGAAAACAGGTAAAACAAAATAAAACGCAAGAAGGAAGAATCAACATAACTAACCTATCCCAAATAAATCCACAAAAAACACTTAAAAAGGGTTCCATGGATAATCATTAAAAACCGAAGATGAAAGTATCAACTTCCTTGCTTTATCCAATTAACAAATAAGTCGGTCCCATAATTGCAAAGATCTCCCTCTTACTTGAAAAAATTCTCTTAAACAAAGAAAAAAAATTTTTTACCGGTAAAAATATAGCCACATGTTTATGCATTCTAATTTGAGAATTATTTAAGGCAGACCATTGCAATTCAATTTCACGTCTATCAACCTATTTTTAAAAGAACAAAAATAAATTTTCTAACAAAATTAAAAAAACCTCATCATAAACATCCTGTACAAGCCTTTCAAAAAGTAAATCAGAAATTAAATGTACTTGTTTTCCAAGATTGTGCATTCTTTCGGAGATGAAAGGATCGACTAAATCGGGGATTAAAAAGTGTTGATTGTCTTTGTGTGAAGGTTTTCGACCTTGAAAAAAAAATTATTCCATAAAAAATTCAAAAACAAACCACACAGAAAAAGAGAAAAATGATCAGAAACTTCAAATGAAAGTTCAATTATTCTTTCGGATAGTTCCAACTTGAAAAAAAGAAATATTTTTACAACAAAATCGTATTCTCTGGACGGGATTTCTTTCAAAATTTAGTTGGGGACTGGATAAACAAAATAATCTTCAAAAATCGGAAATCAAAAAAAAAACCTCGAAGGTCGAAATTCCGAAACAACTCTGCACTGGATCCCACGGGATTAATCTCGTGATTAAGGCAAACCAGGTTGTCGTTTACACCCTTAGATTTCGGGGGGGGGGAGGGGGTTTAGTCTAACCCCTTACTATTAACCTGTAAAAACAATGCATGAGATCTCGTCCAACCCCTTACTTAAAAAATTCAAATCTATTTACATGTCCTTCCTTTTTAGCAACTTCGGCAGGTGTTTGCCCACAAGAATTTTTACAAGAAAAATCGGCCCCATAAATCCACAATAATTCAACTTGAAGATCTTGACCATTTTTTGCAGCAATATGCTAAATTAAGTTTATTTTAAAGAAAAAATTTTACAAAAAACCAAAGGAGTGTTTCCTTGATCAACAAAATCTGGAGATGCACCAAGCGCTAACAGTCTATAAAAATATTTAAAATAAAGTAATGATTTAAGTTTTCCATAGAATAAAAAATAATTAGAATTTCAACTTCACATTTTGCAAAATTATAACAAAAAATAAAAAACTAGACAAAAACAAAAAATGACGCAGTAAAGGACTCGAACCCGACACCTCCACAAAGATAACCCAAACATCTACCAACTAAACCATAGAACTACATGATAACCAAAACTAAAAATAACCTTAATGCTGTGATAACATGTCCAGTTCTAACACTAGACCAAAGCTGTTTGTTCCTAAAATATTTTTTCGTGGTTATTATTTAACTAAAAATTTCGTACAAATCATCTACAGTAAATTCATCTTTCGCTGGTCTAATTGCATAAAGTAGTCGGACATATTTGTCATTGATAAATGCCTCCTTTTTGGGGATTATTGGATCACTAGAATAAAATTTTTTAAGAGGAAAAAATTTAAAAAATTTTCCAAACTTCGATACTGGCTTTTTCTTAACTCTTCCAGAATGAGAATCAATTAAAGAATGTTCCCATATATTATTAGAACCATTTTTGTATAAATAATTTATCAATTTTAATTGATTTGTGTGCCAAATCCCTCCAGTTAGTGAACGTATTTGGCTTATATGGCGACCTAAAAAAATTTTTTTTCATCTAAAAAATTCAAAATACCCAAATTTCGATGAACAAAACAACATTCAGAACAAATAAGTACACAATGATTTAATGATGCCCATCCAGGATCAGAAGCTCCGCAGTCAGCACAGGTTAGTGTATAATCTTCAGAATTGTTAGTAGTATCCATTTAAGTGTTATTATTCTTAAATTTAATGAATTTAATGAAAAAAAATATTAAAAAATGAATAAAAAATTGAATAAAGAGGAATTAACAAAAAAAGACAAAAATAAGATCAAAATGGTAAAATTTAAGAATATAGCTACTATCAATATAGACAAATTATGGTCATTCAAAAGAGCTCGACGAGAGGAGTAAAATGACACCGAAATCAATGAGATTTCTCAAATATGGACTGAGATACAGACTTCTAAATATCGAAAAACCATTAAAATATTTAAAAAATTTAATAAAATTGGCGTTTATTAAAGTTTTGGCAAAACGTCAAAACTTTACAAAAAATTTTTGCCAATGCACATTTCGCCAATAAGGGTAAAATTCACGTTTTGCCAGTTCATCCCCATTGACAAAATGAGTATTTTTATCCTTATTGGCAAAATATGGAATTGGCGAAAGATGTATTGCACTCCATTTTTCTACTTTAATAAGAAAGACAGAGAAAGATTAGAAAAATGCTTGTAGTCAGAGTAGCAGAGAAATTAGAAAAATGGTAGTTAGAGAAAAATATTGCAAAAAGGTCAATATAAAAGGAAAGCAGGAAGTAAAAATGTCAACAATTGATTTCGAAATAATTTGGCTTGGTAAAAATGTCAACAATTGATTTCGAAATAATTTGGCTTGGGTTTCTTTTTAAATTTGTAGACAGTCACGTGGTTTTGTCCCAAAATTTTATTTGTTTTGTTCTAATTTAGCGTTGTTTTAGAAAAATTTAATTGAAAAATGATGAATACATTTCCTTCAACAACAACTTCAAGTTCTTTATTCGGTGCCCAACCAACTACTTCATCATCTTTATTTGGAGCAAAACCTGCAAATTCTTTATTCGGAACAAACCCTTCTACACAAACTGGCAATCTTTTTGGAAGTCAACCTTCTACAGGGTTTGGATCGACTGCTGGTGTTGGTATTTTGGGAGCGAATAAACCGGCGGTTTCGGTTAGCTAAATTGTTTAAGAATTTAAAATATTTTTTAAGGCTTTTGGTCAAGTTTCACAATCAAATCTTTTTGGGCAACAACCTCAACAGCCTGGTGGTGGTCTTTTTAATTCTGCTTCTTCTGTTCCTCCTACCTTTGGGGCTACAACGGTATTTTTTGAAATCATCTTTTTATTTACATTACAATCATTTTTAGACTACTGCAAGCATTTTTGGGGCCAACAATACTGGCTCTTCATTTGGTGGATTTGGACAACAACAGCCACAACCGACGCAGATTGGGGGATCTCTTTTTGGCAGCCCAAAACCTGTTCAACCTTCTTTTAGTTCGTTTGGAGGTAATCAACAACCGACACAAACATTTGGTATTTTTGTATTTTTTAAAATTTTTACTTTTATTTTTCCCAACCTGCAACAGCTGGTGGATTGTTCGGACAAACTAATACTTCTGTGCAAAAACCATCGTTAACTCTTTTTGGATCAGGAGGGCAAGCTTCTTACCAACCGGGTGTATTTAGCACAGGTTTTTTTATCAGTTTTACTGGTTATGTCGCGTACTACTAGTAAAAAATTTTTGACTTTTATTTTGGTTGAGAGCCATAAAAAGGTTCAGGACCTTGAGTTAAGGAAAAATTTTTGCTGCGCCAATAAAAATCATGGTCTGGACTCAGATCCATGTTAATCTCGGCGTGCTCTGGATCCCTCCAGCTTTTTTCGGTCCGAAACCTTGTCCAAAGAAAAATTTTGAAATTCAGAGACTTGATCTTACTTTTTCTCAACTTGTGAAATCTTTTATTCTCGCCATAAAAATTACTTTTAGCAAAATTTACACCTCCATCTGCTACTGATACTATGCAATTGAAAGGGTCACAGCAACAAGTTCAAACAAAACAAATGTGTATAAGTGCTATGAAGGAGTATGAAACCAAAAGTTTGGAAGAAATTCGTTGTAATGATTATATTGGGGGAAGGAAAGTGAACACATCAGTTGCTCCAACAAATTTTGCACAACCTCAGGGAGGTGTATTGTTTTCGAAACCCGGCACAGGATTGTTTTCTACTGGTTTTTCTTTTTAATTTTTTAAAATTCTTCTAATTCCTCCGTTTTTCAGTTACAACTACAACACCTGCTACTTCAAGTTCTTTATTTGGTGCCCAACCAACTACCTCATCATCTATATTTGGAGCAAAACCTGCAAATTCTTTATTCGGAACAAACCCTTCTACACAAACTGGCAATCTTTTTGGAAGTCAACCTTCTACAGGGTTTGGATCGACTGCTGGTGTTGGTATTTTGGGAGCGAATAAACCGGCGGTTTCGGTAAGCTAAATTGTTTAAGAATTTAAAATATTTTTTAAGGCTTTTGGTCAAGTTTCACAATCAAATCTTTTTGGGCAACAACCTCAACAGCCTGGTGGTGGTCTTTTTAATTCTGCTTCTTCTGTTCCTCCTACCTTTGGGGCTACAACGGTATTTTTTGAAATCATCTTTTTATTTACATTACAATCATTTTTAGACTACTGCAAGCATTTTTGGGGCCAACAATACTGGCTCTTCATTTGGTGGATTTGGACAACAACAGCCACAACCGACGCAGATTGGGGGATCTCTTTTTGGCAGCCCAAAACCTGTTCAACCTTCTTTTAGTTCGTTTGGAGGTAATCAACAACCGACACAAACATTTGGTATTTTTGTATTTTTTAAAATTTTTACTTTTCCCAACCTGCAACAGCTGGTGGATTGTTCGGACAAACTAATACTTCTGTGCAAAAACCATCGTTAACTCTTTTTGGATCAGGAGGGCAAGCTTCTTACCAACCGGGTGTATTTAGCACAGGTTTTTTTTTATCAGTTTTACTGGTTATGTCGCGTACTACTAGGGATCGTAAATTTAAAAAAAAAACCTTGATTTTGGTTGAGGACCATAACTAGGTTCTGGACCTTGAGTCAAGGAAAAATTATACAACACTGTCCCGGTCCCCCTAGTTTTTTTCGGTTCGAAACCTCGTCCAAAGTGAAATTTTGAATTCCTTAAACTTGATCTGACCTAATCAACAAATATAGCCACAGCCGGGGTTATTTCTTTAGGGATTTTTGAACGTTTAACTAATTTCTATTTTTAAGCTAATACTCAGCAAGGTCAAACTTTACTTGGTTCAAATTTAAATACTTCAGCATTTCAAAAAGAAATTATTGAATCACAACTTTCTTCACTTCCATATGGAGATAGCCCTCTTTTAAAAGTTTCTACATCTCCAAGGAAATCTGCACAGGATATTATCAGGTTTCTAAATTTTTTTGAAATTTTTCTGTAGTTTTTGTAAAATTGAACTATATTTGAGGTCGGACACAAAAAATGTTCGTTGTCGTAATATTAAACGTCAAAATATGTACAAGCTATAAAAAACGTCCTAACCAGAACCTTTCAATTTTAAAAAGAAGGAAAACGAAACGCTAAAAAGAGCGAAAATTATGAGAAAGAGAAAGTACACTCTAGAAGACATTTTTTGTTTTTCTAGTTTGTTATTTAAGCAGCTTTTGTCTGTTTGGTATTTTGGCGTTTGATATTACGGCGCACTCCTTACAGAAGGACAGCTATTTGTTTGAAATTTCTTTTCTAACACTAAAAATATTTTTTAGTCTTTCAAGGCAAATAATTTTTGGTACAAAGGATGATCAACAAAAATTTACTACTACAAGCTCTCAAAATTCTTTTCTTGCTGATTTGTCTATTTCAACAATTTCAAAGGGAATTAATACTTATGATAAGGAAAATTCAATTGCAGAAACTTTCGATACAAGTTTAGGTTACAAACCCTTAATTATTTTGCCGTCAGTTGGATTTGGTACAGCATTAGGATTGAGACATGAGCCAAAATTGACAAAATCATTTGCAAGGTTGTTTTTTGAAAAAATTTTTTTGGATAAATTTATTTTTTTTAAGTGAAAAATCTTTCATTTCTGGAAAATCGACATCACTTCATTTAAGTTTTGCTGAGGATGACACTAAAAGAATTAAATCGTTGGATATGTCTGTGGTTTTTGAGCCTTCTCCAAATGTATGAGAATTTTTTCAATTATTTTTTCAATTATTTTTTTTTTGCTTTTTTAAGGAAGACAATTCATTTATTGCCGATAAATCTTCTCAAGTTAATTCTGTTCTTGTCCCATTACAATTATCACCATCTATGGAGAGTGAACGTCCTACTATTGAAGAAATTCAGGTCTTTTTAATTTTTTGTGCCATTTGCTAGGGGAAATATTAGGGGTTTTAGATATATATTAGTAGTAGATAATTTGCTGTATCGGGATTTGCAAACAAAACTAGATCCTATTGCTAACCTATACACCTGTTTATTTACATGGTCGAGACATATGTTTAAGTGTTTTTATAGGGACAATACTAAAGTAAACCTTAAATTTAAAACATCTTTTTATAATTTTTAAGTCACCACCAGAGAAGACTCTTCCTCCCAAAGAACCTATTCAACAAAATAAACAACAACAACAAAATACTCAACAACTATTTCAGCAACCACAACAGAAAAAATTTAAAATGAAATTGTCTCGTCCAGAATATTATTCAAATCCTTTAATTGAAGATTTGGAAGCTTTATTTGACTCAAAAGGAATTTGTAAAATTGAAGGTGGATTAACTATTGGACGTTTGGGATATGGAAGTGTTTTTTGGAGAGGACCTATAGAATTACAAGAACCTTTGGATTTGGATGAAATTGTTCATTTTCGAAATAAAGAAGTTGTTGTATATCCTGATGAATCTAAAAAACCGGAAATTGGACGTGGATTAAATAAACCTGCAGAAGTTAGTTTAGAAAATGTCTGGCCGATTGATCCAAAAACTAAAATGCCGATAAAGGTTTTTGTTTTTAAATTTTCTTTCAAAATTTTTATTTTAAAGGATACTGACGAATTGATACGAATGAATTTTAAAGGCAAATTGGAACGCTTATGTGCACGTATGGATGCTCATTTTGTTGATTATCAACCATCTCGGGGGGTTTGGATATTTCAAGTTGAACATTTTTCTAAATATGGATTTGTAAGTTTTCTTTTTTTTTGAAAAAAATTTTTTCAAGGGGGTTTCAAAATTTTTTTTTGAAATTTCAAATAATTTTTGAAAATTTTTTTAAGCATGACGAGGATGATGACGAAGATATTATTGCTATTCAACAACAAGAACAACAACAAATGGATGTTGATAAAATTCATTCTGCCCATTTACAAAATTTAATACAGAAAGCAAAAGTTCCTTTACGCGAAATACAAAAAACATTTGATGGAAATAAAAATAATAAAAATAAAAGGGAATACTTACAACAGCAAACAACGGGATTTGTTGACAATAGAGGAGATTTTGCTGAATATAATGAGGACGATTCCAAACTTTTTCAAGACCAAATAATTTGTAAGAAACTTCGTTTTGATGATACTTTGTTTGATTCCAGGTTTGTCTTTGTGTTAAATTTAATTTTTTTAAAAATAATGGAGGAGAGGGAATCGGAGGGACTTTATTAACTTTAAAATACCCCTAATACATCTCTCATAGGATACCTTCCATACAGTCGACTCTCCCTATAAGCTACAAGGAATACCTCCCCAATATAGGAATTGGACCTCGCTCTAATATACCCTAGATACAAGGGACCTCACTACAAAATACCCTTTAGTACATTATTTACAAGAAAGGTCCGGTTGTATTGATGTGTTCAGCTATACAAAAAATTTCTTTGTAAATTTAAAATTTTTTTAGTAAACTTTTAAATATTGTCACAAACAAAGAACAACAACAAGGCCAAATTTGTCCACAAAAATTTAAATTGGTTGAGCGTTTACCAAAATATATTTATTCTGGACTTGATTCACAAAATTTATCCAAATCATTTTTAAAAAAATGTGGAATTAATTTTCTTTTGCCAAGCTGTAAAATTGGGTTTAGTCAAGGTTTTTTTTTGAAATTTTTAAAAATTAAAAAAAATTTTTAAGATTTGGTTTTTGCTGCAATTCCACCATCTACACATTTAAATGTTGTTAATATTTATCAGACGAGAGTTATTGTTCCTACAGTTAAGGTATTCTAATTTTTTAATGAAAAAAATTTTTTTAATTGTTTTTTTTTTTGAATCATTTAAATTTTTTTTCTGAAAATTTTTCGAGGTCTAAAGATTTTAACAAAAATTTTTTTTTTAATTTTCGAAAATTTTTTAAAATTCTAAAAATCTTTCTAATCGATATCTTCCAAAAAATTCAAAAAAAAAATTTGAATTTTTTTTCAGAATTTCTTTCTTCAATATATTCGTCAAAACAATTTAAATCTACAAAAATCACTTGAAAATTTGGAATTGACACAACTTGTTAAATTTGATCCTCCATCACCAATATTAAGTTATTTGGATAAATATTTAACTGAATCTTTTATAAATGGAAAAGATTTGAATAAAAGTTTTGATGGAATATGTAAAATATTATTAATGGATTTAAAGACGATTGAAGGTTTTTTTTATTAAATTAATTTTATTATTTTTTTAATTTTTAAAAATCAAAGAGGGATAGCTTATTGATTCAAGCTTTTTCTGTGGAGGGGGGGGGTGGCTTCCGGTCTTGGTCTTTGGGTGAAGTCTTAACGAAATTTTGGTGAATAAAGTAAATTTTTGTTAATTTATTTTTTCCTCAAAAATCTCCTTATTAAGGCCTCTTTCACAGAATTTTTTAAAATCTTCTGAAATTTTACCAAAAAAAATTTCTTTAACAGATAAAATCTCTCAAAGAATTTTAATGGGTGATTGGTTATGTGAACAACTTTCAATTGAAGACAACAACAAAACAACAAATAATAAAAAACCTTTTTTAAAAATCTTTAAATTTTTAATTAATGGACAAATTGAAAAAGCAGCAGAATATGCAAAAGAACAAAATTTGTTTAATTTGGCTTTGTTACTTTCTTTATATAAATGTCCGTCTGTTGGTTTAGTTAGAAATATGGTTGCTAAACAGGTTTGGAATTTTTTTTTTGAAATTTTTTTTGGAAATTTCTGTTATGGTTTTTCTGGAGTTTTGAGAATTCTGAATTCTTGTTTCCTAAATTCTGATCTGATTTGCTTCTTTGGAACTTGGGTCTTTGAACTCTGGGACATTTTTGGAAAAAAATACGATTTTTTCCAAAAAATTTTTTTAATAATTTTTCTGAAAAATTTTTTTAATAGCTTTCAATATCTTTCAAACAAACAAATGTTGATAAAGATTATATCAAAATTTTACAACTTTTGTCTGGAGAATTTAAAAATTGTGGAGAGTATAATAATTTTGGAGGAGGAGGAAATGGATGTTTGGAAGGACTTAATTGGTTACAAATACTTGGTATTCTTATTTGGTATCATGCATCCCCTACAACAACAATGATTGAATGTTTGGATATTTTACAGGAATTGGTATAAATTTAAAAATGAATTAAAAAGAAATGAGGAGGAAAATTAAATTTAAAATAATTTTTGTGTGGTTATTTTTTGTAGTTTTAACGGGCAGAAATCAAATAACTCATATCCTCTCCCCTATATTATATTTTGTTTACTAGAGGCGGCACGGTGGGTTAAATGGGACTCTAACTGTCTTGCATTGCCTCATCACACTATCTCGTTTTTCCTCTCTTTCATTTTCTTACTCTCTCGTTTTTATCATTACTCTCGTTTCTATTTTAGGGTGCCGAATTTTAAAGGCCATATCTCGGCTAATAAGCAAAACTTTAAAAAAATAAGCATACAAATTATAGAAAATACTTAAATTTAGGCTTTAATTTAAAAAAAAGAAAAATTTAACTTCTTTTGAAGCTAATTTAACTTCTCCAACTTTTGATGCCGCGAAAAAAACATTGGAGAGGTTTTATCGTGCATAAGGAAATGTCAAGCAAGTCGATTTTGATCCTCTCCTATCCAGCTCGACGAGATACGTCGAATGATACCAAATTTAAGTTTGTAGGGCCAATTTAGGCTGAGATATGGCCAAAAATGTATGGATTTTTACCGATTTTCGAAAATTCATAACTTTGCCAAAAATGCATATTTTCCGCTGAAATTTTGCAAGATTTTATATTAATTGTAGAACTACAATTCAGAAAATTTTGAAGAAATTTTGGCCAGGGGTTCATTAGTTATAGGTAGTAGGTTAACCGGTATGTCAACCTAAATAGTAAGTCAAGGTAACATGTGCAAGATCTACATTGTTTTTGTTCATTTTTCATCCCTGATTCGTATAAAACAAAAATTTGCGGAAAAGGACAACTTTGGAGAAAGTTATGGCCTAAAATAGGACAAATTTTATCAATTTTCAATAATCCATAACTTCGTCAAAAATCCATATTGGCTTCTCAAAATTTTCAGAATTTGTTATCTATTTTATGCCTACAAAAATGCCAAATTTGAAAAAAATCGGGTGGGAGGGTGAAAAGATATAAGGATTTAACTAATGAGAGAGAGTTTTCCTCATTGACACTCAAACTCTGCGATGAAATCAGCACTCAAACGGTATTAATTATTGGTACTGAAACAACCGCAAATAAAGTCAAAAAAATAATGTATAATGTCTCTCATAAAATAACACACTATTTTTCGACCCCCAATGTCCCGTTTAACCCACCGTGAGGCGGTTGACTTGTGAAAAAATAAAAAGCTTGAAGGGTTTCAGGTTTCTCGAGCTTTCCTTGCCCCTGAGACCAGACTTGGGGAGGGAGAGATAACGATTATCAAAACTAAGATTTTATGAGAGGATAATCGGTCTCAATTGGTTGACATATATTCCTCACAAATCCACCGTCTCACAAAAAAAATATATTTTCTTTTTTGTATTTTAGTTATCAGGATTTTTCAGAATTTTTATTTGTTTTTCTTTCGGAAAATTTATGTCTATTTAACTCCTGTATTCAACACACAATATATGTATACCTAAAATATTCTTTATCACAAATTTTTTGTTTTGACTTTTTCTTTAAATTTATTTTTGGTTGTTACGAAAACAGTATTTTTGTCAAGCATTTTTCTTTGTTTTCTATGCAAACTTTATTTTTTTATTCAAATAAATATTTTTTAAACTCATTTTTATCCATCTTTTTCTTTACACCTCTCTCGGCTAATATTGTGCCAGTTGTCCCAACAGTAGCAATACCAACCAAGTACAACCGTCCTCCTCTATTCGTATATAATCCACCTTCAGAATCTCCGGTGGTTACTCCCTTGTAAAGGGGTCCCGCGCATAGACTAGTACCACCAGGGTAAAATCTAAAAAACAAATTTAGAACATCGTTTTTTAATTACTGCAAACCCCTTACAGCTGGCACTTGACTTCAATTTTATTGCAGCATGATGGAGTTTTCCGTAGGGTATTAGAGGCGATGGGGTAGTTCCTCTGGTGCCGTTATTAGTCCGTAATCCAACTCCCAACGAGATGGGTAACGCATGCAGTGCGCAGAGGTTAACACCACATTAGGGGCAATGATAACACCGGTACATATTGCAACCTTCGGGCAGTCGAAATAAGAAATAAAGACAAATTTTATAACTAACATTTTCTCAATAAATCATGGGTAGGAAAAATACAAAATTAATATTTTTTGTGTATTTTTGTATTATTTTTTATTCTGGGGAAACACAAAAAATTTTATAATTAAAAAATATTTTTCTCTTATTTTTAAATAAAACAGACGATTTATACTGGCGGACACAAGAAAAAAATCACCAAAATAACCTTTATTTTTTGAATTAAAAATGTTAAAAATTATTCATCAAAAAGAAAAAAAAATCATTTTAAATATTTTTAACAATTTTTTCAAAATTTTCTTCACGCTTTTTGCATTCTTTATTAATATTAATCGGAATGAATTTAATGCTTCTTTCAGTAAATATATTTGCTGGGCACAAATCCCTCCCTTTTGGGCACCCTTTAGTCAACCCAGTTATTGGGTAATATTTTTTATGAAATGCTGGGTGGTAGAGAATCTTTTAAATAAATTAATTAGTAAAAAATACACCCTTTTAGAAATTACTTTTATAGCAGGCCCATAATTTTTAGTTTGCCATAATTCTATGGAAATAGAGGCGGTGTAGTGGGGAAGAGCTAGAAATAAAACAGAAAATTAAATTCTGAAATTAAATTGTTGTATTTTTTTGTATTTTTTTTTGTGTTTTAAACCAGAATATTAAGGGAAAACACAAAAATAATAATATTTCAGAATCAGAATTTAAAATTTCAGAATTTATTTAAAAATCAGAATGGTTATCTCAGAAAAGATCATAATTTTCAAAAAATCAGAATTAAAATTTTTCAGAATTATTTCTTGTATTTTTTAATTCTGATTTTAAATAAAAACACAAAAACACGAAAAACACAACAATATCTAATTATTCTGATTTTTAATTCTGAAAACAAATAATTGTATTTTTCGTTCCCCCTTTTCTTTTTTATTTGTTCTGAAATTAATTAAACTCTACCCGTTCCAGCAACACTTTCTTCATCCCCTAAAGTACACAAAAATCCAGCAACTGTTGTGTCATGCGCAGAATATGCAAAATATTTTAAATTAGATATCCAACTACATTTGCTATCATTTTTATTTAAACATTCCAATTTTAATTTAATTCTTTTTACGATATCTCCTAGCAAATTTCCTTTAAAATTTTTAAAAATTTTTTTTCAATTTTTATCTCCTCTAAAAACACCTCCCCTTAGTCGAATCATTTCTGGCGAATAAATTTGTTGTTCAATTCCAAAATAGAAATCAAAGGCTCTGAAAATAAAGGGGGAGATTTATAAAATAGATACTCCCGTTTATAGACCCCCTTCAAGGTGCGAGAGAGGCGATACCTTATATTTAAGACACTTCTCGACCTCTTATTATAAGAGACCCTCTATTTAATATACTCCTCATTATAATATACTCCCTATGTAAGGTACCCTTCATTATAAAACACCCTCCCCTCTATTTAAGGTACCCCTCAATATAAGAGACTCTTCTTGGCCCCAAGGGTGTACGTAAAAAAGAGGGTTCTTTTAAGACTAACATAAAAGTCAAATTGTAAATGTGTTGCTGTATTTCTTTTGTAAGCCATTCTGGTTGGGTCATGTTATACAAATTCTTTAAAAAATAATTTAAAATTTTTTTCGAAATTTATTTACTTCAATATAAATAACATCATCAAGTAAACCAATACTTTCAAGTGTAAAATTCACTTAAAATTAAATTTTTTTGTATTTTATTCGAAAAATACAAACTTTTTGTTTTTTCATTAATATATTCAAAGAATTTTTCATTTTCTTTTTTTACATTTAAATAAGCTGGGCTTGTTCTGATCTTGGTAAAGAGTTGTTCTGCACGGGGACAAAAGGCGTCCAAGTTCCCAATCTATAAATTAATAATGTGTTTTATTTGTGTTTTTGTGTTTTTCTGGTTTTTATTCTGATTATTAGATTTTGATTTTGTAATTCTGATCTTTTAATTCTGGTTTTAGTTCTGATTTTTTAATTCTGAATTGGTATATTCTGATTTTTAATTCTTACTTTATTCTGATTCTGATTTTTCAGATTTTTTTGTTTTGAGTTAAAATTCTGATTTTATTCTGATTTTTAATTAAAAATATACTATTCACGTTATCTGTATAAATAGGCACTGTATGTATCGGAATAGGTGTCCAACGCGATGGCCATTTCTTTGGCAAATCGGGAATGTCAATTCCTGGCACTCCCACCGGAAACCTTTAAATAAATATCCATTAATTTAATTTTTAATTTTATTTTTACATTCCAGCAAGATTTGCTTGGGCACTAGCCAATGTCCTATTTACGTCTGTACTTCTTATATAAATCTCCTTGGGGGTATAACGCTCACTGATGAATTTATTGTCTAGAATATATCGTTTTCGAAGTAAATGGCCGAGAGAATATTGTTGCCGCATTCCCAACTTTCAAATTAAAAATTAAAAAAAAAATCTCCAAAAAAACTTCAGTAAGTTCTCCAAATCCAAAAGGCCACCGACTTTCCCCGTTGGGATCAGTTGGGTATGTTGTAATTGGTGCTCTATCTCCGTGCCTCCAAATCTAATTAAAAATAAATTAAATTAATTTTAAAAATAATTTTAATAGCCAACCGTGTGGACAAGCAACAATTTGTCTTCCTCACTTTCTCCATTTTGTAAGGTATTTCCAAAAATCAGAATTAATAAAAACAACATAAACATTTTAGAGAAACATAAAATTTCAGAATTTCTGTTAAATAAAAACAATCAGAAAAACATACAAAACTTTGTTGTAATTTTATTCTGATTTTTAAACGAACAATTTAAAGGAAAACAAAATCAGAATTTTTCTTAAATTAAAGTTGGAAACAATGTTTTAAATTTATTCTGATTTAATAAAGTTGGAAAAACACAAAACATTGACTAAATGTTTTAAACTTATTCTGATTTAGTTGGAAAAACACACAAACTTTGTTTTAAATTTATTCTGGTTTTTCTTTAAAGTTGGAAAATAAAAACAAATAAAACGTTCTGTCAATGCTTCTTCCTTTTGCTAGCAAGGAAATAAAGCTAGCAAGGAAACAACTGTTAGGTTTAATTAATTAAATAGGAGTCAGAGATTAATTATACTGATAATGCATTTTATTTAATGGAGTGGTAGGATTTTAATTAAATATTCTGATTTTAAAGTTTAATCTCGATAAAACGTTTCTCTGTAAGCACCTTTCCCTCCTTACTGAGTCAGTCCGTCAGTCCTCGGTTAAAAAATTTTTTGAAAATTTTTTGGGGTTTTTTCTAGTTACTATACTCCTTATTTTATTATTTTTTATCTAACAATTTGTATTTAAGTACTTTTTTTTAGATTTCCAACAAAAACAACAACCTACAAAAAAGATAAAAATGTAGTCCCTGTCCAAGAGAGGAAAGGGCATTACTGGGAACTATAATTGGGTCACAACAGAGGAGAGATTGCTGAATGATGGCAGAGTGGTTCCAGTTATCTGGGACAGTTCTTTTTATTTTTTTATATTTCTTGGCAGTGTTGTGGTCAGTTTTTCTTGTTTTCCAAGCTTCTTTTTTCTTCTCTTTAAGTACTGTGCAACTGGCGTTTCTTCCAAATAAAAAGAGGAATGAGAGGGAAATATGAAGAGAATATTAGAGAAAAAAAATTTTTTGTTTGAAGATTTGCCAGTAGAGAAGAGAGGGAAATTGTTCCAAAAAACCCCTTTAAAGGCGAACGCTTGTCTACAGATGAAGATATATAAATTCGTCAAAAACAAAAATTCAACCCCAAAAGGAAGGAAGAGCTTCGCGATGGGGGGTCAAAGGTTGCGTCATTTTTTGGGGGTATAGGTCGTAGTAGGATGTGGAAAAAAATAAGAGAAAAAAAGAAGTGTAGTGGACAGCAACCGCTGGTGAGGGAACGCCGGTCAGATTTTTTCTTTTTTGACCTATTATCTTGCCCGACTGGACATTGGGCATTTTTATGTGTTTAATAGAGGAAGACAGTCTCTCTGATAGAAAAAAAGAGAGGTGAATATTATTATTTTTTGTTTTATAAGGGAGAGAACACCAAGACATTATTCTCAACTTTTTTTTGCTTTTAATAACTCAATAGGAAAAAATTTTTTTTAAGCTTTTGGTATAGTTAAATAGAGAATTGAATAAACTACAAAATCTGAAAAAATCAGAATTTTAGAGGAAAAACAAAAAAAGTTGAGGCCTCAAAACTGTGAAAAGTTGACGTTTTTGAAGGTTTTTTGACCACAACTATTTTCTAGATTTTTCAAAAAATTTTGAATTTCACTTCATTTTGTAGCAAATTTAATTCTCTATTTATTGATACCAAAAGAAAATTTTAAAAATTTTATTTTTCTAGAGTTATAGTTCATTAAAACATCCAAGTCAGTCTACACAAATTTGCCTAAAAAAAAAAGACGAGCATTTCTTTACATTGGCATCTGCTACTATTTAATATGTACTCTCCCTATATTTACTGACCACCTCCTATTTTTACTGGACAGTAAAAAATAAAAAGGGCTGAGACTGTCCATTTTTACTACTACCAATTTTTGCCTTGTTGCGCTCTTTTCTCCCTATTAAAAACTGAATAAATAATTTTCTGGTTTTATATCCATAAAAGAAGAAAATGCCAATGTAGGGAAAGACGACTGGCACAAATTTGATATTTATTTATTGTAATCGGGAGAAAAATGGAGACATTTTATTTAAATGGTAACAGATGTTGTAGAAGGATTTTTGAATTTTTTTTCCTCTTTAAAAAATTAAAATTAAAATGTTTTGGCATTTTGTCATTATTGACAGCCGAAAATTTTAAAATTTCCTTTTAAAATTTAAAGGGAATATTCACAACAAAAATGAATGTTTCCGGAACATTACAACAACTTTTGTCTTTAGCTGATAATCAGAAAACAAATGAATTTTGACAACATTAATAGTCATCAACATGTTTGTGAAAAAGAATCTCAACAACAACAACATAATTATGTTATTGTTTCCGAAGAGAATAAAGAAGAAGAAAAAAAGGTGGGAATTTTAAAAATATAAACTTGTTTTACAATTGTAAAACATATAAAAATTTTTACAATTCTAAAAATGTTATTAAACAAAGTTGTAATAACATAAAACTTGTTTTACAATTAGTAAATTAAAATGTTTTTAAGTTTTTATAAACAGTTAAATAAACATGTTCATGTTTTACAATTTTTAAAAATTGTAAAAAAATGTTTATTTGAATTTTACAATTTGCAAAACAAATGTTTTACAAATGTTTTTACAAAACAATGTTTTGTTACAAATGTTTCTGTAAATAAAAAATGTTTTACAAATTGTAAAATTAAATAAACATGTTTTTACAATTTGAAATTAAACAAACTTGTTTTTTTCCCTTTAAAAGTTTGTTGAAAATTCTGAAATAAACAATTGCAAGGAAACAGAAAATACAACAACTGAAGAACCAACAATTGAAGAGAAAAATGAAGGAGAAAACCAATTAGAACAACAAATTGAAAACCCAATTCAAAGACCAATTTCTGTAGATGTTAATCAATTAGATTTTAGTTTGCCAGACACAATAAGAAAGGAAGGGATATTTTTTAGGTGTTTTTAAATTAATTTTTAATAAAAATTATTTTTTAGTTTTGATGAATTTGAAAAAGCGTTTAAAGAATGGCAGGTTCTCTTTCAACAAAAGTTCCGTGTAGCCAGTTCTGAAAAGCAAGGAGATGAGGATTCTCAAGTTTTTAAACGTTTCCGATATCGATATGTTGTCTATCATTGGTGAGAATTTAAAATCAGAATTAAAAAAAAACATTTTCAGAATTAAATTTAAACATTTCTGATTTCAGAATTTAAAATCAGAAAAACAAAACTTGTTTTAAATAAACTTGTTTTACAATTTGTAAAATGCTAATTTGTAAAAATTGTTTTGTTTCCGGAAGATAAAAACTTCCGGAAAATGTTTTTACAATTCAGGAAAATAAAATTACAATTTGTAAATATTAAAAAAAACTTTTGTTTAATTTTTAAACCTTTGTATTTATTTAAGTACTCGTTATGGAGAACCAAGAAAGCGTGGAGCTGGTCGAAGACCTCATCAAGTTATTCTTTTCTTCTTTAAATTAATTTACTAAAAAATTTTTTTCAGAATTATCTTCCTTGTGGGTGCAAAGCAAAATTAAGGCTAAATTATCATGCACAAAATGGTGGTTATCTGCTTATTACAACTTTGGAGACTGAACATAACCATGACGATAAACATCCACACTTTAATGAAAGAGGAGAATTTAATTTCGATTCTGATGGGGAGAATGGAGGAAGTAAAAAAATAAGAAGTTCTTCAGAGGATGTTGGATCTTGTGGTAAGGAAATATTGAATATATTCTGGTTTTAAAGTCAGAATTCTGATTTTAAAAATCAGAACTATTTTTAAAAATCAGAATCTGTGCTTAATAATCAGAATTCTGATCTTAGAAAATCAGAACAATTTTTAAAAATCAGAATTTGTGCTTTAAAATCAGAATTCTGATTTTTCTGGTCGATCAAATCACATCATTATATTTAAGAACACAGTCCAAACAGCACCGAATCTTTCAAAACGCCCGTTGTTGTCTCAGCATTTTCACCTTTAAGTCTACAACCATTACATAATTCTCCTTCTTCTGGTGGTCAAAGTAGTTCTGAGGGTGCTGCAGAATTAATTCAACAACAACAAAAACTACAAAAAAGACCATCAGCGTCCCCACGAGAAAGAAAATCTTCAACTTATCGAAATAATAAAACAATGAATGGACAACAACAACATAAAACGTCAACATTTTCTAATGCTTGTGATTCTTCTTTAATGAAAAATGAAGGAGAATTAGATACTGCTTTTGCCTTAAATTTAGCTTTGGTATGTTTCAGGTTTTTAATTCTGATTTTAAAATAATTCTGATTTTAAGCTAATTCTGATTTAAAATAATTATGATTTTAATACAATATTATTCTGATATTTAATTCTGATTTCTAATTCCGATTTTAAAATTATTCTGATTTTTAATTCTAATTTTTTGAAAATAATTTTGATTTTTCTTTAATTTAAATACAGAAGGCTCACCACAACGCTCAACAACAACAACAAACAATATTTCCAACAGAATCACCACGAAACATTCTCTCAACATCATTTCAGAATTTTCCAACAAGCTCAAATCGACAAACTTCATTTTCTGATTTTATGCGTTTTCGACCACCTTTACAATCACAATTTAATAATTCAAATCAAAACAATAATTTATTGCCTTTAATTCAAGAATTGATTAATCGTTCAAATGGGGGTGATAAACAAGGAAATTCTGTTGTTAATCAATCAGAACAACAACAACTTCTTTTAGGTCTTTTATCTCAACAACATCAACAAACACCCCAAACACAACAACAAGTTGGAAATGCCTCCGCTTCCTTATTATCTGCTTTACAACATTCTATTTTGGTAAGGAAAACATTAAGAAAAACATTTTTTGATTGTTTTGTTGTGTGTGTTTATTTAATTCTGATTCTACAAAACATTAAAAATATGAAACACAAACAAATAATAAATTTTCAGAATATGAAATAAACATTTTCAGAATTTAAAATTAAAAGGGAAATTTCAGAATAAAAGTCAGAACATGTTTATTTCATATTCTGAAAATTTATTGTTTGTTTGTGTTCTAATGTTTTTAAAATCAGAATTTAATAAAAACACTATTTTAAAAACATATTAAACATCAAACAAAACAAATAATAAATGTTTAAATTAAATTCTGGTTTTTTAAAATCAAAATTTAATAAAAACATTCGCCTGAACTTTGTTAAATTAATTTAGCAACAAAACCGTCCCCAACAACAACATTCTTCTTTCAACAATCAAATCACCCCTTCTACTTCCTCTAATAATAATTCTGCTAATATGATGGCACTTTTACAAATACAAAATTTACTTCAAAATTCTCCAAACATTTTTGGGTTAAAAACGCAGCAACAGCAACAAACACCCAATTTAATTAATTTATTGTCTGGTAATAATAACAATAAAATTATGGCTGCTTCTAATAATATGAAAAATGACACGACAGAAGCAAGAAGAGCTGATATAATTCAAGTAAAAATTTTTAATTTTAAAATTTTTACCAAAAAAATATTTTAGGATGCTGATCAAATTCTTCAAACAATTGTTCAACAAATGATTAGAACTAGGGATTTAGCCAGTTATTTGCGTAGACTAAGACAATTTTTGTCTGATAATTTTGTTGAGTGATATTTTTGAGGATTTAAAAATTTTTTTCTCATTTTTAAGTAAAATACATTCCAGTTGGGTAAAAATTCTGATTTTTATGTTCAAATAAAATTCTGGTTTGGTATAAAATTACAAATAAAAAATCAGAATTACTTCCCAACAACATCCGACAACACTTATTTTTCCTATAAAACTCTTCACTTCTACCTATTTATTTTTTGTTGTTTTCGATTCGATTTCTAATTATTTTTTATACCTCTTTTATAGCTTGCCTTTAGTACTTATATATTTTTGCTTTTATCATAAAACTTTCTATGGCCTTACTATTATTTTTTATTTTGTCTTCTCGAGATTTATTGTACTTTGATTTTGTAAAAAATAAAGACTCAACATGTTTTAATAAAATTGTTTTACAACTTTACAAATTGTAAAAAATAAAACTTGTTTTACAAACATCACCAAGTTTTAAAATACAAGTTTGTTTTGTTGTTTGTTTTGAAACAAGTTGCTTTGTTGCAAACAGGTTTTTAAAACATCAAGTTTTACAAACATAGATAAAAACAGAGAAACATGTTTTACAAACATTAAGTTTTAAATTTTGTTTTTATTAAACTAGGTAAAACTTGAACATGTTTAGACAACAAAACATACGTTTAGAGGTTATTTCTATTCAAATAAATTAATTTATCATTATCAGTGGGTGATATATATTTTTATATAAATAATTTTATTAAATTATAAAAAAGAAACAAACTTATTTTTGAAGGCTATAAATTCAAAAATTTTTATGACATTGCATTGTTTGCTATTTAAATCGCTTATGAGAGGTATTTTTCCAGCTTTTCACTCTTTGTTGTTGAAATAAATATTCGATAATATGATTGAAATGTGTTTTTTTAATTTGTTTTTGTTGTGTTTTTGTGTTTATTAATTTTATTTTTTATTAATAATTTACAAAATTAAATCAAAATTTTTTCTAAATTTTTTCATAATCGATCTGATCATTTTAATTAATTTAAGATGGAACACCTTTTTTATCAGGTCGCCTCTCTTTAATAATTTTTAATTTTTTAACTGTGAATTGCCTAAACATAGTTTTTAATTGATCAAATATTTAATGTATTTTTATGTAAATTTTAAAGAATAAATAAATGTATTTCCCAAAAAGTATTTTATTAAAAATACACTTTTCGGAAGCATTTTATAAACGATGCTATAAACATCTGTATTTTGCTTTCCGGAAAAACAATACAAAACACATGTTTTTATAAAATGCTTTAATGTTTCCGGAAAGTATTTGTTAATAAATAAATATTTTCCGGAAAACACATTAATTTTTTTAAAATCTACATAAAAAATTTCCGGAAAAATGCGTATACAATTTAAAATACGTTTAGATATCCGGAAATGTATTTTCCAAAATCACAAATAATTGTAACATTATTTTTGTAAATAAATTAAATATTTAATTAAAAGATTACAAAAATACTTCTCGTGACATTTTTTTAATTTTTAAAGAGAATTAAAAAATAATAAAACAATTCGGCTTAACTTTTAAATAGCTTAAAAAATTTTTTTTAAGTTGTAAAAAAAGTTTTGGCCCTTTCTCTCTTCTCTTTTCAAAAAAATTTATGTTCCTTTTTTAATTTTTTATGTTTTTTACATCTCTTTTATTAAAATATTTTTTTATTAAATTTTTTATTGCCTAAAAAAGGAAGAATCAATTTTAATTATTAATCAAATTTTTTATTTTAAAAATTCTAGACAAATCATGAGAGAATTAAATACATCTATTTTAAATTATACAGCCTTTAAATATGTAACTGTTAAAAACACTAAAAAACACAAAGAAACAATTAAAATGTTTCCGGAAAATACATTTTGATCACCATGTTTTGGAGAAAAAACATTTCCGGAAAAGAAAACACATTTAAAGAAAACACATTCTACATTCCGGAAACAAATACATATATCTTTTTCGGAAAACTTTTTCGGTATTTTCCGGAAATGTGTTTTCTCGGAAAATACATTTAATATAAAGTTTTCCGGAAAACACATTTTTTCAGTAAGCTGTGTGTTTTCTCATAAACACTTTTACTTGAAAAGTTTTCCGGAAAATACTTTATATCTTTAAATATCTGTCAAAACACGTTACTACTTAATAGAAAATATTAGTTCCGGAAAAACATGTACTTATTTATTTTTACTTGTAGAAAATAAAATATTAAACCATAAAACATTTAGTACTATTTACGTAACCCAAAGGTGATCGCACTTCGTTAAATAAATGAAATATTATTTAGAACATTTTTATATTTTTTTTGTTTGTTTAGTAATTTTTTTAATTAAGTACTAATTTAAGAAAAGTAAAATATATAAATGTTTTTTTTTGTTTTTATTTAAAAAATGTTTATCTTTTTACTAATTTAATGTTTACTTAAGGATATAAAAAATTTGTTTTTTTATATAAAACCTTAAACCTATTATAACTCAACATTTTTATTTTTCAAGGCATTTTATTTAAAATTTTTATACATTAAAGAATGTTTTCCGGAAAATATAAACTGTTAATAAAAAATACATTCCGGAAATGTATTTTCTGAAATGTGTTTACAGAAAAGTTTTCCGGAAAATATATATGTATAATAGAAAACACATCCCGGAAAATACATGTATATAAGTTTTCCGGAATATATATTAGTACCAATACATAGTAGAAAATACCGTTCCGGAAAATACATATGTATTTTCCTGAAAACATTTATTAATAAACACTTTCCGGAAACATTTTAGTATAAAAGTCTTTATTTTCTAAAAACATGTATTTTTTGTTTTCCGGAAAAAGTTGTTGTGTTTTATATTTATTTTGTGTCTTAATTTCTGCCTTATCAATAGCTACTATTTATTTACATTTACTTTCATTTCCAAATTGAATCACTCATTAAAAATATTTAATTTTAAAAAAGGGTGGGTATTTATAGCTTTTCCTTTTTTAGTCTTTTTAAGGACAAGTTAATTAAAAAATCTTAAGACTTTTTTTTATCATCTGATAATTTTGATAAAAAATTTTTTTGCTTATCTCTTCAAGGCTTTTTCTAATTTTTATTTTAAGACGTTTTTAAATTTATTTTTTTCCTTCAATGAATAATAAAGAATGCAACGTTTTATATTTACCAGAAAAACAACAAATACAATAGCACCATTTGTTGATATTGAGAAAGGGATTGGTGGTGGAGGTGAAGTTGAAAAAACAACAGAGAATAACAACAAAGGAGTTAAAGCAAAATATTATAATGAAAATTGTTTTAAATTTAAAAGTAAGGAGAACTTTTTTGTAGATTTTTTAGGGGAGAATAATTTTTTAAAAAATTTTTTGTATGACATTTTGTCCCAAAAAATTTTTTTGAATAAATTCTTAAAAATTAAAAAAAATATTTTTGGGACAAAATGTCATCTACACACAATTTTAATTTTCAAAAATTTTTAATTTCTAGGAAAATCCCTTCGGATACTCCAAAATGTTGCTACTTTATTGGAGGATTGGTTATTGCTTGCATTGCTGGGAATTCTTGTAGCTTTGTGTTCTTTAATTATGGATATGGCTATTGAATACTTGCAAACATGTTTAGTAAATTTTAAAAAATTTTTTAGAAAATTTTTTTGTGATTTTCGAGAATATTTTTTATTGGGACAAAATGTCACCTAATGAAAAAAATTTTTAGTCTTTAAAAAATTTCAAAAAATTTTTCCATTAGGATGACATTTTATCCCAATCTAAAATTCAAAAAAATTTTTCCCAATTTCAGGGCACGTTTTCTTCATAGAAATTGTTCGAAAAAACACTCAGGGACATTTAAACCTCATCTCTACTTACTCTGTTTGGGCAGGTTATATGCTTATATTGGTTTTGGCTTCAGCTTTTTTTGTTCGTTTAATTTCTCCTAGTGCTATTGGAAGTGGAATACCTGAAATGAAAGTTGGGAAAATTTTTTTTTATTTTTAATTATTTATTTAGACAATACTTCGAGGTGTTATTCTCAAAGAATTTTTGACTTTGAAAACGCTTTTGTCTAAAATGGTTGGATTAACACTTTCTTTGGGTAGCGGGTTGCCTATTGGAAAGGAGGTTAGTTAAAAAAATTTTTGTGGTTTAGTCAAAACCTTTTTTGGTCATGGTTTAGTTTATGAGTCCAATGAAGCTAAAGGGTTTATTGGACTCATAAACCTCGACTAGATCCTTTTTAAATAAATTAACTAGTCTTTAATGAAGGGTATCATTCAAGGGGTAATTGCTTATTCAGCTCCTTCCAATTTTATAGTCAACCCAAATTTTTGAAGTAAACATCTAAATTTTGAGTTTATCTAAGTCTCGGGATATCTTATAATAAGGTCTTGAACATTTTTTCTTTAAGGGACCATTTGTTCATATCGCCTCAGTTGTCGCTAACCAATTAAGTCATTGTGTCCATTCAATTAAAGGTGCTTATTCGAACGAATCGAGAAGTTTTGAGATGCTTGCGGCTGCGTGTGCAGTGGGGGTTAGTTCAACATTTTCTGCTCCTGTTGGAGGTTTTTCTAAAAATATTTTTTAAAGTTTTTTGAAAAATTATTTAGGTGTTTTATTTTCAATCGAAGTCACAGCAGCATATTTTGCAGTAAGAAATTATTGGAGAGGCTTTTTTGCTGCAACCTGCTCGACTGTACTTTTTCGAATACTTAGAGTGCTTTTAGTTGAAACTGAAGTTACCGGTAAATTAAAAATAAATTTAAAAGTAAAAACACTTGCTTTTAAGTTACTGCCTTCTATCAAACTCAATTCCCTAGAGATGCGTTTTTGCCGGAAGAATTACCAATATTCTCTATTGTTGGGTTAGTTTTGTGTTTTTGTATTTTCCGGAATCAATTTATTTTAAATTAATTGATGGGATGTATTTTCCGGAATGTATTTTGAGAATATTCTTTCCGGAAACATACATACCTATCCGGAAAAGTTTAGAGAAAAACATTTTCTAGAATATTTTCCGGAAACCTTTGTGTTTTGTTTTTACACTAATTGTATTTTCCGGAAGCGTATTTTGAGGAATATTCTTTCCGGAAACTTATATACACTTTTCTGGTATATTTTCCGGAAACCTTTGTGTCTTGTTTTTACACGACTTATTTGTATTTTCCGGAAAATTCTATAATTTATTTACTCCCCGAGTTTTTCTCTAAACTTTTCCGGAAAACATTCTTTTTTTCTCTAATTTACCCTCATCTTTTCTAGTGTTATTTGTGGTTTTGTTTCAGCAGCATTTATTTTTCTACAAAGGCGTTGTGTTATTTTTCTTCGATATAATTCAATTTCAAAATTTTTTCTTCATAAACAGTAAATTATTTTTATTTATTTTTTAATTAGTTTTTATTTTTTAAAAAAAAGTTGGTCAATATATCCAATACTTATTGCATTAATTATTGGATCTATTACGTACCCTCAAGGATTTGGACAATTTTTGGGAGGAGAGGTTTTTTTAAAAAAATTTTTTTTATTTTTTTTTAAATTTTTTTAAGAAAAAATTTATGTATGCAGCAAAAGTAAGCAGCAAAATTTTTTTTTAATTAAAAAAAATTTAAAAAGGATTTTTTTGCTGACTGCACTTTTTCACTTCCCAACAACAGTAATCGTGCTTGTCCGGAACAATTAATTTCTTCTTGGTCGAGGGAAGATTATTACACTCATTTTACGACGTTGCCCATATTTATTGGAGTTTATGTAAATTTTTTGAAATTTTTTTTTGAAATTTTTAATTTTTTTAAAGTTTATTTTAACAATTTTGGCAAGTACACTACCCATTCCTGCTGGAATTTTTGGCCCGTCTTTTGTCCTTGGTGCAGCTATTGGACGCTTTATTGGAGAAATTATGGTTCTTTTTTAATTTTTATTTTTTTTAAATTTATTTAAAGGCCTCATTGTATCCAAGCGGTCTTCGGGGTCCAAACGATTTACAAATATTCCCTGGGGTTTATGCAATTGTTGGGTCAGCAGCGTTAACTGGAGGAGTAACTGTAAGGAATGAATTATTTTTTTTGAATTTGAAAAAATTTTTGTAGCACACAGTTTCTGTGGCAGTTATTGTGTTTGAACTGACTGGACAGCTTTTACATATTTTGCCTGTTATGGTAAAGAAAATTTTTAATTTTGAAACTTTTATGAAGTTTTTTGTAAAAATTCTTTGAAAATTCTTAGAAATTTTTTTTGAAAAATTTCTCAAAATTTCTTTGAAATTTTTTAGATTGCTGTATTAATCGCCAATGCAATTTGCTCCAATTTACAACCTTCCATTTATGATTCTGCCATTAAATTGAAACAATTGCCATATTTACCTGATATTCCCCAAACCTCTTCTCGGTTTATTTTTTTTAATAAAATTATTTTTTGATTTATTTTTTTCTAGTTTTCATGGAATTTTAGTCGAACAATTTATGACTTGTGATATTAAATTTCTTTCAAATGAAACAACATATGCTGAAATGCAAGAAATTTTATTTGATAACCCGAGGCTTAAAGCTTTTCCTATTGTAGAGAATGAAGGTATTTTTGATTTTTTTTTGTATTTTCTGAAAATTCTTTTAGTCTATATATTTTCCGGAAACTTTTAATCTTTCAGAATTATCATTAAAAATATCCGGATTTTTTTATACTTTTTGGAAATCGGAAACTTTTAACAAATACCTATTTTAAATAACTTATTTTCGGAAACTTTTTTTTTAATTTTCGGAGCTTTCGGATATTTTTTTATTTTCCGGAAAACTATAATATTTATTTTTCTTTTAGAAACACGAATATTAATTGGTTCTTGTAGTCGTTCCCGACTTATTAGAATATTAAATAATCATGTAGGCCCAATTACCAGAAAACAAGAAGCAATAAAAAGAATAAATACAATTGATAGAAGAAAGAATTCCCAAACAACAACAAAAAAAGAATCTTTAATTTTGTCGCCTTCTTCAAATATTCCCCTTTTAAAATTTTTAGAACCTCCAAAAGAACAAAAACATTCAATTGTTGAATTAACAAAAACAAAATCTGAAAGTTTAATTGAAGGGAAAGAAGAGGAGGAGGAAAATGTTAATAATAAAAATAATATTCTCCAACAAAAACAAAGTTTGCAGCAACTATATTTAAATCGTTTAAATAAACCATCAATGTCTGTTAAACGTTCATTAACTATTCCTGCAAGTTTAAGTCATTCTTCTAGTTATAGTGATGTTTATAGTACTATTGGAGGTTTTTTTTTGAAAATTTTTAAAAAATTAGGGAAAAACTTCTTAAAAAATTTTTTGAAATTTTTGGGAAAATATTTTGAAAATTTTTAACAATTTTCAAAAAAATTTTTTTATTTTAAGATATGATTAGAACATTGTCAAGGTTCAGTCAAAGATTTAGACGTGGCGTTGATCAAAATGGCGAGATTGATTTGGTGGGAGATGAGAGAACAATTTGGGAACAGGAACAATTGGCTAAACGAGTTGATTTTCGTTCTATTGGAATTGACCCGGTTTGAAATTTAAAAAATTTTTTTAAAGTTTTTTTTTAATTTTTCAAGGCCCCCTTCCAATTAGTAGAAGAAACATCACTTTTTAAAGTCCACTCATTATTTTCAATGTTAGGATTAAACCGAGCTTATGTCACAAAATGTGGTCGTTTAGTTGGTGTTGTTGCTTTGAGGGATTTGAGACTGGCAGTGGAATTAATTCAATCAGGAGATTTAATAGCTAGGAAACCTTCATTAATTTCAACAGAAAGTAGTGAAGAAGGAGAAGAGGAAAATTTAAGCAAAACTTTTATTTCAAATTTAGAAGAGGTTTTTGTTTTAATTTTTTGTGGAGGAGTGGGGGGGGGGGGACGGGAGGATTTTTGAAAAAAAATTTGGAGGGAATCATGTGAGTTGTGGGAGCTGTTGGTGTATTGGAAGGCAAACGGGGGAATAGAATTAATAAAATTTTAAATTTTTGACGGAATGTATTTGATTTTGGGAGGATTTCTTTAGTTTTTGAGGGTTTATGAGGAAAGTTTTGATTAAAAAAATTTATTTTTATTTTAAGGAATGCCCAGATAAAAATGATTTTCAACCTAAAAATGAAATAATAGAGAAGGAAAGGTATTTCTTGATAAATTTTTTTAATCATTTTTTTAAATTTTTAGTATTAAATTGCAAACACAAAAAGAAGTTGTTGGTAGAACTACAAAAGAAGTATTAAAAAATAATGAAAATAATGTTCCCATTTTTGTAATTTCAACAAGTGAAGATGAAAAATCAAATGAAGAATTAAAAGAAGAACAAGAAGCTTTTGTGGCTAGGCAAGTTTTTTATTTTTAATTATTTCAAATTTTGTATCGTCTGGTGTAGTGGGAAAATGTTTTGTTTGGGTAATTTAGGGTCGTGGGTTCGATTCCGGTTGTTGAAATTTTTAGGTAAATAGAAGGAAAAATTATTGAAAATAATTTTTTCAATATTAGAAATTTTTTAGAAAATTTTTTAAACTAAAAATTCTCTCTCTTCTTTATTAGTTCTTCCCCAACTTCAACACCTTCATGTTCACCCTCCTCTTCCCATTCATGTTTACGCGGTGCCAACAAAAATAATAATAATAATCCTCCCAGTCCAGTACGCAAAGTTCGTATTATATCGCCACTAAATTCACCAACGGAAGAAGATTTTTGTGATAAAAATAAAAAATTTCCTCCTTCAGAAAATTCTGATTGAGATTTTTTTAATTTTAGAAAATTTTTAAAAATTTTCCACTTTCCGGAAAGTTTTTTGGAAAATTTTTGTAAATTTCCTAATGTCTTAAAAAATCATTTTCATCCATTTTTTGTTTTTTTTTTATTCTTGTTATATTCAAAACGAGTTTATTATTATTTTTGCATTTTCTGTAGCTTTACTTTAAAAATTGTTCTTCTTTGACAATATTAAAAAAATTTTTTAATGCTCATTTTTTCATTTTTTGTTGCCTTTTTTAATTTTTTTTAAATTTTGTTGATTTTTTATATTTATACTTCTGTACACGTTGACGATTAAAAAATAATTTTTTTTAATTTATTTTTATTTTTAAAAATTTTAAAAATATTTTATATTTATTTAATTTCTAAAATTTAAATATATTTTTATAGCTAAAACAAGATTTTTTAATTGAGAAAATGAGGTCGTTTGTTCTTCTTTTTGATGAATGTTCCTCCTCTCTTTTGATGAGTGTTTCTCTCTCTTTGCAAGATTAATATCTTTATGTTGAAGTTGTGTTCAAAAATAAATTTGTTTAAAAGTTTTGATAAAAATCTTTGGATGGATGAATGTTTATTAAACAGGTTTATTTTTTTATTTTATTAATTTTATTAATTAATTTTTTAAGCTAGTTGGCTAGTAGAAAAAAATTTTTTAATTATTTTTTAAAAATTATTTTTTAAAAATGGATGTATTATTTGGGCACTCAATGAAAAGGTTGTTGTTTTTAAAAAAGAATTCTGAATTTTTTTATTCTGAAACAGATTATGAAAAATTTTTTTAAATTTTTTTCAGTCTAAAAAAATATTCCTTTATATTTTTAAATTTTAAGTTTACTGAAAGCATAAATTAATTTACAAAGTTTCCGGAAAAACAATTTAGTTTCCCAGGCTTTCCGGAAAAATCTTATACTTAATTTAACCTAAAAATAAATTCTGAATTTTTAAAAATAAGAAAGTTTAGTTTTAAAAAAATTTTTTTTTGAAATATTATTTTTTCTTTCAGTCTCTATTTGTTTGGAACTTGTAATGTTATTCATTCATTATTTTCTAGAATTGTCATAACCAAATTCTTTTTTGATTATCCTATTGTTATTTCATTGTTTAATGTAAGTAAATTTAATTTTAATTTATTTAAAAAATAAAAAAATATTTTTAAGATGGCATTAATTCTCTCATTAATTGAATTTGGAAGGTAATTTATAAATTATTAAAAATTTAAATTAATTTTTTTATTTTAAAGAATGACAAAATTAGTCAAAGTGCAGCCATACACTGTAAATCCTTTTATAAATAAATAATTATATTTTCCGGAAACTCTAACATAAAATTACAAATTGTAATTATGTTTTTCCGGAATTGTAATATAAACATTTCTCTGAAGCATAGATATATTCTTTTCCGGTTTTTATATTTATTTTGTTCCGGAAAATTATATTTATACTTCCGTAATTGTATTTTTATATTTTCCGGAATTATATTAATCTTCTCCGGAAATTTTATTTATACTTTCCGGAATTGTATTTGTATTTTCCGGATTTTATTAATCTTCTCCGGAAAAATTATTTCCGGAATTGTATTAATCTTTTCCGGAAATTTTATTTGTTTCCGGAATTGTATTTATACTTTCCGGATTTTAATTTATATTTTCCGGAATTGTAATATAGACATTTCTCTGAAGCATAAATATTTTTTCCGGTATATATGTTTCCGGAATTTATTTATTTTTCTGGAAAATTATTTACTTCCGGAATTGTATTTATATTTTCCGGAATTGTATTAATCTTCTCCGGAAAATTATTTGCTTCCGGAATTGTGTTGATCTTTTCCGGAAATTTTTTTACTTCCGGAATTTTATTTATACTTTCCGGAATTTAATTTATATTTTCCGGAAAATTATTATTATTTTATTTCTACAGTTTCATCGTGGAAAAGCCATGTTTGTGCCTTCCTTTTTCTATTGTCTTTCGCAGTTTGTTTTTTCTAAAATTTTTAATTTAATTTTAATATATTTTTACAGTTATATATCCCTCAACTGTCTTGATGGAATTTCTCTTCCATTTTTTCCATTTCTCGAAAAATTTATAGCAATAACTACAATTCCTTTTTATTTTTTTATTTTACGAAGACAACGACCTTCAATCCAAACTTTGACAATTTTAATGTTTATTTGTTTTGGATCTGCTTTGGCTTGTAAATTTGCCTTAATAAATTAAAAAAAAAATTCATTTTTTAGCTGTATTTGAAATAAGTTATGATATTTGGGGGTTAGCCTACTCTCTTGGAGCTTTGGCTATGCAAACTTCAAGTTTAGTTTTAATTGAAAAAGTCCGGGCACAAATGGATATGTCTGTTGTGGAATTAATTTATTTAAATAGTTTCAATTGTCTCTGTCTATTTTTGGTAGCGGATATTGTCCAGGATGAATTGAGGGATGCTTATTCATATTTACAGGTATTACAAAGCAAATTACAAATTGTAATTTTGCTTTTCCGGAATTGTAATATACCTATAAGCATTTTTCTATAACACTATTTTTTCGGTTAGACATTTTCCGGAAATGTTTATATCTATGTCTATATCTTCCGGAAGCTATATATTTTCCGGAACAATTTATAATTACAAATTTTAATTGTATTTTCCGGAATTGTAATATACATATAAATATTCTTCTATAACGCTCTAGTTTTGGTTAGACATTTTCCGGAAATGTTTATATCCTTGTCTCAGGAAACTATATTTTCCGGAACAACTTATACAAATTGTATTTGTATTTTCCGGAATTGTAATACACATAAACATTTGCTTGAAGTAGTTTACCAGTAATTTAAAAATTTTCCGGAAACAAAATAGAATATGTATGTACAACCAAAATTCTCTAACATTCTTCTTCCATTACAGACAAGCACAACAACTACATTTTATGTTTCTCTACTTACAATGATAATTTCCGGTTCCTTTGGGCATTGTTTATTATTGTATTGTGTTGCAACTACAAACACAGTTAAAAATACTTGAAATTACAAATATAAAATTGAAATTTTATTTTCAGTTAAATACAGCAGTTACCCAAAATTGTTCAGCATCAATACAAATATTTATTGCCTATTTACTTTCTATTGAAGTTTTTTATGATTCCGAGCCAAATTTTACAACATTTTTGGGTGTTGTAATAGCTATAGTTTCGACAATTTTTTATTTTCTTTCTTCAAAAGATAAAGAATTTAAACCTAATGCACAAATGTCAACAAAATATCATTCTCTTGTGCAACATGAATAAATTAAAAAATTAAAAAAAATATTTTTTTAATTTTAAAAATGATTTTTTTGTATTTTTTTATTTTCTATAAAAGCATTTTTATTTTTAGTAATTTAATTTTAAATTAAAATGTTGGCAACATTTTAAGCTAATTAATTAATTAATTAATTAATTATTTTTTATTTTTTTTTCTTTTAATTTTCGAACATTTTTTTTCTTCTCCCAATTTTTATATTTATTTGTTTGGGGACTCTTTTATAATCAATATATACTTTATTGCCAAGGAAAAGCTTCCCTCTGTTGTTTATTTCCTTTAAACTATCGTTTTTTTAACCCTTCTAGCCGGGAAAATGTCGATGGTTGGTAGCTATAGAATATATAGTTAGTTAGCTGGCAGCAACCTCAGAGACCTTTTTTCTTTTATTTTTTTTAAATTTCTAAACGAAAATTTTATTTTTTTAGAGTTATTTTTTGGGCAAAACTTCAGCAAAAATTTAATTTATTTTTAATGTTTTTATTTTTTAATTTTGTTATTTTCAACAAATGAAGAAGAAATGTTGTTTGTAAATATTGGCAGCCTCCACCAATTTGTTTCTAATAGAAGACTAAAATTGAAGTTGGTGTTTTTGTTAATTCTCGTTCCTTGTATTTTTGGCAAACAAGAACAAAGGTTTGAATTTTAAATTAAAAAAAAAAGTTTTTTGGGGAGGGGCAAAACACCGTCCGAACAAAATACTGTCTAGACATTGAAGCAGGAAATACAGTCCGATTTACGGAAAATAAATTAGGTTCATCTCAAATTTATCTTCTAGACCATAAGGCTGTTTGAATGATGCTAACCATAAGGCTAATACAGCACTTACATATTTGCCTAAAATTTTATTTTAAAATTAAATGTGGGGACGGTATTTTGGTCGGACGGTGTTTCGCCCTTCATCCAATTTTTAAAAAATATTTTTAGTGTGATAAAGAAGGCTGAACAACTTTCACGTGCTCTTAGAAGCATTTTTGAGGATGGAACAAAATATGAGGAAATTTCTAAAGTAATTTTCATTAAATATTTAATTTATTTGAGTAAATTTCAAGGCATATTCGGACCTTACAGACGCGGATGTTTTTAGTCCGGAAGAAGAATTGAAGACAATAAAGGAGGAAATTGAACAATATTTAAAGGAACGGGCAGCAATCGCTTGGAATGCCAAAATTAGTTTGGAACAACGCCCATTAAATTTTGATGAAGGAAAAAATGGGGAAAATGAAACTAAATTAGAAGATTTGAATGATCCAAACAAACATTCTTTTGTTCGATATTTGAATGTGAAAAAAATGAATGATTGCTCGACGCTTTATAAAAATAATTTTGGAGGGTCTTATGAGGTTTGGAAAAATTTATTTTATTTAAAACAACTTGTAAGTGGGCAAGGGCGAGTCGGCTAGGGACCAAAATTTTTGATTTTCGGCGTCAAATTTTGGATGTGCCCTCCGCCCTTGTCAATAGAGTTGTCCAAAATATGAGAGGTTGATAGGTAAATTCCTTCTCATTTTTTTCTCAGGTATTTCCTCATTTTCCTCAACATGAAAAGGGACTCAAACTACCAACCTAGCAGCATGTTTTGGATAACCCTATTCACCTAATTTCCTTTTAAAAACATTTTCTTCTCTTTTAAAAGGTAAACGGTAGTCGCCAAGTCCGTCTCCGCCCCAATCCAAATTTCTACGGTTTACCAACAAGTTCAGAATCTTCAGCTGTTCATGTACCCACACCTATATATAATAGAGGTTTTTTCTTAAATTTTTTAGTAAAATTTTTTTGTAAAGATCCAGAATTGCTTCAACGTATTCGTTGGTCAGATATAGACCAACAATATCGCCGTAATAGAGAACAGCTAAAAGATTTGAATTTTCAGGTTTAATTAAAAAAAATTTTCTTTAATTAGTTTTCCTTCTCTTTTTTCAGAAATTTTGTTCAGATTCTGGATTTATGCGTTTCTTCCCCAGTGCCCCATGGTTGTGGGAAGATAGACAATCAGAATTGGACCTGTTTGATTGTAGAGTAAGTTTCTTTAAAACTTAGTTTCAAGCCCCCCTTCCCTATCCAAACGAACGAAATGGAAAACTATAGAAAAGACGCCGTAGGTGCGGATGACCCCGAAGCTTGTGTGGTATTACGGCTGTTATCATTAGGGCGATTGACATATAGGCGTTTTGACATTACGGGATATACCTAAAAATAATTTTTAAGTAAATTTTAAGAACACAGAATGGTATGTTGAAGCAGCTACAATTCCAAGAAATTTAATTATTCTTCTGGACACTTCTGGTTCAATGCTTGGCCAACGTTTTGAAATTGCGAGACAAACAATTGAATCGATACTTAGTTTGGATTTTTTGAATTTTAAACATTTTTTGTATTTTTAGGTACATTATCAGACAGTGACTTTTTTAATATAATTCAGGTTTTTTTAATTTTTTCCAGAAAATTTAAAAAAATTTTCCTTTTCCAGTTTTCAAAAACAACCACTTTAATGGAGCAATGTGGAGACCGTGAACTTGTCCAAGCCTCTTTACGCAACAAAAAAGTGCTTCTTTCCCGCCTTAACAATATAAGTTCTGAAGGGAAGGCAGACTACGAGAATGCTTTACACAAAGCTTTTGTGGCTTTAATGAATGTTAGTTTATCTTAAAAATTAAAAAAAGACGGTGATACCGAGTTTTACGCCCCCCTCTTTTTTTCCTTAATCTGCATGGTTAGACTTGTTCAATTCCACTCGATTTCCCTCTGGTATATTCAAATGAGATATTTCTGGAAGGAAGTCTGACCATTATGGACATTTTAAGGAAAAAAGAAAAGGAGGGGCAAAACTCGGCATTATCCATTTTTAACTTAAAAATTTAAATTTTTGTTTGCTTTTTTTGCTTATATTTTTGCTTTAAAATGAGTTTTTCATTTTTGCTTTTGTTTTTTCAAATAGTTGCCAGAAGAAGGCGTTAAATGGATGACTAAAGAAGAAGTAGCTAAAGAAGCAGCAATTCACAGGTCTGAAGGGACTGAGCCTGATCCAGACATAAATTATATTCAAATGGAGGAAAAATGTAAGTTTTAATGAAAAGAGAAGCTTGAAATTTAAATAATCGTTTTGTGCAGTGCTTGTTGCTCCTGAACGCTTCTTACAAGCGGTAAGAATATTAATGCTTTTAGGTGCTTTATTTGTCCCCCTTTGGATTTTTTGGAATTTTACCTCCTTCTTAAATTTTCCTTTTTGCAATTTTATTATTTTCCAAGTTTACCATTTTTCAATTTGACCCTTTTGTAATTTAAATTTTACCATTTTTTGCTTTTTCCTAGCTTCTGAAGCTTCTTGCCCAAATCTTTAATTTTGCCCAAATTTTTATTTTTGACATTTCTTATTGTTATCTGTTTACTATAGATTAAAATTTTTATTTTTAGATTCACAAATTTATGGGAAATCAACACCAAATGGGTTGTCAAGATGTGATTATTGTGAGTTTTGAATTTTTATGTTTGAAAAAAAATTAATTATCTTTTGTAGCTAATAACTGATGGAGCGCCAGGATTTTTTAAAGAAATATTTGAGCTTTATAACAAGGATAAAAGGGTTTTTTTTATTAAAAAAATTTTTTTTAATATTTTTTAAGATTCGCTTCTTCTCTTTTGTAGTTGGTGAAGAAGCAAAAGATTTTGAACAAGTTAGGTGGATGGCCTGCTCAAATCGGGGGTTTATGGCACATATTGTGTTTGTTTTTGAATTATTTTTTAAGAAATTTTTTTCTTTTTTTCAAGTTCTATGGCAGATGTTCAAGAGGTTTTTTGGGATAAATTTTTTAACAAAATTTAATTTTCTCGTTTAGAAAGTCCAGCAATATGTTCGCGTTCTGTCAAAAACTGTTGCTCGCCAAAGAGCTGCGTTTAGTGAAAATACACCCCTTTGGAGTGGCGCTACAAGGGAAAGAATGGTTATTTTTTAATTATTTAACTAACGAGGGAACCTCCCGAACTGTAACCAAAGATTTTAAGTAAGGATACCTTGTGTTCACTTATTGACAATTTTTTGGCCTTTTTGTCTTCGGAGCTATTTTCGGATGGTTTCGGGCCTTCAAGTTTTGACATATTTTGGAGTGGCTGAGTCCCCCTCATTTTTCATATTAGAGAGGATAATGCTCCTTTCCTCCCTCTTTTCTACTCTTTTCTATCTCCTTTCTTCTCCAGTGTGGAAAAAATGGTTCCTTATAAGAATTCAGTCTTGAAATTAAATTTTTAAAAATTTTTAGAGTGAACAATTAGCAGTTTCAGTCTCCTTCCCAGTTATTTTACCTAATGGACAATTTATGGGTGTGTCTTCGGTTTCTGTACCTTTATTAGAATTAACTCAGTTGGCACATCCAATTCGTGTTGGTGGAAAAAGTCATTTTATTTTGTTGGATTCGAATGGTTATTTACTTTTTCATCCACAATTGAGACCTTTGGAATCTTCTACTGGCGAACTTAAATCTGGATTTAACAGCGTAGAATTTGCTGATGCTGAAATACAAAAACCTTTTTTGGTTTTTCTTTTTAATTTTTTGGAAAATTTTTTAAAATATTTTTTGAAGGCTAATCGTGTGTCTATTGATTGTTCTACTGGGGCTGTTGAACCTAGAAAACTTGAAACTCTTTTTGCTTTTGATGAAATGGTATTTTTTTACTTACGTTTATAAATTAATGATAGGCCTTTGTGTCTATGTGAGACTATCCTTGAAAGTCAGCAAAGTAATCTGGAGGGTAGGGTTACTCAAAACCCCAGACTTTCTTCTATCCGAAACCCGACCCGAAGAACGTTTTGAGAACCCCTACTGAAAAAAAAAGAATAAAAAAAAGAATCCCCGTTCTGACTCTTTTCTCATGTCAGCTCGGCCATCTCAGGTACAAGAGAGAACATTCCTATTTTTTCAAAGAAATGTCATCAAACGAATTTTTTTCGGAACATTTTTTTGTGACTTTTAGTTTTTTTTTAAATTTATTTTTTTAAATTAATTTTTAATTATTTTTAACATTCCTTTTAATTTTTTAGAAACACATATACCCTCAAAACAAGTAATTTTTTATTAAAAATATTTTTTAATTGTTTCTCTTTTTCAGTCATTACCACGTTGTTTGTATTTCTGGAACTCCTTATACCCTTTTATTGGCTCTTCCAAAAGATGACGTTCAAAGATTGCGGAGAACAATTCCTTTAAATTTGTCTTTGTTTCAATTGAATTGGTTAAAAGGGAATGATTGGCGGTTACAAAAAGATTGGAAATATTGTTTACTTAATGATAGTGATTGGGCTATTAGGTTTCTCTTTAAATTTTAAAAAATAAAATTGGGAATTTTTTACAAAAAATTATCCTCAATTTTTTTATGATAAATTGATTTTTGGGACTGTGCCTTAATACCAAACTGTAGAAAAATACAGACTTATAGCTTTCACATTTTACCAAGCGGAAGGGTAAAAAAGCATAGCTCTGCGGGAGACGGGGCGGAAGCTTCAATAAAGGTGAAAAATTCCCCATTAACATAGAAGGGTGTTTCAACACCCTCATTTTGATATTTCGTTGTGTTTTTAAGGAGTTTGGTATTTCGACATTTGTTTCCATCATACAGTTAATTAAAAGAAATTTTTTTCAGTGAAGAAGATGCCTTTACTGAATATATTAAACAAATGCAAGAAAGTGGAAAATTTCCAGGTTTTTATATTTTTTTCCATTAAAACTTTAATTTTCCAGAATTATGCAAACCTCGTCAAAAATTAGTTGAAAGGGCCTTGCTGGATTTACAAGCATCTACTGGATTTTCTCAACTTTGGAATAGGGAATGGGAAAGGAATAAAAAGTATTTTTTTTAATTTGATTAATTTCTTAATATTTTTAAGGAATGGAATTCATTTGGCTTTCTTTGTGGGTACTTCAGGTGTTGTTCGCTTTAAAAATGAAAGTTTGGATCGTTTTCTTTATGATTTTGTGGAAAATGACAATCCGGAAAATTCAGTGTAAGGAATTTAGATTTAATTTGAGAACCGACATTCACGGGTAGAGGAGTTGTTTTCAAGGGGGAGGTAGTTGTGCTAGTTCACTACAGGGTCTGTGACTTTCGGTCTCACCTAGAAGATTCACTATAACAACCTCCCACCGTCCCCGGACAACATTAGGGATGGGCTGGTTCACCGAGGATGGTGGTTGCACCCTTGTAAGAATTTTCGAGTTTGTGGTTAAGTGGTTTATGTCTTAGATTTTTGACTTGGCCCATGTTCGGGTTCGATCCCCCACGGTTCCCTTTGTTTATTTAAATTATTTTTTTTTAATCAGAATATAATTTTAATATTTTAGACCCTCACTTTACCGTCACTTTTTGCTTGATTTAAATCCAAATGCTGCAGAATCTGATTTTTTCCGAAGAGCAACAAGGCAACCTGAAGGACAAATAATATTTGATTTGAATAGAAAAAGTTTACTTTTTTAGAAAAATTAAAGAAATTAAAAATTTTTCAGCTCGTCTTAGGCATAATAAAAATGGAAGAAAAACAGCTTATGGTCATGCTGAAAAAGATGCTATATTAGCTTTGGCATATAAAGCAATTAAAGTAGATGGGGCATTAGCTGGAGTTGTTGGAATTGAGGTTTCGTTTTAATAAAGTTTTTTTTGGGACTACCCCGGAAGGTTAACTGATCCTGGTGGTCAACTCCAAATATTTGGGCGGATAAAGAAGAATTTTAAGGAAAGGGGGTATAGGTGGATTTGGGAGGATTAGAAAGGTTTTGCTATGATTCTAATCCTCGTGTAAGATGTTTAAGGGACAGAAGACAGAAATTCTCTCTTGCAATTGCCAGATAAGGAAAAAGGATAAGGTCAATGTATTTTTTTCTTGAGTTCCCTCTGTCCTCCCGAATATCTGGAGAGTTGACCTCCAGGATGTTGACTTCTGAGAGTTGACCGACTTGCTTGGGCCCGCTTTTAAAGATAAAAAAATATTTTTTCAAGTTTTTATATGATTCTTTACTCTCTCAAATGAGACATATTGGATGTTTATCAGATAATAAAAAGGGCGAAGAAGAAGAAGAAAATTCTCGTTGTTATTTATTAGACGAAAATGGTTTTGTTATTTTCTCAAGTTCAAAAAACACGAAATATTCTAATTTTGTTGAAACAAATATTTTAATACCAGAAAAATTGAAAATGATGGGGGCAAATAATTTAAATATAAATTTTAATAATCAAAAAAGAAGACAAAAAGGAGGAGGCAATTCTTCATTATTTGGTCAAAGAGGAATTTGGGCACAACAAAAAATATTAAAACAACAAAAATTGGAAATTGAACAAAATTTGGAATTGGGAAAATTTTTTGGACAATTAAATAGAGTTGCTGAATGGACAATGGAATTGTTGATACGTAGAGGGTTTTATAAAAGGTTTTTTAAATTTTATTTTGGGAAAATGACATTTGGTCCCAGAATTGGTTTTTTCTGATTTTTGTTTTTTTTGTTGCCCTCTGCTTGTATTTTCTGATTTAGTGTTCAAAAAGTAATATTATAAAAATAATTTACTAAAAAATAAATTGGATAAAGTGTCACCTTTAAAGAAAACTTTGAAAAATTGAAGATGACATTTGGTCCCAACAAATTTTATTTTTTTATCTTTAATTTTTTGTTGCCCTTTTTTGTGTTCTCTTTATTGTTTGAATTTTCTAATTGTAAGTTCAAGAACTAATTAATTTACCAAAAAATAAATATTTGGGATCGAATGTCACCTTCCTTTCAAAATTATTTAAATTAAAAAATTTTTTAAATTTTTCCCAGGGATTATTTTACCGATGCTCAAGCAATTTGTGATCCCCCTAATGATGACTTTCAATCACAACAATATTCAATTAATAATCCAACAATAACACCTTCCACCACAACAAATACTATAAGTATTACTTCTGCTGCTTCAACTAGTCATTCTTTCAAAATATTTCCAACATTTTTAGTTTGTTTTTCTTAAAAATTTTTTTTAATTTTTAAAAATTTTTTCAGTCATTTTCAACTTCATTAATTCAATTTATTAAACAATTTGTTTCAATTATTGCAATTTTGCTCATTCCAAATGAATTGCTATCAGCTTCTTTTATTCCAATTAATAGTTTTGTTTTTTTAATTAATTAAAAATTTTTTTATTTAAGCCTTCTCTAGTCTTTTAAAAATAACTGATGGACGTTTCCAATGTAGAATGCATTCATCTTTTTATTTGGGGCAGACAAATGTTAGTAGTGATGGGGTAAATGGTGCTTTGTTGGAAAGTGATTCTTATGGTTATTTTTTGTTTTTTTTTATGAATATTTGTAGTGAATTTGACTGTAAGATACCTTTTAGAATTAAGATGCTCTTTACAATTATTTTAACATAAAAATAGCGATGACATTTGGTCCCTTTATTTTTTCTGAATTTAAATTCCAACAGAATCCGCTCCCCTTTCTCTCCCCCAGTGAATGGGTGAGCTGTTTGAGCGTTTTCCAACTTTAGGTTGACATATGTAGAAAATGGATTGGTAGGGAGAGTCGTACGAGAATCGAACGGGGAGGAGGATCGTACAAAAATCGAGATCGATATCTCGAAAAATTTCGATTCTCGGAAACCTAGATTTTTGTCCGATAACTCGTCTTGTCTCTAATTTTAGGATAAAAAATTTTTTTGTTAAAATTTATTTTTAGAAAGACCATGCTCACAAAATGCTGCCCAATGTGCTGTTCGTGTATTTGCTTCATGGGTTCCCCATACTAATTTACTTTTGTATTCTTTTTAAATTTTTAACATTAAAAAACTCTCGCTTTTTTAAGAGTAATAATTCGACAAGATTCTCATTCTCAATGTTTTTCTCAAGATTCATTTAGTCATTGTCCATTATCCCAACCTCCATCAATCCCTTTTGGATTCTCACAAAATCTTCCAAGTTCTTCAGACTCTTCAGAACAACAACCATCAAATAATCAAAATGTAGAATGTATAGTTTCACAACCACAAGAAAGGAATAAACCAATTCAATGTCTGAGAGATGATTTTTTGGAGGTTTTTTTAAAATTTAATTTAGATGCTCTAATATGATCCTTGGGATTCTGTTAGGCGCCCAACTCTAATAGAAGCCCTTCCAAGGAGATCCTTTGAAAAATAGAAGCCACCTCTCTATTAGAAGCTCATTCGAGGGGACATTAAAAAATATAATCCCACTCTCCAAGTCCTCTCTCTAGGGTTGGGGTCGTTTTGGCGCCGGGCCGTTTTGGCGCCGTGCCGTTTTGGCGCGAGAACAAAAAAGTGGCACTTAGGCGGGGCCTAAATTCTTAAAAATTCGTTTTAAATTTCTTTAACATCCTTGACTACCCCCTCTAGAAGTTTCAGAATTTTTCATCCATTATTTCTGAAGTTATAGTCGATAGACCTCGAAAAATTAGGCATTTTTCAAAAAACCAACATTTTTGGCCATAATTTCTAAAATTCTTGCTCAAAAATTCTGAAATTTTTGGGGAATTTAGATAAAGGTACGAGAGTTATTATTACGAAATTTTATCATTTTTGATAAACAATTCGCTATCTTATAAGCTCGCGCCAAAACGGCCCCGCGCCAAAACGGCCCAGTCCCCTCTCTCTAATATAAGTCACTCCGAGCAGACCCATTAAGCCACCTCTATTTAATAGGGACCCGCTCTCTAATAGAAGCCCTCATTCTATTATAAGCCAGGGTTGTCGTTTTACCCTATTTATAGGGGATTTTCCCTATTTTTGGCCTTTTCGCCCTATTTTTTCCCTATTTTATACATTTGCCATATTTTGCCCTATTTTTAACATTTTGTAATATTTTTCAAATTTTCGGGCATTTTGTAAATAAAAGGCGAAAGAACAAAGAAATTTAACTCTTGAACATAAAAATTCCCAAAATTTTCGGCTGCGGCGCGGAAAAAAGAGAAATATATCTACTATTGGTCTTCTTAATTTTTAAAAATTTTCGCTTCGGCACTAAAAAAGTAAAAAATCTGGCTTCATAACTTTTCAAAATTTTTTGCTAAAAATGGAAGTAATCTATCAGTCCGAAAGATCTTGAAGAAAAACTTGATTGCATAGATCGAGATTTTTCGAGACATCTCTTACGTATTTTTCGACACATCTTGTTCTTCAGTTTTTCGAGATTCGAGATATCTCGTACGATTCTCGTACGACATTCCCAGTCTGGTCTCTAATCTGAACTTTTCTGTTTTTTAGAAATTTAGTTAAAAATAGTGGAGAACATGCAGAATAAGGCTTTTTATTTAAAATTTTAATTATTTTTATGTTTTTTAAAATAATTCCCTATTTTTTGCCATATTTTTGACCGATTTCGCCCTATTTTTTCCCTATTTTTGAATGGCTGCGCCCCATTTCAGTGGAACGACAACCCTGTTATAAGCTTAATCAAAGAGACATACTAAAAATAGAAGCCCATGGCTTTAATTAGAGCATTTTCAGTAATTTAAAAAATTATTATTTTTTAAAAAAGGACGATGCTGATGAAGAAACATGTTCTGGAACAAATATGATTAGAAGGAAAAATTGGTTTATTACTTTGTTTAGCTCAGTATTAGTTATTTTTGTAACTTTATTAATTTTTAGATGAAAGGTTTCTAACATTTTTTTAAATTAGGATTAATGAATCTCATTCCTTTATTTGTAGTAAATGTTTTAATAGAAGCCCTGGGAGTTGATTTTTCGACGGGTCTAGTTGAGTGGATTGCTGGTAGGGCATATAGGCTTTTATTCCTATCCGTGGGACATGGGCGTATTCCCTCAAGTCTTCTCTAATATCCATATGGACTTTTATTAGAGATGGGCTTCTATTGGAACATTTATGGTAAATCTTGTATATATTTAATATTTGTTTTTATGTTTTGAAACAATTTTTTAAATATTTTTTTGATAAATTTTTATATATTTTGAAACGTCCTTCACTAAATTGGTTGCAAAGCCATTTTATAACTATAAATTTCCCTTTTTTTAATGTTTATCGATTATTTTTTATCAGATTTTCATTAAAATTTTTATTTTTAGCAGATAATTTTTAAAAAAGAAATTTAAAAAATGGGAGCTGTTTTTGCAATGCCTGCGTGTGCTGCTTCTGTACGGTTTTTTATTTTTTTTTTCTAATTTTTTTTAAGAGGCTAAATGAGATTTTCTGAAATTTCTGAAAATTTTTTTCTTCAAATTTTGTATAAATTTTATTTTTAGATGGCCTGCTGTTTTGGAAGTGCTGCTTGTTCCCTTTGCTGCAATGTTTGTCCATCAACTCGAAATTCAACAACAACCCGAATTATGTATTCTTTAATGCTTTTGGTTGGAACTTTAACTTCCTGTTTTTTACTTTCCCATTGGCTTCAAAATGCTTTGGCTAAGGTTTTTTTGAATTATAAATTTTTTTAAAATTTATTTTAAAAAAAGGATGGTTGGCTCTGTACTATAACACATACAGGAGAATTGTGTGAAGCAATTATTGGATATCAGGCTGTTTATCGGTTTGTTTAAATTATTTTTTGAAAGATTTTTAAGGATAATTTAAGGGGTAGATGTCCGCGAACCAGTTTTGTGGATACCCCAGTTTTTCAGAAAATGGTCAGAGCATAAAAGTTTCATAATATTCACATATCACTTGCTCTAACATATAAAATAGAAAAATGAGGATGCTCTGACCGTTATGAGACCATTTTTATTATAAATTCCGCATAAATATGTTCGCTAAGATTCACAAATACCAAATTCCTTTTTTCAGTGTTTGTCTAGGAATGGCTGCTTTCTTTTTCATTTTTATGATTCTGATGCTTGGAGTAAGATCGAGTCGTGACGCTCGTGCTCAAATACAAAATGGATTTTGGTTTTTTAAATATTTGTTGCTTGGACTTTTGGTCTTTGGCTTCTTTCAAATTACTGACAAAACACTGGCTACACGTATATTTTTTATTTTTTTCTGGGTGGGGTCCCCTCCTTGTAGACTTAGAATATTTTCGGGGTTGTTGTCAGATCGAAGCTTATTGTTAGCTGTGATCAATGGAACTAGACCAGGGACCCGAGAAGGCCAGGGATCTGGTCACCCGAGAACCGAAACTCGGACTTCGTTACGGAATTGGGAACACGATCCTAAGAGAATTTTGACAAACTGACCCGTTTCTTTTTCTCACTCGGCCTGGCCCTACTCTGAGCCAGACCTTAATTTTTCTTAAATCCATTGTCAAGACAATAAATTTTTTAACAATTTTTTAAATTTAGCAATGATGTGGATTGGAATGATTGGAGCTTTTGTTTTTATTCTTATTCAACTTGTATTTTTTCCTCTTTTTCTCTAAAATTTCTTCTCTTTTTTAAAGGTTTTAATTGTCGATTTTGCCCATGGAATAGCAGAAAATTGGGTTAGAAATTATGAAGATAGTGAATCTAAATGGTGTTTTGCTGGCCTAATTTTCTTTACTTTTGGATGTTATGCTCTTTCTGTTTTTGGAGTTGTAATGCTGTTTGTTGTCTACACATCAGTATTTTTTTTATAATTTTTAGAAAATTTTTTAAAAATTTTTTCCAAAGGGAGCTTCTTGTCTTCTTGGAAAATTCCTCATTTCCTTCAATTTAATCCTCTGTTTCGCCCTTTCTGTGATTTCTCTACTTCCAAAGGTGCAGGAACATATGCCTAAATCTGGACTTCTTCAATCTGGGTTTATTACGCTTTACGTCGTTTATTTGACTTGGAGTGCTTTGACTAATAATCCAGGTTTTTTAACACTAGAAATTAAATAGGATGTGATGTATGTTCCCGTTGGTGTGATGGTTAGTGTTCTCGGTTTTATGGGGTGAGGGTTGTTGGGTTCGGGTCCTTTCGGTGATAAATGATTTTTTGAGTGAAATTAATAATTTTTAAAAATCTTTAAAAAGCCTTTTCAACTAAAAAAATTTTTTTTATAATTTTAGAAACATGAAAAATAACTTTATTTTAAAATTATTATTTTTCCATCCATTTAAGGGTTAATCTCCCCCAAAAATATTTTTAAAAATAATTTCCATTTTTTTCTAGATCATCAATGCAATCCTTCATTAATTGATATTGGAAGTTCTTCAGGAGGAAATTCAACACATTATCAACCTACTTCAATTCCACTTCCAGTTAATTCTATAGTTTCTTTGGTTATTTGGTTTTGCTGTTTATTGTATGCTTCAATTCGTACTTCAGCTTATACAGCAATTGGAAAAATTGGGACAGATGGGGAAAATCGTGGTGGTGAAGGTCAGGACATCCCTTTAAGTAAGATTAAATTTAAGGGAAAGAAAAAAAGGCTAGGGAATTGATTAAAATTTTAAAAATTTCTGTTGATTAATTCTTAAAAATTTTTAAAGGTGAAGCTTCAGTCTCAATGGATGATGGTGGACATGGAACACGAGTTTATGACAATGAAAAGGAACGTGTTGCTTATTCTTATTCTTTCTTCCATTTTATTTTTGCTTTGGCATCTCTTTATGTTATGATGACTCTTACTTCGTGGTACACGTTAGTAGTTTTTTTTAATTTTTTGAGGGAAATCCGAGATTAAACCAAAAAGTTAACTCAATATATATATTTGGGTGGATAAAGATTTGGGAATATTTGGAGTTAACCTCTAAGTTGGAATTGATCCTCCTTTTTAGTTCGATTGGGAGTTGGCCTTTTGGGTGTAGCCCGAAAAAACTTTAAATTTTCTAGACCAACAAATTTAAATTTGAAAGAAATAAACAACAATATGGCATCTGTTTGGGTCCGTATTGTTTCTTCATGGCTTTGTGTTGGGATATATATTTGGACTTTAATTGCTCCAGCTTTGTTCCCTGATCGAGATTTTAATTTTTAAAGAAAAAAATAATCCAACGAAACATTGATAAAACTCTATTTACTTAGATTGTAAAAATGAATCCATCTGTACTTCTGACGGTTTCCGAACCATTTCTAAGCTTATACGGCACTGAAAACTTTAAAAAATAATTTTTCAAAAAATTTTTATACTGCGGATTTATAATTTTAAGAAATCACAATTGTTGTCCGAAATTGTCGTATCCGCAATCGTCGTCCGCAATTATTTCATCCGCAATCGTCGTACAGCCAATTTTTAGTCGTTTCAGGTCACACTTGATGACTTCTATATTTATCTATTTGGACTTTAATTGCTTTGATCTTGGTCGATTTTATGCCGTATTTGTAAACGGGTACACGACATTTAGGCGCGGCCAAAAGGCGACATTTTTCGGCGCAGCCTGTTTTCGGCGTTTACGGAAAAATTTAAATATACAAATAATAACTCATTTGCATGAGTTCGACGAGCAGTCTAATGATACCGAAACCAGCTTGATTTGTAATTATGCACAAACTCCAACAGAATATCCGCTGGAAAACTGTTTGTGCTACGGAGGGTAGGCCGGGCATGGTCTTCGCTGCGGTCGTGATCGCTTCGTCGCGGCGACCGTAGCGAAGCGGCGGCCGTCGTTCCGCTCGACATGCCCAGCTTCCTCCGCAGCGGCAAACTTCTTTCCGCGGAGGTTGATGTGTTTGTGTTTTTGCTCCAAACGCCGAAAACATGCTGCGCCGAAAAATGGCGCCTATTTGTCCCGCTCTGATGTAAACCTATTGTCAGACTCAATGGCTATTCTCAACCGTCTTTATATTAAAGAACAAATTGCCCTTTATTTATCGCTCATACATTACACCAAAAATAAATTTTTAAATTCGTCAGATTGAAAAAAATTAAAAATCATCTTTAAATGGAACACACAGATTCTTAAAAAATTACTCAAAATCCCATCTTTTCTTAATTGTTATCTCCTTGTCCAGGGAATGACTGATACGTTGTACCACTGACACCTGGATTCATTTGAGTGTCAGATGTAGAATGTTGTTGAGGAAAGGCACCACCAAAACCAGAACTTTGTTGTGAAGCATCAAGTTCACGTTCGATATCACCAAATATATTTTGAAAAGCTTGCCGTTCACCGAGATCTTCTGTCGGTTGTTGTTGATTAGTTGTTTGATCCAAAGAAGTTCGGGAAAGCAAGCTCTCGTTGAGTTTGTCCGATTTGTCCAAAGCCTTGTCAACCAGATTAGTATATTTCTCCAACAGATGTTCATAACGCTTTCTCTCCTCATCATAACGCTTCTCCCACTTTTCACGAGATTCCTTCTCCCGTTCTAAATCTTCTTTCTTTTGTTGTAATTGAAGATTAAGGCTTTTAATCTTTAAAAGAAAAAATAGAAAAAGTTTTGAAAATGAAAAACCTCGGCGTCTTTAAGGCGCAAATCAGTTTCCACTTCATAAGGCGGAGAGGAAAGTGCAGGTCGTTTTCGTGGACGACTTGTAGAAGCCGCGCTTGAAGGGCATAGAACGCCTAAATAAAAAATTTTTTAAAAAATTTATAAAATCAGCGCGTGTCAATGAGCATAAAAAGCTAAAAACAGAAATTAAATAACCTGATGGACCAGGTGGAATTCCCATCCATTTACAAACAAAACTCAAAAAGTCTTCAAAAGCTTAAATATTTTAAATTTAATTAAGAATTCAAAAAAAACTAACAACAGTCTATAAATCCATTCTCGTCCTGGTCAATTAGTTTAAAAGCATCCTTAACAAGACAAACAAAGTCTTGCCCTCCCGAATAAAATTTATCTCTCAAAGCACACATTACAGACAAAAACCCATCAAATTCTTGAATAAACATTTCTTTTAATTTGTAAAAAATCATTACCAAATCGGATAGTACCGCTTCTTGTTTGATCACGTTTGCTGAATGCATCAGTCACCTCATACAGGAGATGTACAAGTTTTTCAAAATTAAAAAACGTAATTGTTCCTGGGTTGTTCGGGCTTTGAAAGGTTTGCATAAAACGTTCGTACAGCGGATCAGAGAGAACGAAACCTGTATTTTAAAATTTGAATTTTTTGAGACAAAATATCGTCTTTGTATCCCCCTTAATCAAATCATTAATGACAAAAATGGCACGACCTTTCATTTAACAATTCAATAGAAAAATCCAAAAAAAAGGAAATTTCACAGAAAAGGAGAATCAAAACTTAAATTAGAATCTAAAATTATACCAAATTGGCTAATAGTTGACTTAAGCTGCTCTACGTTAATCGTCTCATTTATTGTCGGGTATGGCATAGCTTCTTGCTAGAAAATTTAAAGAATTTATCTCTAAAATATCAATTTTAATAAGGAAAACAAAAACGTGCTTCAGAAAATTATGACCCAGTTTGGATCCAAGTTATGTCACTATTGATTTTTTGGTTTCTTCTTAAAAAAGGAAAAGAGTTAAAAGGGGCGGGGCGAAACCACATAGGTATTAGAAAAGATCTTAAAAGAAATTTAGTAAAAACTTGCTACAAAGAGAAGTATTAAATAAACATTTTAAAAGCAGAAAAGTAATTTTAGGTTTGGCGTAATGTTATTTTTCTCCTTACTCATGGGGATAATTGAGTCCCGCCGGATGAGTTCCTAAGACATCAATAACTTTTTGGGGTTTCAACCATTTCGAATAGCTCTTTTATCTTTCGAAAGCTCTGGATGTGACGATTATTTTATCTAACAGGATAGTTTTAATCGGATCATCGAACAAAAGGTTACAACCAGATAAATGCGCTTAATCGTGATTTATGATCTTTATTAGGTCGTGACCTCAAGTGCTTTTGCATTTATTCGATTAAGAATCGAAAAAGGTAATTGGGCGTGTACTTGACTCAAATATGGCTCAGGGATTCAAACGCCAGGACTCAACTGGAACGTTCCGCCTTACAGAAGAATTATTGATTGTAAAATCAATAGAACAAGATGAGTACTTTCAAATATCTTTCCGCATTTTCATTTTTTTTTCTCCTAAAGCACACAGTTCTATCATCGGTTCTTCGAGACGAGCCGAAGAACTACATATTTCTTTTTAGTTCGAAAACTTGATTTTGGAATATTAGAAAATCGGTCGGTTCTTCTACAAATCTGAAAAATTTCGACTGCTGCGCTTCGAATCAACTTTGACTTCTTTTTTGTTTGGGTTTTGATACCAGAAGATATTTGATAACCGAATATTTCTACGCAAGCCTAATTCATTCGAAAGAAATGCGGGAGAAAATAGAGAAAACTGATAGGTTACCTGTTCATGAATAGTGTATTAATAGATCGGTATTTTTGAGAGTTTGATTATCGAACAATGCAGTGACGAGCTTATCTTATACCTGGGAATTCTAAGCCTGGAATTGGAGTTGGAAATTTTGGAAATTTCTTCGAAAAACGAGGAAAGGAGACTTGGAAAAGTGAATTTCCTCTAGGAAAAAGTAGATTAGGTACTAAAAATTCCTTCGGTTGGTTATCTCCAACCATTTCATTTTTATCCTCCTTCCTTTTCCTTTCCCCAAAAAATACACATGAGACAAAGTAAGTTTTAATAAAATTTTAAAGAATCAAAATCCTTAATCAGAAAAAGGTACACATGGGTCAGAGTAACATACTGTTAAGGATTAAATTTGTCTGAAAGGACACCAATTATTGGTTAACCGATCGTTTTATACCCTATTAGAAAGGTGTTTTTTAGATTATAATATTAAGGATTTTAATTCTTTAAAATTTTATTAAAATTTACTTTGTCTCATGTGTATATTTGGAGAAAGGAGTAGAAAAATAAAATGGTGAGAGATAACAACAACGTACTAGGAATTCTTTTCCATATCCATGTTTGGACCCTGGAAGGAAACAACCACTTGATCATAAATAGTCTTATTGGAAAATTACACCACAACATGCATAGGTAAATTAATTTATGGAGAGGAACGTTCCGTTTTAGAAAAAATTCTTTACGCCCAAAGATGTTCGGGTTCTCGTCCGTCCTCAACTGAAACAGTAGTCCTTCTCCTTTAGTTCAATCAGAAATATTTTTTTTACCAAAAAAAATTTTTTTTGGTATTTTCTGTTTGTTTTGCTCTATTTTTCTCCTTTTCTTTTCATATATTTATCGTGGAATTTTACTTCCTCCAATGGCTGTTTGCTACTTTTCACTAAAGAACTAACAAAAATACCGTGCTCTAAATTTTAATTTTCACAGTAATTTTTTGTAAACAAATGTAGCTACAAAGCGTGCAAAAAAAATTTATTTTTTCTTCTCATTTTTTTCCGTATTTAATATTTTTATTAAAACCCGAAACCTAAAGCGACTTTTTTGTAGATTAACTCTCTCAATTCCTCACGGCTCCAGTTATACCCCCTAAAAATTACTTTCATATGTTCATTATATATAAGAAATCTGCTGCTAGGTTCGGTTCGAGATCTACTGCTAGGTTCGAGACTTTTATCCAAATATTCTTATCTGACAATTCCAGGTGAAACAAAAGAGGTGAGTGAAAGATGATAGGCGTGAAAGAAAGAAAAAAAATAATAAGACGGAAAAGCGCTATTACTAAATTAAGTTTTGGAATGCTCTTTAGTGTGTTGCGTGGTTGAGTGGGTTGGTGTTAGGTTCATATTCTTGCTTTCCTTAATTTACTGCTAGGTTCGAGTCTGACTTATGAAAAAACAATTTGTTTCTTTTTTAATGTATAATACAAATTATTATAAACAAACTTTTTTATTCAAAAAGTTTGTTAAATTTTTTTAATAGATCCAAAAAGTTTAAAAAAATTCCAAAAAAGTCCAAAAACTCGATCCATTTAAATCATAAAAGGCTCCATCTATTTTTGGGACCAAATATTTTGATTTGACCTTTTGGGAGTTGACTTTAGGGTCACCAACAGGGTGTTGACCTTCTGGGCGGACCCATTTTTTTCTTTTAAAGTAAATAAATTACCTTATATTTTAACAAAATTTTTCCCATAAAAGAATAAACAATTGAAGAACTTGTTGTTAATTTTATAGCAAATTTACTCCATTCTCCTCTTTTTTTTTCTACTGTTTTATTTGCTGTATTATTAGTTAAAGTTGCGTATTTAACTGATTTAAATATATCAGCAAGCATTTCAAATGGTAATGATGATTGAATATTTGTTTTTGATTTTTTAGACATTTTTCTTAATAAAAAATTACAAATTTTTGGGTAATACTTAAGCTTTTTTGGTATCTCTTTAGATTGATGATTTTTTTGCGGATTTTTAGACTGGTATTCTTTTCAAATTTTTTTTTAAATGTGCGAAACAAAGGACTTTTTAAATATTTATATTAAATTGTTTCTGATTTACTTTACAAAATTCTTTTTGTCATTTTCAGTGTTGAGTATTAGGCATTTTGTCATTTTCAAAGACTGGCTCAGAAACTAGCCCTGAGCCATACCAGTCTTTTCAAATCATTTTTGAAAATTTGTAAAACAAATATTTGGCGTAGAAAATAATGTAACAACAAACTCTTTTAATTTAAAAAATCCGCAAAAAACGAATTTGGTCTCAATGCTTTCTTTTATCGAGATTAGTATTTAAAATGTAACTTACTATGTTGTAAAATATTTTATTATTATTGTAGTGATGGAGAAATTTTTGGAAATATTTAGTAATTTGTATTTAATGCCACAGAATTTTAAAAATTTTAGGATTTTTTATTTATTATTTTGTCCAAGACGCATACAAAAATGAAAGGAACGAGTTGAGATGACCTAGTGTACGTAAATATATCGATTTTTGGAGGAATGCTTAGTGTCGGCTGCGCTTGGATTCGTCCCTTTTTGTTTCGTCCCCCTGAACAAAACTTTTGTTTCGTCCCACTAAGTTAATAATTGACAAAAAGCTCTAATAAACATAGGATTTTCCACGTTGTTAAAAATCCAATGCTCTAGATAATTGATTATAAAATTTGAAAAATTAAAAAATGGATGGTAAAAAAATTGGTGATTGATGATCAAAAACTTGAAGATCTTTTGATGATACATTTTAAGCCTGAACAGCTTCATTTAAACATGTGCAACTTTAATCAAAGTTAATCAAGGTAAGATAGAATTTATCGATTTAAGTTACCATAATCGACAAATTTATACAGTAGCCATTGCGCTCTCAGAATTGAGCACTCAACCGCCTATACAAATCCCGATTAATTAAAAGACCGCTGCAATAAAACACCGAAATAGCCGAAAGCAGTTAAAAGACCGATTAATTAAAAGACCGCTGCAATAAAAGAACTAAATGGCCGAAAGTAGTTAAAAGACTGAGTAATTAAAAGGCCGATTCAATAAAAGACCGAAACAGCCTAAAGTAGTTAAAAGACCGAATAATTAAAAGATCGCTGCAATAAAAGTCCGGAACGGGCGAAAGTAGTTAAAAGACCGAATAATTATAAAAGACCAGTGCAATAATCAATTATTGATTGATATTGATTTTATCGATTATATTGATTTTTGAAGAATATAAATTTTGTAAAATTTTACAAAAACAAATTATCGATTAGTATCGATTTTTTAAGATTAAAATTTTTTAAGTATTACTATCACACTCAATGATCGCACTCAACCGTCTTTTATTTTTGGGATAAAATGTCATTTATTTGGCACAAGAAACATTACACCAAAATTTCGCAAACTTTCAAACTATCAAAATTTCACATTCCCGACATTATTTCTCGTTTCTTTTTCAATTTTTCTCTTAAATAAAACTCTTTTTTATCTTTATTATTAAAACAATTAAACAGTAATATAATTAATTAATGTTTCTGAGCAATTTCACTAAAAAATTGTAATATATCCTCAATTCCAACTTCAAGTTCAATTTTTGAGCCTAAGTAGCATTTAGAGATTAATTGTTGATAATGTTTAACTTGATTAAGAAATTCTTCTTGCATTTGTCTCCAAACAACTTGCAATAAAGAGGAATCATTACTACTCAAATGTTTCTCAATTTTTTTATATAAATTTTCCAATCCTTTTTTAACTTCTTTTGCTGGATAAGCTGTTGTTACTCGTTTTAATTCTATTCTAGAAAATTGTTGTTCATAACTAATTTCTTGTGGAGATATTCCATTTTCCATTAAACGTTCAATTCTTTCAAAGAAATTCTGAAAAATTTTTTTAAATTAAAAAAATGATTTTTAGTCTGTCAGGCTCAACTGTCTGGTGCTCAAACGTCCTTAAATTTATGGGATAAAGTGTCATTTATTCGGCGTAAGACACATAACACCAAAATTGGCAAATTTTTAATTACGAACAAAAGTTAAATTCCCCACGTTTCTCTAACCAAACATTTCTTCGCTCTCCTCTTATAAAAAATATTTTTCTACTTAAAAAATTAAAAGAATTTACATGAATTTTTTCTAAAGGTCTTCCCAGCATTTCTCTAACATAAATTGTAACATTTTCTTGATATTTTTGTCTAACTTCTTTTCGACGAGCATCCAAACAAGGAATTTTTAATTCCGAAAGTATTGCTTAAAAATTTAAAGTTTATAAGAGAGATTAGAGGGGAGCAGGCTCTGCGAATTAAAAAAAATCCTGGGGGACCTGGACAAAGCTCTAGGTAAACCGCTAAACCTGGTAAACTGGACATAGTTCTAGGTTCGAGGAGAAAAATCTAAAAAGGCTGGACCAGGATTATGGACATTTACAAAAAAAAACCCAGGGCTTCCGAAAATAATAAGAAATAGCCCTATAAAAACCCCTCATCCACTTTAGCTAAAAGAATGTTCAACCTCCTCCCCCCCTCCCTAAATAAAAAATTCAACAAACAATAAAAAGCATGAAAATTTTCCATTCTAACAACAGCAGCTGGGCATTTTGAATTTGGCGATTCAGCGGCATTATCAATCCCAATAATTATTGCTATAGTTAATTTTTCTAGCCATTTATCCAAATCAACTTTCCTTTCAGATTCCGCAAAAATTTTTATTGAAGATTTTGCCAAGGAGCCAAAACGTCCAATTGTATCCAAAATCCCAATTCTTTGTCGTTTTGTTATTGAAATTTTTGAAAATGAATTTTCTATTTGATTCTGAAAATTTTGAAACAATTATTAGGAAAAAATTAAAAAAATAAACCATTTGTTCGTCAGAAAGCCTTTTTAAGGCGACTAGAAAAGAGCCATAAATTATTGAAAAATAGGAAGAAGGATCACAAAAGTTATTCATTTTTCGTGTTAGTACAACATAAATTGAGATTATACTTTAAAAATAAAATTTAAAAATATTTTTTTAATATTAAAAAATAATTTATAAATTTAAAAACTAATTTTTACTTAAAATAAATAAATAGGCAGATGCTAGGTATCGAACCCGGACCATTTCTGTGTCTGAACCTAACCCCCTAACCACTCGGCCACTTCAACACTGATTGACATTTTCAATTTTACTAATAAAAGGAAATCCGCATTTTAATAAAAATAGATAAATTTATGAAGGGAAGCCTAGTCCTTAATCTATAATAAAAAAAAATTAAAAAAAACCACAAACGTTATATGATGATCATTATAAATAGAAACTAGTCCATAAAAATAAGTAGGTAAAGGTTCAAATATTCTTCCAATTGCAAATTTTATCTTTAAAAAATTTTTTTAATTTCAAATTAAAAAAAACCTGATCATTTAATTTATTTTCCATTGTTTTATTTGTTGATTCGCCTAGAAAATATATTTTTTATTATAAATTTATTTTAAAAACCATTTTTATTATTAAGTTCACTGTCCAATTGAGATATTACATCCGTATTTAAATGAAAAAAACGAATACAAAATTTTTGTTCACTTTCTACAACAACACGGCATTCAGCTACAGCAGTTTCTATTAACTATAAAAAATTATTTAAAAAATATTAAAAAAAAATTTTATAATTAGGAACCTTAGTTCAAGGTAAAAGATATCTAAAAAGGGCTGTTGACAGCTTTTTTGATTTTTAATTAATTTAAAAAGTTTTATATCAATCGAAAGCTCTGAATGTGAGGATTATTTTACCTAGCAGGATTGCTTTGATCAGAACATCTTTTAAAAATAGCCGAATAAATATAGAAAATTACGATTGAGCGCATTTACACGGCAGTAACTTTAGGTAGGATATTCAGATCAAATCAATCCTGTTAAATAAAATAATTCTCACATCCAGAGCTTTCAATTGATGCTATATTTATTCAAATCGGTTAAGAATGAAAAAAGTTATGGCCAAAATATGCCTCGAGACTGACACGGAAATTCCGATCTTTCCAATTTATTCCCTTGGATTTAAACGAAAAATAATGAAAAGGTAGGGGAATTAGAAATAAAAAGATGCCCAAACCCTCTTAAATAAAATTTTAAAAGAAAAACCTCCTCACATTTGTATAAACTTCAATATTCTGTTCATTAATTAAATTATTAGAAGAATTTTTCCAATTATTATTTGTTAAGGAAGAAGCTTCTCTTGTTGCCAATTCAGAAAAAAATCTATCAAATTCTTTTTTATATAATTTTTGTGCTTCAATATTATAACGATCCAAAACATTTTTATAAATATTTGGGCGTGTTTGTTTTAACCAAGAAATTAAATCTGAGAAGGGTAAAAGTGCTCTATGCCTTTGTGAATGTTTTTGCATTATTATTTCACCAATATGTTGATTTTCTAACATTGAATCCTACAAAGATTGATTTTTAAAAATTATTTTAGGCCTGCAAATAGATACTCGAAGAGCTGTCCCGTAACCACGAGCAACGAAAAAATCCTTCCGAATTTTTTAAAAAATTTTACGGGTTTCGCAGAGATTGTGGGACCTGTAAACCACGGATTGTGGACAACAAAAAAAGATTTTGGTCGATACTTCGAAAAAAACTTTAAAAAATAATCAAAAAAACCTCCTAACCATATTTCCAAAAATTGTACTGATATGTGCATAAAATCTGTCAACAAATTCTGATGTAATTTTGTTTAGCATTTCAATTCTAGAATGATAAGCTTGCATTGAATTTAATTCAGACTTTTTTGATATAAAATGATCAATAATTCTAGCAGCACGGCAACACAAATTTATACTTAAAAAGGGAGAAAATTAAGAAATATAAAGTAAATATATAATTGTGGGTTATCCTAAACCAGTTTTTGCGGACATATGTAGAATCATAATTTAAAAATAATTTTCTTTTTGTATCTGACCATTGTGAGTTCTCATAAAGACGTCCGCAAAAAATTTATTGGGATACCCTACAAGTACCAAAAAAAAATAAAAAAATCAAACCTTATAGGATCTGAAAGATTTGCATTTTTTAAAGCTTCAATATGTTGATCTTGTACCATTTCTAATTGATAAACGAAATCTTCTAGTTCAGTAGCCAATTTTTTATTATTTTGTTGTTCAATATGTCGAAGACTGTCCTTTTCTTCAATTAATTCTACACTGTCTCTAACAAACTGAAAATTAAAAAAATAAATTTTAAAAAAACAAAAACATTTAAAAAATATTTTTTAAATAAAAATACTTTAAATTCAATTAAAAAGGTTTAAACCGCAAAAGAAAAATAATTAGAAAACAACAGGACTCGAACCCATGACCCCAAACATAGCCAACCACTGACACTACCAACTTGACCACAACAGAACTCATACATAACCCAAAAAATAAGTAACATGTGTCGAATATAAAAATCCTAAATTTTATTAAATCAAACCGATAACAACGTGTCATATTCATCCAATTGTTTTTCTACACATTCTGCCAATTCAATAGCTGTATCAATAAGTCCAATAAGTTCAGCAACATTCTGTTCATTTTCCATAATGCTCGATAAATTTGCACTGTCAAGTTGGGAAAGTTGGTCATTTAAAGAAGTCGAAAATTGTCTAGCTTGGCCTATTTGTAAGTTGGCTTTTTCGAGTAAATGACGAAAATCGTTTTCTTCTTTTAATGAAATTGGCTATAAAAGGGATATTTTTTGATGAAAAACTCCTTATAAACCTGATAATTTGTATCCAATTCAGCAGCAGTTTTTGAGTCCCCATCAAAATTTTCTTCATTAACGCTTCCATTTTTTGAAGGTAAAGTATCAACAGGTAAAGAAACGTTAACAAATTCTGGTTTTTGAATGGGCAAATTGGCATTTGAAAACTAAAAAAAATACTTTATTTTTCATTCGCAAAAACAAAAAAACCTTAAATAATTGTCTGATAAAAAACTCTTTTTCTTCTGCAGTATTTGAATATAGTTGATATAATTGTCCTTTAATAGTCAAATTAAAGTCTGGAAGAGGCTAAAAATAGTTTAAATAAAATAGTAGAAAGGAAAGAATTTTTGCGGATTTTTGGGAAATGTTCGCAACTCTTTCCGCAAATTAGGCAAATGAATAAGTTTAAAGAAACCTTTCTAGGATTTATTCCATCGACAGATCGAATGTCTCTAAGAGCATAATGTTCCTTTTTTGAAAAAGAATTTTCCTTTTCTGATTTAACCAGCCAAATGCGTGCAGAAACGGGTTGTGTTGTTGTAACTTAAAGTAAAAAATTGTCAAATTTAAAAAGTGTGATGGGCAAAACTCAGTCTTCCAAAAACCCCAGTCCAGACAAAATTCGCCCGGTAAGACTTACCAGAATAAAGTAAACGAAAAAACTGTTCCAACATAGGATCGGTCGTCCTAATAACCGGAAATATTTAAGACGGAATCTTGTCTGAACGGTATTTTGTCTGGTTGTTTGCCCCAAAAGTAATAAAAATAAACTAACCAACTAAACACAAATACAATTCCCTTCCCTTTTTCAAAGTTTTTTTAACATTTGCAACAGCCAATAATCTTTCTCCGTCTTCCTGAAATAAAGCCTTTTGTAAATTTGATCTAATTGAAACCATAATTTGTTGAAAAATAAAACATTTAAGTATTCTAAAATAGAAGAAAATTAAAAAAAAATTCAAAAAAATTTTTAATCCAAAAAAACAAAAATGAGCCCATTTTTTATTTTTTAAAAGTTGCTAAAAATTAGCAAAAAATATTTATTTTGGCAAAACGTTTATTTCCTTTTTCTTTTCCCGTCTCTCATTTTTACACACTATTTTCACTCAGGAGAGTTTCTGTCAACATATTTTGCCAATTCCATATTCTGCCAATAAGGGTAAAAATCGACATTTTGTCAACAAATTCATAGACAAAATGAGAATTTTAGCCTTATTGGCAAAATGTCCATCTCGCAAAATATAAGTTGTCCAGCGAGTTAATTTCGAGATTTCAAGTCGTTTTTTTTCCTCGAGACCGAGGTTTCCACATCACTTAACTGTTAATTTTTTGCGTGGCTAGAAGAAGGGCGATCGGTTTTTACTAAACAAAATTAGGTAATAGTCTCGTTTCCCAGCCCCATTTTTTCCTCCCAATTTTCTACCCTATGTTTGTACGGAATGGTCAAATTTTCCCCTTTCTTTCATCAAATTTGCCTTTCCATATTTTGCCTAAAAACAATCAAAAAGATTAATTTTTTATTCATTTCTTTCACAAGGATAAAAAAGTGAGACATGATGCCAAAAATTATAAAAAACATTTTCAATATTGCCAAATCGTTTTTTTGTGGTCAGATGCGTACCTTCAAAGAAGGTACCACATAAATAACCTTAGAGTAAAGATTTTTTTAAAAAACTTGAAAAAAAGAACCTTGTCTTGCTCTACAATTTCTGGTTGTACACCGCCAACATCCATATCTTTCGTCATTCTTAACACTTATTGTTGTTCGACCCCCACATTTGTAGCAAGTTCTCTTTCCATGAAGAAGTCCAAGCTTCTCAAGCCATGCATCGAAATCATTATCACTCAAACGTAATTTTTCATATAAATCAATAGGTTTGAAATTCTTTAGTTCTTCCATTTTTATTAATTGGGAAAATGATTCTTCTCATTACTCTAATATTTTTTTAAATATCACAAATTAATCTTTTTGATTGTTTTTAGGCAAAATATGGAAAGGCAAATTTGATGAAAGAAAGGGGAAAATTTGACCATTCCGTACAAACATAGGGTAGAAAATTGGGAGGAAAAAATGGGGCTGGGAAACGAGACTATTACCCAAAATTAGTTTTTTTGTTCTGACTCATGTTTTTTATATTTTTTAGATTTTTGATTACTCAAAAAATTAAAAAGAAAAGATGCAAAATTTACTACCAGGCAAATTTGGGCAAGCAGCGTCTTCAGCTTCAGATTCAATGAAACAACAACATGATCCAAATTCCGGGTATATTTTTAAATTTACCGTAAATGCTCTAATGAAAGCCTTGGGCTTTTCTATTTTTAATAATCCCTTTAAATGGTCTTTAGATATGGGCGTTTATTAGAGAGTGGGACTGTATTAGAGCATTTACGATATTTGAAAATATTTTTGTATTTTTTCAAAGATTTCCTTGGTGGGTACGATTCCTTGCAAAAGCACTTGGAATTATTGGAGGATTTGTCGCCATGTTTTTTGCTGTGTTGGGACTTTTGACTTTAAGTCCTCGATGTGCTATTGCTTCTCTTTTACAGCTGTATTTTTTTCTATATTTTTTTTTTAATTTTTTTCTAATTTTTTAGAGCTGCCGGATTTTTGACTGTTGCTTTGGAAGCTCCTTTTTGTTGTGCTTTTGTTGATTTTATTGAACGAATTGCTCAGTTTTCCGAGTCAAGAGCCTACTGGCAAAAAGCTGCGCTTTACTGCATTATGGGAGCTGTAAGTTTTTTTAAAGATTTGACATTTTTTCTTCAATTTTCACAGATTCCATGTCTTATTTGTTTCGAGTTGGGAACAGTTTTGGGCACTGCAATGATTATTGCTGCTGGTTTCGCTTATGGATTTATGGCGCTTGGGAAGAAGTAAGGAAGATTTATTTATTAGAAACTTAAAAAAAATTTTCTAGAGCTGATCGTGACACAATGATGGGAAATATTGGTGGAGGTGGACAGGATCCTGCATGGAGTCCACAAGTTAATCAACCATTCCCACAACCTGCCGGATTTAATCAGCCATAACTTGATGAGATGAAGAGAGGAGCTCACCTCAAGGACACTGATATATAAATGTATTTTTCACTACATATAAAAGGAGGAAAGGTTTTTTTCAAAATTAGAGTATTTAATGTATGGGAGTAGGGAAGGGAATATCACCCTCGAAATGTTTTTTGAAGAAAACTCTTTCCTTCTTGACAAACTCAATGTATTCTTTCTTCTAAAAGATCCCTAGTTTTCCATTTTATTCATTTTCACACAAATTTTCATTTTATCCAATCCCTCTACCTATCATTACCAGGGATGTCACTCGGAATTTCCGCCTAGAAACCTGATCCTAGAAATTTTCCAGAACACGCCTCACTTTTTTCCTTCTTAAACAGCTAACGTACACGACCCGAACCCCGGACTTTTTTTAAACCAGTGACATCCCTGGCCCTACACGTCCTTTGGAAAAATCTCATCTCCAAACCTAGTATGTTTTCAAAACATTTTTGTCTATTTTCTTCCTCCTGCTCGATTATTCACTATTTTTATTAGTCTTTATTTTTGGCTATGTCTAAACTTGAAAAATATATATTGACATTTTTGACACTATACTTATTTTTTACCTAAATTTAAAAAAATAAATTGTCTGTGGTTGTGTTTTTTGAGGTATTTTTTTATTAAAATATTGAATATTTGTTGAATAAATGTGCACATATTTTTAAAATTAAAGAGAAGAAAAAAAGAGATTCGATTAAAAAAAGAATGTAAGAGCTGAAAAAATAGTCAAAAATTTTAAAAATATTTTCCAGACCTTACAAAAATAAATGGAGTATTGTAAAGCTTAAAAATGAGAATTAATAAAAATATTAATACTGAAGGGGTCGAAATGGTAAACTTAGAAATTTGAAAAATACAAAAATTTTGGTTATTTTTGTTCTAAAAAGTATAGTAGATTAGAACAGAACTAACATAAACTTGGACATATTTACATTGTTAGTAAACCCTTTAAATAAAAATCCAGTTATTTGCGGACAAAACTTGCGGATTTTCTGCTTTTTCAATTTTGTTCTAAACTACTTTAACATTTAGAAAGCGCTGTGGGTTTTAACGAGATTTGATTAAATGGTAAAAGAAAGGGAGAAAAGGATATGCTTAAAAAGTTGCTATAAAGGATATTTTAATCATGCCTTTTTGCAGAAAGTTTGTTAATCAACAAGCAATAACGGGTAAATGGAGAGCCCAATTTGTTAAGTTCTTCCATTGTTACACCCCAAAGTTCGACTGGAGGTTGGAGAACTCCAAATTTCTTAAATTTAAATATTAGGGTTTTCTAAATAAAAGTTAGTCCCGGCCCATCGAGAACTTTTTCGGGAAAGAGGATGTCCGTGAACAAGTGGATTTACTGACGGGGTTGTCGAGGAATGGACTGCAAGGAACGGGAATGTCGAGGGAACGTGGATTCCTAGGACCGAAGACGGAGAATGAACCAAAAATCATTATCTTCGGCCGGGGAATTGGGGACCAACCCTAGTTTCTATATAATAATAAATTTAAAAAACCATTTCATTAAGATCATGACGAAAAAGTAGTCGATTATTCACATTTAAACAGGTAATTGCTTCTTCATTGTCTATTGTAAGCACTTTATAGCGAAAAGTTGCGTCTCTTTCAATTCTCTAAAAATTAAAGAATCTAATTTCCAATAAATTAAAAAAACCTGTAAAATATTTTGCGATTCCTTATCTTTCCCAATAACCAAAACATCATTTGTTGCAACCGAAAGACGAGATTTTAGTGGCAAATTGCTTCCAATATTTATTGGGATAACAGAAAAGTCAGCAAAAGTTTTGGCGACGTGCTGAAAATTTTAATAGGTTATTCAATTTAAAAATCAGTTTTAAAAATCCAAAAAAAATTTTTTAGATTTTAAAGGATGGAAAAAAGACAGCCAAAAACAAAGCTTTCACAAGTAAAAATCGTATGACACTCAAACGATCTCGAACCATAGACCCCTATCGATCAAAATCTAAACCGCTAACCAATACACCACAAAACACTAATAACTTATTTGATAAATATTAACTATAATATTTCAATTTTCCTTTAAAAAATCACTTACCAACGCCCCCTCAGTATTCGTTCCATTTTTTCTAATCCCAACAAATATTTCCTTTCCAGTAAATAAAACATCAGAACCTTCAAGATAAACCTGTTTTCCATGCAAATGTGTTGGTGTATCCATAACTTGCCATGCCAAAACATTTAAATGGGCAATAAATTCGTTTGCTCTAGTTGTCGAATTTTTCTTATTTTGGCTTTTTGGTCTAGTTAATAAAGCTGTCCCGTTAATTAAAATAGCTATATCATCAGCAAACAAATTTTGAACAGGACAGTCTTCTTCCGGAGGTAATTCGATTACTTCAACGCCTGACTAAAAATTTTTTAATTTTAAAAAGATTTTTTTAAAAAACCTCTCTCAAAGTGTCGCTAAGATCTTGATGTTGTTTTGCTGCTAAAGCCAAATCAATTTTATTTTTCATCTTCTTATCTTCAAATTTTAGTGATGTTGGAAATCGTAGCATTATTGCGTGGGTATACTTCATGGCTAATTTAAAAGAAAGAAAAAAAGTGATTTAGACAAACTGAGGGTGGGAAAATCAGAAAAAATTTTTTTAAAAATTTTAAAATTGAAAAAATTATTTAAATTTTTGCATTTTTATTTACTAAATTGGCATTTTATTTATTTAATTTTAATAAATGACATTTCGGTTAAGGACGATTCAGTATCGCCGATTCAGTATAGCCGATTCAGTATCGCCGATTCAGTATCCGACGATTCAGTATATGGCCATAACTTTCCTGAAATTCGACCGATTTGAATAATTTTCATATCATTCGAAAGGTCTCGTGATTCGGCATCTTTTTCTTAATTAGTCCGATAAGATCTGATGATCACAAAAAAAGTTACAGCGTGAAAACCGATTTTTTACGCCTGTGACGTCGTTTATCAGTGATAACTTTTTGTAGAGTGATCAGATCAGGTCAGTCCAATTATGAAAAAGATGCAGCACCCCAAGGCCTATCAAATCATATATAATAATTCCCACAATATTTATCAAGCAAAAAGTTATGCACAAAAAGAACGAATACTGAATCGGCCAATACTGAATCGGCGATACTGAATTGGCGATACTGAATCGGCGATACTGAATCGTCCCCTACCCATGACATTTGGTCCTGTTTTTACGGTAACGGACGCTTCAGTATCTGCGAGTTCGCCGATTCAGTTTCCAGGCCATATTTTGGGCCATAACTTTTTTGATTTTGCTCCGATTCGAGTAATTTTCATATCATTCGAAAGGTCTCGAGATGCGGTATCTTTTTCATAATTGGACTGATCAGATCCGAATATCCTACAAAAAGTTAGAGCCTAATAACTATCGAAAATCACGATTGCCCGCACTTATTCAGCTGTAACTTTTTGTAGAATCGTCTGATCAAATCAATCCCCTTAGATAAAATACTCCTCACATTCAGAGCTTTCGATTGATATAAAAATTATTTAAATCGGTCTAGAATCAAAAAAGTTATGACCCAAAATATACCCTCTATACTGAATCACCCGATACTCAAGCGTCCTCTACCCCCATTTCCATTTTTGCTTAATTTAATGTTTGCAAGCACACGTGGAACTACAAAATCTTTTAGCGGTAATTGCGGTTTGTTATATTCACAATCAATTCTAATTTGAATGATAAAATTTTCTCTTTTAGATTACGAAAAATGAATATTTTTAGACTTGCGGGCGATTCAGCCCATTTATTGGCTATTTTAATTTTATTATGGAAAATTTGGAAAACAAAATCTTGTGCAGGTTTTTTTTAATTTTTTAATCGAGAATTTTATTTTAAAATTAATTAAAGGAATTTCTGGACGTTCACAAGTTCTTTTCTTTGTTGTCTTCGTTTCGCGTTATTTGGATCTTTTTACAAATTTTGTTTCAATCTACAATACTGCTATGAAGGTTTTTTTGGATTTTTTGTTTAAATTTTAAGCTAACCTCTAGGATACGGATTTATTTTTTGGGCGTTGGAAGGGCCCGAATTGACCATGTTGCGAATATTTCTTTGAAATACATTTTTACTACCACTAGGGTGTTGCTGAAATTTTTTCCTTCGCAGTTTTGATTTCTAAGGTATCACAGAAAAATTGGCAAAGGTCTTTTGCACAACTAAAAAAGGTATTTAATGGGAAAGTAGGGAAAAAGACAACAAAAAATAACTTCTCCCCCAAGCGGACTCGGACCCTCAAATTAAACCTTCAAAATCCAGAACGCTAACCACTAGGACACACATCAACAACATCTATTTTCAATAAATTTGAATAAAACTCCCCCAAAAAAACCTTAAATAATTTTTTTAGATTTTCTTTGTCGCTTCGTCAGTGGCTACTATTTATCTCATGTTTTTCAGATTTAGAGCTACCTATGATCGGTTTTATTTAAAAATTCTTTCTCTTTCCTCTAAACTTTATTTTTTAGAAACCACGACACTTTTCGAATTGAAATTTTATTGGTTCCAAGCGTGGTACTTGCTTTGCTGATTAACCACGAATTTACGCTTTTTGAGGTTTTTTTTTAATTTTTTTTGAAATTTTTTAAAAATTTTAAATTTAAGGTTCTTTGGACTTTCAGTATTTATTTGGAGGCTGTGGCTATAATGCCCCAACTTTTTATGCTTTCAAAGACAGGATCAGCTGAAACAATTACTGCACATTATCTTTTTGCTTTGGGTAGAAAATTCTTTAAAAATTTCAAAAAAAATTTTTTTCAGGAAGTTATCGAGGCCTTTATATTCTCAATTGGGTCTACAGATATTATATGGGTATTTTTTAAATTAAAAAAGTTTCAGAAAAATCTTTTTCCTTTCAGAAAATCATTTGGATGTAATCGCTTTGGTTGCTGGAGTGGCCCAGACCGTTCTTTATGCCGACTTCTTTTATCTTTATGTGACTAGAGTTGTTCAACAAGAGTATGATTTTTTGATTTTTAATAGAGTTCGAACCTGGGCAGTGTATCCGTGTTTTTTTTTTTTAATTTTTTTTTGAAATTATTGAGGCCTGTAGAAGCTCGGAAACCGGATATTTTAATGTCTGGTTTTTTGGTAGCCCGGATACCCCGGTCAGTCTTAAACAGAAAACCCCGAATACCGGACCTGGAAAATTGAAAGGTTCAAACTCTAATTAATCGAAAATACTTTTAAAAAAAATTTTTGTAGGCAAAAAATGCAACTTCCTGCTTAGAGGCATTGAAAATTGAAGAAGAAAATTTTTTTATATAAATTCTAAAAAGAAACAATTTTCTGTTTGGTCTTTGGATTGTGTTATAATATATTCTTTTTCTTGTCTTTTCGGTTTTCTTTTTTTTGTTAAGAACCCCACACCTTTCTATTTACCTAATTCCTTTTTTTAAATTATTTAAAAAATTTCCCCTCCCTTCCCCCCAAATTCCCTACTCCAAAAGGTTTTGTTAATTTATATTTATCTAATTTATTTTTGGTATAGGATAAAAAATATTTAAATTTATATTTTGGATTTATTTTTAAAAATTTCTCTGGTCTAGGGATCAATCACAAAGTTTTACGAGTCCAACTTGTCCCTCCAATTTTATCATTGAATTTTGCGGACTTTTTTTGTGGACTTTCTCTATTTTATTATAAAAATAGAAAAAAAAAGGTTAGAAAAAAATTCCAAAAAAATTTTCCGAAAAGATAAAAAGTCGACAGACACAACTTTAAATTAAGATAAGGAATATTTTAATTCTTAAAAATTCTCCCTTATCATTTATATTAATTTAAAAAATTAATTATTACCTCTCCAAAATGAAGTGTTTACTCCCCTTCCTTTGGATTTTATTAACAATTTTTGTTTGTTGTACTAATGGCACTTCAAATGAAAATAGTGAACTTGTTTTGGTTCAAGCTGTAAGTTAATTTTTGAAAATACTTGTAAGGATTGTTTGCGGACTTATTTTGCGGATTTTTTGAGGACTAGGTAAAAATCCGCAGAAAAGTTGCGCCGAAAAATCATGTTGAGAGACAATGTAAAATAAGAGACTTTCTCTGACCTACAGAGAAAATTTTAAAATTTTGGCTCCTTTCTGGTTTTTTAAAAATAATTTTTTCTAATTTATTTTTTAGTTGTGGAGACACGGTGATCGTTCACCCACAAAAACCTTCAAAACGGATAAATATCAAGAGAAGGATTGGCCTCAAGGATGGGGGCAATTAACACCTGTAGGTTCTCTAACCTTAAAAAATTTCAAAAAAATTTTTTAAAGACAGGAATGGCTCAACATGTAGAGTTGGGAAGAAGACTAAGACAGCGATATATAGAGGAATTGAAATTTGTTGGTCCTCGATATAATAGTCACGAAATTTATGTTAGAAGTACAGACTGGAATAGAACATTAACTAGTGCTATATCGGTTAGTTAAAAAAATCTTTTTTTAATTTTTTAAAATTTGCGGACTTTAAAATAAACTTGCGGACAAAGAAATTTGTCCGCAAAAATTTCCTTGTCCGAAAAATTTTTTTTTAGAATTTTATCGGGTTCTACGGCCCCGGAAATGATGATGAATACCCAAAGGATTTGGGCGCAAACAAATGGCCAGGATGGTATTTCCCAATAGCTATACATTCACTCCCAGGAAACGAAGATTTTATGGCTCCTGGAGAATCGGAATGTAAACGATTTGAACAAATAAAAGAGCGGATAACTTTAACAGAAGAATACAACTCGACTTTGATTAAATACAAATGGCTACTCGATTTTTTGAGTGAAAAGACGGGACAGAATCTTGACCCTTTCGATATGTGGATGATTAACGATGCTTTTTATATTGAGGTTTTTTTTGATTAAAAACGAATTCTTTTAATTTTAAAAAGAAATTAAAAGGAAAAAAATTGGTAGACTGGGCAGAGGGGAACCAGACACTTTTGGATGCGATTGCTGAACTTGACAACTTGCAAGAAAGATGGATGGTTGGGTTAGGTAATTATTTTAAATTTTGTGGAGAAATTTATTTGTTGAATTCCTGTTTAGAAAATTTTTCGGACTGTCAAGATAAACTTGCGGGCAGAAAAAGTTTGTCCGCAAAAAATTTCGATATTTTGCGGACAGAATTTTTTGGTTTTTTTGTCCGTAAATATCCCCTCCTTCATACTCTTTCCAAATTTATTTTAAAGATTTAAAACCTCTGGGTGATGCCAACTTTCGCGAAGAACTTCCAAAAATTTTGGGCGGGCCAATCTTATGGAAATTTATAACAAATATGCAGGAGAAGTTGGCTTGTTCAAAGCGGATGAATTCTGTAAAGGAAATTGACAGAGAAATAGAAGGAAGAAAATCGCCAATAGGGACGCCCTTGTGTAAATGGATGAACAAAATGCGCTATTTTGCTTATTCTGCGGTTTATTTTTTAAATTAAAAAGGAACAGAAATTTTTTTATTTTTTAGCACGACAGCACAATTATTGCTATTTTTGCAGCTTTGGGTCTAAACAAAACGAATTATGATGAGGATGGTTACCCGAAGTACTCTACCTGTTTAACTTTGGAATTATGGAGGGAGAAGGATACTGGTCAATTTGATGTTAAGGTTTTAATCCTTTAAATTTTAATTTAAAATGGGAAAGGTTTTGGGTATAACGAGGTTTAAGGGAGAAACATGTAGACTAGGGATGGGACGTGTTGAGAAGAAAATGTTGGATCGGGGTTTCAGCTCTTCGAATGGATTTCTGGTCGAAAAAAGTTTGAAGTTTCGAATGGCCTGACCTATCCTGCTGTTGACTGGGTCCCGAGTACATCCTAAATAGAGAATCTAATAGTGGACTGACCGGTCGATTATTCTTCAACGTGACCTGGATTTGTCAATTAGATCACTGAATCACTCTGGGCTAATAATATTTACCCAATAAAAACCTAGCGATTTCTGCAAATAAAGTCCGCAATTTACCACTAATTTTTCCGGGTAATCATTTATTATTTGAATTTACTATTTGGAGCTTTACCTCTCCCCAGAGAGCAGGAAATATAGGAGGGGAGGAAGTTTTTACTGTGCTTTGAGTGTTGGCTGTGCTTGTGAACTATTCGCTACATAAAACTTGTGGACAAATTTTGAGCTGGTTGATTGTTTTCCCTGGGAATAAAACGAAATTTTTTTATAAGTAGGAGGGCAAAATTTGGTTTAATCAAAAAGAAATTCAAAAAATCTTAGTTTTATTTTGTCCGCAAATATTGTCCGCAAATCTGACAAAAAAATTTTTTCAATGCAGGTGCTTTTATGGAAGCCTAACACAAACGAAACTTCACCTAAAGAAATAACAGCAGAGATTGAAGGATGTCAAAACAATTCTACGCTGGAACGATTTGTTGAAAGATCAAAGTCTTATCAAATGCTGCCTTCACCCAAAGACGTAAAAATATTTTCTAAAAAAAATTTTTATTTTTCAAATTTTCAAGTATTGTTCACAACTTCTACAACCTCTAAATAATGCTGCACGTTTGTTAATTCAGTGGAAATTGAAAATGTAAGATTTTTTTAAAGGAAATTAAATTTATTTAGATTTTTAGGCTCATTCTAATGGGAATTCCTTCAATTGTTGCTAATGTTGTATAGAGAATTTTTTTGTTTTTGGAAATTATTTTTAAAAGGTTTTTTAATTAAAATTTATTTTTTGAACAAAAGTTGGGCTTTTTTAGTTTTATCAAGGAAAAAATCAAAAAAATAATATTAGATTAATAAAGAAGCAAAAAAATAATTGATTAAAATTAGGTTATTTCTAAATTTTTCTCAATTTTATTTTTTAATTTTTACTTCATATTTTCTTCAATTATTCTCTATTTTTGAGCAGTAACACGTAGAACTCCATTGTGAGTCAGATGTGACTTTAAAAATATTTTTAAAAATTATTTTTAATTTTTAAAAAGTCCGCAAGTTTAATCCGCAAATTTTTCAAAAAATTCCTAAAATATTTTATGATTCTTTCTCTTCCTATTTACATTCACAAATTATTTTTGTTCTTGTATGGAGCATTCAAAACCTTTAAAAACTTGCAGACATTTAAAAAATTAAATATCCAACCCAAAATGTCACCACCCAAAATATCACCCCCTTTAATTTACCTTAATAGTCTGAATATTCACATTGTCAGGCAATTTATAGCTACGATTAATTTCACGACTAACCGACCCATGTTGATCACTACGCGATTCGTGTTTGCAATGAATGTTTAAATGATCCCCAACAACCTTAACCTTTTTTAATTTTTTTTTGATTTTTAAGAAAATTTTCAAACTTCAATCTCGTTTGGAGTAAAATAGGCAACGTCTAGACCAACTTCCCAACGATTGGGCAAATCATGAATACGAACAACCCCGTCGTTGTGTTGTAAAGGCCAGTCCCATTGTTGGGCTGTCCATTCATGGGTAATTTCGATTGGTTGGGCCATTCGAAAAAATTTTTTGAGGGAAAATTAGAAGGCTAAAAATAAATATTTTTAAAATAAAAGCAAGTTTTTGTTACACTAAAATCTTTGTAAATAAATATCTTTTCTCGATCGAAGCTTCAAGTATCCTCCCCTGATCATCTTTTAAAAGAGGGAGGACATATGCTTCTCTTCTTCTCTTTTATCAACAACAAATCTTCTCTTAAAGACCAAGGAATGAAAAAAAAGTATTTTTAAATGTGTGGTAAACAGATTTTGAAAGAAAAAAAGCTTTTAGACATTAAAGATGAAAAAATGAGTTAAAAACAAATAAATCTTTCAAAAATATTTTCATCCCTTTGATTTTTTAATTGGTGATATTTTGGGTTTACTCTGTAGGAAGTAAATTTTTTTGGTCTAGTGGATAACGTCTTTGACTACAAAACCTATTTAAAGAGAATGGGTAGAGGTTCGATTCCGGCTAAGAGTAAACATTTTTTATTTTATAAAAATTACAATTTTAAATAAAATTTTTCAATTTCTTCACATTTTAACAATAAAAATGAAGAAAATAAAATAGATATCCAAGTGCTGTTGGGAAAGGAAAAAAATAAATTGAGAGAAAAGAAAAAATCACACAAAAAATTAATAAAAAAAATATTTTTTCTTTTTTTTAATCCAATAATTTTTTTAATCTCTTTTAAAAATCAATTTAATTTTAATTTAAAATATCAACGAGCAAAAGCAAAATTTCTTAAACTTTTCTTTGCAAAAGCAAATCTGGCAAAATTGTTTTCTCCTCCAAATTGGCTTGAACGTTTACTTTAAAGAAGAAAAAATTTTTCGATCAAAACAAAAATCTCTTTTCTTTACTTGATATCATTATTTTCATCAAAATTTTCAGCAGCTCTTTTAGCAAAAGCAAATGTTCTACTTCCAAAAGGATTATCACCAAATGAACGTTTTGCAAAAGCAAAATTCCTCATTCCTCTTTTGGCAAAGGCAAATTGCCTGGGAGAAAATCGTTTTTCTAGTAATTGTTCCAAGTCTTCGTTGGCTAGATTTGCCTTGAAAAATTTAAAAAATTTATAAAAAATTTTTATTTAAAAAATTAAAAATTTGCGGACATTTTAAAGTCCGCAAATTTTGTCCGCAAATTTTTGCGGACAAAATTTTTTTTTATTTTTTCATCTTTTTATCTTCCCCTACCGTCTCGTTAAATAAAAAAGAAATTCAAATAAAAATATTTTTGTAAATAAGTGTATAAATAATCCCCTTTTTATTATCCTTTAGGGCAAAAGAAAAGCAAAAAACGTCATTCCCTCCATTTTTGGACAAACTTTTAAAAATATAAAAATTGTTAAAAATTGTCTAGGGAATTATAGCAACTACTCAATTATTATTTATTTTTTTCTTTTAAAATTTTTAAACTTTTTAAACCCAAAAATATTTAGGTGGAATTGAAATAAACAAAAAAACTGGAGGAAATTTTGATTAAATAAAAATAAAAATTTTTTCTTTTAAAATTACAAGTACCAGTGCTACAAAAAATTAAATAAAAGTCTAATTTTTAATTTAAAAAATATCTGAAAAAAATAAATAAAGTTTATTGCCCACAAACACTCAAAAAGTAACCCACGGGATTCGAACCCAGCACAGTCAGAACCCAAGTTACCCCACAGGCGGGACTTCTACCAACTTAACCACCGACCAACTCATCCTCCCTCCAATATTAACTACCTATATATTCAAATTAAACTTTAATTACCAACCTTTTGTTCATTATTTTGTTCTCCTTTAACAAAATTTAAAGCCAACAAAGAACAAATTAAAATTAAAATTGCGGCAAGAGAAGACATTGAAATTTTAGTTGTTTGCATTTTTGGAGGCGGATTTAAAAATATAATTTATTTTTATATTCCTTTAAAAATTAAAAAAATTTTTGAGTAAAAATTAATCCAAATTAAATTGATTATGCTTGAATTAATTTTTAAAAAATATTTTTTTAAAAAAGAACTTTTAAATAATCTATTAAAAATTAATTAAGGCGGAAAAACGTCGTTTAAAAAATAATATATTTTTTAATATGTAGTGTCAGGACAACCCACCGTCCGACAAAATACCGTCCACACACTAAAACAATAATTACCGGCCATTTCGTTTAGAATAAAAAGTGTTAAAATAAAATTTTTAGACGTAGAAGCGTAGAACTAATCAAGTACTAGCAGCCAAAGATATTGAAATAACCTAATATCAACGCAAATCCAATTCTAGCGTCAAAACGGTATTTTGTAAGACGGTATTTTGCCCCTCAACTCTTATATATAAATAATTATTATCGTTTAATTTAAGCAGGTGTTAAAAAATAATTAATTGCGCAAGCAAAAAATTATTAATTCAGATTTAAGTTAAATGCCTTTAAATAAGACCTAAATAGAGAGTACTCTTAATTAGCTAAAATTTTTTTAATAATTTATAGCTAATCCCAATTAGCTTCCGGCAAAATTTAAATTAAAAAAAAATATTCAAAAATATTTAAAAAAAGATTTTAAAGATATGTATTCTTGGTATTATTAAATAAAAGAAAATATTTTTTTATTAAATTCGAAAAAAAAATTTAAAAAATTTAGACTAAATAATTAATATTTTTATTTAAAAAGGGACAATGACCCCCTCCCTTATAGAAAATTTTTAAAAATCTTTTAAAAAATTTCTAGAAAATTTTAAATTTTTAAATTTTTTTTTCATGTAAATATTAAAAATAAAAAGAAAAAAAAGTCGGGAGTGGCCGTGAAGGACTGAAGTGGATATACTATTTTAGAAGAAAGGCGTTGGGGAATGGCACGCCCATTAAATAAAAACCCATATTTTTTTATTAAATTAATTTAAGGATATTTAATTGAAACAATAATTTAAAAAATATTTTTGTGATTTTCTTTGAATTAAATTTAATTTTAAAATTAAATTTATTTTATATTTATTTTATTAAATTAAAAATTAAATTGATTAAAGGAGTCAAAAAATAAATTTTTATAATTTCCATATAGAGGAAAATTAAATAATAAAAATTCCGCGAAAGTGTATTGGGGGGAATTTATAGAGTAAAAAACTTTTTAAAAATTAAAATTCCACTAATTCTGGGACCTGTGGAAATTACCTGGAATTAAAAGTGATTTTCTTTGAATAAATTAAAAAGTACATCAAGTATGGTAGACGTAAATGGACGTAAAATAATTACCCTGAGTAATTATTTGTATTAATCTCTCACTGGTGAGGGTACTTGTTAGGGAGGGGGCTATACCGTAACGAGCCGTGTACTGATTCCCTAAATCTAAAATTCCCGACGTCCTTTTCTGGATCGGGATTCCAATTTGCTGTAATCAGGAAGCTTTTTATGTCGGCTCCTTCCTTATACGTGGACCTATGGAATTAAAATAAAAATTTTTAAAAAATTCTTTTAACTGCGCAAGCCAAATAATTTCATAAATCTAATAAATATTCATTGTTTTTAGCAAAATAATAAAAACCAAAAATAAATATAGGTATTTTTATTAAATTTATTTTTATATTTATTTTTTTACCCACACCCATAAAAATAAAAATAAATCTTAAAAATAATGTCAAAATTAATTTGCAAAAATTAAATCAAAAATAAAAGGAGTGCCGAGAATTCCTCATAAAAATAAAATTAATTTAAAAAAATAATATTTTTATTTAAAAAAAAGGAGAGAAGGATACCTAGAAGTACATTAAAGTAGACGTAAATGAACGTCAAACTTAATTCTAAAAAATTTTAAAAGGAAAAATATTTTTTTGTAAAAGTATTTTTTGAAGGATGAGTAAATGCAAATAATATTTTTTTAAAAATAAATGTAAATAGAAGGGATATATTTTATTTAAATTAATATTGACTTGGACGGAAGTAATAAAGTATATTAAGGATGATATGCAAAAAAAACAAAATAATAAAAAATATTTATATCAAAAATAATATTTTTGACATTTTCTAGTTAAAAGACTTCCGTGTCTTTATAAAAAACAGAAAAAAATTTTTTTGGAATTTTTTGAAGAAAAAAATAATAAAGAATAATTAATTATTACTGGTGGTGACCTTATCCTCTTTCTCCCCGTATATCACAAAAATTTCGAATCTTTAAAAAAAACGCTGAAACATGTCAAAAGAGATTCGAATTAAGTTTTCAACTGGTATATAGAACAGGTATACCCATAAAGCAATGACAGGAATTATCTAACAACTTAAAATAACAGCAATAGGTATCCCTTCAATATACACCTAAATTTTTCAAAAAATTTTTCGAAAAAATTTTTTCTGACAAATTATAATGCTTATCTTGCCAAATTTGGTTTCAAACAAATATTTCAAGTCTTAAATTATTTTATAAAAAAGAAATTTTCAAAATAGGTCACGAATAAACAAAAATATAGACAAAACAAATCTAGTAGTTTTAATTAAGTTTAATTAACTTTAATTACAATTTAATTAATTTTTAAGCATTTTCACCCATTAAAAGACAATAAAAACACAAAAATCTTTTTTTAGATATTTTAAATTAAAAAACAATCCATTTTTATTATTTTTAGCCTAATTTGGAAACAAATAAAAATTAAAATAAAATACGTGGGAAGTAATAAAATAAAGTGGAAAAAAATATATTAAATGATTGAAAATTGGATTATTTGATGGCAAACAGGAAATTGGAATTTTTCTCCTTTATTTTCAAGAAATAAATAAATGAAATTGATACTAAGTAAACAAAAAATAATTTTCCAATTAAATTTTAAAAATAAATCTTAGGGAAAGTGTCCTTTATTTGGGGGTCTAGACCTCAACTGAGTCTCGGCCTCATAACTTTGGAATAAATGAAGTTTTTAATTTCTTCTAAATTTTATTAAATAGAGAATTAAATTAGCTTTAAAACAAAATTAAATTGATAAATTTATATTAAAAACAAAAAAAAGTTGGAAGCAAAAAATTTAAAAAAATCAATAAAAAATTTTTAATTTTCGACCTTCTTTTGGCCATAAAATTTTTGTATAAATTTTTAAAAATTTAGCTTTTAGGCTTTTCTTGAAGCCAATTTTATGCTCTATCGAATGATACCAAGAATACCTAAAGATGGTTCATCCTTCGTCGATATATACGAAAAAGTATCACTGCACATGATAAAATAATTTTAATAATATTCTCCTTTATTTTCTCATTAAAATCTGTTAAAATTCAAGTAATTTATTTTTTCAAAATTTTTACTTATTTTTAAACTTATTTTTATTTTTCTTCTTTTATTTCTTCCTTTACCTCCTCAATTTTTGGAATTTCCCTTTCTTTATTGTTCAATAATTGTGCACTAATTAATTCGGAAGACTCCAAGGCTGACCGTTTTTGATTCCATTCTCTTTCAACATTTAAATCTTCAATTCTACGCCATTCTTCTAATGAATCTATTCGATTATGAAATTCTTGTTCGAGAGCTGTCTAATTTTTAAAAGAAATTTTTAAAAAATTTTTTTGAAATTTTTACTTGTTTTTCGCGCATTTCTTTTTCCAATTCAGAAAATTTTCCTTTCCATTCAGTATGGACCTAGAATTAATTTCAATATGATTATATTGCTCGAAGAAATTTTAAAGAAAATTCTGAAGTTAATTCCCCCTGGTACTATCTATAAAATCAACAAAGTTGCCTCGGGTCCCTTCAAGTTCCTTCGGGTCCCTTCACGTTCCCTCAATCCCTCAGGATTCCTCGGGTCTCTTCAATATCGAAAGTTAACTCTTAAAGATATTAGCCACCTAAATCCAACAATCTCGACAACTAATTCGAAAAAAAATCCTCCAAGTTCCTTACTTTTGCATGTTCCAACCGCCGTCTTCTATCAATTTCAGCAGCCGCCCTTTGCAATTCAGCCCTCCTATCCAACCAATTAGCCACTCCTGTCAAGATTCGGTTATTTTCTTTTGCCGCTCGGGAAGCATCTTCAGCCTCATTTAGAGCCCCGTTTAATTCCAATTCGAGTCCTCGTTGAAGTGATTGGACCTTTTTTGTGATTTTTTTGGAATTAAAAGGAAATTACTCACCCAAAGATGCCGTGGATCCATTCTTTAATTTTTAATGATTTTTAAAAATAATAAAAAAATAAAATTGAAAGAACAAATTCTTCTTTGATTTAAATCAATAAAAAATGAAAGAACGATTGGGGGGATATAGTGGGGATAAATAAAAAATTAAATGTTCTGATCACATGCTTTTTTGTTTTTGAAAAAGTTTCTTGTTTCTCTGTTCCTTTCGATTTTTTTAAAAGTTCAATTTTTCTTTTAATTGGAAAATTCTTGGAAAAGAATTTAAAAAAAATTTAATAAATCAAAATTTTTTTACAGTAGCGGCAAAAAAATACAGAAAAGGACAAATGAAATGAAAAAATTGCCTTATTTTCTCTGTTAAAATTTTATTTTTAGGAAAATTTTTGTTTGAATATTTAATTTAAATCTTTATTTAGTAAGTGTAAAGCTTGCCGGATTAATATCTTTTGGTATCCAGCCTAATACTGAAAGTATAACTAAAATCAAACATTCTCATTAAAACAATGTTTCTTCATATAAAAACAAATGTTTTACTAAATCATCGCAACATTTTTAAAACAACAAACAATAGGTCATTTCCGGAAACGTCAAACAAACATTCCCTAGCGTCAACAAAAACAATTATTAATTTATCTTTGATGTCATAAAATGAAAAAAAATTTTTTTAATTAAAATTTTACATTTGATTTAACAAGATTTTGAGAAAAGGAAGATTTAAAAACGAGAAAAAATAAATTATTATCTCAACCGTTGACAACTACGTAGAAAACTTTTTGTCAAGTATTTGGGAGGAGTTTTATATTTAAATAAAATAAATAAATATTCTCTCCTTTTTTAAAAGTAAAATAAAAAATCTTTTAAATTTAATTCTTATCAGATTCTATTAAAAATTTAAAAAACATAAAAATGTTCCTAACCTTTAAATATTTACTAATCCTCGTTATCTGCGAGGTTTTAATTAATATTGTCTACTCTGCTAATAAGTTGGTTGTTTTTAATTTTTGGGGGAAACAAACAAATTAAATGTTTTCCGGAAAGTCTTATAAGAGTATAGACAATAGGAAAACTAGGAGATTTTCTCTAACGTTTTCCGGAAAATGTTTCTCATAAATTATTGTAAGAAATTAGAGACAACGGGAAATTAGGAGATTTCCTCTAACACTTTCCGGAAGAGATGTGAGAGAATGTTTTCCGGAAGATGCTTATATTTATTAAAAGATTAGAAACAACGTAAAACTAGGAGACTTTCTCTAACCTTTTCCATAAATTTAAATATTTTCCGGAAAGCTTGTTTATACTAAAAACATTAACAAAAGGTTTTCCAAACAAACATTAAACTTGTTTTTATAGTGAACAACAACATTCACTCTTGGAAACAAAAACACAAAACAACAATTTGCCCCGAGAAATGGACAAACGTCATTTATTCAGTCTTTACTCAATTTTAAATAATAAAAGAAGCGATTCCAACTTTCTCGGAGGTTTTGACGCTCTTTCAGTAAATACTCGATCGCTTGAAGGAATTCGAAATAATTGTTATTTCTCTCCCATTCAATGCTATTATATGGAGGAAAGAAAACGTCGGAGTGTTAAATAATTTGATGATTTTTAAAGGAAGAAAACTAAATTTTTTAAAGCTTTTTTTTTATAAAAAAACATTCCAGTATCTCATTCTCTTTAAATATTTTCCTCAATTTTATTTTTAAAAAATTTTTGATGGGAATAAAACCAAGCTTCATTTTAATAAATTTTAATTATTTTTTAATTATTTGTAAAGAACATAAATTTTAATAATAAAAACTTTAAAATATATTATAGACAACAGGAAAAGAGGAGAGTCTCTCTAACATTTCCGGAAATGTTTGTATACTCGATTCTTCCGGAAAATGTCTAATTTACATACTATAGGCAACGGGAAAAGACCTTCTCTGACCTTTTCCGGAAATGTTTTTATACTCTAATTGTTCCTGAAACTGTTTAAAACATATTTTCCGGAAGCAAGAATCTCTCCTTTAAGCATACTATTTTCTCTCTAATTTTTCTCTCATCTCCCACCAAAAAGCACTCCTTGCAATACTCCCACCATTCCAACGCCAAAGGGGCCATAGGGACATAAAATTTAAAATTTTTCAAAAATATTCCTTTAAAAATTAAAAAAACCATTTCCTCCTTGTGGAGTAGATCCTCTTCTCGGAGCTGTCCAGTCAATAAACATTGGATATTGACGTTTAAACCTTTTATTGGAAAATAATTAAATTCCCCTCCCCACAAATTCACCTTATCTCTGCCGAATTAATTTCAATAAAAATTAATAAAATAAAAAATAAAAAGAATAAATTAAATAAAATTTTCATTATTTTTTTGATTTTGTGTTTCGGTAAAAATGCGTAACAATTTTTTAATTTTTTTGATAAAAAAATATTTTTAAATTCAACAAAAATTTTTTAAATTTAATTAGGACAACTCAAAACCTGAATTTAAACAAATTTAAAAGAAAACAATTCGGGGAACAAACACAGAAAATTGATTTTAAATAATTTTATATGATTGATGTCTAAATTTTAAATAAAATGTTTTAATTTTATTTGAAATTTTGAAAAATTTTTTAAAACAGAAAAATGTATTTTTTAATTGAAAAATGAATTATTTTTTAATTAATTTCTTTATTTTCTCCTCATTTTTATTTAAATTTCTGGACGGAGAAAAAAATTTAATTAAAAGGTAAAGAATTAAAATACCATAAAGTCTAATTAAAGCCCTGGGCTTCTATTTTTCAACATTCTTCTTGGCAGGGCTTGTATCAAAATGTGGTTCTATTAGAGAGTGAGATGGGGTTTAAATAAGGCCCCCTTAAATTTAAGGTAATTTAAAAATTTGAATTTTAAATTTAAAAGGTCTTTTGATGATTATGACGGCGGCGATTCTCCTCCTTTATTTATTGACTGGACCCAGCCGAGAATAAATCCACAACCAAATTCCTTCTACTATAAAAACAAACCATAGTAAGCACAAACAAAAAAATTAAAAATACGTTCCGGAAAACTTTATTTTAAAAGTTCTGCCGTTGAAAATGGAGAAAGAATATATCCAAACAAGAATGGCAAAGGAAAAGGAGATTATGGGCCGTTTGGTGTTGGTTTGGTTGGATTGATTAAAGGAGAAGGGAAAGAAGAAAGTGAATCGTCTCCATTGAGTTGGCTACGAGGATTATTATTTGGGGGATAATTTCAAAAAAACTTTTTGGACTAAATGAAACGATTTGTCCAGCCTTAAGGGGAGAGGGATCTAATTGACCGTTCTATTCTTTTTTGTAAAATCTTAAATTTAAAAGAAATATATGTAAATAATTTTTTATTAATTATTAAAAGGCACAAAATAATCTCACTCTATAATTGTCATCCTAATTAATAATTGCCACACAAATTTAATTAAATATTTAATATAGAGTGAAATATAAATTAAAAACAGTTAAAAAGTGAATAAATTTTAAAGAGAAATTTTTTCTGATTTTTTATAAAAATATTCTTTCAATAATTAAAATATAGAAAATAAAAATTAAAATAGTTAAAAATGAGCACCGTAAAAAGCGATTATTGCCACCATTACAAAGATTGGTTGAGCAGAGGCACAATCTTTGCAAACTTTTCCTTACTTCCATAGAACCGGGAAGAAAATTTCTTAAAAAAATTTTCAAAAATTTTTGTGAAATTTTTCTACCTATAAATTTCAGGCTTTTCAATACATCCATCTCTTCCTTCTATGGGGAAGTCTTTAAAAATATTTTTTAATTCAAAAGATTTATTAAAAATACCATAATTAACTCTCTGGTCACAACCACTTCCAACCCAATATTTCCTTTAAAAATAAAATCTTTTGTCAAAAAAATTCCTTTAAAATTTTACCTATACGCAATTTGCATTGAAATTGTAACACACGTATCTTGATGAGGTTCGCATTCTAAAGGTTCCATTTCACATACAGGCAAAGGCAAACCTTGACGTACCCGAAATTGGTCTAATACTGTTGTATCTATTTATGATATTTAAAAATATTTTTGAAAATATTTAAAATACAAAAGTTTGGGGAAAGGCTCTCTGTCTTCAAAATTCAGCCCATACTCCCTTGCGTAAAACCCCAAAACTTTAACTAAAAGAACCCTCTCCAACCCCCTAATTTTTTAATTAAAAATAAATTTTTTCTCGCTAACCACTTTCCACTTTAACACAACTCATACAATAAAGTCTTGCAATTGTTGCTAAAGCTGCGGCAGTGACAATATGTTGACCGGCTGTCAATAACCAAAATAAAGGTAGAAAGACAAAAATGGGCCTTTGAATAATTTCTGTAATTCTCCATAAAAGGGACATCACAGAGAATTTCAAAAATATTTTTCTAAAAATTTTTTAAAAATTTTGGTATAAAAAGCCCTTCAGAAAAGTTTCTTGTTTGACTTAAAAATGTTTGAATCTTCTTTTAAAAACAAATTTAGAAAAGGGCCAAATGTCTAAAAATTGGAAGAAGCAGCAAAGTCCATAAGCATCGATGCCTTTGAAAACGGGCCAGATAATGACAAGCAAATAGCGGAAGGAATAAAAAGTAATAGGAGAGAGATAGAGGAGGGGAAGGAAATGACGCCGTTAAAAAAGTTGGGGGGCTCTATTTCCATTCCCCCGGGGCGCGCATTTCTCTCTCCCTCCTCTATATATTTAAATGCTTAAATGTGATGTTAAAAAGGGGAAAATTTGTTGGCATTTTAGGAAGAGACGTTTTAAAGGATTGGAAGGAGAAAGAGAGAGAAAAAGTTAAAATGAAATAAAAAATAGAAAAATAGCCAAAATGAGTGAAGGCAAGAACATAAGGATGATGAAGCTAAAAGGGAGAGTTGAGGGCTTTATTTTTTTGTTAGTTGCCTTCCGACGCTTTTTTAAACTCTCAGGATGTATAAAAGAATATTATTGAAAGTCAATCACTTGTTCGCGCCACTAAATCCTCTTCCCTTTATTTTTTTCTTACCGGGTGGCAATAAAAATAAGAGGGAGAATAAAGGGAAGAGAACTGAAAAATGAGGGGGTTTTACATGTAAAAAAAGAAAATTTTAAATTTAAGGCCCCTTGGAAGGTAAGGCCCCCTTAAGGTCCCTTGGAAGTCTTAAAAGCAAGTAAATTAATTAAACTTCAAGGGGTGGAGAAAAACTATAAAAAATGTTTCCTGGAAATCTCGCCTTAATCCACCCAATTTAAATAGAAAAAAGCTTCAGGCATGTAAACCTCCTCCCTTAAATTTAGACAAAGTTTAAATTAAATTCTATCTCTAAATTTGTGCTTTTGCCCACTTTAAAATGCTCAGAGCCGGAGGCACCCTAGCAAGGTGTTTTGTCTGGTCGACTCATATTTCTCTATTTTTTCAGTGTTTTTTCAATTGTTTACATAGTGTATTTAATGAATTCTATGGAAATATGGGAAAAATGTAAATAAATGATTTATTATTAAAGTGCCAAGAATTGAAAGGAAAAAGAAAATAAAGGTAATAAAATTACCCAAGTTATTTGATTATATAGGCATTGACCGGAAGGAAATAGAGCGTTCCCCTGACCACAAAACAAGTTTATTTATTTAAATAAAATGACTGGCATTTGAAAGAAAATTTTATTTCAATGGAAGACCACAAAAAACTAATAAAAATTTGCCTTTTTTAAAGCCAAAATTTAGTCAATACCTCAAGTATGTAATTGTTATTTTTTCAAAAAGGTCGAGGATTATAGCAATAAGAGTAGAACCAAAATGGAGGAAAGATTCATAAAAAGAGGGGGAAGAAATTCACGTAAAATTGTTGGCAAAAGAGGGAGGCAGTAACAAACAGCAGGGGATTTTTAACTAGAAAGGGGAGAAAAATAAGGACAATTGACCATTTTAAATTAAATTTAGAAAATTGCGTTGTTTTTACAAGGCAATGAGATTATGTTCTATCAATTTTATATAAAAAGAAAAAGTTTAAAAAAGTTGTAATTGGAGAAAAGAAAAAAATTAGAGGAAAAAAACCAATTTAAACAAAATATTCAAATTTTTCAAAAATTAGAAAAAGAAAATTTTGGATGATTTCCTCCTCTTAAAGTAATAAAAAACATCAAAATTCCCCTTTATTTAACCGAAAGTACCCAAAATATTCATCAAAATAGGTTTTTTTTAATTTTTTAAAATATTTGAAAAATTCTAAGGCGTCATTACACTTGCTTTTACAATTGTTGATTTGTTAGCTAATATTCTCCTCTCACGTACAATTTAATTTTTGAGTAACCCGCTTAACATCATCATCAACTCAAGCTACACTTGACTCTGCCAGAACACAATCCACTGCTTCTCTTACCTCTCTTCCCCCTCCTGAAATTGTGAAATCAAGGCATAAGAATTAAGGTGGTACATACATTAAGATCCGGGATAAGATGGAGATTTTATTTAAAAATTATTTTATAATTCATTAAAAATTTTCTTTTTCAGATGCCACTTTTAGTAAAAACATTTCTTCTACTTTCTTTTTTTTCTATTTCTGGGGTTGGTGCGAACAACTCCGATGTTTTGGTAGGAATTAATCTTTCACCGATTGAGCTGAATTTAACAGGAGGACCAATTACTTTAATTCTTGTGATTATTTTAATTGCTACACTATGCTTACTTAATCAAGTAATCGTAAGTTTATTGAACGTGTTTATTTAAAAGTTTCCTTAATTTTATTTACTACAGATATACTACGCTGAAAAAAAAGGAAATCGACGTTGAAAAACAAATTGGTAGTGGTGAGGCGAAGATCAAGATCCTCAGAATGAAATGGATGAATTACTTCAAACACTACCAATTTGTTTTCCAACGTCGATTTCCTTTTTTTTCAGCGTAGTATATCTGTAGTAAATAAAATTAAGGAAACTTTTAAATAAACACGTTCAATAAACTTACGATTACTTGATTAAGTAAGCATAGTGTAGCAATTAAAATAATCACAAGAATTAAAGTAATTGGTCCTCCTGTTAAATTCAGCTCAATCGGTGAAAGATTAATTCCTACCAAAACATCGGAGTTGTTCGCACCAACCCAGAAATAGAAAAAAAAGAAAGTAGAAGAAATGTTTTTACTAAAAGTGGCATCTGAAAAAGAAAATTTTTAATGAATTATAAAATAATTTTTAAATAAAATCTCCATCTTATCCCGGATCTTAATGTATGTACCACCTTAATTCTTATGCCTTGATTTCACAATTTCAGGAGGGGGAAGAGAGGTAAGAGAAGCAGTGGATTGTGTTCTGGCAGAGTCAAGTGTAGCTTGAGTTGATGATGATGTTAAGCGGGTTACTCAAAAATTAAATTGTACGTGAGAGGAGAATATTAGCTAACAAATCAACAATTGTAAAAGCAAGTGTAATGACGCCTTCAAATTAGAATTGTACCCCGCCCCCCCCCCCGTGGCGCTGCCTCCCCGAAAATTTTGGCCGTGGCCCACCCCCCCCCCCCCCCCGGGAACAACCCTACTTCAAATATTTTAAAAAATTAAAAAAACCTGTTTGATAAATACTAAGAAAGAAAGTTATTTTCAAAAATGAAAAAATAATTTTGAACAAGTTTCTTCTCTTATGTAACATCAAGATTCGGAAATTCAATTAATGCAATTGCTCACAAAAGGAAGAATGTAGGTATTTGGAAGGACCTAAATAAGGAAAATAAAAATATTTCGCCCAATTAAGCAATAAAACACCTCCATAAACATTTCCAATGATTTTTCAATTTCCTCTGAACAAGGTCGATCGTTTGGATCAGCAGACCAACACCTAATGAACAGTGTAATTTTTATCACAAAAATTAAAAAAAAACCTTTCAATCAATTCCATAAGTGGTTTAGGCAATTTATCAACTTTTGGTGGCCTAAGTCCATCATTTAAAACCATCCACAAAATTGTAACGTGATTAGGTTCATTAATGTCGTCAAAAGGGTATTTACGTGTTGCCATCTCCCACATAGAAATTCCAAGAGAATAAATGTCAGATTTATGGGTATAGCTGTAAAAATTTTTTCCAAAAAGAAACTTGTAAAGAAACACCTTTCTCCTTGAAAAACCTCTGGCGCCATCCAAGCAGCAGAGCCTTTGTTGTCACATAAATTACTATTTTGATTAGCAACAGTTCCAAAATCACATAATTTCAATGTTTTGTAGTCCTTTGAGAGAAGCATGCTTTAAAAGAAAAATTTAAAAAAAAATAAAAGGAAGGTTACTTTGCTGGTTTTATATCACAATGAATAAAGTTGTTTGAATGTAAATATGATAATGCTAAAATTTAATTGGAAATTAAAATTGAAACTTAAAAAGGGTTTAAAGACCTTTAGATACTTGCAATGACCAATTCAGAACATGAAAAGTCTGAAAATAAAATTTTGAATTGAAAAGAAACATTGTTTACTGTCACCGCGACTTTGAACGGCATACCTCGGACTAAAGTAAGTTAACAAAAAACGAATATAACTAGCAACAAGAAGTCGAGGTCCTCTATCAAATGGTACTAGAACAATATCAAAGTCACAGTGGCAGTAAACAATGTGCCCTTAAAAATTATTTTAAAAAAATACTTGAAAAGTAAGATCCTTATGCAGATGCAACACTAAAAATATTCGAATTTATATTTAAAAAATAATAAAAAAATACATTCATCCAATGATCCACCTTCCATTAATTCAATCACGATACCAGAAGATTCGCCACGAAAGAGTGCATAAAGGTTGACTATGTTTGGGTGACAAAAACTATGCAGATGTTTAGCCTCTACCAACAAATGAGAAAGATCATCTGAATTATTTGCAATTTTAACTGCAACTTGACGACCCTTAAATGGTTAAACTTAATCAGTCCTTACTTCATATGTAAAAGTTAAAAACCCTAAAAGTGCACTTATAAACAGTCCCATAAGAACCATGACCAAGTATTTGAATCTGACGAACATCAGGGAGTTTAACTTCGCTGTAATCAACCTCTTCCCAGCCATTTTCTTCCTGATAAACCTCAGGTGGAGCATTGCTAGATTCTAAATCAATATTTACATACAAAGGCTCCATTTTACCCTAAAGCAAAAGACATGATTAAAATCAAATGTTTTTAGAAATCTTTGGAATACATCCTTTATATAACAAAAGATAAACGATATAACAATTTAATTAACAAGAGGACATCATTTTATCATAAAGAATAGATAGCTTCAACAAATATTTAACGCTTTCGACGACCACCTCCCTTACGAGCTTCCTTCGGTTTTGGTGGCAGAATGACGCCATCGTACTAAAATTAAAAAAATTTGAGGAGAACGGAAACGAATAAAATTTTAAACCTTCTGTTGGAACCATTTAACGGATTCCTCCTTGGTAACGCGGTGAGAAGATCCAATACGTCCAATAGCACGACGGCGTTTAGCAACACGAGTTCCAGCACGTCCCAAGACAACGTAGAAATCCATCCCGTAGATTCCAATTGATGGATCGTATTTTATGCCCAAGTCGATATGTTCCTGGATTCCAAACCCAAAGTTGCCCGTGTCCGAAAAATTTTCTCTGTAGAGTTCAAATTCCTTGACCTAGTTTTTTCGGTTATAAAAGAAATGAAATTGTTAAATAACCTTCAAACCACGATCAATAATCTCCTCGGCTTTTGAGCCACGAACCGTGCAGTGAACAGCGATCTTTTCGTTTCGACGAATACCAAAAGCTCGAACGGTATAACGGGCCTTGGAAAGGACAGGTGTTTGTCCAGTCAATTGCTCAAGAACCTAAACGAGAAGTAAAAATTTCTTAAAGAAAACTTTAAAAAACCTTAGCTGCACGAGTAAGTCTATCCCCCGATTCGCCAACACAAATGTTTAAGCAAAGTTTTTGAATTTTCAATTCACGCATAGTATTATGCAACTTCTTCTCCCGGTTTTCGACAATTTGCTCAGCTTTAGTCATCGCACCAATAAATATGTACTAATCTGATCTGAAACGAGAAATTAAAACAGTACAAAAATAGAAAAAGGAACAAAACTGGACGAAAGATAATGCTGCTTTTATAATGCGGCAAGTATGCGTCCACTTTGAAAGTTAGCAATTTGAAATTACAAAAATGTGATAGAACGTGTGAAAGAAGAGAGTATATAGAAAGAGAGAAGAAAATAGTAGAAAGAGCAAGAAATAGACTGAGACTCTAATTCCATGCCCCATATTCTGCAATCCCATATTTTGCCAATATCGCTAAAAATCGCTTGTTTGCCACAAAAACTTATTGACAAGACGTGATTTTTAGCATTATTGACAGAATATGGTTTGACTGAATATTGGAGAGCCTAGTTTCTCATAAATTATTGATTTTGCCGGACTTTCAGTCTGTGTTTTTTTTGTAACGTCACCATTTTAGGCTAGATTTTAATAAGTTTTCTACTTATAGATAAAGAAATCTCTTCATTATTTACATAAATCTGCTGAACGATGGGAGACATGAATGGCGAAAATGGTGAAGATAAAGGATCAAACCGTAAAGATAACGGCAAGGATCGGGATGTTTGCCGTGATTATTTGAACAATATTTGCAACAGAGTTATTTTTACATTTCTAATACACACATTTTTTTGATTTTCAGGGAAGCCGTTGCAAGTTTTACCATCCAGAAGAACATGACAACAAGGCACAAAATGCTGCCGATGAACCTTATCAGTTTTGTATTGACTTTCAGGTATTCTTATTACATAGATTAAAGTTTAAACATTTATAACATTTTGAATTTCTTGCTTGAGCGTATGGGCAAACGCATGTATTTGCGCGCTCAAATGTTCTATCGTTCTGTTCAATCAAGTTTTATAAAATTGTTTTTTGAAACAAAATTTGCGATTAATGATTAATTTCAGAACCAAGGCTGCAGTCGCGATAATTGTCGCTATGTTCATGCGTTTCGCGAAGATGTTGAGCGCTACAAGCGCACTGGCGATGTGACGCTTGGTCTTGCGCGTGCTTTAGCTGGTTTATTTATATATTTTTTTTAAAAGATACTACTGATGGGTGAGTTTGATTTTTCAAAGGGCGAAGGGTCTCACATTTTTTCAAGGCCGAATTCTAAGAAGTTTTCAACTTTATTTACATATCAGGGCTGAGCGCTTATGCTTTTTTATATTTGCTGATGGTCTCATAGCGCCTTAATTTTCTAAATTTTATTTGTCGCCAGCCCTGATTCCACGTTCACATTTTACTTTGCGATACTAATTTTCACACATTTTAGTGCAATAATTTAATTTCAGCATTGATGCGTGGTGATACAATCAACTCAATTCCCCTTTGCAAGGAATTCCAAAATGGGCATTGCGCGCGAGGTGCTTTGTTGCAAATCAAAATGAAACATTTAATATAAATTAAGGCCCCCAATGCCGTTACTGGCATATAAACAAAGACGAAGAGCGGCGCAAACGCTTTCATGGACGACATGTTGGCGCGGCTTCTCCATTCGGCGCTTATACTGGGCATGCAGCAGGTTCTTTATTGGAATGAAAATTTATATTTTGGGATTAATTTACGATATCTTTTTATCTAAACTTTCTTCCTAAGGTACACTATAACTAAAGGTACCTCACAAGCTGTCACCAAAAATTTTTTACCCCTCCTAATTGAAAATTTAAGTCTTCAAGGTTCGGAATCGATTAATTTTTGCATCTTCACTAATTGATATGAATGATTTTTAAGCGACGCATTTGTCAAGGCGAATGCGCTTTTAAAATTTTTTAAATTAATCAAAAAATATTCTTTTATTTAGGTGTTCGACGCCGTGCTGATGATTATGGTTCATCATATGATGATTACATGCCTCCAGAGAAGAGAATTGCACCTTTTGTTCAGCCTCTACCAGTTCCTATGATTCCGGGAGGCCCAACTCGTCTGATGGTTGATTTAGAACGTCGAAATGCTGAACTCATTGCTGAGGTTCCTTTTCTAAATTTGAAGCATTTATTTTTTTGTCTTTTAAAGGTTGACAGTCTGAAACGTGAATTACAACGTGAGAAGGAACGCTACGATGATTTGATGTCTCTTTTCCGTGCTACGCAAGCTAATCAAACTGCTTCGATTCAAACACGTCCTTCTGGAGCTTCTCAACCAGGTATTCCAAGTATGGGAGGACAACAGCAACAGCCTGGTGCGATGCAACAATGGGGAACGGGAGGGGGAGGAAAGGCTACTCCAAACTATATGGGGCCATTTGATTGGACTGCTAATTGAGTATTAAATTTAATTATTTTTGGATGAACGATTTTTAAAATTATTTTTGGATCAGTAATTTTTTTGGACAATTTGTTTCAGTTTTTTAAGTTAATATTTTTTCTAAATTTATCAAGTATATACGCTAGGATTTTTTGGGTCTAAAAATATCTAAATTTTGAAATTTAATTTTTTCTAAAATCTACGTTAATCATTAAAATCCTAGTATTAATTTTTTTAATCATATGGTTTTGAGCATTTCCTCTTTTGAAAGTTTTTTTTTCTTTTTTTTTTAAGTTGGTAAATTAAACGATTTTGATTGATTAATTTTGATGACTCAATCTAGGGGGCTGAAAAAAAAGCTTTTGCGATTGATTTAGGTAATTAAACTTGTTGATTTTTTTGTGACTTTTTGCGTCTGTCACAGAGTTAATGGTGACAGCTGTTTTATTTTTTTTCCTAAGTTTTAAGATTTTAAGTTAAAACCCTTTAATAAAATCGTTCTCTTTTTTCCTCTCCCCACATTTCCTCAATCTTTTCCTTAAATTTAACCATCAAATCTAAAATTCCCTTTAAAAATGCGGAACCGGTACACTCAAATTTGGTCCATTTTATTCGCATTTTTCCTGTGTTTTGATCATTTTTCTGTTATTTGTAAACGTTCTGGAATATTTGGAAGGTTGGGAATTTGAATATATTTTCTTGTATTAACTTTCATTGTTCAGTAGAGGAGGTTCTTCTAGAAATGGGCATGGTTATTCGTCAGGAATTGGGCGAAGCCGTTATCCTTCCTCACATACTAATTATGGGGGTTCTGGCCGGAGAAGTATAACAGATAGATTACTTGGCAGAAATAAAGGAGGGGGATATGGGGGTCATAGAAACCGTGGAGTTATGGTTGGAGCGGCTGGTGGTGGATTACTTGGCCATGGCACAAGGAAGAGTGGTGGATTCTTGGGTGGAGGCGGAAATAAGTTAATAAGGACATCTATCGTGTGTTCTAAAAAATTTTTAAAAGGTATCGAAGTAGCGGTATAGGGTCCCGTTCCCGTGCTGGAACCTTCAAAAACATGTTAGTTGGTGCAGCTGGTGGATTTCTTGCTTACAAAGCAGGAAAAGCAATCATCAAGAATGTGGCACGGCCTATGATGTGGAATAATCGGCCTTACTATTGGGGTGAGCATACAATCCAATTACTCTTGTAAAATTTTTTTTATTCATTTTCAGGCTCTCAATACCATCCTTCATATCAGGGTGGAGGGTATGGAGGTGGATATGGAGGCGGATATGGTGGCGGTGGGGGTGGATACGGGGCTGCTCCTTCTAAAACAATGTGCAGAATGGCAATTGAGCCTGATGATCCAGTTTTGGGACAAGTTTACATGTCAGACAATACAAGACCAAAGGAAATTGTTTGGACTTGTGAGATCCATGAGGTAAAATTGTAATAACTATTATCCTTAAAATTCATTTCTTATAGGAATGTTGTGGATATGAATGCTGTCCTCGATATTAGAAGACTTTTTGATGTAAAATCGAATGGAAAAATATTTTTATTTGTAAGGTTGTACCATCAAAGACCAAAAACTTAAAGATAAACACCCCGGTTAGAGGATTGTTAGTAGACATTTTATGCAACTTTAATAAGGTCATGTTTTACTCGCTGGGACGTCATTATCTTTAAGGTTTTTCTTTTTTTGTGGTATCAATTTTTCTTTTTTATTAACACTTTTGTACTGTTGGCACTGATAACAATTTTAAATGGAATAAGGCGGTCGTCGTTGTCCACCATAAAAATATTATTTAGTAAACGATTTTGGTCGACAAATTTATATATTTTTTAACCTTTTCTCCCTTATCTTTTTTTAATTATGTATATATTTTTTATTTGATTAGAATAAATTGATTTGATGAATTATTTTATATCAAAAATACTTTTTTAAATTAGTATTTAATATCTTTTTAAATTAAAAAAATAATAAAAATGCCCCTTTATTCAACTGGAGGTACCCAAGCTTGGTATTCACCAAAACAGGTTCTTTTTTAATTTTTTAAAAGCATTTCCAACAATTTTATAGGCGTTGTGTATCGCTCTAACTTTTGCAATTGTTGATTTACTAGTTAACATTTTTGGATTGGCCTGGAATGGAAAATTTTTCACCTTTGATAACTTACAACACTGGTTCGATTTTAGCCATTACACGTTTACTAACAACCCGATTGACTTCCTTGCTGTTGCCATTCTTCGAATTTGTATTCTTCTTGGTGGTGCCGCAGGAGTTTATTGTAACCCTAAAGGAGGCGCTGAAGCTTGTGCTACTCTTTCCAATGTATTTTTTATTTCTGAAAAAATTTTTTTGGGGTGAGATAAGCTTTGTTTTCGAGAAAGTTCAGCTTACATTTTACCCCTTCTACATCGAAATCGGTGTCAAGTATGCCATAGTTTATTGAGGGAACCAGAAATCTAATAAATTATTATAGTAGGGTTGTCGGTTAGGATCCGAGCCGAGGATTTCTTTCCTCGGTTCGTTCCGAATATCCTAAGAATATCCATGAACCGACAACAGTTTTATTATAGAATTCCTTGTCCTAGTAAGGAGAAATAAAGTCATTCAAAATATACTATAATATTTTTTTCTCAGTTTACCTTTGCATTAGTCCTTGTTATTGTTGCCTTTTCTCCAATAAAATTGCTTGCTTTTTATGAACATGAGGACCTCAAATTTGCTGTTGGAGATTGGATTCTTATGGTATTCTTTTCTCCTTTCTTTTAAAAATAAATTTTTTTCAAAAAGATTTGGTGCATTCTAGCAGCTTTATTTGTTCAAGCAATTTGGGTTAGCGTGTTTGCTCGTGTTCGAGAAGTTATTTTTGTTGGACGTCAAAGACTATTTTCTAATGAAGATGAACAATATTTTTCTGAATTGCAAAGAAAAGAAAGTGAAGTTGCTGATCAAAAACGAGAAACTTTTGTGATGCTTTTCAGACTTCTTGGATATATGGCGAAGGAATGGCCGTTTTACAGTGTTGCTTTTATCTTTTTGTTCTTTTACTCACTTTCTCGAGTTTTTGTGCCTTACTTTACTGGACAAGTGGTTTGTTTTTAAAATTATTTTGTAGGGTTTACGGGATTTTTCTTTGTGGCGTAAAAAAGAGGACTTATTTTAGGGGATAGGTTGTCAACGTGTAGGAATAAGAGCAGCCATATTTCCTCCTTTTGAACTTGACATTTCTGCTTTTGACCATTTAACTTTAGAAAATAAACTCCCTGATAACTCCCTAATATTTCCCTAATAAATTAAGGTTGGAGCTGTCTTTGGTGCTGAAGCTTCTTATGAACACCTCTTTAATTATGTCATTATTATGGGTAAATTTAGCAGTTGGAAATTTTATTTAAATTTAAAATAATTTAGCCTCGCTTTCTTTATCGAGTTCTGTCTTTGCTGGTCTACGTGGAGGATTTTTTACTTATTCGCAGGTTTTATTTTTAATATTTATTTTTATATAAATTTATTTTAATTTACAGGCTCGAATTGATAGAAGAATTCGCGGGGATCTTTTTAGTTCTTTTGTTAAACAAGAGGTTTTTAACCCATATTTAATTGAGATTGACAGGGTGCGCACTTAATACTAAACTCGCAAAACTGCCAAGATACCAAAAATTAGAATTGTTTCAAACATGGAAGGCTGGCAATCATCCATATTATAGGGTATTCAATTGTATCCTTTGGGTGTTTAGTATTACAGTTTCATACTGTTCGGCGTCCTGTCGATCTTTCTAAATAATTTCCAAATATTTTTTTTCAGATCGGATTTTTTGATGCTAACAAAACTGGTATTATTCTATTTTTAACTGTTCGTTTAAATATCCTTTTCATTTAGGAGAAATTTGTTCCCGGATAAATGCCGATTGTCAAACAATGTCAAATACATTGGCACTTTACATGAACGTTTTTTGTCGAAATATGACAATGCTTGTTGGCTCGCTTATTTTTATGTTTCTGCTTTCTTGGCGTCTTACAGTTGTTACATTTACTGCTGTTCCAATTATTTTTTTAATTTCAAAAGTTTTTGGTGTTTACTATGATGTAAGGGAAGTTAAAGGCTTCAAAAAATTTTTGTTTTTAGCAAATAGCCGAAGAAAGTCAAAATAGTGTAGCAAAAGCAAATGATGTTGCAGAGGAAGTTTTGAGTGCAATACGCACAGTAAAGAGTTTTGCTTGTGAACGTTTTGAATCTCTCCGTTTTCTCTCTTATTTGAATGTTACTCTAAGTATTGGTGCACGTAAAGCAACTGCTCATGTTGGATTTCTTCTTACTACGGAGGTTTTTTAATTTAAAATAATTATTTTTTATTTTCTTTTAAAGTTTTTACAAATGGGAATTCTTACAATGGTGCTCTTTTATGGCGGTCATTTGGTAATTCAAGGAAAAATTGATTCTGGACTTTTGGTCTCATTTATGCTCTACCAATTCCAATTGGGGGAAAATTTACGAGTAATTTTTCAGGTTTTTTTGGAAATTTAATTAAATTTGCAGGAATTGGGCGAAGTTTGGAATGGATTGATGCAAGCAGTTGGTGCCTCGAGAAAAGGTTTTTTGCTTAGTTTTTAAAACTAATGTTTTCCCCATCAGTTTTTGAATTAATTGACCGTCAGCCCGAGGTATTAAATGACGGACACGTTGCCCTTGATGATAGAATTGCTCGGATGGAAGGACGAATTGAATTTAGAAATGTTCATTTTCATTACCCAACACGGCCTAATGTTCCTGTACTTAAAGTTTGTTTGGAAAATTTGTAAAATTCTTATAAATTATTTTTAGGGCCTTTCCTTCACAGTTGAACCCGGTCAGATAGTGGCACTAGTAGGACCTAGTGGAGGTGGAAAAAGTTCGTGTATCGCTTTGCTTGAACATTTCTATGAGCCTGAATCTGGTGAAGTTCTTCTCGATGGTGTACCAGTGCGAGATTATGACCATAAATTTTTGCATACAAAAGTATCACTTGTAGGACAGGTTTCTTGCAGTAAAAATTTTTAATAAATTTATGTACTATTAGGAACCGGTCCTCTATGCACGTTCTGGTAAATTAATAAAATAAAAATAATTCATTTTTTTAAAGTTCGCGAAAATATTGCTTATGGAAGTAAAGCAACTTATGAAGAAGTACAACGAGCATCAAAACATGCAAATGCCCATGGATTTATAACGGAAGCACAAGAAGGTTTGGAGGGGTAAAACTGACTTAATTATTGATAAAAAGGTTATGAGACTGATGTTGGCGAAAAAGGAGGACAAATGTCTGGAGGACAAAAGCAAAGAATAGCCATTGCTCGTGCACTTGTAAGAGAACCAGTTGTTTTGCTACTCGATGAAGCGACGTCAGCACTTGATTCAGAATCCGAGCATTTGGTACAAGAGGCTATTCAACGAAATCTTAGGTTAAATTTGTTTTAAAATTTTTCTTAAAAATCCAGGAAATTTCTAGAGGCCGAACCGTGCTTTTAATCGCACATCGATTAAGCACAGTAGAGAATGCTGACAAAATTGTTGTGATTAGCGGGTATATTTTATAATAGTATATCTAAAAAATATAAAAATCCATTTTTAAGAGGTCGAGTGGTTCAGGAAGGTGTACACAAAACCCTAATAGCAGAAGAGGGTCTATACAAACAATTAGTACAGAGACAAATGCTCGGTTTGTTTAATTTAACATTAAAATTAACGAAGGTTTTTTAGGTGGTGAGTTGAGTGAGGACTTTACAGCTCCAAAACACACTCATGGTGGAAGAACTCCCCGTGCCCGGTCTGCTAGAAGAGTTCCACGTTCGACATCGCCAAGTCAGCAAAGTACCGTACAATCATTTCTTGGTTCAAGTATGGCTAGTTCTTATCTTTAAAATTTTGTCTTACTATTGAATGATGGCTCAGGCTTATTAAGAAACAATTTTTTAGTAATTTTTAAAGTATTTTAATATTGTTATTTTTGGTTAAAAACAGTAAATCTTTTCAAAATTTAAAAATTTAGCTTTTTTTAGTAAACTTTTAAAAATAAACTTGTTTATATCAGGACTAGGTGAGAGTATAAAAGAGTTGACAGGACAAGCCTCGGTAAAAAATACATTGGAACGCTTATACAAATTGTGAAAAACAAAACTTCTAAGTTAATTTATCAACGGATTCCTAAGAAATTCTTTTTTCTTCCGAAAATCCTCGCTTTCAAGTGTATTTGAAGGAACTTATCAGATTGAGAATTTGAAAAAGATTTGGAGGAGGATTAGAATTTGGATGAGGGCCAGCTCCCAGCCGCTGAATAAACTTGCTGGGAGTGAGCCAGCATCTTCAGTAGACCGGACGGATGTGTTATTTATTACACCACGCCGCTTACTGCACAGCCTTAGGAATTAAGTAGCTTTACATTAATCTATACTAGATCCTTGATAACACCACAAATCTTTATTAAGACTTTTTTTATTTAGAGAACAAAAACATCCGTTATATTCTGAAATTTCCAAACATTCCAAAAACTGAAGGGGATATAATTATTCAATTTTGTTTGGAACAACTTTCTAATTGTGCTTTTGAACGTGCAAAATTGAAAAATATATTTAAGCCAGAAATGGTTAATTTATTATTTGATGAAACAAAGTCGTTCCAATTTCACATTCAAACAGCTACTATCTACCCCAACAATTTTACCTTCAAAGAATTTTTGGAATTCTCCTTGGGTAATTGTGCAATCTACAACAATTTTCTCATTGCTTTCGAAAACAATTCTGATCAACACACACCTCCACAACTTCCTATTAATATCAACATAACTAATCCACCACCACCACCCATCAACATCAATATTCATTCACCAACAGCATCAGATAAACTATTTCTCTTCCGACACTATTTTTTAATGAAATTGTTAAAACAAAACACAAAAAGACACACAACAAAACACACAATTCTTTTTGTGTCTGGTTTTAACAATTTGATTAAAAAATTGTTCCGGGAGAGAAATGGTTGAATTTGAATGTTGTGTTGAGGAAGAAGCTGTAGATCTTGTGTTTGAAGTTGATGATAATGAATTTGTTGCTTAAAAAGATTTAATAGGGCATTAAGAGGAAAAAGAGAATTGGAAAGGAAACCATTTTTAAATTTTTATTTTAGGGAAAATTAAAATTTAATTTAAATTAAAATTTAATTTAAATTTTTTTAAATTTTTTTCTAAAATTTACTTGAATGTGAACGAGAAGAATTTGCTGCATTAATTGGATTTGTTGTTGTTGTTGTATTGTTGGAAGAAGTAGGCGAATTGATGTTGATAGTTGGGTTGAAGTTGTTGTAATTTATTATGGGAGGTGTGGGAATAATACTCAACAACAACAACGTCAACCCCCTCCACCACCTCCCATAATAAATTACAACAACTTCAACCCAACTATCAACATCAATTCGCCTACTTCTTCCAACAATACAACAACAACAACAAATCCAATTAATGCAGCAAATTCTTCTCGTTCACATTCAAGTAAATTTTAGAAAAAAATTTAAAAAAATTTAAATTAAATTTTAATTTAAATTAAATTTTAATTTTCCCTAAAATAAAAATTTAAAAATGGTTTCCTTTCCAATTCTCTTTTTCCTCTTAATGCCCTATTAAATCTTTTTAAGCAACAAATTCATTATCATCAACTTCAAACACAAGATCTACAGCTTCTTCCTCAACACAACATTCAAATTCAACCATTTCTCTCCCGGAACAATTTTTTAATCAAATTGTTAAAACCAGACACAAAAAGAATTGTGTGTTTTGTTGTGTGTCTTTTTGTGTTTTGTTTTAACAATTTCATTAAAAAATAGTGTCGGAAGAGAAATAGTTTATCTGATGCTGTTGGTGAATGAATATTGATGTTGATGGGTGGTGGTGGTGGATTAGTTATGTTGATATTAATAGGAAGTTGTGGAGGTGTGTGTTGATCAGAATTGTTTTCGAAAGCAATGAGAAAATTGTTGTAGATTGCACAATTACCCAAGGAGAATTCCAAAAATTCTTTGAAGGTAAAATTGTTGGGGTAGATAGTAGCTGTTTGAATGTGAAATTGGAACGACTTTGTTTCATCAAATAATAAATTAACCATTTCTGGATTAAATATATTTTTCAATTTTGCACGTTCAAAAGCACAATTAGAAAGTTGTTCCAAACAAAATTGAATAATTATATCCCCTTCAGTTTTTGGAATGTTTGGAAATTTCAGAATATAACGGATGTTTTTGTTCTCTAAATAAAAAAAGTCTTAATAAAGATTTGTGGTGTTATCAAGGATCTAGTATAGATTAATGTAAAGCTATTTAATTCCTAAGGCTGTGCAGTAAGCGGCGTGGTGTAATAAATAACACATCCGTCCGGTCTACTGAAGATGCTGGCTCACTCCCAGCAAGTTTATTCAGCGGCTGGGAGCTGGCCCTCATCCAAATTCTAATCCTCCTCCAAATCTTTTTCAAATTCTCAATCTGATAAGTTCCTTCAAATACACTTGAAAGCGAGGATTTTCGGAAGAAAAAAGAATTTCTTAGGAATCCGTTGATAAATTAACTTAGAAGTTTTGTTTTTCACAATTTGTATAAATGTTCACATGTATTTTTACCCCCCCCCTACCCCCCTCCCCTCTGGCTACGGACCTGTGACAACTCTTCTACTATTTCACCTAGTTCAACAAAATTCAACAAAAAAATTTTAAACCAACAACAAAATTTTCAATTTCCTCCAATTTTCATTGTGAAAATCCTCTCTGATCACTCCATTGCCCTCTTGGTTGAGCCATCTGAGGCATAAATGTTGCAGGCATATAAGGATGAAAATGATATTGATTAAATGGTGGAGTGTTGTAGATAGGGCCATAAGAACACTTAATTTATTCTTTAATTTTCAATTTTTAAAAAATTCTAGTTACTTGTTGCTGCCATTGTCCATTTGGAGGCCCTGAGTGTTCATTGTGTTCCGACATGCGTTGACGGCCACCACCTTTTTTCCCTCCATGTCTATGTTGACGAGAATTGTGCTAAAAGTTAAAAGATAAGATATTTTTGAATTTCCAGGAAATACCTGAAATTGACCACCATTTCGAAATCCTCGACCACCTTCGGAATTCCTGTTACGGTTTTGCCACCTTGGTCGATCTTAAAAATATCTCAAATTAAGAGGGAAAATTTTAGATTTAATAAACCTTTAACCACAACCGTCCTTTCACGTTCAGCATTAAGCAAAGCCTGTTCTACTTCACCCACCATAGGAAATTCAAACTCGCCAAATTCATTTTCTCGTCGTAAGAGGACCACAAAAGAAGGATGTCCAACAACCTACCAAGGGAAGATACATAATTTTTTTAAAAGTCAAGGAATCCTTACATAACGATTGCGCAAATTTTCCAAAATAGTTTGTTGTGGATTAACTGGATAATATCTTTAAAAAAATATTTCAGTGTAAGTTATCTTAATTAATTAACCTTAATTCTGCTTCAATTTGACAATCATTTTCACTTGTAACTTCGTCTTCTTCCTTTCCAAGGGGTAATGCAACCTCAGAGTAAACGGTCAGTTGATCTCTCACACATTCCTTGTGTAAATCATTTGCAGGGTCGATAATTGATTTTGATGCGCTTTAAATTTAATTTTTATTTTAAAGAAAAAAACATTTAAAAATACGTAGTAAATTGTTGCAGAAAATCCATGTCAAGCTCTGATTTAGATATAACTGTCCCATAAGGTTTTGGTCTAAGAAATTGTCGCAGGAGAGTAGAAACACGGATTGATTCGGGAATGTTTTGAACCTTTAGAAAAGTATTTTTATAAAAAAATTTTCAGGAAAAAAGGAAAAATAAAAATACCAACAGTGTAAGAAAGCCATTTTAATGGAGGAAGTGGTTCCTGATATGAATTAATATCTTCAATCATTTTTTCATCATCATGTTGTTCATTACCCTCATTGTCAGTAAATTGTTTTTCTTCAGTTTTCACTTCAGTCTCAATTTCTCCTTCCTCTTTTTCAATTTTTTCTTCTTTAACATCAACAATATTGTCAGAAATCTTCAATTCTTCGCCATCTTCAACTTCATAATCAACAAGTGGTTTGGCCAAATGTGTAATAACAGATGAAGAAGCTTGGTCATCAAAAGTCTCATCCTCTTGAAAACTTTCCTCATTTTTAATCGAAGATTCGTTCATTTCTTCAGTCTCTTCAACTGGCGCCCGATATGCAAACTTGACAGTACATTTCCAAAAAATTGTATCAGAAAATTGTTCAATACGAGAAGAACCAAAATCTTTAAAAAATTATTTTAAAAACATTAAAATTAATTTTAATAAACCTTTTGAATCATTCGATGGTAACAGCCAAATACGTCGAAACTGAGCACTTTTGAGTAAGGATTGGTCATTATAAGAAAGTTTTGGCTTTTGGTTATCATTCAAATTTTGTGTATTGAGTGAGGTATCTTCCACTAAAAAATGAAGTAATGAAAGGCAAATCTATGTGAGTAAAAATGAAAAAAGAACTTATTTTTCATTAAAATCCCAGACATCTATGGAGACCTCCCTACAGAAATACAAAAAGAATTCAACGATTTGTTTCCTAGCCCCTTAAATTTCATCGACCTATCTTTCATTTTTAACAAACTTATAGTAAAACTATTTATCCACCAGACCGACAAATACCAACGATTCACTTATATTTTAAATTTATTTTATCCGAAGGAGTGTAAATTGAATTAGGAATTAAATTAAATTTGCAAACTTTTTTCTGTTTTAGGCACGCATTCTGTCTCGTCTGAATTATTTTTTCGTTGTTTAATTTGATGTAAAAATTGCTGATCTTCAATGCTTGTATCCTCCTTGAAGTTTGAGTAACCCTGAATTTTCTTCCAATTTTGTTTGCCATCAAGTAAAGTATTTGAGCGAGGACGTTGACCATCACACTAAAAAATTTTTATAAAATTTTTAACATTTAAACAAACATTATTTTTCTCTTTGTGTGTTTTTGAACATTTTGCTGAACAAGTTCTTATTAAACATTTTGGACATTTGTAAAGAGCAGTAGATTCACAAATTGCACAACTGTGTAAATTTTCCGTTTGTGGTTCAATTAATTTTGGAGTGAATGGTTTGAGTAATAAAATATTGTTGTCAACATCTGTTGCCATATTGAATTTGAAAACTAAAAATCAAAAGAAATTTGGGTTAAGGAAATCAGGAAAATGGGGGGGGGGGGGGGGGGGGGGAGGGGTTCTAAAACAAAGAATTATCGAAATTGACGAAAAATGAATTGAAAAATTTTTCGCTTTTATAGAATTACTTTTTCTATCAGTTACCAATTTAAAGTTACCATATTAACATTATTTCTTTTAAAATGTCAAATTGGTAAAAATCTTAATATAAAAGACAAAAAGGTTCTATAAAACGTGGTTTTTTAATTTTTTATGTTTTGTTAAATTTTTTTAAAATTCTAAAATTTTTCAGTTATGGAGGATATTAAAAGTACTCTTTACGCCGTTCTAGGCAAAAGGAAGCTTGGACAGCCCAAATATACTTTTAGTCAAGGCAGTAAAGGACGTCAACGATTTTTATGTCAGGTTATGGTCGATGGAATAAGCTATGGTATAACTCTAATATTTTCTCGAAGTTTTTAATTCTTTTCAGTTGGATTCGGAAACTCAACCTCAAAGAAAGATGCACAATCAAACGCCGCCAGAGATTTTGGACAATTCTTAGTTCGTGAAGGGTTAGTAACTGCTCAAGAGCTTCCTCAACTGCAAGTTCAGGTTTACTTTACCTGCTTTACTTTTTACTTCATTTGTTCTATTTTAGCCGTCAGATTTGGAAGCTACTAATCTGCAATATCAAATGGACGTCAAAGAAGGAACTTCTGCTCCCTTACCTCATCATGTTGATTTTACAAATGATGATATGCTGACTGGAAAGCCAGATTTTCAACGACCCAAAACTTTCCATGATCAATACATCGAGCAAAAAGCCGAAGAAATTTCTCAGGTTCTCTGAAAACATTTTACAATATAATGCTTTAAATTTAGTCTGAGGCTGTTGATATGACCTCTGAAATACACGGAGGATGGACGATGGACAATTGTAAGCAAGCTCTCAATGAGTTTTGTCAAAAGAACCGTTTTCTTCCACGGGAATACAAAACGAGTAGAGACGGAACAAATAATAGCAGGTTTATTTGATTGTGCGACTACAGTCTAACAACAAAATCCTCATCGCATTTGATCTAAATGTGCATTTTTATTATTTTTTAATTCATTTTGTTTACTCATTTTCTTGATGTACATTGGATCAAATGCATATTATGTTCATTTACTTAAGAGTTCCATCCACTCTGGGATGTGACCAACCTTTGTTCAACTGTGTAAACCATTTAAAGATTTTGCCACTTTGGCAGGGTCGATCATTTGTCAGAATTTTTATTGCGGTTGAACAAAATGAATGGTCATTTTTCATTGAGAAGTAACCCCCAAAATTACCAATCAATTTATTTTCAGCACATTCGTCGCAGAAAATGAGCTTTTTCTACCTCGATTGAATCGAAGTATTTTTTCAAAAATTTTCATTATTAAATTTTTTAATTAAATAGCTATCTATGGACGTGGTCAAGGATCTACAAAGAAAATTGCAGAAGCTACTTGTGCTTTATCAATTGTTCGTCAACTATTTCATATTGGTCTGTTTGTTTTTTTAAAATTGCTAATTAAATTTATTCTATACTAGGTGCCATACCTTCATCTTCTGATAAATTATCTCCAACTAAAAACCGCAAAGCTGATAATGTTTGTGAAATTTAATACTTTTTTAATATTTGTATTTTTTAGTTGGCAGAAATCAAAGTTCATGTTGATCCAGGATTGGTTGCTCGTATCGAAAAATACTTAGGCGATGTTGGAGTAGAACCTGTTGTTGATGGATTAGAACAAACAACTCCAGATGCTCCAAAATCGTTGTTAGTCGATAAAAAATTGGATGAATTTCCTCCATCGGAAGATAACTACTCTAATGCAAGCATTATGTGGGCACCTCCCTGTCAAAATTGGAATCCATGGAAGTTTGTTCTTTTATTTAAAAATTTTGTTTATTTGCCCTTTTAGAGCTTCAAACATTGATAATCAACCAATTGCTTTTTGGTCAATGGATCGTATTAGTGATGATTTAATGATGAGAGAAAAGGCTAAACAAGTCTCTCAACAATTGGTTCAAGCGCGGCAGAGGCTTCCGGTTTTTAATGTAAGGATTTTTACAAAAAAATTTTCATGTGAAACTTGTTTTTTTCAGCATCGTGAACAAATAATTCGTGCAGTGAATGAACATCCCGTTGTTTTAATTAAAGGATCGACTGGTTGTGGAAAGTCAACTCAGGTTTTTTAGAAGCATTAATAATCATATGAAACTAAATTTTAGATTTGCCAATATCTACTTGAGAGTCATTTACTCGATAAAAGAGGGGCTAATTTCAATTGTTATGTAACTCAACCTCGAAGAATTTCTGCTATTACATTGGCTGAACGCGTTGCAAACGAACGATGTGAACAATTGGGCGAATCTATTGGTTATTCTGTTCGTTTTGAAGGAATAACACCAAGACAATATGGTGCAATAATGTAAAATTTTAAATTTGTTTTTGTATTTAAAAATGCTTTTTTAGGTTTGTTACTGTTGGTGTACTTATGAGAAAAATGGAAATGGGTTTAAGAGGAATTTCTCATGTTATAGTTGATGAAATTCATGAACGTGATATTAATACAGATTTTCTATTGATTGTTGTTAGAGACATGCTTCGTGCAAATCCAAAGCTTCGTGTTTTGTTAATGTCAGCAACAATTGATGTATGGTTTAAATTAGTTATAATTTGGAATGATTTTTTAAATTTTAGACATCACTTTTTACCAACTATTTTGGACGTTGCCCAATTATTGAAATTGAACAAAGAGTTCATCCAGTTCGCGGGTTCTTTCTTGAAGATGTTATTTCAATGTTAAAATATATGCCACAACTTCCTGAACCTGATAAAAAGAAGAAAAAGAAGAGATCAGGAAAGCCGGAACCTTCAGCTTCAAATGCTGATGTTGATGAAGAATGTGATGAAATGTCTATGAGTGTAACAGATAATTTACTTGTTTGTAATGATGATTATCCGCCTGAAACAAAACAAGCGCTTGGTAGAATTACTGAAAGAGAAATTCCAATTGAATTAATAGAGGTTTGCTAAAGGGAAATTTATTATTAAAATTCTAATTTTAAGCAATTACTTTCTGATATTGATCAAAATGGAAAGCCTGGATCTGTTTTAATTTTCCTGCCTGGTTTATTTTTCTATATTTTTAAGGAACAATTATTTTTTAAAGGTTGGCAAATGATTTCTCTTCTTTGGAATCGTTTAATGCTTCATAGAATTTTTAGCAATTCACGTCGTTTTGTTATTCTTCCACTACATTCACAACTTTCTGCTAGAGAGCAGCATCGTGTATTTGAACCAGTTGGTATAGAACAACGCAAAATTATTCTTTCTACAAATATTGCGGAAACATCTGTTACAATTGATGATGTTGTTTATGTTATTGATTCTTGCCGGTTTTTTAGATTTTTATTTTTTCTATCTATTTTTAATTCAGTGTTCGTGAAAAAATGTATTCATCGAGAAACAATATGGTCCATTTTGCAAATGTTTGGGTAATAAAATTTTTTTTAGATTTCTATTGTTTTTTTAATCTGCAGGCTTCTCGAACTAATTTAATCCAAAGACGTGGAAGAGCAGGGCGTGTACAAGAAGGTTTTTGCTTCCATTTGGTTACTCGTGCTCGTTTTGATGCCTTAGAAGATCATAGAACTGCTGAAATGTTACGAACTCCTCTTCATGAAATAACTTTAACAATTAAACTTTTGCATCTTGGTTCAGTTGGCGAATTCTTGGAAAAAGCAGTACAGCCACCTCCGATTGATGCTGTTGTAGAAGCTGAGGTTAATTTAGATTTATTGAAAAATTTACTTTCTTTTTAAGGTTTTACTTCGTGAAATGAATGCATTAGACAAGGATTTGGAATTAACTGATCTTGGACGTATTCTTGCTCGATTACCAATTGAACCAAAGCTTGGAAAAATGGTTTTGTTGGGTGCTGCTATGGGTGTTGGTAATTTAATGTTGACTTCAGGTTTTTAGTATCATAATTTTTTATTAATTGTCATTGTAGCTGCTGCCACAAGTTTTAATACTCCTTTCGTTCCAAAAGAACGAATGCACACAAAATTGGCACACAGTCATCGTTCTTTCTCTGGTAATCGCCCATCAGATCACATTGGATTAGTTAATGTCAATCAACAATTTTCTGAACAATTTGATATCGATGTTTCGTCTGCAGAAGATTTATGCCGTCGTTTTTCTTTGAGTTATCCTTTACTTTGTATGACTCGTGAAGCAAAACGGTTTTTTTAATTATTTTAAATCGAAACTTTTATTTTTTAGCCAACTTTATGATGTTCTCGTTAATCATTCTGGATTTCCTGAATCAGTTTTCACTTCTTATTCAATCGATGTACGAGGACCGGATTCTAATTTGGATGTTTTTCTTTCAATGTTGGTTGCTGCATATTATCCAAATGTTTGTTATTTGAGGTAAATTTTAATTTTTTAAAATTTATTTAAATAATTTTTATATAGAGAGAATTATTTAATTTTCGTAGAGATCGACGCCGTGTTTACACTTTAGAGCAAGCAGTTGCACTTCTCAGCAATATGTCCGTTTGTGTGCCATTCAATCGTGGTGAACAAGCGAATTTTGCATCACCACTTTTTATGTTTAGCGAAAAGGTAATTAATTTAAATTTAGTAAAGCGGTCGACCCATCCTGTCAACTGTCCTGAACAAGATTATTATCCAGTCAACTAGTATCCCACCACCGACTTGTGGTTTTCATTTTTCACAGCCATTTAGTCCTTCACCAGTCGTTTCTGTATTAAACAGTCATTCTGGCCCTCCTCCTTAAAATGTTCAGGTAAAACAAACTAGTGAAAATTGTGAAATACCCCGTCAATCATTTGTCGACGAATTTGCTGCACTTTCATTACAATTCCAGCTAAGAACCAATTGTATTTCTTGCAAACAAGTATCAATGATTTCTCCGTTACAATTATTGCTTTTTGGCTCTAGAAGAGTAGAAGCGATTGGCGCTGATAAAGTTCGATTGGACAATATGTAAATTTTTATTAAAAAGTAAAAAATATTTTTATAAAAATATTTTAGGATTCCTCTAAATTTGTCAGCAAAAATGGCTGCAAAAATTGTTGCATTACGTCCTTGTATAGAAGCGTTAGTAGTTCGTTCATGCATGCATCCTGAGCAACTTTCTGATCAACCTAAACAAGTTTTATTAAATTTATTAACTTTGTTTTTTTTAATTTCTATTTTATAATAGGACAAAATTCTTACTGCCTTAATTCGCGAACTTTCTTCTGATAGAGCTTGGATTCCAAGTGGTGAGGAAGGACTTGAACCTGTCGAACAATCTTCTTCATCAAAGGCAAATGCACATCAATTTAATGTGAATGAACAAAGATCTTATGCTACTCCACTAAACCAAACGTTTATTTAAAATTATTTTTTAGCTTTGGAAATTTTCTAAAATTTAGATTGAATTTATCGTCTTCTGCTCCTGTTCCTCTTCGTTCATTAAAACGCCCTTATGGATCTCCGCCATCTATTGTTGACGTATATGGCAATCAACCATCACCTTTAACACGTTTAATTTATTGTTTTTTAATGTTTAATTTGGTTTTTTCAGAGCCTAATAGCCTTGGACAAGAGGCGGTTGCGGCTGCTACTGGATTGGCTTCATCAGCAGATTTTGGTGGTCGAAGAACACCATATACAGCAAATGCTCCTTCTGGCGGGGATTACAGCTCAATGGCCGGCTACGGGTGCGACTATGGGTTAATTTATTGAATTTATCTTAATAGAGAAAAATTATATATCAGAGAAAATTTATGAGTATTTTTAGTAAAAATTTAATTTCTAGGCCAAGTCCCTATTATGGAAACCCTCAAAATCAACAAAATCAGTTGCCACAAGGATTACAACAATTCAATGGTATGAATGGGAGAGGAATGAGAGGATTTGGTGGTCGAGGAAGAGGACATGGTGGGGGTGGTGGTGGTGGTCGACGTCATGGGGGCTTTCGAAGAAGGCAAGGCAATTGATATCATTTTATATTAAAGAAAAGTTGTTTATTTTTGTTAAATTAGCGATTTATTCGTTATTTATTATGAAAAAATTTTTCTCAAAATTATTATTTTATAAATGACTTTTTTCACATCATTTTTTAACATGTTATTGATTATTTTCCATTTTTATCTATAATTTTTTTTGTTTTTTTTTATATTTATGTTTAGGTGAAAGATGATTTATTCTCCTTCATTTAATATTTTTATCAGTTCAAGTTTCTTTCGACCTCGAAACATTATTGGAGGCATCACAAAACTTCAACATAAATTCCTATCAACGATGCATCAAGAACCACCTTCTTTGAAAGAAATCAACATTTTGAAGGATAGTGTGAATCCAAATGTTTTCAATGTCCAGCTTAATCGTGCAGAGAAGCGGAATACTTTTACTGACAGTTTTTGGAGGTTTTTATTTTATTAATAGCCTTTTAAAGTTGTAATTTTGAGGGAATTAAAAACAGCTTTTTCTTATTTGACGGAAGAACCAGCATGTAGATCTATTGTCTTATCTGCGAATGGGCCTGTTTTCTGTGCTGGTATTGATCTAAAAGAAGGAATAGTGGTTTGTTTAATTTAAATATCAATGCCAATTAGTAATTTATATTCAAGGAAACTTCAAAAATAATGTCAAACGAGGAATTGGATGTTGCAAGAAAATCTCGTTCTATAAGAGAATTGATTAAGCGCTATCAGGAAAGTTTTTCATCTTTAGAGGAGTGTCCAAAACCAGTATGTTTTTTAATTACTTTTGAGTAAAAATTATTTTTTGGGTAATTGCTGCAATTCATTCATATTGTATTGGTGCTGGAATTAATTTGGTTGCATGTGCAGATGTGAGGTATTCCTCCAATGATGCAGTTTTTTCTATTAGAGTAAATTTAAATCTTTTAACAAAAACAAATTTTAATTTGAGGAAGTTGATATTGGAATAGCAGCAGATGTTGGAATATTACAACGAATTCATACAATTGTAGGAAATGATAGTTGGTCGAGAGAAATGGCTTTTACTGGAAGGGACGCGAGTGCAGATGAAGCGATGAGAATGGGTTTTTATAAAAATTTAGGTACTACTGAAGAAAAGGGTGCTTTTTCTGCGGACTTATTTTGCGGACTTTTCCTTTCCTTTTCATGTTTTACTTGTAGCAACTAACTGTCAACGGCCCTCCCCCCATTATTTTTCTTACCTAAGATTGTACACAATGGTCAGATTTTCTTCTTTCTCTTTTCCTCTATTTGCCGTGTGGCATATTCAAACAAAAGACATTGATACAGAGAAGATGAATTTTATTTTTTTCATTTCTGTTTAAATGTTTTGCTTATAGCAACTAACAGTCAACGGATTATTTTTTATGCCGGTCTGAAAAATGTCGTTCACAAATAATTTAAACATTATAAACGAAAAAAATGTTACAATCAATAAAAAATTTTACTTTAACTAAATTGTATGATAAAATTAAATTACCCAATGATGAATTTCAACAATGGATCACTGATCTCGGAATGCATGGGGGGAGGGCCGTTGACAGTTAGTTGCTACAAGTAAAACATGTAAAGGAAAGGAAAAGTCCGCAAAATAAGTCCGCAGAAAAAGCACCCTTTTCTTCAGTAGTACCAAAATTTATTTTCTTAGAATTTTTCCTTAAAGGTTTTATATCTCGTACATTCGATACGAAAGAAGATTGTTATAAGGCTGCAATGAGTTTAGCTAGACAGATTGCTTCAAAAAGTCCTGTTGCTGTTCAAGGTACAAAATTGGCAATGAATTACGCTCGGTCTCATGGAATTGAGGTTTTTTAAAATATAATTTTTCGATAAATTCTATTTTGACATTTCAAAGGATTCCTCTGAATGGATTAGAAATTGGAATGCATCAATGCTTCAAACTATGGATATAAGTGAAAATGTTAAAGCAAAATTGTCAAAAACAAGTGATAACCCTGTATTTAAAGATTTTTAAATAATTTTAAAGTTTTTTTATTCTAGGACATGTAAATTTTTTTAGAAAATAAAAATATTTTCTCGCGTACTTGTTTGTAATTACAATTAAATATCTTGAATACTTGAATTTAAAATAATTTTTTTAAGTAAAAATATTTTTTCTTCTAATTTAGAGAATTTTTTTCAGTCTTTCAAAAATTAAAAATTTAGCAAAATGCTCAATACCGGGTAAATATTTTAAATATTCTTCTTTAACTAAAACACAATTTAACAGAAAATTCCTCGGTAAAACAATTTTGATAACTGGCGCTTCACGTGGGATTGGTAAAGAAATTGCATTAAAATTAGCAAAAGATGGGGCAAATATTGTAATTTGTGCAAAAACGGCTCAAGAACATGCAAAACTTTCTGGAACAATTTACAGTGCAGCAGAGGAAATTAAAAAGGTTTTCTAGTCTATTGGTATAGGTAATAAATTGAATTGTAGATTGGAGGAAAGGCATTGCCTCTTCAAGTAGATGTACGAGAAGAGGCACAGGTTCAGGATGCTGTTGAAAAAGCGGTATATTTGAGGGTTTTCTGCAAAGAAATCTTTGTTTTTTCAAAGGTTCGTGAATTTGGAGGTATCGATATTTTGGTTAACAATGCGAGTGCTATTTCATTGACTGGAACACTTGATACATCTATGAAGAAATATGACCTTATGCATCAGGTCAATATACGAGGAACATTTCTTGTGTACGGTTTTTTGATTATTTATATTAATTTAAAATGGATTTTAAAAAATTTTTGCGTGTAGCATCGGTGGTTCAGTGGTAGAATGCTCGCCTGCCACGCGGGCGGCCCGGGTTCGATTCCCGGTCGATGCAATTATTTTTTATTCTTTTTCGATCTTTGATAATCATTTGAATATTTTTTAAGGTCTCAAAAGTGTGTGCCTTACTTAAAACAAGCAAAAAACCCTCATATTCTTAATTTGAGTCCGCCGCTTGATTTGAATCCGATGTGGTTTAGCAGACATTGCGGTTAGATTTTTAGTTTGAAATGGATATTTTTTGAATTTTTAAGCTTATACAATGTCAAAGTACGGAATGTCAATGTGTGTTTTGGGAATGCATGAAGAATTTCGGAAAGATAATATTGCTGTTAACGCTATTTGGCCTCGGACTGCCATCTGGACTGCTGCATTGGATATGCTAACAGAAGGAAAAGGAAAACAAATGAGCAGAAAGGTTCTTTAAAAAATTTTTATAAATAAACTTTTAAATTTATTAAGCCAACAATTATGGCCGATGCAGCATATATTATTTTGAGCAGAAATTCAAGAGACTTTACCGGCAATTTTTGTCTTGATGAAGATGTATTAAAAGAGGAAGGAATCGCTGACTTTACACAATATTCCTATGTACCAAGTATTAAATTTTTAATTAAGATTATTTTTCTATTTTTTTATTAAGATGCTGAACTGCTTCCTGATTTTTTTGTACCCGGAGCTGAGTTTCAAGCTTATCTTCCATGGAAGAAAATGTTTGAAAAGAGCAAGATTTAAACATTATAATTTTAAAAATTTGGCCTATAAAACTAAATATTAATTAGAAAAGTATTTTGTAAATTTTTTAAAAGAATTTAATTTGTAGATAAATGTAATTGGCAAATTCATTTTCAAATTAATAATTCATTTTTAATCTTGAAATAATTTTTTATTTAAAAGGATCTTTAATTAAATTTTACAAAATTTAATAATAGTTTAGAGGAATTCAGAGAGGTACAATGGTATCAACAGATAAATTACGAAAAAATAGTAGTCAAAGCTATGAGAATGGGGTATTAAATTTTTTAAATTATTCTTTAAAAAATATTTTTTACCAGCATATTTTTGAACGCGATAGACAATTAATGGATAGTTTTATTTATACAATTTTGATGTTTAGGCAATGTATTATGGTTTGTTTTTGTTAAATTTTAAATTATATTTTTAATTTATTAGTTGGAAGACTTTTTCGAATTGTTGATGGCTCTTTGTGGACAAAAATGTGCAAAACTTTTTGCTTCACATGAACAGCTTCTTGAATTTGTAAAAGAGAGGTGTAAGACAAAAGTAAAAATTGAGGAAAAGGGAAGTCGGGTATGCTTATTTCTTTAAAAAATTTTTAGGATTTATTCAATTCAAAGGTATTTTTGTCTTGGGCAGAAGCTAATGATGGATCGAAAAGACTGCATGATCAATTAGTCATAATTGGAAAGCGAGTTTGCTCGGAAAGTGCACCCCAAAAAGGATGTTAGAAAAAATTAATAAAAAATTTTTTAAAGATGGCTCTTAATTAAATTAATTTATAATTCGATTTCATTCTTGCCTTTTTTAAAGTGAGCTTTATCAAGTGCCCTTACTCTATTGTCCTTTAAGCGATTGGTTTCATTTTGCCATAAATCATTTTACCAAAAACTACAAAAGTTGTTAAATTACCGTAAGGGGTTCCCTAACGTTTCGTCACTGAACTTTTCGTCACCGAACCTTTCGTCAAAACCTTTCGTCACTGAACCTTCCGTCACCAAACCTTTCGTCACTGAACCTTTCGTCACCAAGACTTTATTTTTAAAAATCAAATAAGAAGTTGTCAAAAATGACAAATTGATCATAATCGGTAATTTAGTTATATTTACTGTGTTGCTAAATGATAGGAGACAGTACGTAGGTACCCAATTGGGTCATAAACGTTCCATCGATGGATACTGACTAGGGTTGTCGGTTCTGGACCGAACCGAACCGAAGAACCGATGATTTTTCGGTTCGGATATCGGTTCGGTTCCGGATATCCGAAAATTTCCGGTTGAAAAAGGAAGACGATATACGTCAAGCAAATTCAGAGTTCCAGGCGTCGCAAGTACAATTACTTTTCTCTGTTGTCCGGCAATATTGGTATTCTCATTTAATATTACATATTCTTGTAAATATTGAGGGATAATTATCTGTAGCGGATTTATTGAATTTAAGTCTATGTCGCCTAGTGCTTCTGCCTTTCGCTTTGAAACACGATACTTCTTACTCATAGCAGAAGCTGAAGGAGCATTAGCACGAGCATCTTCTGAAAGAATTGCCCGAGCCATATCAACGGCGTCCCTTGTTACAACCGGATTAGGCCCTACAGCAAGTTGTCTCAAGCGCTCGAATGCCTCACGTATCTAAGAAAAAAATACTCCGGAAAATAACATCATTATTATTTGTTTTTTATCAAAAAGTTATTAATTTTGTTTATTATATTTCATCTTCATTCATATGACTTTCTTTTATTCAACTTAATTTCCATAAATCTATTTTGTTAAATTTGTCCATCCAGATGTGCTTTCTCTTTTCTATGGTGAATAGTGACGAAAGGTTCAGTGACGAAAGGTTTGGTGACGGAAGGTTCAGTGACGAAAGGTTTTGACGAAAGGTTCGGTGACGAAAAGTTCAGTGACGAAACGTTCGGCCACCACCGTAAGGTGGTCTGATAAGAACTTTTGTTTCCATCAATCTTATTTTTCTTTTAAAATTAGTTTCAAGTTTAAAATTCAGATTAGATTTATTGTTAGACTCAATTTTGATTGAAGAATTATGGGCATTCTACGCAACAAAGAAAAGTTTTATGAACCAATTCGAATTGAGGATATAACTGATGATGTAGGCGAGGATTATGCCAAGTTTGTTTTTGTTTATTTTTCATAAAACATTTTCTAGTTATATTCTTGAATCTGATTTTTCTGATGATAATGAGCAGGCTATTTGTAAGAATGAAGGACTGAAGAGTTTTCCTTGCAAGAAGACTCGACGCTATCGTCCACGCAAATGTGTTGAGATGGTTGATGGCCTAGCTCCAAAACGCAACATGAGTGGACATAAATGGAGGCGAATAGAGAATGGTTTTTTTTGTTTTTTAAATTTTATTTTTTAAAATTAGCTCGATTGATTATGAACTATGCGGATTTGGATGATATTTATTTTGATGGTTCTGATTTGATTGATGAAACAATTACTGCTTTTACTCGTCTTTTGCGTGATGAATCGAAGATGAAGGTTTCTGTTTAATTTAGATTTTTATGAAATTATTTATTGTTAGCTTTGGAATGATTTTATTGAAATGGACGAAAAAGGCCAAGAAAAGATGATTGAGAAAATTGAAAAAGAATTGTCTCAAACTAAGGCTTCTGAAAAGCCTTGTTCATCGAAGAAAGCCACTCAAGGACACAAACGTTAGAAACATTAAATTAATATTTTACCTAAATACTTATTTTCAGAAAATTCGATTAATTTTGCTGAAGAATGTTTCAAACGTCTTGATAGAAAAATTAGAAATTGTTTACTCAATCGACGCTCTATTCGATTTGTTTGTTTTTAAATTTTCTAAAATTTTATTTTTTTTTTTTACTTTGAAGGATTATTTGTCACAAATCGAGACCGATCTTCGTGCTTTCTTTGAACATTGTTCAACTGGTGTCTTTTGTGAACAAATTGCTTGTCGAATAAAGCGTTTCTATATGCATGCTGTTTCTCAATTTCTTCGTTTAAAATCCCAAAGTTTTTTTTTAAATTTATCTTAAACTTTCTATTTATTTTAGCGCTCAACGATGTTGATTCTAAAAATGTTGTTCAAGTGGAAAATGATAAAAATGAATTTTCACCCCCTGAAGTTTTTCTTTTGGCTATTCTCAAACGGAAGAGGCAAAAAGGAAGGAAAGGAAGTGATGATTGGGTTGAAGATGATGAAGTTCAATATTCTGATTGGACAATAGTTCGTTAGGTTTTTCTAGGATTTTTAGGCTTGATTATGTTTGTATATTGTCCATATTCTCCTTCTCTTTTGCTAAATGATGGTTTTTAATATTCCCTAATTTTATTTTAAGTAAACTGAATTTAACTTTATCCCTTAATATTGCTGTAGTCTTTTGATATTATTTTTTATCTATTTGTAAGATAATTCTGATAATTAAAAAATAATTTTAAAAATGTTTTTCTGTTTTTTCGAAATGGATTCGATATTAATTTTGTTTCTTTTTTTAATCTCATTTTATATTTTTTTTAAAGAAAATATGGATTTAGCTGAAGCTATTAGTGGCGACGAGGAAGGAGAAGAAGTTCAAAAATCTATTGATCGTGATCATGAGGAGGAAGAGGAAGCTGAAAAGTCTATTGGTAGTGGTGAGGAAGAACTTCAAAAATCTGCTTGTGAAGTTGGTGAGGGTGAATTTGCAAACACTGGTGATGAAGATGATAATGAGGAACCTATAGAGACCATTAGTGAAAATCAGGAAGATAATGAAGGCGAAGATCAAGATCCTCAGAATGAAATGGATGAATTATGTCAAAAGGATACCGAGGAGGAATCTCGACAGGAAGGGGATGGTGAAGAAAATTTGGGACAATCTGTTGGGGAAGAAGGTGAGGAACAGCAAAAGGAAGGTGGTGGAGGGTCTCAACAGTCTAACGAGGAAAATGAAGAGATCCAAAATGAAGTTAGTGGTGAGCTTTTGGGACAAACAATTGATGGAAATGAGGATGAACTTCAACAGGAGGAAAATAGCGAGGAAACCCTTGAGCCTTCGAGACAATCGATTGATGCAAATGAGGATGAACTTCAACAAGTTGAAACTGCTGAGGAATCTCAAAAATCTATTCATAGTGAAAATGAAGAGGAACAACCGAAAGAAGGAGAAGAAGACGACGAACATCAAAAGGACGATAATGATAATGAAGAAGAACACCCAAAAGTAGGAGAAGAAAACGAGGAACATCAAAAGGACGGTGATGATGAAGAACCTCAAAATGAAGGCGAAGACGAAGAAGGATCCGTTAGTGGAGATGAGCAAAAAGATGGAGACGTAACTACTTTAATGCAAAACATTTTTGGAGATGATATGAGCGATGATGATGATGAGAAGGCAAATGATGGGGGACAGGTTTTTCTTTGTTATTTTAATTATTAATTTAATTAAATTTCTGCAGGGGTCAAGTGGAGCAAAAGGATTTGGATCTGATGATGAACCTAAACTCTTGCGTGTTGAACAGGATGAGGAAGAAGACGAGTTTGTTTTTAATAATTATTTTACAAAATGGTTTTTTTTCTTTAGAGACACTCATGGACGACGATGGGATTTTGATATAATGCTAGACAAAAAGAAGCTTGATCGACGACGTCGCCGTCGTAGAGATGGATCTATTGATTTAATGGCAGATGCAGATGATCAAATTAGAGAATTAATTGATGCTATGAATGAAGCGGCAAATGTATTAATTTTTTAAATGAACCTTTTCTACAAGATTTTTTATTCAGGATGATCGTACAGCTAATATTGACCGTCGACCAGCTGTTAAGAAAAGGAAGATGCTTTCTTTGGTTAAAAATGCGTTGGTTAAAGTTGATCTTTTTGAGGCAATGCTTGAAAATGGTTTTTAAATTTTATTCAATTTTTTTTAAATTTTCATTTAGGAATGGTTAGTGCTATAAGTGAATGGTTAGCTCCTTTGCCTGATAAGTCGCTTCCTGCTTTGGAAATTAGGTTTTTATAAAGATGGGTGGATTGTTTAAATATTTATTTTTAAGATGCACCTTTTTGAAAATTCTTGAACGTTGGCCTAATTTGGAACAGGTTTTTGTTATTTTTTGTGTTTAAATTTTTGACGTCACATCCATTTAGAGAGGTTTATTTAAAAAATTATTTTTTTTTTATTTTCAAGGGAATCCTCAAACAATCTGGTCTGGGTAAAGCAGTTATGTACTTATATAAACATCCAAAAGAAACGAAAGAAAATAAATTAATTGCGGCAAAACTTATAAGAGAATGGTCTCGTCCAATTTTTCAGGTTTTTACAAAAATGTTTTTTCACGATAAAAAAATCTTTTTATAGCTGGATAGCGATTTTCGTTCATTAAGTAAAGAAGAGCGTGTTCAACGGGATTATTCACAAATGCCACTTGCCAAACGCAAAAGACTTTCGTTTGTTTTTTTTAATTTTTTTGAAGTTTTTGAAATTTTAGAGTTGATGAAGATAATAGTGGACAAATATTTTCTTCAAAAAAATTGCAAAAAGAAAAGGATGATGGGCCAAAACGTCCTGGTGATCCTGGTTTTATTATGCGTGCTCGTGTTCCTAAACTTTCAACTAAAGATTATGTTGTTCGACCACAACCACAAATTGAAAGTCAATTTAGAGGAGAAACGAAAAATAAACAGGTTTTTGTTTCTTGAATAAAGTGAAAGGAATGCGGACATATCGGCCCAGATCATGAGGCAATTATGGAAAGTTTCTCTGTTAATTATGAGGCCTCATACCACTGGGTATGTTTTTTAACCAACTGTTTTAGGACTAATGTAGACACAAGAGGTTATTTTTCTCTCAGCAATCCCGATATGTCCGTTTCGTACACCGAATAAATTCATAAAACGTGTTTTTTAAAGGCTTCTCGTTTTGTTCGAGCTCAACGTGAATTTCGTCAAACAAATAAAACTGGGCTTGTTAAACGCGCTGTTGGTGTGAGTATTTCTGGGAAGAATCTTTAAAAATTTTTAAGAAATAATTTGAGGTTTTTTTTCTCTTTATTTTGTATACAACTGGTCTTTTCTTTTTTATTTTTTGGGGGGACAGGTTTCTTGATGATTTTGTTAATTTGGTCAAGTTATGTACTTTTATTTTTGGCAAAATCTAAAAATTTAAAGAACCTGTCTTTTATTTTTCCCCCTTTCTTTTAATTTAATTATATAAGAAATTTATTTAATTTTGAATTAATGTAAAGAATTCTTTTTGAATGAATTTTTACATTTTTTTTCGTCAAAACAAGTATTTTACCTATTCTATTTTGCTTACATTTATTATTTTTTAGTTAAATATTAAAAAAAATTTTTTCTTTTATTTGAATGCAATTTTTTAAAATGCATAAATTTTGCATTAGACTGATTTTCTTTTATATATTTTCTTTCTATTTATGCTAATGACAATTTTATTTTAAATTAAGCTTCTTTTTTCAAATTAGAATAGGATATTCATGTGACAGATTTCTATTTTTTCAATCAATTTTGAAGTGTTGTAGTTTTTTTTTGTTTTATTAGCTTGTTTAAATGTCAGGTTTTTTTGTTGAAAATTTTTTTGAAATTTTTTTAAATTTTAAGGTGCAATATTTTTTTCAATTTCCGGTGCTTGTATGACGACTCCTTATTAAATTTTAAATCTAACCAATTTTTAATGGAAGAAGAAATAAACGAAATTAATGAAGAAATTATTGTTGAAGAAACTCAAAATACTAGCAATTTAGAAACCCCCAAAAGCAGCGATTTGTATCCTTATCAATGTTTACTTTTTGTTTTTACTCAATTTGGTTATTTGGCCGTAGTTCCTTCAATGCTTTCTACAACATTTTTTGAACCAAATGAGGTTTTTAATTTTTTCTTAATATTTTTTTCGTATTTGTATGTTGTATTAAACCAATTTTTGCTGACATATTATTCAGACTTATAACGGTCAGAGCGTCCACGATGGGTTTCTTTGAACTAATGAGAGAATTTCTGAGTTTAGAGATATTTGGAGTTGGAATGTTTTCCTTTTTATCTCTGACCATTTTAAGTCCGTATAAATGTCCACAAAAACTGATTTGATAGCAACCACATGTACCATTTTTTAAGTATTATTTTTAGGAATTTTGTCAGAAAAGTTTTAATTCAAGTCATTCGGAAGAAAATTTGTCAAATTCCACCAATTATTTTGAAGAAAAATTATTCTACTCTCTTTTGATTGAATGGAATCAACATTGTCAAAAATCTATTTGGACTGCTTGGATATCAACAATTGTTTTAATTGGTACAATTTTTGGATCATTTGCTGCTGGTTTTATGGCTGACAGATTTGGAAGGGTTTTTCTTTTTTAATAATTTTTTTAAATAAAATTTTTTAGAAACCTGTTGTTGTTGGTTCAATGTTTTCAATTTGTTTATTTAATTTTTTACTTTTCCTGTTTGGTGGTATAAGTCAACTAGTTGCTTTCTTTATTTTCTTTTTTATTGGAACTGCTTGTGGTGGATATATGGTTACAAATATGGTTTGATATTTTTTGTAATTTTGATTTTTATATTCTAATAGACGTCTAACTTTTGTTTATTCTAATAGACGCCTATTTCTTTTATTCTGATAGACTCTTTCTAATAGACGCCCATTTTTCTTTAAGTGACTCTCCCTCATTTTTCTTTCTTCAAGGATGTACTAACGAGGGTTAACTTTTTGTTAATTAAAGTGTTCAAATCTCCTTGGGAATTACTTTAAAAATTATTTTGTTAAATTATAAAAAATCTTTTTTTAGGTTTTACTGGTTGAATTTCTTCGTAATCCAAATGCTCGTCTTTTAGTCGTTTCATTGAATGGATGGCCGCTGGGTATGATTGGAACTGCTTTTTTGGCTTATTTTTTGTGTAATTGGAAATTTTATTGTTTGGCAATTTCCCTTTTTGCGTTGCTTTTTTCTATTATTATTGTGAGTGATTTTAGAGAAAATTTGAGGTTTTTTATTTTCAGCAATATTTTGCTTGTGAAAGTATTCCTTGGTTAATTCAATCTGGTAAAGACAGAAAAGCTCATTATGCACAAAAACATTTAATTCGGGTTTTAACTTGAAATTTTTTTAATTTAAAAATTTTTTTTAGATCAATTCTTTTCTTGCTCTCTCAAAAAAGGCTGAACAACAAAATAAAAATTCTTCAAATTTATTTTTACCTCGGAATGAAAACGGAGGAATTGGTTCGATTAAAAATGATGGAAAAGAAGAAATTGTCGTTTATAATTATTTTGATTTATTTCGACACAAAACAATTCGAATTCGTCTTTTGGCTCTTTTATTTTGTTTTGGTTCTTCAAGTATTGTTTCTTTTGGACTTTATTTTTCTGCTGAATTATTACCTGGATCGAGGTTTTCTTTTTTAAGTTTTTATTTTTAAATTTTGAATTTTGTTTAAAAAAGATATTTGAATATTGCTTTAATGGGTTTTTGTAAATTATTATTTGGATTTTTACCTTTTATTGCTTCTAATTTTGTTGGGAGAAAGCCAATACTTTTAATTTCTATTGGTAAACGTGTTTTGATTTTTTAATCAAAAAATATTTTTTAAAGGTTTTGCAATGTTTTCTGCTTGGTCTCTTGTTTTTTCTCAAATTTTTGGTTTAAATCAACGCTTTTTAATTACTTCTTTTGGACTTTTAATGACTGGAGCAGTTGATCCAAATTGGAAAATTATTCATTTATTTTCTATTGAATTGTTTCCAACACCTATAAGAAATATGGCACGGTTTGGAAATTTTTTTAATTTTTAAAAATTTATTTTCCCGTTTAAGTGCTCTCTGTAATGTTTTTGCTCGTTTAGGAAGTCTTTCAGGTCCTTGGGTTATTTTAACAAAAATTGGCGGAAATCAATTCTTTCCTTTTTTAACTTTTGCTTTACTTTTAACTTTACAATTTTTTATTTCTTTAATATTTTTACCTGAAACTAAAGATAAACCCCTTCCAGATTTTTTATTTAAATTAACTTTAAATTCTCAAAAGCATTTAAAAAATAATTCTTCTCCTCATTCTTTAAATTGCTAATTTTAAATTTAATTTTGAGAGCAAAATTTTCACGGGGCTTTTACATTTTTAAACTGTTAATAAGTTTGTAAATTCAAAAATCGTCCGACCCATTAAGAAAATTTTTTGCTCTCTATTAATTAAATAATTCTCTTTTAGGATCTCTAATATTTTTAATAAATCAGTGTTGAGGGCCAAATTTTGAACAAAAATTTTTTTTAATTTTTTGTTTTATCCAACGTGGTCAAATTTAAATTTTTGGTTCTCTTCCTTCCCTCCTTAACTTTTTTTGTTTATAAAATCTACTTTCTTAAATTTCCTGCATAATTTACAAATTCATTCCTCACCAGAATTTTTTAGCTATTTATTTCCTTTTTTCCCTTATTTTTATTGTTTTTTTTAAGTTTAGATAAGTAAACGATAATTAATTTTTTAAACATTCTTTTGTTTGTTAAGGTTAATTTAGAAAATAGTTTTTAATTTTTTTTTTAATTTTTTGGTTTCCATGGAAATTTATTTTTATTATTAAACATGTGTGAATATTGAATGATGTCTTTTCATCTTTTAAACATTTTTGCAATTTTTGTCTTTTCTTTTTAAATGAAAGAATTTCAGGTTTATTTTATTTTTTACTTAATATTAAGAATTTATTTTTTAATTAAAAAATGACTTCAAAAAATGATTCTTCATTTGCATTGGCTCCTCTATTAAATTTACCTCAAAATGGAACAACAAAACGTCTTTCAATTAATTATGAACAAGAAGCTTCTCTACCTGTGTTTGTCCCAACTTCAAAAAACCCTACAAGTGGAAAGATGACCTTATTTTTGGATAAATATGAAAAAATTGCTAAAATAGGTTTAAATTATTTTTAAAGATATTTTAATATAAATTTTTTAAAGGTGAAGGTTCTTATGGAATTGTTTTTAAATGTAGAAATAAAGAAACTGGAGAGGTAAAAAATATTTTAAATTAATCGGGAATTTCTGTTATTTTTTAAAAACCTTTAAAGTGGACCTATTTCTATCCCGAATATTTTTACTGGTCTCCATTATTCGGTTAATTCCTAGAAAGAGGTTGGCAGATCCTGGGAAATCTTCGGATGTCTGATCCAATATCCGAACCGAGAATTTCCTGGTATCCGAATCTACTCTAGACATATTAAGGCAGACCCTCACTATGGAACAGTTAGAAAATACTTTAAAAAATTTTTTTATTTAAGATAGTTGCAATCAAAAAATTTGTTGAAACTGATGAAGATCCAGCTATTAGGAAAATTGCTTTTCGTGAAATAAGAATGTTAAAAGTATTATTTTATTTTTTAAATAATTTAACTTTCCTTTATTTCTAGCAATTAAAACACGTAAATTTGGTTAATTTAATTGAAGTCTTTAAACGAAATAAGAAGCTTCACTTGGTTTTTGAACACTGCGAAAGAACAGTTTTGGATGATTTGGAGAAATATCCTAATGGGTTTATTTTTTATTTTGTAGAATAAATTAGAGATGTCGTGGGTTTTTATCGACCCGAAACCCTATCCGAAGAAAGTTTTGAAACCCCTACCCGACTCTTTTCTCTACCCGTGACATCTCTTGAAGTAATGTTTCTAAAATATTCTTTTTAAGATGTCCTGAACTGTTAACAAAAAATATTATTTTTCAATTACTTGAAGCAACTCGTTTTTGTCATTCTAAAGGATGTGTTCACAGTTTATTCTTTTTTGTTTAATATTTAATTAAAAAAATATTTTAGGAGATATAAAACCTGAAAATATTCTTTTAACTGCGCAAAATGTTGTCAAACTTGGAGACTTTGGATTTGCCAGAATTTTAAGTGAGTTCTTTTCAAATACCAAAACGCATTTCCTTCAGGTTTCTGATGTCTAATTTCAATTTTTTAAAGATCCAAACGAATTACTCACCGATTATGTCGCCACTCGTTGGTATCGTGCCCCAGAACTTTTAGTAGGTGACACTAGATATGGATTTCAAGTAGATGTTTGGGCTATTGGATGTGTTTTTGCTGAAATGTTGACTGGAGAACCTGTATGGCCCGGAAGGTAAAAAGTTATTAAATCTGAAATATTTTTTATATCAAAGATCTGATGTTGATCAGCTTTATTTAATTATTCAAACACTTGGTATATTTTTTATAAATCTAAGAGAAATTTTTTAATTTTCCAAGGTCAAATAACTTCAAGGCAAATGCAAACATTTTTTGAAAATTCTTATTTTCGCGGTATCAGTATACCAGAACCTGAACATTATGTTGGATTAGCACAAAGACTTGCACAAACAGAAAATCCTGATTCTTCACTTGACGAGATTGCTATCGACTTTCTTCTAGTAAAAATCTTTTCAGAATTTCTCATAGTATTTTTTCCCTAGAAATGTCTTCATGTAAATCCAGAAATGCGTTGGAGTGCCGAAGAACTTTTAAGACATCAATATTTTCGCGAATTTATTTTTAAATTGCCGGAATTTGATGGAGCGGAAGCAACAATTAATGGATATCTGCCTGTACTTGCTGAGAGAAGAAGACAAAGTTATTCACAACAAATAATTAATTCAGAACAAGAAGGCCAAAGAACTGTTGATTCAACGCATCTACCATCAATTCTGTGATAAATTTATATTTTTGACCTAAACGATAAAGTCCAAGTATTTTTTAATTAATTGTTTATTTTAAAACGGATTGACGTTCTGAATCATTAGCCTCCAACTTCAATTAAACATGGGCTAGAAGTTTGTTTTTTAATCTGGAGCTCCGCACAATCATAGTACAGAAATAACGGATTCTAAACGTTTAAAGTTTTCCAAATTTTGGTGTAATGTGTCTTGCGCCGAATAACTGACAATCTATCCCATTATTTTTAAAAGGACACTAGAGTATTGTTCATTTGAGTCTGAGGAATTTGGAATTTAAAATTTTGCAAATCTGTGGCGTATTGTATTGAACGCCAAATAAATGACATTTTATCCCATAAAATAAAAGACGGTTGAGTGCGGACATTGAGTGTCATTTTAATGCTAAAAATTTTTAATCTTAAAAAATCGATAAAATCAATACTAATCGATACTTTATTTTGTAAAATTTTACAAAATTTATATTTTTCAAAAATTAATATAACGATAAAATCAATATCAATCAATAATTGATTATTGCACTTGTCTTTTAATTAGTAGGTCTTTTAACTTCCTTCAGTCGTTCCGGTCTTTTATTGCGCCGTCTTTTAATTATTCGGTCATTTAACTTTATCCAGCCTTCCGGTCTTTTATTGCACCGGTCTTTTAATTATTCGGTCTTTTAACTTTCGATAGCATTCCGGTCTTTTATTGCACTAGTCTTTTAACTAGTCGGTCTTTTAACTTCCTTCGCCAGTTCCGGTCTTTTATTGCGCCGGTCTTTAATGCGTCGTTCTTTTAACTTCCTTCGCCCATAACGGTCTTTTATTGCGCCGGTCTTTTTACTAACCTGTATTCTGTATACGCGGTTGAGTGCTTAATTCTAAGAGCGCAAATGCTATTGTATAAATCTATCGATTATGGCAACAGTATTTATTTTCCTTGCTTTTTTGTTCAAATGATTAAAAAATCAAAAAAAATCCTCCCCAATTAAATTATTTACTTAAATTTACTAATTTCTTACTTGTTTGGGTTATGGATAATTATTTAATAGTATCCGATAATTTAGAAAAAAAACTTTTATTTTGATGTAAATAGTTGAGCATTAGAGTTGTCAGTTACTTGAAAATCTTCGGATATCCGGATCCGAATCGAAGAACTGAACCGAAAAATCGTCGGTTCTTAGGTTCGTTTCGGTCAAGAACTTCTTAGGTTCGTTTCGGTTAACAATCAATTTTCGGAAACTATTCAATTATACTCCGGTGTGCCTCAAGGCACAATCTTAGCTCCTGTTCTTTTTATTATATACATCAATGACTTATCAAGCTCTATTCCTACCTCTATCAACAGCTCACTTTTTGCAGATGATCTTAAGATTTATCAATGTCGTAATAAAAATGATTCATCTAATCTTCAATCAAGTTTAGATAAAATTTCTAAATGGTGTTCTGAAAATGCTCTAGAAATCTCTTTTAATAAAACTCTAGTTTTACATATTGGTACTAATAATCCTAAACATAACTACTATTTCAATGGTTTACCATTGAAATGTGTTTCTACAATCTCAGATCTAGGAATTGATTATACAGATAATTTATCTTTTGAACCTTATTATACAAAAATTGTAAAAAATGCCTATTTTAGGGGTATTTCAATCATTAATAATCTTCACACGTCTAATCCCAAAATTTGGGGTACGGCATTTAAAACATATATTAGGCCAATTTTGGAATATTCTTCAGTTATATGGAATCCCAAAACTAAAAAACATAGAGAAAAATTAGAAAAGGTGCAAAAATGGTATACAAGGGTGGCTCTTTTTAAGTGTAAAATCAACAAGAAAAATTATATCCAAAGATTAAAATTATTTAATCTCGAATCACTGGCCCTCAGAAGAGTTTTATTCGATTTATCAACTATTTTTAAGATCATTAAAAACCACACCCACTTTACTTCTTCACAATTCTTTATGTTATCTGATAGACCTAATAGGAATAGACATAATTATCAAATAAAAGTAGCTCGTAAAACCTCCAAAACTGAACACTGGATCTTTAACAGATCCATTAATCTCTGGAATGCCCTACCTATAGAGATTGTCAACATTGATAATTATAAGATATTTTGGAACACCCTAAGATCCTATCTTATCGAACTAGAAAGTACCAATAATAGCCTTCTTTATTATCGTTATTGATATTAATATATCAAAACTTACTTTACCCCCACCTACCCACTCCCCCCCACCTACCCACTCCCCCCACCTACCCACTCCCTCCACCTACCCTCTCCCTCCACCTACCCTCTCCCCCCACCTACCCACTCCCTCCACCTACCCTCTCCCTCCACCTACCCTCTTCCCCCTCTTCTCTCCCATCTAGCTTATATACTTGATTTTTTTATATACCAATAATAATCGTCTTTACTATCGATATTAATATTTCCCCAAACCATAACCCAGTTCAAATAATAATACTTTTTAAGGCTTTAAAACGGCTGTTTATTGCTTTGTGGCGTTTTGTTTACTTAGTACTCAAAAGTCCCAATCAATATTCATAAATTACTTTTTATTTTATTTTTTTTTTCGTTGTCGGGACCTTAGTGTTTTTTCATTTTTTTTTCAAATTTTAATTAATTTTTTTTACATTTTAAGATTTATTCTTTAAGAATCAAATCTATTTCTTAAATTTTTATTTAAGAACCATGGACATTGGGCCTATTACTTTCAAAGCACAAAAATAAAAAAACTGCTTCTTACCTAATATTAATTTATTACATGTCCATGGTTCTTAAATTTCCATTTTTTATTGACTTCAATATATTTTGTTTCCTAGACATTATTTTTTTTACTTTTAAATTTTAATTGATTTTTTTTAATTTAAGATTTATTATTTAAGAATCACATTTATTTCTTAAATTCTTATTCAAAAACCATGGTAAATGTTCCCATTACTCTCAAAACACTTAAAGATAAAAGAACTGCTTTTTAAGCGAATATTAATTTATTACATTTCCATGGTTTTTAAAAGTTCCAATTTTTTCATTGACTTCAATATAATTTGTTTCCTAAACATTATTTTTGATTTTCAAATTTAATTGATTTTTTTAATTTAAGATTTATTATTTAAGAATCACATTTATTTCTTAAATTCTTATTCAAAAACCATGGTCAATGTTCCTATTCCTTCCAAAACACCAAAAAATAAAAGAACTGCTTCTGAAGCAAATACAAATTCAATTACATTCCCATGGTTTTTAAATTTTGTTTTTTACTTATTGACTTCATTATTAATTGTTTCTGATTTAAGAGGCTCCTCTGTGAGTCCATTCGGATAAAAGTTATATATTTAATTTCTAATTTATTTTTCCACCTTTTCTTCCTCCTTTTATTTATTTCATTTACAAAAAGTCAATTTCAAATTCCTTTTCTTGGTAATAATGGCAACTCTGGTTTTAATGGATTTCCAAATATGGGTCTTGGTGGACAACAAGGAGGGAATTATGGAGGGAATTATGGAGGGTTGGGAGGACTTGGGAGCTTTCTTGGATAGAAAAAAGTGAAGAAGAAGAAAATAAAATTTGATTTGTTTTTTTGAAAAGTTGATGAAAGGAAGGAAGAATGGCCACACACGATTTTAATATTTTGAACAATAAAAATATAATTGTACATATATTTTATAGAATATATTAAATAAATGCATGTAAAAAGGAAAAATCTAAATTTTTAAAGTTTTGACATTTAATGTGAATTATATAGAGGATGTTTTTTAAATTTTAGTATATTTTAATAAAAAAATTTTTTCGCAAAATACCCTCTATCTGTCAGCTATTTCCCGTGCTATTAAAATAGTTTACAAAAATCTTAATATAATTTAGAATAGAGTAGGTGGTCGTTCCGTGGTAGTTAGAGATGGGTACAGGAATTTTTTAAATAAAGTGTCACAAATTCCCCAAATTTTTGAAAGAAAGAACAGCACAAAACAATCCTTTAAAAAATTTTTTATCTTGATTTTCCAAAAGTGTGGTCTTATAATAATTTCCTAATAATTTTTTACATATTTTTCGAATACAACAAAATTGCAATAAAAAAATTTTTTACAAAAAATTCCTTTAAAAATAATTATTTTTGTTTAAATTAAAATATTTAATTATAATTTAAATAAATAAATATTTGTCAATTAATTAATTTTTGATAAGCACAGAAAAGAAAATAAAAAAAGGAAGAGATGTCACAATTTTAATTATTTTTTTGTTAATTAAATACCAAATTTTATTGTTTTTTTTTTGTTCACCATAATTCATTATTAATTTCCTTACTTTCTCAAATTTAAGAAATATTTATTTTCCTTGCTTTTTTGTTCAAATGATTAAAAAATCAAAAAAAATCCTCCCCAATTAAATTATTTACTTAAATTTACTAATTTCTTACTTGTTTGGGTTATGGATAATTATTTAATAGTATCCGATAATTTAGAAAAAAAACTTTTATTTTGATGTAAATAGTTGAGCATTAGAGTTGTCAGTTACTTGAAAATCTTCGGATATCCGGATCCGAATCGAAGAACTGAACCGAAAAATCGTCGGTTCTTAGGTTCGTTTCGGTCAAGAACCGACAACCCTATTGAGCATTCTTCATAGAATTAATCAAAATTCAATTTAAGAATCCAAAAATTAATTTAATTTGAAATTAATCTTTAATGCCGGAGTTTCAAGATTTAATAAATTTATTTTTTTATTTTTTATTAAAAGAGCAAAAAATTTTTTGGGTGGTCTTTTCGTGTTTGAAGGAGGCGCAGAATAGGAAAAATTAAATTAAGCCACCGACAAATTTTTATTGAAGAGAAGCTTTCAATTCTTTAAAATTTGAAAGTTTTTTTATTCTTATTTTGTGTGAAATTGATGAATTGGTGGGATTTAGTTGAAAAATGTATTTTTTGGAATTTTTAAGAAATATAAAAAAATAAAATTGTTTATTTTATTTTAAAATCAACAAAATATTAAAAAATAAATTAACTTGAAGAGAAAATGCAAATTACAAACAGACTCCACATTAAATCCAATACTAGACATTAGGGTTGTCGGGAAACTCTTCGGATATCCTTTAACCGAACCGAAAATTCTTTGGTTTTCTGGTTCGGTTAGGTAAATTTTCGAGTCCACAACCCTACTAGATTCACAACAATTTAAGGGGAATTTTAAAATCTAATTGGACAATTGATAATAATAATTTTGTTATTATTGTAAGGATGACGCTTAGGCGGGGGTTATACGATCTAAAAGGATAAAAGAGAATGCCTCGGTAGCTTCGTGGTAGAGCTCCTACATATACATATGTGGTGAGCGAAAGCGCCTAGCAATAACTACGAGGAGGTCGCAGGTTCGAATCCTGCCCGGTGGCTAAACTTTTGCTAAACTTTTTCTTTATTTCTACAAAATAGCCAAAATTCTATAATTTAAAATAACTTTTTCTTTATTTTAAAAAAGATGGAAGACCTAAATTAATTTTTAAATATTTAATGTTTCTTATAAAAATTTTAGAAAATAATTTATAGAATAATGTTTAATAATAATAATTTATTAAAATGTAATTCAACACAACCATGGCGTCCATTGGGGAAATTATTGGATTTATATATTTTACCAATAATTTGTATTTTTGGTTTATTTTTAAATATTTCTTGTATTTTTGTTTTTCTTAAAAGAAAAAATTTAAATTATTTAAATAAACAACAAAAAGATTTTGCAAGTAAAAGAAAATATTCTCCAGCAACATTTTCTGAATTTGGAGGAGGAGGAAATAATAATCAACAACAATTAATTGCTAATTTAGATACTAAAAGTATAACTGGATCATCTACAACAATTTTTAGAAACGAATCTTTTGCTTTACAATTATTTAAACAAAAACGGTTTTTAAAAAGAATTTTGAATTAATAAGTGTAAATTATTAATTTTGAATTAATAAGTGTAAAGCATACAGCTATTTAATTCCTAAGGCACTATTTAATTCCACACATCAGTCCGGTTTACTGAAGATGTTTTCAGCCGCTGAATAACCTTTTGCACTAGCTAAAGGAGAGAAATAGTTATAGCCCAGCTGCTTTACTTAAGTAATAAATATGTAAAAAGAAATAAAAGGACTTTGAGATATTGGAAGCTGAATTAAATTAGAATTTAGAGTGTTGATAAACTAAATCCCAAAAATGGATGCATCCCCAGTAACCAATAAAATTGAAAAAAGTAACTTAAATTGTGATGTTGTGTCTCCTTAAACTTTTAAATTTAAAAGAATTTATTACTAAATTATATCTTAATTTCTATCTAAATATCCGTCCCCAGCAAATAATGTTTTTTTTTACTTTTAGTAATGAAGGATCACATCCTCTTGTGCCTGTTTTAATTGTTTTATGTTGCTGTGATTCGGTAATTATTTAAATAAAAATATTTATTTTTATTTTTTTAACTAAAAAGTTACAATTAATATTTTCTATGCTTGTTTTGTACCTTCCTGCATTACACGATCATCTAGAAATGGATCCATTAGGTTTAGTAGCTCAATTAGCATATTTAGCTACTGGAGGGTTGGCAGGGGGCTTGCTGGCTGCTAATTGTGCTTCTATTTGGACTATGTAAATTTAGAAAAATTAAAAAAAGTTCTAATATATTCGAAAGGAGATTCATGAAAATTGAATTCAAGTGTAAACATTTTTCTTAAAAATTCTTTCATTACAAAATAAACTCCTCTAAAAAATTTCTCTAATTTACAAATAAAATTTAAATTTAAAAAATAATAATTTCCAAAGGTGTTATATCTCCCTTCAACGTCACAAAGCTATATTAAATCCATTAGCTAGTATGTCTTCTTCTAAATCAACAAATCATTTTTATTTATTTTTAATTCCAATTTGTGCATTAATTTTTAATTCTCCCGTTTGGTTTGAATTTAAATGGGCAATTAATATTATTAAATTAAATAATGGAGGGAAAAGAATTATTATATGGTTATTTATATTTAAATATTTTTTAAATTAAAAAAATTAAAAGGCATGAAAGATCTGCTTTAGCTAAAAACGAGCAATATATATTTTTGGTAAATAAATAATTATTATTAACTTTTAATTAAATAAATAATTTAATTAGATGCATAAAGTATTATATACAGTATGTGTTTATTTGGTTAGTTTATTTTTAAAATAAATTCTGGTTAGAATTATATATTGTTAACTAGAAAATAACTAAGTAGCTAGTAGAGAGCAAGATTATTGAAAAGCCTGGGCCTGGTTCCAGGTTTGATTTATTGGCCTGGGCCAGATCCTGGGCCTGTAGTCCAGGAAAAACCCAGGCCCAGGAAAAACCCAGAAATGCCAAAAAATGCCTGGGATTGTACTCTAGGTCAGGAAAAACCCAGGCCAACCTCTAATAGCTAGTATCTTTCATTAAATTATCGAGTAAAAATCTTTTATTTTAAATTTGAGGGATTTTGAGGAATGCTTATTAAATTTATTTTAAAAATAATTTATTTAGATTCCCTTAATACTAATTTCTGTATTAAATATTCGAATGTTAGCATCTATTCGCAAAGCTTCAAGAAGATTAGCATCTGCTGGACAAAGAAAACGGATGGAAAGAGAAAAACGTTCTGTTAGATTATTAATTGCTATTGTTTTGTTATTCTTTTTATGTCATACTGGTTAGTAAATTGAGAAATTAATTTAAAATTAAATTTAACGAAACATTTTTAAAAAATATTTGTATTTTTTCGCTTTAGTTTAAAAAGTTTTAGATGGATAAACATTTGTCCATAAACTATTGACAACATTGTCCATAACAGGGGTGGGGGAGATTTAGACCGGGTTTTAATTATTATAATGATGTTGGATTTTAATGAAACTAAGGTATTTTATAGCAGATGAACTGAGTATTTGGACCACCGTTTTTATTACCAATTGATTTTTATTTAATTTTATTGTGAGGGATTTAATTAATAAATCGTTGTTGTCCATAAACATATGACCACCCCCCCCCACTATTTTCTAAAAATTCAATTCAAATTTTTCAATCAAAAAATTTAAAAATAATTATTTAAATTAAAGGTGGTTTAATTATTCGATTTTTTGATTTAAGGCAACATGGAAATGAACCGGTAATTTAATTTAAAAAAATCTCAATTTAATTTAATTTTTAAAGTGTTTCGTTTTTGCAAAAGATTTGGTTAATTTTTTGTTTAATATAAATTCTTTTGCCAATCCAATGCTTTACTTCTTTTTTACAAAACAATTTAAAGATTTAAGAACAACATATAAAGAAGCTAAAATATCTAATAATATTATTGGAATTAACAGAACAAATAGTTTATTAAATAAATTAATTTTATTAAAAAAGAATTAAATTTTAGAAAAAAATGATCGCGTTGATTTTGGTATCATTCGATGCAGCTCAACGAGCTCTTTCGAACGAGCTATCACTTGCATATTCGAAGTTCGGGTTCAGGGTTCGAAATTCGGTCCGGGTTCGGGATTCGACTTTTTGAAAATCTGAGTTCAGATTCCTAATCAGCATAATTTTTTACCCTAGAAAAATCCTTTTTCATATTTTTAAGATTTTTTTCCGCAGGGACCACGATTCTCCGGGATTGCCGAAAAATCAGAAAAAAGTATATGGGCAAAAAGTATATGGGCGCTATAAGCTAATTTAAAAAACCACCCTCCTTTAAATTATCATTTATTTTAAACACAAAAAAATAAGACAAGAATAAATAAGACAAGAAAAAAATTTAAAACATAAAAACAACCTATAAAAAGATCAACCATTCAAAACAAGCAAATCAATGCATCTAAATGGAACATTTGTGTTGTCTCTCGTTTGACAAGAACTTGGACACCATTTAATTGGCTTTAACATTGGGAAAGGATAAACTTATATAAGGGAGAAACCTTGCGGACAAAACTTGCGAATTTAATAAAGTAAAAAAGCTAACCATGTAGACGAGAGCATTGGAGTTTAATAGTTGCACTGGAGTGAAGTCATTGCCCATATACCGCCGAAGCGATACATTGGGACTTTTGCCCATATACCGCCGAAGCGATACATTGGGACTTTTGCCCATATACCGCCGAAGCGATACATTGGGACTTTTGCCCATATACCGCCGAAGCGATACATTGGGACTTTTGCCCATATACCGCCGAAGCGATACATTGGGACTTTTGCCCATATACCGCCGAAGCGATACATTGGGACTTTTGTTGTTGTTGTTGCTGCTGTTGAAGTTGTTTGTTGTTGTTGCTGCTGCTGCTGAAGAACTGGAAAAAATTGGATACATTTTTCAAAAATTGAAAAAAGCAAGTCTTGTCCGCAATTCAATACTACCCTCCCCCCTAAAAAGGTTAATCCCCAAAAAGGAAAAGCCACGCATTGTTGTTTCCAAACCCAAAGTTGCCAGTGTCCGTAAAAAAAAGTTCAAATTCCTTGACCTAAAAAGTTTTTTTCAGTTATAAAAAAGAGATTGTTAAATAACCTTCAAACCACGATCAATAATCTCCTCAGCTTTTGAGCCACGAACCGTGCAGTGAACAGCGATCTTTTCGTTTCGACGAATGCCAAAAGCTCGAACGGTATAACGGGGGACATGCCCAAGTAGGCGCGCGGCCATGTAGGCGCAAAGCCATAACTATCTGGAAAATTTCTGGACATCAACAATTTTGGTACCAATCTCTTTAGCTTGATAAGAGGAATCGTTTAATACCAAATTTGGTAATATTCGGACATCTTGAAGCAAGTTATGGCTTTGCGCCTACATGGCCGCGCGCCTACTTGGGCTGTACCCGTATAACGGGCCTTGGAAAGGACGGGTGTTTGTCCAGTCAATTGCTCAAGAACCTAAACGAAAAGTAAAAATTTCTTAAAGAAAACTTTAAAAAACCTTAGTTGCACGAGTAAGTCTATCTCCCGACTAGCCAACACAAATGTTTAAGCAAAGTTTTTGAATTTTCAATCCACGCATGGTCTTCTTGCGATTTTCGACAATTTGCTCAGTCAGCTTTAGTCATTGCAACAATAAATACTAGTCTGATCTGAAATGTGAAATTAAAGCACGTCGAAATAAAGAAGATCGCAATGAAAAACAAATCTATTTTGAGAAAGAGGACAAAACAAGAAACTTAAAAGGAATCGAAAAAAGAAAACTATACCAAAAATAAAATAGAAAAAGGCGAAGAAGCTGATAAAAATAATCGCCGTTTATGTCCGGAGAAATTAATTCTTTTTCTCTAACCAGTACATAATTTGCTTGTCTGAGTAATGGCCGCCAAAAATAATCAATAACAGCAGAAAGAGCGTTGAAAATAAAGAGTCGTTCGGTACACCTCAATTGAGTCCGCACGATTGAGTCCCCACGATTGAGTCCGCACGATTGAGTCCCCACGATTGAGTCCCGGCACGATTGAGTCCCCACGATTGAGTCCGCACGATTGAGTCCCCGTTGTATATACCTCAATTGAGTCCCCTAGATTTAATTATATTAAAAAAGATTAAGAGGGATATTTGGGGATTTGGAGGGATTAATGTTAATATCAGGGGACTTGTATGCGACATCGAGGTATCAAGATGGATATTGGTGAATATCAAGGGATATAAGTAGATTTAAGCGGGGATATCGGTTGAATTAAGGCAGATATCAACAAATTCGGAGAGATTAAGATGGATATTGTGGGTTTGGGGATTAGGAGGGATATCGAGAGATTTTTTGAATGATAGCTCATTCGAAAGTAGTGAGTCGAATGACACCAAAATCAACATTGTTGAACAAGTTCTCGCCGAGATATGGGGCTCGAAATGGTGGATTTTTTGGTGGAATTCCATGGGGAATTTTTGTTGCGAAACATTCGAATAAACAAAAAATAGCTCATTCGAAAGGGATCGACGAGATGAGTTGAATAAGACCAAAATCAAGTTGATTGAATGATTCTGAACAAATTTTGACCAACAGAATCTTCGCTGGAAAAACTTTTTGTGCTGCTATGGAGGGTAGGGGAAACTATCTAAATTACGAACGTAAAAACTCCTTCCTAATTTCCGGACTCCGGCAGAATTTACCTGGATACGGGAGAAAATCAAAATGTGAAAAAAAAATAAAAAAATATTTTTTAAAAATTTTATCAAAAAAATTAAAAAAAACCAAAGTCTAGCTTCAATTATTGTGCCAAAGAAGGGCCTTTCTTTCGTTTTTTGTTCTCCTAAGTTCACCACCTTCGTTCCTTCAGAAACTGTGAACTTGAAAATCGCCAGTCAGAAACTGACGAAAATCAACTAAAAAATTTTAAAAATAAAAACGAAAAACAAAATAAAAATTCCAAACCTTTTCAAATTTCCCATCGTTGCAGCCGTGGGATGAAGTCCGACACGTGATGAGCAAAGTTAGACCAACCTGAAATATAAAATCTAAAATTAAAAAATAAAAATTAAACTTTTACCTACACAAGATTCTCGTCCTCCCTCTCGTCCTCATTGAGAAAATTCAGTGCTCGGATGGACTTGAGTGGATGCTCGGTCAACTAATTAACAAAATTAGTTGCAAACCCCAAAAGAAAAACAAAAAAATAAAAAAAAACAATAAAAAAATCTAGGAAAATAAAAATTCCTACCGGGAATTTTTAACGGGGACTCAATTGAGGTATATACAACGGGGACTCAATCGTGCGGACTCAATCGTGGGGACTCAATCGTGCCGGGACTCAATCGTGGGGACTCAATCGTGCGGACTCAATCGTGGGGACTCAATCGTGCGGACTCAATTGAACTGCTCCGAGAGTCGTTAGTGTAGAGAGTTTTGGTCAGTTCAGTGCAGCGCGCCAAAATGTTTTTTAAATTAACATAAGGGATACTTTTACACGGATTTTTTCAAGGGATTTATAGATTTGTTATCAAATTTTATAAATTTTAAACAAAAAATATTTAAAAATTAAATTATTTTGAGTTGATTTATTTTTTATAATGTTCTTTTATCCAATTTTTTTGTTTGTCTTTAAATTAGTGCCAGCCAAGGTCATTTTATTGTTGGCTATTTTCTCTTTTATACTTCTTAAACTCCAAATTGCGCCCCGATCGTCTTTCGCCAATTTTTCTTCTTTTTAGCCGCCGGCTGGTAGATTACTCTTATTTTTTCCTTATTATTCAATCCCCTTTTATGCGCGTAATTGAAAGTCCCGTCGTGACTCTTGGATGGCCTTCAACGAAGAAAAAATAATAAGAAAAGCCATTTTCTTCCGTCTTGCGCAATTTTCAACCTTCGCTGTCATAGTTAAGAAAATTAATATTTAACGCCCATTTTGATTCCCCATAAAAGGCGAGAAAGAACTGGCCAAATAAGTTCATTCGCCCAATCTCAACTCCGACCAAAAGTTGGCCGGTTCTTCCTCCCTTATTTTATTAAATACATTTGTTGAATAAAAGTTAAAAAGAAAGCTTTCCTTTTACTTGGTGGATCGGCGCGCCCCAAGGGTGGGTTACCACTCTTGGGGCCCAACGCCGACTAACCCCCTGAAAAAGGGGTTAGGATAATAATATTCGCCTTCAACTGCTTCCTCGTATCAGATCGTTCCCGGCCGCACCAACCCGCCGGCAATTTTGAGGAGGAAGTCTTTAAAGAAGGATAGGAGAAAAATCAAATGAAAATAAAAACACTTTTAATTTACACAGTCTTATTCAGCTGAAAAGGAGTTTTTTTAGAGGCCCACGCATTTTACCTCCAACAATTTATAAGTTGCGCGAAAAATAAAGCAACTAAAAAAGAAATAATAAAAGTTTTGTTGGAGTGGCCTTTACAAGCCGGGAATTTTTTTATTAGTAAAAAAAGAGAGGCGGTCTTGTAGTGACGGTCATTTTTAATATTTTTTATTTGTTAAGGAAGGTAAAATTCCATTTAAGGGCCGGAATGTTGAATTTTATTTTCATTTTCCACACATTTCTAAAAATATTTTCATGAATCCTTTACTCTATTCGCTTTTAAAAAATTACCAACAAGAACAATTACTCTTAAATTCTTTTAGAAACGAAAATTCAACCCTATTTCCTTTATTTACACCTCCAAATCAAAGCCCCCATTCTCCAGAATTATCTCTACTTGCATTTCTTGGTTCACCAATATTTGCCAATCATTTGTTACCTTTATGTTCATTGCCTGATTTTAATAAAAATTTAATTGAAACTCCAATTTCTAATATTTTTGTTGATTCAATTTCAAACTCGTCTTCAATTAATGAATCAGAAACAAATTCCCAATCAACTTCCTCCTCTTCTTCTGAAGCAAGAACAAATCAAAATGAAAGGGAATACTTTAAAGAATACAAAATTGGCACAAAAGTTGTTCGTAGACTTTCATATCCGCGTGAATTTAAGTTGATTGTTTTACATAGTTATTGGACTAATGGAAAAAATAAATATAGAACATGCAAAGAATTTCATATAACAAAGTTTTTTTGTTTTTCTCTCTCAAAAAACTTTTTTAAAATTTAAAGATCAATGTTAAATGGTTGGCTTCAAAAAGCTGAAAAAATTAGAAATTCTCGTCCAGGGTCTCTAAAAAGTGGACGTTCTGGAAGAAAGTTTGTGGTCTTTTAAAGATGAGAATATTTTTTAAAATTTTCAGACCTCAATTTCCGAAAATTGAAAATCAATTATTTCAACTTTTTCAAGCTGAAGAGAATAAAGGAGAAAATGTTTCGAATAAATGGATACGTGAAACAGCGAGAATTTTGGCTGAAAAAGAAGAAAATAATTGTCAATTTTCAGAGAGATGGTTAAATAATTTTAAAAGAAGATTTCAGATAGGGATTACGATTAAAGATGAAAATGAACAATTTGAAGAATCTCAAACAAATTCGATTAAAAATGATTGGTTTCTTGAGGATGACCAGAAAATAAATAAAACAACAAATGAATCGAATAATTTAAAGGATGGGGAATTAGACAGGTTAAAAAAGGGTCCAACCCAGAAGGTATGGGGAACTTGAAATCACCAATAAAAAGAACTTGAAACCCTAATACCCATAAATCCGTCTTAATCTGTAAAAATCCCCCCTTATCCGCCCAACTATTTGGATTTGACCTTCTGGATTTATCCCAGAGTAATATTTTAAAAACTTTTTATTTTAGAATTGCCCATGAAATTTGTTCAATTAATGGACAACTTCCAATTAAAGTATTTTATGAAAAATTCCATCGGATTGGGCAAAATGTTCAATTAATTTAATGAAAAAAGGGAAAAAATTAAAGAAAGCTTTAATAAAATTTATAAAATAAATTAATTTCCTCATTCCTTTTTTAAAATTAAATACTTCTTAACCATTCCAGAAAAATGTAAATATTAAAAATAATTTTTAATTTTCAAAAATTTAATTTCAAAAAGCTTCACAATTTAATCAATTTTCCCCTTTTCTTTTTTTACCCCAAAATCTAATCGAAAAGCACAAAGCTTTTCATTCTTGAATTTTCCTCGAGAACACCTTTAAATATATTTTTAATGTAAATATTAACATTTTTTACTTTTCCTAATTTTCTCGTCAAATTTTCTTTTTTTAACCAATAAAATATTTTTTTTCTGTTTGTTTATAACACTTTTCTTTGATTTTAAGGTGTGGCAATAATAAAACTATTTACGTGTTTTTCTTGGATTGAAAAAAGGAATAAAACAAAAAAGAGTAAATAAAAATAGAATTGTCGTCTTTCAAAAAATATTTGCGCTTCTTTAACTTTCTCTTTTTTTGTTTAATTACTCTTGACTCTTTTCAGAGAGACTAACACTTTCTATAATGTAAACAAATATAAAGACTGTGATTAAGTTTATTTTTTACAATTTATTTTAATAAAATACTAAATTTCATCCCTGAAGACCTACGACTTTTGAAAGGGAATATCGAGGGTTCTAGATGAATTAAGACCCAGTTCTGTATTTTAGAACCTATGGTCTGGTATGTGTGTGTCTTTAATCACACCAAATCCCTCGATATCCCCTTTTTATATTCCCTTTAAAAATTTGTAGGATTTCAGGGTCAATAGGCATTTTAGGATGTAAGTCTTAAGTCCCCAAAAACTACTACGGAAAAATACAATCTTTGAGCGTTTACGTGAATTCCCCTTCTCCTCTCCCTCTCGAAAAAATCATCAACTTCCTCATTGTAACTTTTATCTAACATCTTAACATTTTATGGCCATATGACTGCCTAAAAATAACAACAACTTTTCTAGTAAACAAAAAAAAGAGAAAATAAAATTTCGCGCAGGTCTAAAAGGCATTTTTCACTGACTGGTTGATCAGATTATTTTTGGAACTTTCCCTCATTTTCCCTTTTTTATTGACAGAACAAGTTTTTCTCCTTTTTCCTTTATTTTTAAATTTTTGTCCCAAAAATAATCAATTTGGCCATTTTAGAAATCATTTTTGAATATTTAAAAACTAAAAGACTTAAAAAAATTTAAATGTGGTGGGGAAGTGGTTATTACGGTGATGGTTATGGCTATGGATATTATGGATCCCAGGTTGGAGATTATTTCCACTTAATTTAATTAAAATCCTTTGCCCTTTTTCAAATCTTGTTTGGCTGATTGTTTGATGCTTTTATTTTTCCAGTTTCCTCCCTCCATGGTATGGACGAAGAATTTTTTTAATTTTAAAATTCAACTCTTTTATTATTTAATTTATGGTAGGTTAAGCTAGGGCAACAGTTTTTAGATTATCGTTTTCCCTACTAAATATAGGAGTAAAGCGGAGCTGGGCTGCTTGTGCAAAAGGTTAATTGGCAGCTGGCAGTGAACTAGCACCTTCAGTTAACTGGACTAATGTTTGCTGATTATGATTACACCCCTCCTGTACCTATAGCTTTAGGAAAGATTAGGGCAAAGAGATTTCTTCTAATAAAAATTTTTGTTAAAATAAATTTTCACCTTTTTATTCAGATTGTTCTGGTTATTGTTGTTCTAATCGTTGGATGTTTATTTCTTTGTTGCATGCTTGGTGTTTTTTGGTATCTTTATTCGGTTAGCGCCGTGTTGTTTATTTAAAATTAAAAACTTATTTTTAAGCAGAAAAGGAATGAAAGGACAGAATCTTCAAATGTTCAATATTATCCTTATTATGTTCCCCCAGCTACAAGAATTGGAAAGGATGGAGAATTGGGAACACAATTTAGATAATTTTTATTATTCACAATTTTTTGTGAAGGATTATAAATCCTAGTCTCGAATTTTCCAAAAAACCTCTCTTAAAATACCGAAAATATTTTATTTTTCCAAAAATCATCTTACAAATTTCACTTAAATTTTTTAAAATAAAATTTTTTTAATAAAAATGTTTTTATTTTTAAAATAAAAGCGGGTAAAGCTTTTTAAGGCCAATCTTCCTCTAAATATCTTTTTTTTCAACTAAGGGGCATTTAAAACATTTAAACTATTTCTTTTCTTCTATTTACTTTTAGTCAAACGTTTTATTTTCTTCTCTTCCACCAACTGGCCCTAACTTAAAATCGTATTTATAGCCAAAAGGCATAAATGATACTACGTGGAGAGGATTAAAGAAAAGCAAAAAATATATTTAGTAGGAAAGACTATGACTATTTTTCCTTTGAAAAAATTTCATTTAAATGCGCCTATTTCCGTTTCTTTATATTTTTAAATTTTACCAATTTTTCCATTTAATTGATTGCCTTGGACACAAAGATTGGACAAATTCAGCATATCCAGATATTAGGGGGCCAACTTTTCAGGCAAAGAAAATATCTAAATTGTAAAAAAATTATTTTAAATCCAGCAATGTGCAAATAAACTTCCTGAAGATAAACCTTTATTTGTTTGTGATCCAGATAAAATATTTAATTCAACACAATGTAAACTAACCCAAATTTGATTAAATATCCCAATCATTTGTTTAGTAATAAGAATAAATGATGAACTTGCCAAAGTAGCTATTGGAACCCCTTGTCCATGTCAAAGGCGTTCTCAGTGTTCAAGTAGGCGTGTGATACAATAAAATAACCTAACGAAAATTATTTTTCAAAGGTGGATATAGCACAAGTAGTGGAAGTACTTTCCATGGTTTTATTGTGTAAGATTGAACGAATAATCAACATTATAATATCCCTCCTTTCTCTAGTTCAATAGCATTAGTTGATAATCTTCAAATGAATTTTCATTCACCATCAGAGCAACAATTAACAGATAGAGCTGAGAGTTTTTGTAAAGCATTAGAAGGACGTTGGGCTCTCGGGGATTGTGGAAATTCTGTTATAGTTTTTGTTTGGAGACATTATAAAAAGTTTAAAAAATCGAAAAAAAATGAAGTTAAAAAATATTTTAGATTAATTATTTGGCCTGCAAGATTAGCAGAACGTTATATAACAGTAAGTTGAATAGCTACTTTTTTAATTTTGAAAAAAGAAACAAAATTTAGCACGGTGAACGTAAAGCAATTCTTGCTCGTGTAAATGATTTAGTCCAAAATGGTAAATTTCTAATGTAGAATTTAGGGAATTTTTAAGTAAAATAGATCGTTGGAGCGATGCTATTGCTCAAGTTATTGGTAAGAAAATCAAAAGAGAATAAATCTGAAGGAATTTAGCTGAAATGTATGAACAATTGAGAGGTGAACCTGAATCACGAGTGGACACAGGTGAATCACGAGTGGACACATTATTTATTAAATTTTATACTCTTTCATGTATTTTTGAGAGTTTCTTGAAAAGATAATTTCACAACATTCCTGAATGATCGCCATATATTAACTTTTTTATAATTAAAGGAACTCTCTCTCTAATAATCGCTGTTGGTGTAGCTAGTCTGATTACTTCACTAATTACAGGTCTTTTAGAGACTATTTCTTAAAAAACAAATATAATTAAGGATGTGTTTGTGCGTTTCGTTGTTGCGGGAATTTATCTCCTGACGAAAAATCTGGGAGTGTATTAGTTGATTCCTCAGCCAGTTTTAGTCTAGTTAATAATTCTGACAAAAACATTATTTATTTAAATTTTTAGCCCCCAATGAATTGCCAATTGCCTATTACATCTACAACATTACATTCCTCTCATCAACAAATTTCTAGAATGCCTTCTTCTCCTTCAGCTATTCGAAGATCTCCTACACCTCCTCCCCAACCTTCTCAACTTAGTTATATGGCCTTTTCTGATACTACAATTGTTTAAAGAATAAGATAAAATATTAAGCCTTAAAATTAATAAATGAACATTTACATATTGAAAATTATTTTTAAATTTACGTCCATTCTTAACCATTATGATGACTTCTCCGCATGTGACTATCATGCGCTGCATGCGAAGCAAAACTTTTGCCGCAAACTGTGCACTGATAAAAGAGTGGTTATTAATATACGTACTAAATTCTTTTCACACCTTAAATGGTTTTTCGCCACTGTGTTGACGTACTGTGATTATAAAATAGATCATGGGTATTAAAAATGAAAATACTGTGAGTTCGTAGAATCGAACTAGCAGTGAATGCCTTTTCACAATGAGTACATTTATAGGGGCGTTCTCCAGAATGAGTGCGCATATGCTTTAACAAGAAGTTAAAGCTTAATAAAGTAAAATCCATGCCTTGCTTAAACTGCTTGACTGGGAAAATGCTTTGCTGCAAATCTGGCAAACATGTGGTCGGCGACGCTCATGGACATGAAGAATGTGAATGCGCAAACGATCACGCTTCTCAAAGGATCTAAACAGAAAAATATTTATAAGCTTGTATTACTCGACCTTAAACAATGTGGACATGGAAAGCGACGCTGGCCATTATCAACGCAAGGAGTGAACTTCAAATGTTTATCTCTAAAATAATCTCTATAGTTGAGATAATCTCATGCCATATTTTAACACGCTTACCTATAATAAGCATAGCTGAATAATTTCCCACAGCGATGGCAAGCATATCCACGATTTGGTTCAACAGCGCCACTGCTGCAAGCTTCACTAGCTTTGATTTGTGCATTCTCTTCGTGTGTCGGTTCAAAACTTGCTGAAAAGCAAATTTAATTACTATCACTTCTTTTAAAACCTTTAGGCCTTTCTTTCTTTTGTTGTGATAACATTAAAATTTTATTAAGTTCCTTTATAATTTCTCCATTTTTAGAATTATCACTGGAATTGACAGAATTTGTTGATTTGTAGAGGTCCATTAACGATCCATTACTTGATGCAAGGTCTGATAACATTTAAATTTTTCATAATTCTTTTTAAATTACCTCTATTTTCTCCAGCATTATTTCTAGTTTCAACTTTTGAAGAACTTATTATTGACTCAATGCTCAATTTACTTATCAGCTTTTTCTCTTTTTCTGGGATAGTGATCGGGCGAAATCGGATGAAAGGAAGAGGAGGTAAAAATAAATTCATTTGTGGCACCAAAGACCTTTGAAGAACAAACGGACGAAAGAAAATAGATTGATAAGGATAAGGAAAGTGAGGATGTGGAAGAAATAATTGGGGTGATTGCAATCTCGGGAAAATGCTTGAAATATTAGAACTCTGTATTGGATTGTCCTTGTTTTGATTTTGCATTTCTAATTGTGATTGATGGATTTAGTTAAAGATTGAAATCCTAAAGAATCATGAAAGGTATATGAATTAATACAAAAAATAAACGGATATAAATAGAGGTGTCTCAATAACGACAATCCTTGAGGGTCTTGAGCTAAAGAGGTGTTGTTGTGCAAAGTCTTGCCGTAATAAGAGCTCTCTAAGCAAAGTTATTAAACAGTAATATTTGAAGTAGGTGACTGATAGATCACGGCATGTCAATATTCACTTAGTATTGTTATTTTACCCTTAAAAGTGTCAAGTACTCGGCGACCGGTTGCATCGGTAAAAGAGAGAAAATTAAAGTCATAAATTTAGTAGTTTTCTCAAAATAACTCAAGTCGAGAAAGGAATAAATACATATTGAGGACAATAAAGAGTAGACCAATTCAAAAGTTTATTTTGCATATATTAACATACCAATAATAAGCCTAATTCTTTCAAATTACCATTAAAAATTGGTTGGAACAAATAGCGGATGCCGTAATTTTTGGCATAACAATTCCCTTGATATAGCAGTCAAAAAATAATAACGGGAGTAGAATGCACACACAATGCCTATCTGGCCTCCCTCCCTCCCTAGCCCCTATATAATCCACTTATCCAACCACAATATTGGGGAAGAGCGCGTTTTAAAGTAAATTAATTTACATAGATAGACTCTTAACATTATGTGTAAACATTTTGGTTATTTGTTTGGAAATAATATTTAAATAAATTCCTGAGAGGGTGGATTATTCAAGGAATAGAAAGCTGCAAATATTTTTATCCATGCTTAATAATAATTTTTCTTCTAAAAATCACATAGTATAACTATATTATAAAAATTAAACGTTTTTTAATGAATAAAAATTCCGATTTCAGATTCTACAAAGAAATTTTTGAGTCTAAAAAATATACAAAAAACATGCTTACCTATTTATAAGATAAAGTACTAGAAAGCTAATAAGTATATAAAAACATTTTGTATAAACGAGACTGGAATCGGAAATTATAACAATAAAAAATATAGAACCAAAAAGATATATTCCTATATTATTATGAAAAATACAACATTTATGTATTTTAAAAAAAAAGATGGCAGAAGAAAAATGCGAGAAAAAAAATAAAGATAAAAATATACAAAATCTGAAAGTTAAGAAGTCTAAAAAATGTTAAAATAATAAATATCAGGAGTTTGTTAAAATAACAAAAAGATATCCTGCCCCAAGAAAATCAACTTTCCTTAAAATATCGGGAGCATTTTTTGATAATAATGACCTGCTTAGGTCACTAGGAGGAAATATATGAGCAACACAACCTTGAGGGTGATGCTACAAAAATAATTGATAAAATTAAAAAGAAATTTTATTTAAAAAATTTTACCGAGCTAACAATTCCTGCAGCACTTTTGGAACTATAATATTCAATAAAGGAAGTTGCCATTTTCTCCGTTTGTATAGAAACATCATTTCGATCACGTCCACAAGGCAAACAAATTAAGGCAACATGGTTCTCTTAAAAAATAATTTTAAAAAAGTAAAAAATCGAATTAAATAAAAACCTTCTTTCTCCATTTTACGCATTAAATTATCCAATTGAGATTGTTCTAATCGCATCCTTTGTGTTACCCTAAGCAGAGGAATGCCTTGTTCATTTAGGGTGACTAACTCGCGATTCATCCTTTCTATAAGTTGTTCATTTCCACAAACCTAAAAAACATTTAAACATTCAGAAATTTATTAAGAAAACCTTATGCATTTGAACAAGAGTATCAGCATTTTTCATAGCTAACTGTCCTTGCCAAATAATTGGATAACCCCCTTGCGTCTATAAAGCAATAATTATTTTTAATTTAAAAAGACAATAAAGGAACATACACTCTGTTGTCTCTGAACAATTTTTTGCTGATTTGTTTGTGAAATTTGAGGTGGTTGTGAGATTTGAGGTGGTTGAAAGGCGGCTTGTGGCTGTTGGACATTTTGAGTTGGAGGTAGGGCTGGAAGCTGTTGGACATTCTGAGGAACGGCTGGAAGCCGTTGGACATTCTGAGGTGGATGAACGGCTGGAAGCTGTTGGACACTTTGTATTCTCTGTTCACTAATGTTGACTAATTCGCGATTCATTCTTTCCATAGGCTGTTCATTTCCGCAAACCTAAAGAAATTTAAAAACTCATCAAAGATTTAATTAAAAAACCTTATGTATTTGAGCAAGTGTGTCAGTATTTTTTATAGGTAACTGTCCTTGCCAACTAATTGGATAATCACTCTGGGTCTAGAAAAATAAGCATTCTTAATTAAAACAAGGAACATACAGTCTGTTGTCTCTGATTTTGCTGGTTTGTTTGAGAGATTTGAGGTGGATTAATTGCTTGTGGCTGTTGAACACTTTGAAGTGGATGAACGGCTGAAAATTGTTGGAAATTTTGTATTTGTTGTTCATTAAGGTTGAATAATTCGCGATTCATTCTTTCCCTAAGTTGATCATTTCCGCAAACCTAAAAATATTTACAAATAAAATTGTTTATTAACAAAACCTTTTGCATTTGAGCAAGCGTGTCAGCATTTTTAATGTCTAACTGTCCCGGCCAAATAATAGGATAATTGCTCTGAATCTAGAAAATATTAAGTATTTTTAATTAAAAATAATGAATGATCATACACTCTGTTGTTGCTTCTGATTTTGTTGATTTGTTTGTGATGTTTGTGGATGAACGACTGGAAGCTGTTGAACACTTTGAGGTTGATGAATCGCCGGGAGTTGTTGGAAATTTCGCATTTGCTGTTCATTAAGAGTGGCTAGTTCACGATTCATTCTTTCCATAAGCTGTTCGTTTCCGAAATCCTAAAACCATTTACATTTAAATGTTTATTAACAAAACCTTAGGCATTTGAACAAATGAGTTAGCATTCTTCATAGATACCTGCCCTTGAGATAACTGTCCTTGCCAAGTAATTGGATTCTGTTGTATCTGAACTATTTTTTGCGGCTGTGTTTGTGATATTTGAGGTTGAAGAACGGTCGGTGGTTGTTGGGCACTTTGAGATGTATGAACGGAGGGAAGCTGTTGATTAGTTTGCATTTTCTGTTCATTAAGGGTGAGCAGCTCGCGATTAATTCTTTCCATGAGCTGTTGATCAGCAAAGCCCTAAAAACATTCACTTAAGTATTCAAATATTAGCAACAAAACCTTCTGCATTTGAACAAGCATTTTATCATCAGGTTTGTTAGCTGATTGTCCTTGCCAATAATCAGCTTGGGTCTTAAAATATTAAATATTTTTAAACAAAAAATAGTGAAAAGCATACACTCTGTTGTTCCAGAACCATCTTTTGTTGCTGTGGTTGTGATACTTGAGGTGGATGAACAGCGGGAAGTTGTTGGACAATTGGTATTCGTTGAGAAGGAATATTGCTTTGTTGTTGTTCATGATAATTTATGATAGTCGGTTCTTGAAATTCAGCACCCAGTTTAGCAGAATTATTAATATTTGCAAAAGCTCCAACTTTTTCATGTTCAACAGAATTTTCGTATTGTTGCCCATGAACTGCGACTATATCCGAAGATTTTTGTTCTTGTTAAATAGAAGAAAATTGTTGGTCGTAAATAACATGCTGCGAAGTTTGATTTAAATCCAATGATTTTTTCTCGTTTTCTTGCTGTCTTTTCAATTCTTTAGCATCAATTTCAACAAAACCGGTGGCTATAACGACCACATGTGATTCACTCGTCTATAAATAAAAAATTCCGGATAATTAAAAATTTTAAGAAACCTTTTCTTTGCTTTCAATGATTAATCCAGAAGTATTGTGTGGAGTATATGAAGAAAGTTTTGAATCTGAAGCGCAAACCTTATCTGAATTCCTCAAATGTGATTCTTCCTTACTTTCATTTTGAGCTTTTGGAATGTCTTCTTTTTCATCAGATTTTTGTTGAGAAGTTAGATTGAGTCTTTGAATGTTTTCGAAAGATTCGCTCTCAGAAGGTTCACTTTTTCTTTCATTAACTTTCTTTTCAACAAAAACGTCACTTTTAGGTAATTTATCACATTCATCATTCAATTTAGTAAAATTGTTAATGTTTGCAATAGCATCTAGTTCTTCCTGATCAGCAGAATGATCATGTTGCTTCTCAGAAGATTCAAATGTTTCAAATATATCAGAAGATTTTTGTTCTGGTTGTGTAGAAGAATATTGTTTGTCGCAAATAACATGCTTTGAAGTCTGATTTGTTTCTTGTTTTTCAGTTTCTTGTTGTCTCTTTAACTCTTTAGCATCGATTTCAACAAAGCCAGTGGCTATAACGACAGATTGTGCTTCACTCTTCTAAAAATAAAAAATCAAAAAAAAATTAAAATTTAATTCAACCTTTTCTTTGTTCTCAATTATCAACCCAGAAGCACCGTGTGGAGTGAATGGAGTAAGTTTCAACTCTGAAGCGCAAACCTTATTTGAATTTTTCACTTGTGGTTCTTTATTTTCATTTGGTGCCTTTTGAATGTCCAATTTATCAAATTTCTTTTGAGTAGATATGCAGAAAGATTTGTCTTCTGAAGGTTTTCTTTTTCTTTCATTAACTTTCTTTTCTCCAAAAACAAAGTCATTTTTAGATAATTTGTCATATTCATCGTTCGGTTTAGCAGAAATGTTAATGCTGGCAATAGCATCGAGTTCTTCTTGATCAGCACTTTCTCTAGGGAAATCACAAATTTCAGGCGTTATTTTCTGAGGTTGCTGTTCAATTGGTTTAATTTTATCAGAATCTTCTTCTTTGTCTTTGTTGCAAATTTGAGTAGTATTAATTTGTTCTGGATTCTGATCTGGGAGCAAAGTTTTGCCGCTATGTTGTTCTTTTAATACTTTTGATTCAATTTCAACAAAACCACCAGCTATAACGACCATGCTCGATTCATTCGGCTAAAAAAATAAAAATTTGCCTTTCTAATTAAAATTTTAAGACCTTTTCTTTGCTTTCAATTATTTGTTCATTCAAATTTGATGTCTGATTTTGCAATTTTGATGGATGACTTTCATGTGATGTCTTTTTAATTTCTCCTTTTTTATCGAATTTCTTCTTTGCAGATATTGAGGATTCTATTTCTAATGGTTTCCTTTTTCTGTCAATAACCTTCTTTTCTGCCGCAATAGATTCCTCTTTATTTAATTTAGCCGATTCTTTTTTGAATATAATAGGCTTATGTTTAATATTTGAAACAACACTGGTCTTTCCAACATCTGGTTTTTTCTTGATTTCGGCTTCTGCATTATTGCTATTCTTTTGAACTTTTTCAGTCTTTGAGTGCTGGACAACAGGCTGTTGTTGTTGTACAATTGGTTTATCTTTTTCGAGTTCTTCTTGACTGTCAGAATCTTCGCCGAATACATCGACCATGGAAATTTTGGCAATTTTTTTCTAATTATAATTAAATAAAATTGATCTAAAATAAAAATATACCGGCACATGCTTTTTAAATATTGGAAAGCCTTTAGGAGGTAAACGCGCTTCATCATCAGAAGTGTCGGAACCACTGGTACTTGAAACAGAAGAGGTAGAAGAAGATGAACAAGAGTCTGCACCAATCTTTTTTGCATCCAATTGTTGATGTCCTTCTTTGGCTATTTCAATTAAGGAAGTCAATTTCTAAAAGATTTTAATATTAGAAGTTATTATTTAATAAGATAATTACCTGATCCAAATCATCTTTGTGTCCATCCACAGAACGAGGTGAACTAGAACGATGTTTAATAAATTCTGCTTGCAACTAAATGACAGACATTTTTAAAATTAATTTTAGAACTAGAAAACCTTTTGAACAATTTTATCTCCAATTCTCCCAGGTTCTTCATTATCTGTTTTTTCATCCGCGCTAACACTTACACTCCATTCATCACTTGACGAGGATTCTTTAGATTCAAAAGCACCTTCCTTTTCAATCCTTTCCATCATTGATGGCTTTTTTGGAGCAATTTGTGGTCTTCTTATTAAAGAGGGAACAACTTCATTCTTTTGACAATTAATTTTATTAGAATCTTGTAGTTTGTTTATAACAGGTTCGATTGAATCTTGTCGTTCAACATCTACTAATTCTTCATTTTCCTCAACTTCTGAATGATCGTGATTCTCTTCCATTTCCTTTTTGATTTCTTGAATATTTTGAAGAGCCGAAGAAGATTGTTTATCATCTTCTTTTTTACTTTCATCAGAATCGGATGAAGAACTACTAAGGCAAACACGATTTAATTCTTTTTTCTTTAATTAAAAAATCAATTTGAATGAAAATCTAGTTAAACCTTTTTCGTCTTTTTTTCACGCAATTGTTCCAAAGCCTGTGATTTCTTTCTTTCTTCATCAGGTCGTTGAGAAGATCTTCGTTTAACACGATCATACATTGACATTCCAAAATTAGCGCCTGATTTTATTGCCGCTAGCATTCTTTTCTGTTCCTCCAAGTCAACATCCCAAAGAACTCCAGAAGCCGCAGTATCGCTTTCTCCCTCACTATCAGAACTTCCAGAAGACGATCCATGTTTTTGCATTTGATGGAGCCTTTTCTTTCTTCGCAAGTGCTTCCCGTCTGTAACTGAATCAATTTCAGATGTTCCCTTCTTTTTAGAAATAGATTTTAACTGATCCTGAATTTATTCAAAATATTAAAAAGTTCAAAAATTTTTCTTACTTTACTGCCAACAGAAAATGCCTTTGTCTTCCTTATTTCGTCAGAATCTTTATATTTTTCATCTTTTGACAAGCTGATTTTTTTCGGGATTAAACTAGCGGATGAAGTTGACGGCATTTTGGCAAGAGAATGTTGTTTGACTTTTAAATCTTTAGGCTGATCCTTCTCACAAAATTTATATTTTAATTTCTTTTCACAGGTATCTGATAATGTTGGAGTCGTTAGAGTTGGCGTTGTTATTAATTTTTTCGGCTCGGTTTTCTAAATTAAAAATTTATAAATATAAAAAATTAAAAATAAATATTTTAAACCAATTTTGGAGTTATATTTAACGGTTTATTCAATTGTTGTTGTTGTTGCAGATTCTGAATTGGTAAAGGCGCTACTGAAGGCTTTTTGAGAATTATTGATGACTTTTTTAAAGGTTGAGGAGAGCTGTTGTTATCATTTTCGTCTTTTTCAATTTTTGAAAGTGAGGTAGCTTCATTAGATTTTTGTTGAGTGTTGTTAAGTCTTGCTGATTGAACATCAAAATCAGGAACAGATTCAATTTGTTTCACAAAAGGAGACGAACATTCTTCTATTGAATGAGTAATGCTTGTGGAAGAGGATGCGCGTTGTCTAATAATAGGAGCTAAACAACTTTTTGGTTGTATTTGTTGTTTTTGTGTGCAAACAGCAACAGGTTCAGTCACTGATTTTGCTGGTAATGTAGTTCTGAAATTAGTAGACATTAGAGTACTCCAAACGAATTAAAAAATAAACCTTCTTTCATTTAAGTCAATGCTGGTCGAAGCAGAGTCTTCACGAGACAGATTGGCAAAATGGGGTAACCGATTTTGTTGATCATTTGTTTTTTCTTTCGTCCCTTCTAAATTATGACTTGTAGAAGCTTCATTATCTACATGTTGGTGTAAAAAGTCTCCAGTCAAGTTAGAAACGGAAGAAAAACTTGAAGAAATGGAAAACACATCTAAAAATTGTTTCATCTCTTGTTCCATTTTTTGAATATTCACCTCCCTTTGACCCTCTTCTGGCTTCTAAAAATTAAATTTTCAAAAATTAAAAGTCAGAAATATACGAACCTTTTCCATTTTTAAAGTTGTTTTTCGAGCATCGATTTTATTGTTAATTTCTTTGAACAAAGCACTGGTCTTGCCTAACGAGCGTAAAGTCAATGAAAGTTTACCAATTTCACTTTTGATGTTTTTCTCTTCTAACGAATTTCTTCGACTTCCTTCAGACTCTAATTTTTGTAGTGGTGTTCCAACGAAGGAATCCTCGCTCGTAAATTCTTTTGATTTTGAATCTGATGATTTTGGAAGTCGTTGCTTCACTTCAGAATTCTCTCGTTTAGGAAGTTTCAATTTAACCGCAAATTTTGGTAATTCCAAATCCATAATTTCCTTCTTTTCTTCTTTATCACGTCTTCTAGGATCTTTTAGTGAAGCATCTGTTCTATTTAATGGAATATTTACATGACGGAGAAAAACAGTTCGAAGACGAGCAGTTAAGGAACATGGACCTGATGACGTTGAAGGCAAGTTAGAGTCACTCGCCTCTTTAAGGTTTTTTAATTAGTTAAAATCGTCAAAAATCAAACCTTTCTTCTGTATCGAAACTTGAGGTTGTTCCTTTATCTTTTCTACCTGAGGCTGTTTTTCTACCTGAGGCTGTTTTTCAGTTTTTACTGAAGGGGGTTTTTCGTCTTCTTGAATTGGTTTAAGTTTTTTCACGTCTTTCTCCTCTTCATTTTGTGGATCATCGTTCACTTCGTCATTGAATGAACAAGTAGAGCAGCTAAAATTTAGGGGTTTGTTAAAATAAAATTTTATATACCTATCTGAGCTAGAATTAGATGATGAAGAATAAGTGCTAGATGAGGAATATGTGCCTGTAGAGGTACTCGTAGAATAAGTGCTAGTAGAGGACTTTGTTGAAGAAATTTTATTATCACGTTCTACTCGATCCATCCGTTTAGGCGGAACAGGCGGAGGTGGAAGAATAGAGGATACGGAACGTGAATCTAACAAAAATAAAGATTTTATATATAATTTATATTTGCAAAACCTGGCTTATTAGAACGTTGATGAGAACGTCCATGACTTTTCTTGGATTTTGACTTTTCCGTTGAATGATTTCTTCTGTTCGGTTTTTCCGTGCCATTTTCGCGAAAATATTGCTTCTTACTTGAACGATAGCCAGGGACTTGCGCATTTGAATTTTTCATTGAACTGAAGAAAAATATACAATTAATATTTTAATAGTAGAACATAGCCTTTTATTAAGGTAAAAGTTTTATGTATCTAAAAATTGAAATTTATGATCAAAATTAAAAAGAAAAGCATGGTCAATTAAATTAATTAATTTATGGTTAAAATTTCATTAAAAACGATGAATATCAAATATTAACAAATACTCTATTATTCCCTAGACTTTAAATTTATCTACTTAAGTATGACCTAAAGTGTCACTAGAGTCCGAAAACTTCAAAATCCTTCTAGATTTTAAACCTTTTTTTGAATAAATAAAAATTAACATCAGAATTGAAAATTAAAGAAATATTAAAGTAAAAAATGAAATATCAAAGCTTCCTTCGTCTCGATTTATTAACCCTATCAGTTTAATTAGGATAATGGTGGAACACGCAGCTATCATCGATTTTCTCAGAGGTTGAAGAATAAGAATTGAGAATCAACCCAGAAGATCAACACCTAAAGGATCAACACACTGTCGCTCTCCGTTATCACTTTAGTGCATTTTAAGTCTTTTGAGAAGGAATACAAATTTCAAAAATTTTTAATTTTAATTAAATAACAAATAAATATTTGCAAGTTTACGAAAATTAAGAAAAAATCCATTAATGTTTTAAATATTTCGTCTCAAATTCTTATAATATAAAACTGAAACAACAGCTAGCCCAGCAGTTGAAAGCACAAAAGCAATAATGAATATAATTCCCACTGTTTGCCATGTACTCGAACTCGAGCAGTCGCCAAAAAGACTTAATTCGTAATCAAGATATTCACCGACTTGTGGATATTCTGTTGTATTTAACTAAAATAAAATTAAAAGAATTGAATCATCCCAGAATATCAACAACTAAAGGATCAACACTTACATTTTGTTTGCATTGTGTAATCTCTTCTGTATAGTTTTTGCGCATTTTTTCAAGTTCATCTCGCCAGTTGGAGCCAAGATTGGTTATTGTCTTGTTAGCCTGATCATATAAGCTTTTACAGTTTACAGGCTCACCAAGATCAGTTAATTCTAATGAAGAAATAATGCAAATTGTTTCGAAAGAAATAAGAAGAGTAATCAAAATTTGACGATTAGTTTTTGAGAGAAAGGAGGCCATTTTTGTAATTTAGTGAAAATGAAGTTTTTTCCTGACAGTTCCGTTCTCGTAAATAATTCTTTATATGGGAGTTTAAAGTCAACGCCCATCCTGAACACTTTTTTTTCTTATCTATTTAAACCTCTACTCCTTTTTTGTTTGCTTAATGTTTTTTATTTCATATATTTTATTAATGACTCATTTTATTACAGTTAGGTGATACTAAAAGTTAAAAAGTAATAGCATTTTCATAACTTTCCACCTTTTTTTGTAGTTGTTGTCAGATTAGTTTTTGCTTAATTTTTAAAGTAAAATGTTGAATTATGATTAAAAAACATTCATCAGATTAAAAATATGAGTAATAAAAAGTGAAGAAAGGGGAAAATACTAGAAAAAAATATCTGATTGTAATGGATAGAACGATAGAATTTGCATTTACATACATATGTAAAAAATAAAAAAATAAAAAATGTGTGTGGGGGACTGACTGTAACGTTGATCTGGCAAATGGATAAGAGCGAGTCAGCTGATTATTGCTTTAATTAAAATAGAATTCCTATTTAAAAAATGAAAACAGTAAAGTTTAATTATTTATTCACAAAATCGCTAATCTAATTTTATTTTTTTTAATTTTTTCAAATTTTTTAAAAATCTTTTTGTAAACTCTAGAAACTTTTAAAATGCCGAATTTTAATTTTTTAATAATTTCATTTGCGGAAATCTTTTTGTTTTGTGCTGGTGAGGTGATTAATTGGAAGTCTGATTATTCAGAATTCCGTCCAAGTGATGGTGTTTGTACTTTGGTAATAATAATTTTTTAAACTATCCAAATTATTACAAGGCCGGAGGCAAGACGCTTACTCCAAAAAATGTTCCAAATAAGGAAGAAGGTGTTTGTGGTGATAAACTTTATAGTTTATTGAAGCATTGTGCACAACAGAGCTTTTATGTAGGCTTAAATCGACCCAGATCTGAATTCGCCGGTATTCTATGTGACAATGTTTTCAATTTTTCCAAATTCTAGAATCCGCTCTCTATCTTATAAACGGTTGTCTTGAATGTCCTTATGGAAAGGCCGAAGCAACTGTAAGTTTACATAATCACCTTCCATCGGGATCATTGTTTAGTGGTTGTGGACAGGAGGATAAGATTGTAAGGTAAAAATGTCATTTGTAGATGTTTATTGAAGATAAATTGCTTAAAATTTTAGCAGCGTATCAGTGAAATTGAATTCTGAAAAGAATCCACATGGAAGTTTCTCTCTTGGAGGTATATTGGAAGGGCGAAAGTGTAATGGTCTTTTTGACAGCAGTCGCGAAACCAAGTTTGAAAAGATTGTTCTAGAAGTGAAACATAAGTAGGGGACTTCTTTCAATTTTCTCAATTTTAAAAATTCTTTTAGCTGTGGGCAAAAGAAGCCAATGACACTTTTTGTTTTATTGCCACCTGTTGATCTTCCGAAACTTTTTAGTGAGAAAAACAATTTCCGTGAATGGGATGGGATTCGTGTAGATTTGGGAATATTTGGAGTTGGTTGGAATGAACGCTGGCTTGATTTTGGTGATGTCTTTCATTCAACAACAAAAGGTAGAAAAATAATTTTCGAAAATTATTTTCACCATTTTCTAGCAAAACAATTACCGGAATTACAAATTCATAGCAACAATTCAAATATAATACAACATGACGAAAAACCTCCTATTTCTGTATTACCAACACCTATCGAATTCATTGAAGAGTCCGAGAAGAGCAATGAACAAAAGGATAAAAACAATCATTTTGAGTTCAATCTGCCGTTTATTTTTGCTTGCGTTTTGGTCCCATTATTGCTTGGATTTTCCCTAAGTTTATTCAATTATTTGTTCAAATCCGTATTCTTCAAAAACTCTAACAAAACTGAAAATGACTATGAATTGGGTGGAGGAGCTTCCATTACATCATCGTCACTTTCAAAAGGAACAACACATTCGAGCATTAGTTCATTGCCTTAAAAAAAGAAAATTATTAAATTCTTTAATTTTATCTTCTTTATAAATTTAACATGCTATTGTTTAAAATTTATTTTTAAATGAAAAGTATAAGAACGTTCGTTCACCTTTTCCTTTACCTTATAGTCGGTTGGCCAGGTAACCATTTCCCGCACACTCCAAATAATGAATGAATTTCATCTGCCCTCCCCTTACACCTTTTATTATTCAAAATTCATAGTTGAAGTCACCCATCGAGATAGGCCAAAATGTTAATTAAAATTATATTCGTAATTATTTTGTTCGTTGAATGGATAAAGACGGCCAATTTAAAACTTAGTTCCGTCGTACCAGTTGACCATGAAGATGAACATAATGAGAATAATGAACCAGATGAAGCTGGAAGTAATGATATTAAATGCCAAAATTGGAAGGGGAAGAACACAACTGGTCAGTCTTAATTCTCCTATATGATTTCGAATCCTTTAAAGATGATGATGATCTTATGGATGAGCAATTTACTGAGCTAGAAAATTGCATATGGAACTCATTGCTGACAAAAGAGCACGCACATTCACCAAGACAAATTCATCCTTTATTGAGTCCTCCCCCAGAATATCCACTTAAATTCAGTGTAGAAAATTTGGTGGTCGAACAAGTTGATACGGTTTGCTTAAAATACAAATACTATGTATTTCACACATTTACAGTTATCCCGCGCAAGTATGGAGTTTAACGTTTTTGGCCATATACTTTTGGTTAGTTAAAATTTAATTTTTAATCTAATTAGTTTTCCTAGTCTTGGAATGATTCCCGATTGCAGTGGGAAAAATCTGGTAAAAAAGATAAAATTTTAAGATTTTTTTTGTTAAGAATGGGCTCTTGAAGGGATATCTTTAGAAGAGGATCGGAGACGTGAACTTTGGACTCCCGATTTTATGGATGATTCGTTAGTTAATTATTGAATCGAAAGCTTTTAATTTTTAAGAAACTGTGGTTCTAACGAAGGATGTATGGCCAAGATCGGTGATTTAAGTGTCACATCTTCGGGACAAGTACTCGGCCGGTTATTATTTCGTTTCCCATCTTTTTGCCGCATAGACTATCGCAGGCAATTTTTATTTAAAATTTGTCCTAAATTTAATAAAAATTTTATTTGAAGTTACCCTGAGGAAAGAAATGATTGTTGCCTTTTTCTCGGTCTAGCGGATATTGGTCGAACAGTAGAGGTAAAACAGATAGAATTATAAAAAATTTCTTAAAACAGTTTACCGTCGGAGCCAAAAGTAAATTTGCTACTTTGGCAAAACGAGTACATGTAAGACGTGATCGACCCATGTCTGCTGTTGTTATCTCTAATCTTATGGAAACTTCGCCTTGGGCTGTACAGGTGATTCTTGGAATTATAATCACAAATTCCTCTTGGATTTAGAGCCAAGCAATTGAACCAGCCCGTGTTGATGGCTCTAGGAGCGATAGTCTTCGTCTTTGTGTTCAATCAAAAAAGGAGATGAGCACACTTCGAATTGCTCTTAGGATTCCAGTTACAATAGCTACACTGTGAATTATACATAACAAAGTTATTATTCATAATTTAAGATTGACACTTGTTTCACCTTTGTTTGGTGATTTGCGTACACAAGCACTTGTCAAATGCTTAACTTTATTGCTTCAAACAATATGCTTTCTTTTCCTTTGTTCCATCGCACCAGCCAGTGGATTTGGCGGCTCAAAACCAAAACTCTGTAGGAAACATTTCCTTGATCAATAGTTAAAAACATCATAAATTTAGACACCTTCTATGAATTCATGTTTACTTTGACTTTTCTCTCAATCCTGGTACTTATTAAAGTTCTTTTCAATATCAGACACTTTAAGGTAACAACTGTTTGTTTGGCACTCAGTCGTATGAAAAGGACTGTGCCAGCTACACATAGTGTCTATCTAGGCGCAAAGGTAAGTAAATTAAAGGTCCCTTTATCCTTTTAAATGTATAAAAATTGAAGATGCTCAACCACTTCTTGTGTTGCATCGAACCAGATCCTGCTACATCATATCAGCGACATTTAGGTTTGACCTCTGAAATAAAATAAACTTGAGATTTATTTAAGAGGACGATACAACAAGCACTCGAGACATGCCAAATCATGGACAAGCATTACAAAACGAGTAAAATTGAATTAAATAATAATTCTATAATTATTCCTAGTTATTCAATGGAATGGCGACACATTTACATTGCCATCAACAATCTTTTCTCGGGTCTGTGCTTCTCACTTTTCTGTTTTATCGTCATTTTTGATATAATGTGAGAGAAAAATTGGAACACCCTTGATCTCAAGAAATGCCAAACTCAATATCATATCACAATTAAAAAGGCTTTGTAGATACCTTCTATATTATTTTGAAGATTTTTAAGACCAACTTTAAGTCAATGTTTAATTTTACCAAATATAATGATATAATAATAGATAATTGTTTAGGCACCACTGAAGATTAGAGCGCGTTTTATTAAAAAATCGTCCAAAAATAATGCTCCAATCATGAGTAGTGCCATTATTTAGAAACAGTTTAAGTGAGAAATTAAAAATATTATGAAAATAATAAATTATGAAACAACCCTCAAGGTTTCCATGCATGCAATAAAGATTGGAAAATTTTTTTAGTTTTAAAAAAATATAAATTTGAAGGCACACAAGTAATTTTTTCCAATCTTTGATAGGTCAATAAGAAAAATAAACAAAAGATATTAGGATAATATGGCTTTTAATTAAATGCCCTGAGAATAAATTTAAGGCAGTAAAATTATTAATATAATTAAATATAAAAAACCGTCAAGGCAAGTATATAAAACTTAATCAATTTCAAAAATAAATTAGTAAATCTACCAGATTTAATGAGTCTACCAATGTTACCAATTTTTTAAGCATTAATGCGCAAATCCTTCAATTTTGTATTCGTATAACAAAGTGAATCAGATATTTGTTGATAGTCAAATTGCCCATCGTCCTTGCGCATTTTTGCAATCTCGTCATATTCACGACTTGAATAATTAAAATTTTGTAATAAGAAAATTACATTTTTTACTAACTTGACTTGAAAAATTGCACGTCCTCGTTTAGCATACATCAAAGCAATATATACAGGAGCTGGTAGAGATATTGGTGAATTTATAATTTTGTGTCTAAAATTATTAAAGGTTATTTTTGGCAAATGAAATTACGCAAACCCGAATGAAAGCGCATAGCAAATTTGTTCAATTTGGTCCATTTTAAATTTGCTATCATCTTCTAAAATAGTAAAACGCGGTGTTCGAGTTGTTCCCTAAAAAATCCATTATATTATCTTGTAAGAAAGAGCTTGCCTGGATTGCCGAATGACAATTTAAATAAAATTCTGAATGTTCAGGATGTGTCACTTGCTCGTCCACAACCTTAAAAATAAGGAAAAAACATTAAAATATGTATTTAAAAATAATTTACCGTTCCTGGTTTAATATTCAAATTTTTGGAAGAACCAGTAGGCTTTGAAAGCTAAAAATTTTCAATTTAATAATAAAAGTGAAAATTTAACAACCTCTTCATGAGCAAAAAGACGAATATTATGCGTCTAAAAATAAATATATTTAAACAAAATTATCAAAAAATACCTTTTGTGAAACCAAAACAGTTAACTTGCAACTACTGGCTGAACATTCTTGCAATGCCAAACGAACCATTGGTATCTCATATTGTTTAGCTGTAGCAAATTGCCCCTCAGACATTCCATTCCTAAACAGTATTAATCGTTTGGGTGCATCTCCTCTTGAATTTTGATATCGAGTCACACAAGTTTTGGTAATATGTGCTAATGTAGTATATTTTTCATCACGACGAGCCTCATCAAATAAGTAATCGCCAACAAAGTCAAAGGAATGTTTTTTCATATTTGCTGCGTACTAAAATTAAAAAAAAATAAAAATAGAAACAATTCAGAAACAAACTCCAATAACAGAAGGAACATTAGGTGCAGCTCCTCTAGCGCGTTCATAATTTCCCAAAGCTCCAGGATGTGAAATGCCTAAACCAATAAATAATGTCCCATCTTCAATTAAATTGTGAATTCTAAAAAATTTACAAGAAAATATAAAATATAATGAGAAAATAAACCCTTGATCAGCCAATTTGATCGTATAATTAATTCCTCCCATTTTTTCATTAGTCTTACAAACGATATTTAAAACAGTTTCTTGTTTGCCTCGCATTGCAATCTCAGCTGCATTAGAGAGCTTTAAATCTTGCGTGACAATTTCATATTTCCTTTCACATCCTTTGATTAAATCTAAAAAATAAAACATAAAAGCAAATAAAAAATATTAAAAAAACTATGCAAATTTGTAACAGCATCACTAGTAACAAAGAAAACAAAGTCGCAATTATTGTCTTTGCATATTCCTATACACTTATCAACGTCATCTGGGTTGGGCTGCAACATTTGTTTATCTGCCGGACCGTTAATTATCATACCATGTTGTTTACAGCAGTTAATGTAAGCGCGAATAAAATCACTGAAAATTAAAAAAAGAATATAAAAAGATTAAGCAAGCATTTACTTCATTTCATTTTCACCAAAGCGATATTTCTCTCTTGTTCTTGCAGCAGGGATTAAATAAATAGCCCATTTTTCGATGGTTGCCGGCAAATAAAATGCATCTCTAACCTGCCATTTACCAGAATCCTTATCAACCATTGACTCTCTTTCTCGTCCAAAAAGAATTGTTGGAGGAGGAAGTCGACGACCTTTAGCAATTAACGGCTTCATAATGTGAAAAATTGAATTATTAGTAAAAATAAAAATTATTTTAAATATCTGAATTCCTGCTTCCTTAAGATATTCACTTTCTTTGAGATTTAATGCCTGAACGCTGCTCTCTATTTGTCGTTTTAAATTAGTTGGAGGAACAGCTGAAGCCTTAAAAGAACAATACAATAAATACATGAACAAATATAACAAACTTTAATCATTGCAGCAACTTCCCTAGCATTTAATTGACTCAATTGAGCTCGTTGATTATCACGAATTGAACAGAGTTCCATTGGGTAATAATTAGTTTGTCCTTTTTCAAAAGCAGTTGCTAAAAACAAAAATACATAAAATCATTATGTAGGAAAGAAATTATACCTAATGGAGCATCGGGATACCTTTTAAATAAAAAATATAGTTAAAATATTAAAATACAAAAATTACGAAAGTTTTTGGGTATATTTTCGTTTGAAATACTCCTGCACTGATACACGTTCGCCTTGTACGTCAATAACGTGAGTGGCAGCCGTCGCTTGACTCACACCACTTAACAACACTTCTCGAGACCGACCATTCGGATAGTGAACAATAACATGCAAACCTTAAATAAATGGAAATAAATAAAAACTGCTGGGAAACCTTTCAATTGCTGGTTTAAATAAGCAATCGCACCGCGATCTACAGAACCGTCATCTCTAATTGCATTTGGACCAACAATTGATGCAGTCTTATCCAGAAGAGTACCATCAGTATTATGAAAAGGTGTCTAAAAGAGAAGGTGAAAGGCAAAAATTATTTTAAAAATAAACCTTTTTGCTCTCTACAACCAATCCTACTTTTTTTGAATTTCGACCTGTAGGTCCTTCGACATATCGTACACTCTTATGAATACCAATTGCCAGGTACTTGTTATGCGCACTAAGCTCAGGTCCATCCTCTGGAACAAAGTCATACATATCAGGAGTAATCAAATAAGAAGTTCCTCCGCCGAGAATGACGTGTTCGTTTCTGAGAAATAATTGAACGTTATGTCTCATTTAAAAAATATAGAACAAACGGAGTCTGAAGTGGATGTTGTGAAGTTGCAAGCTCAATAAATTGTGCCAAGGAATGCTAAAATCATAAAACCCTTTAATTATTTAAGTAAATTTCCACATACATTTTGTTTGCTCATATCATTAGTTAAAAACGAAAGGTCCGCTAATTCGACTTGCTTATTCACTTTTCTAACAAGCATCTGAAAGAAAATTATCATAGTTATTAAACAATCTAGTGAAGCAAAAACAACCTCCACTCTATTAAAATCCTGTAACAATTTATGACTTTCACATTCCTCTTTATTAAGTTGAAATTTTTGCTCGTCTTTTCCTTCAAATGATAACTGGAAGAGTGTATAGAGAATTGACTGAAGATCATAATACAAAGTGTAACGATTTTCGCCAAAAACGGCCTTCTCCTTCTCAAAGAAAAAGTCAAAAGCTACGCGACAAAAATCGCGACGATCCACAACAACACAACTAAAAGAAATAAAATTTTATCGGATAAATTTTTAAAAAGCTTACTCGTCCTTTGTTCTTTTAGTAAATTCAATACGCGCTGGTCCTTTCTTCTTCGGTACAGCAGAAATTGTAATGTCGTAACGATAAACTGTTCTAAAGAATTAAATTATTTAATAAAATATAAGTTAAAAATAAATATACTTTTCTTCCATCTTAACTCCATAAACATTTGTTAAAACTCGAATTTTCTCTCCGACTTCCCCTGGATCAGCTTTCGATTCCAAGTGAGGATCCCCAACCTCAAGTCCAAGCGATTCCATCTCCTTTTTTATCTCTTCAAGCTTCTGAGTCTTCCTTCGCTTCTCTGCCGAAGTAGTTGTACCAGGTGAACTAGAAACAAATTTAATTTAAGCTAAAAAGCGAACTAACGTCCTTCTAGGTCCCCTGTTTCCACCTCGACCTCTGCCTCGTCCACCACCACGACCTCTGCCTCGTCCACCGCGTCCACCCCGACCACCAGCAGAGCGCTGTTTATCGGCATCGAAAGCTGCCATTCGACCCTGACCACGCTGGCCTAGCGGCTGATTGTTAGAACCACTCCGATCCATTTGATTATATTTAAAATGTTACTTTTCTAGAAAATAAATAAGAAAAAAAATTATTAGTATGCTCAAGTTATGGATCCATAATTTGAGGAAAAAAAATGTTTAATGTTCATCAACCCAGGTTTGATGAAATGTCAATGAACTAACCTCAAGCTAATATTGATTCATTGATTAAAGCTTCAACAAATGGGAAAATAATTAAGTATTTGACAGCGAACAAAAAAAGAGAAAAAGCAAAAAAGGGTAAGAATTTAAAAATTTACGAATATCTAAATTTTGAAACAACAAAAATAAACAACGCTACTAATTTTGCTCTATCCTCACACCAAGCGCTCTTTCCAATGATTGAATGTCTATCTGTTTCCCAACTTCTTTATAATTCTTTATCAATTCCTGCATTGTTTTTGATCTTTCAACATCTCCATATTGAGCCTCTAATCGAGCAAATCCTTTGATTAATTGTAGATCTTAAATAAAAATTATTACAAAAATTCAACAATTTTTAATTACGTTTTCGTTTTTCTGTACATTGAATTGCTCTTCTAAGTAGTTGAAGAATTTGATTTGAATCATTTTGCTGCAACAAATGTTTGGCAAATGCAAACCAAGGTTCTATTTCATTACTCTTCTTAATTAAAGATTCAAAGTAGTCACGAATCTCCTAAATAAAAAATACATAAAAAAATTACAAGTCAAAAATTAAAAACCATTTCACGCCCCTCTGCATTTGGCTGTTTCTTTAGAAGATCAATCAAGTATTTATGTGTCTTTAATGGTTCAGTTGCTGCGCAAGCACGTTTAAAGCATTCTTTCAATGATTGTTCATCGCCTAAAAGCACTTCCAAATAAAGATATGAACGCCAAATTTTACTCAAATCGTTATCACTCCTGTTAAATTTTAAAGAGTGAAAAATAATATTGCTTTAATGTAAAAACTCGAATGCGATCGTTTGTAAAGCGCGCTCAGCAACTTCCTTTCCCAAAATATAATTCTTCTTTGAAGTACTTTTGCGTGCCATAAACTGAATGTAGCTACTCCAATGTGAAATAGAATTGGGATTTGTAATAAGAATTTGTTCAAACTCTTGTGCTGACCCCGATTCTTCACCAATCCCGTTCTCCTTAAAATGTTTAATTAGTTGTTAAACTTAAGTGAAAAAAACCTCTTCTTCCTCAGATCCGTCATCATCACATTCCCCACTTATTGTGAGAGTATTATCATCACTTTCATCAGTTGAATCATTATCATATTCAGACATAATCACATCATTCGACAGATTTTTAGTCTTTAATTTGATGTTTAACAAAAATTTTGAATGAGATTTAATGAAAATCAGCTTACCGATTCTTCATCAAGATCACAATTAGGAGCATCAACCAACTCTAATACCACAATTCTACCTCTGTTTGTTTTGTTAACACCAATCACTTTGCCAAACCGAAGTTCTCCATTGTCGAACAAATCATCGACATTAATTTCAGAATTTTGATGATCTAATTTTGAAGTGATTTTAATATTCTCTCTTGAAATAATAGCAGAAAAATCAGGATTTATCTAAAAATAAAATCTAAAATAATCCAATCAAATAACAACCTCAGAAAAAACATTATTTGTAGTATTTGAAGATTTTGAAACAATAAAAACTGCAACCACATTACCAGGTTTGAACACGCTACGATAATTCAAAATTGAAAGTTTTCTTCGTGACTCTTGCAACTTATCACATCTTGCTGTGCATTCAACAATTCTTAATTACACAAATTACTAAGATAACTTTAAAAAATAATTTTACCTATCTGATTTTCTCCGTTCCTCAAGTAATCTTTTTCCTTTAACAGGAAACGCTTTTCTTTTGCTAACAGAGAGAACCTTAATATTTATCATTTTTCCAGTGTTTCGTTCCAAAAATTGTTGCATAGGACATGAACCCTCTCCATATTCATCTAAATTGTTTAATTCGCTTACATGGAGTCGACCTATAAAAAATAAACACGTTACTCACGTCTATAAAAATTGTTCAGAAAACGATTCGCTAGACTAGATATTAAAATTTTGGTTAAAAATATATAATTTACCAACACTTCCACCAGGAATAAGTAATTCAGCCGTTGTAGCAGAAGATGTACCTCCATATGGCCACGGTCCAATCACTTCAGCATTATATATTCTAAATGGTTTTGCAAGTTTAGTGTTTGTAGTAATCTTTTGAGAGTTTGTAGTTGTGTTCTTTTGCTTCTTTACTCCAATTCCAATTGCATGAATAGGTTGTTCAAGAATCATTTGTGAACGTTTTGGATCTACACTTTGTACACGAACTTTGATGCAACAACCAATCTTAGTCGCAGCCTCAGGTAACCCTATCAATTCACTTGGGCGCATTATTCCTACATCGAGAATAGGTTAAAATTTAAAAGCATACTTATTACCCATACCAGTTATTCTGTTGAAAAAAGCAATTAATAATGAACCGCCTTCCAGATGCTTAATAATAACTCCCGTTGAAACTGCACCTTCCAGATTCTTGTCAAAAGAAGTAATAAACTTTTCATTTCCAGGCTTTTTTACCAATGATGACTTTGAGGTAAGCATAATTCTGTTAGAGGCCGAATCAATAAATAAAACACGACAACGCAACTTTTGGCCTCAAATTTTGTCATTAAATATATTATAAAATTCTAGTAACCTTTTTTAAACCTGCTTTGCCATTTATCCACAGGCTTGTCAAAAACGTGCATTGCACATACAAATCCAGTAAATCCATCTCCAAATTCGACAATAATTCCAGTATCTCTAACAGATTTAATAGTTCCGTTAAGAACGGCACAAGGAATCACATTTTCTATAGAAAACACAGTTTGTTTCATATCTGACTTTTTCATTGAAACATTCAAAAGTCGTTCCATTGGAGAATATGCAATAATACGAAATTTATGTTCAGATCCAATTTTATATTTGTCATCTAGAATAATAATGTTAATTAATATAAATTATAATAAATACCTTCAAAATTTTCAATATTAATTCTCAAACATTTGGCAGTAATCAAATTTTGACTCGCATCGCCATCCTCCACTAGATTAAAATACAAGTTTTGCATCTTGTCTCTATAATATACGATTCCAGTATTTGATGAACCAACTTTAATATTCTAACAAAAAAGATTTATAAAGACTTAAAAAATAAAAAACTTCAGGGAGAAGTCGCTTTTCCAATTTAGACAAGGCAATAATATCAGGATGAGCATTGAGAACAAGAACAGAGGAATTTGGTTGAACGCATACAACACAAGCACGAAATGGCTTCAATACTTGAGGAGCATCCAATCGAAGTCGAGGAGGTAAGTGAACCTTTCGGATATATACTTTTTGACCTTAAAATCACGAAAATAATTTTAAATTTTTAGAAATACCATTTTTAATACTAGCAAAGAGTCCATTTAGAACATTTTTCTCTGGTGTGACCTGTATAATTGTACCAGGCATAAGTTGTTTTTGATCAAAATCATCACTTCCATCCAAAACATCAAGTCCAACAAAACCAGTCAATTTAATCACACGAGTTTCTTTATTTGGTCTTTCCCTAACAGAAAATAATGCAACTTGACCAATGAATAATTTATCTAATTGAAGGTATGGAGGTAAATGCTCAGCCTGAACAAATCCTTTAACAGAACTTGATGAGAAACCAAGATCAATTATAGCACCTTAAAAATAGTTAAAAAAATAAAAGATTTTCTAACCTTTTTCTTCAATGCTGGAAACAATTCCATTTAAAACCGTATTTTGAAGAAGTGAGGAGGGAATTAAATAGTTATTTATCTCATATGGACATATTGAAACAATACAATTTGAATTGGGCTTATTTCCTACAATAATGAATTGCCACTGAAAAATATCCAAAATAACCTGATTTCTCATTGACAACAATGAAAGCAAAAGCTTGACCTTTATGAAAAATATTATTTAAATTTGCTTTTGTAGTAGACATTTGATTATTAAATATTCTGCTAATTTTATCAGCTGGCAATACCAATCTAATTCCATCAACACATTCCAAAATAACTTCAATATCTCCTATCTAACAATAAGTTTAAAAAATAAAAAAAAATAAATTAAAAATAACAAACAAATTTGACAAAAGCCAATCCTCTCATGTTTTGAGCGAGTAATTCAACAGACATATTTTGACGAAATGCGGTAGCATATTCCTCGTTGTCATTATCAATGAGACACTTAAAATGAAATTCGTCAATTTTAACTAAAAATTTATTAACCTTTGAAAGATCTTGAATATTTGAAGAATTTCGTTTCAGACATCGTTTTTCCTTATTAGCCTTTTTCAAATCAGTTTGCAAAGACGATTGTAGCTTTGTTGAGCCGCCACGGGGAAAATCAATTTCAGTGGACATGTAGGTAATATATGTATTTAACTAATGCAAGAAAGTCACAGCTCTGAAAAAGGGAAGAAAATAAATCAAAAATCGATAAAAAATTTCAAGAATTTTTGGCCACAACAAATAACTCGAAAATGCGCACTTAGTCGATGGGACTCAATCGTCTCAAGTCCGAGACTCGATCGTCCGTCACGAAAAAAGCGGCCATTTCATCACAAAAAAGATATACAGTATGCACATTGTGAAAAGAGTGATTGATGGATGAATTTGCTAAGTTTGAGAGGAAAGTGATTGACTAGGAAGGGGATATTTAATCTCGTGACCTTTAAGGATATCAGCCAAGTGTCACCCCCGTTTAAAGCTATTATTTTTATTAGAAAAAAATGCTTAAGTTAAATTCATTTTTCCTCCTTGTTTTATTTCTAAAACAAGTTAATTTTATTCATTCTGCTAACAATAAGGAAGAAATATCTGAAAATGATATACCGCAACAACAACAACCTTCTATACTTTCTCAAAATGTGCCAAAATTTGCTAATGCACAAGATTCATCTACGGAAATGCAACACGAAACAAAAGACAATCTTGCTGAAGGGTGGGATTTTATTTGTTTTATTCCCTCGATTTTCTCCTATTTGAAAGCTTAATCCATATTTTATCTAGGAATGATCGAAATAATATAGATGAAGGTGATGTGGCGAATGCTGGACAACAATCGAATGATTTAAACGAGATGATCAATCAAATTAAAGAAGTGGAAATTAATGAACAGTTGGAGTTGAATAACGATTTATCTTCCCTTAGTGAAGGAAATCCCGAGAGCGGTAAAAGTGAAGAAAATATTCTTAGCACCAACCTAGTGGCGACTACATTAACTACCCCAATAAAAGGCAGCAATAATGATGTTGATAATTTACCAGAGTTAGAAGTTTCAGAATTAATATGGAAAACAACTGCAAAACCACCACCGGATCCTCGAGTGTTTGACGAAATTGAGAAAAAAGCAAATCGAACAATTGAAAATATTTCCTTACTAAAGGGAGATGAGATAATTTCTCAACAAAGTGATACTGTTGATAGGAATATTTCAAAAGAAAAAATCAGCCTCCCTGATAAAACGTTTACATACGCTATACCTGAACAAGAAAAAGAAGTGGAACTAAAGTCAAGATCAAATGAAAGAGAAAATAATAACAATGAAGATTACTTTAATAGGAAAAATACACTCCATTCAGTCGAAGATGAAGTTAGGATAACAGCTTTAAATTTTATTTAAACGTTATCATTTTTCAGAAAACAGATTTGCAAGTAAAGAATCATGAACAATTCGATCCCCACAACTCTCCAAAAGAGATAGTTGCTCCACACGTAGATCAACATCCTTTGAAATTAACCGAAAAGAATGTTGGCGTGGATGAGATTAACAATAAATCGGAAGAAAGCGAAGAACAAAAGGAAAATCATGTGGAAGAATTATCCCTTTGGGAGAAGATTTTGCTCGGTCTCCGCTGTGCAAGGCAGGATTGTCAAGGTTTGTTTTAGCAATAATATATAGAATCCAATTTTTACAATAGATGCATTTATCATCGAAGAACAAGATGAACAATCAAATAAACAGAGATTAATCAAAGGATGGAAAATAACGAGAGCGCGGCGAGATTTTGTTTGTCCATGCAAAAATATTCCCTTGTGATTTTTCATGTTGATAATATTTTTATGATTAGCATCACCATTTTGAAGCTATAAAATTATTTATTTCATTCATAAAAAGGTTGCCAACACATTCTATTGGATCTATACAATGCTTTATCCCAAAAAGGTCTAAATTCGTTTAAATTTTAAGCCAAATTGTTACAGAGCATCTCGTTCATTCGAAAATATCTTCGCGTCCTTAGTGAGCATCCATTAAAACCTATGGCTGACGATGTTTCATTACGCAAATTCGCCAATAATTTTCTTCGTAAAGACGGAGTTTTCATGGTATTTATTAAATCTGAATTTCTGATTTTTGTGTTTAGTTACGAATAATTTCAACGCATGCTGGTGAACTTATGACATCTGAACTGATACTTGCGCTTTGGAACGACTTCAACAACATCGGCGAGTGGATGGAACATTGAGAATGGCAATTGATATATTATATTATCAATTTTAATATGCCAAAAAATCGTAGATAATTTTGACTAAAAACTATATTTAGATCGTTGCGCATGGGGGCATGAACAGCTTGACGATGATGACAATTCTTAAAGTTTAATGTTGATCTACTTGTTTCACAGCCAATCACACACATGTAGAATAATACTGCCTAACATTCTATGTATGTACTTGTTTAGATTTTCAAGATTTGTAAAATTGTGAATAAAATGTTAATATTTTATTGCACTATTTAATACTATAATTTGGCAACGTGATTTTCTGATCTTCAGTATTGTTTTCGACAATTTAATAATTGATGCTTCGAAAGTAGTCAGCCAATGCGCCCGTTGTTTTACTGCACATTTCTGGTTGTACTCCACTCTCATAAACGCCAATTATAAAAGCTAGAATTAAGTAATATTGAACCCTTGTCCGTAATTATTTGAACCTTTGTCCGTTTTATAAATGAAGAAACCATTAGCAGTTTTTTTGCCTGCATTTAAATAATGTTGAAATTTATTTTTCTATTTACCTATTATCCGCTCAGAGTCAGCTTGTAGCACGAAATATCTGTATTAAAATTATATAGATAATTTGTCGTTAATAATTGTTCTCTTAAGAGAGCTCATGTCTTATAGATATTACATATCCTATTTCTTATCAGCCTTTGCTATTTCCTATTTCTTATCCTGATTTTTTGCTATGTATAATAATATAATTAATGGCTAAATTTATTTAAAACAAACTTTTCGCCTTCAAACCGCAATCCGGAAGCTAGGACACCTTCTGAATCTAAAAATACGAATTATTTTTGATGAATAAATCTAAATGTAATTTGTTAGTATTCCCAATATTTATAATACATCTATCATGAAATTATGTAGATTACTTTTAAGTCCATTTGCCGCAGCATTTGCTTCCGATTGATCTATCTTTATTATAAGGAATATATTTTCATATATTTAAATTTTAATAACCTTAAAATTGTCTGATTTCCCCCAAATAGAACCATCGAGCCCACAAATTGCTGCCTTTGAGACATGGCCAGTTCCTATATTAAAATCAAATTAATATTTCTAAAAGACATAATTAAGTTATTTCGACTTTAATTTTGCATTATTCAATACTTACCAATTAGGTTGTTGTTAACTAGATCTTGCCAAGACATTTATCTTTTGTCCAGGAATAAATTTTTATGATACCTAAATTATTTTTTTAAATAAAAGGAGAATCTAAAGGGTAACAGAAAGATGACGTAAGATTTAAAAAGATGACGTAAGAATAATGTTCATAAATTCTTGAATTTATGAACATTATCAAGAAAACATTTTAAGATGATAGAGGTATGTAGGTCATTTAAAGCATTTGTCAATTTCCTGCCTAGAGTGAGCAATTGATTTGAGCCATCGATTCGATATTTTCTGCTTTACCCGTTCTTGAGTAGAGGAATGGACAAATCTCTGACTGATCCGTCTGTATTCGATTTACTGGCGACTGCTGTTATGCGTCTCTGTTTAAAGCACTGATCGAAATAAGAGTTTTAAGCATATTATACATATTTCTCTTCTCCTGGTTTTTTCTTCATTGTGCAAACTATAAAGCACCAAGGCCCATTACTTAATGTTGGGTAGAGGATATCTCAGCTCATAATGCTAAGTATCAATAAAGAAGAAAAGCATGTGTTGTGAACATTGAACAAGGATAGGTCAGAAAAAACTATTCTCAATATAGAAACTTAAGATCAAAATGAACTATATCAAAAATATTTAAACAATAAGTCTTAACTACGAACAGATAAATTTAAAGAGATAAGTATGTGTTTTTGCGTTTGAATAATTTATTATCTCTTGTACATCAACTTGGGTTTTGTTTTGTCTTTTGTCCTGATTGTCCTTGTTGACATTTATCCTGTGTGTCCTGCTTCTTCTGTCCTGTAAAATTGTGCAAATTTTAGAACAAAATTACAAGGAGAATATGATCTATGTCGTAGACAATGTCACAGAAGGTTCATCAATGTACATACATTACTGACATTATATTATGTGTCATTACATTGTAAGGTTCATTATTACTGCCTTACATTACAATGATCATTATAGGTAAAGAAAATAATCCAAAATACGGAATTTACCATTTTTAGGAGCTGAGCTAGTACTACCAGACATCGAAGCTACTGCTGCAGCTAAATAAGAATACGCGGCACTATTAAGATCAGTTGTGCCATTAAGTGAGCTCAGTGCAAGCAGGGTTTGAAGTTGTTGATTTTGGAGCGATGTGTCATATGTCGATGAGGTTGAAGCAGGAGAAGCAATAAGCGAATTCATCAAGGAGTTCATTCCTAAGCTTGAACTGCTATCGGTACTGTAACCCATCATTGATAATAATTGAAGTAGATATTGAGGATTGCTCATCTGCACGGAATTAGAAAAATATAGATATGTATAATTCTAAAATAGAAATTATTAATTAGAAACCAGTTTGGTGTATTCGCTCTGACCAATCATTGATTTATTAATAACCGATGTAGATTTTACAGATGATGACTGCGTAGTTGATGCGTTTGAATTATTTTGTTTAGCTATATTCTGTTGTCTTATTGGTAAAGGTTCTTTCGTTCGAGCGACTAGGTCACGGTTCTCCAGTTTCTAAAAGTGAAATATATATAAAAAAGTTCATTGACTCCAAGATTATGAAACAGATTGAAATACCTTAAAAGAGTCAGATTTCCCCCAAATTGTGCTATCAAGACCACCAATTTCCGCCTTAGAGGCGTGACCACTTCCTGAAAAATAATTAAACTAGAATTTTAGAATAAAATTAGTAAGAAAAGTCCACTAATACTTATCGTCATTCTAAATCATTTTAGAAAAATTTCAAGACAAACATGCGTTTACCGCTTTTAAAAGCTGAACTTGTACTGCCAGACATAGAGGCTAAAGCTGCAGTTAAATAAGAATTCGCAGTATTGTTTGTATCAGTTGTACCACCAAATGAATTAAGTGCAAGTAGTGTTTGAAGTTGTTGATTCTGAAGCGTCGTGTTATACGCAGATGTTGAAGGGGAAGGAGAAGCAATAAGTGGATTTATTAGGGAGTTCATTCCCAAGCTTGAACTGCTATCAGTACCATACCCCATTAATGATAACAATTGAAGAAAGTATTGAGGATTGCTCATCTGTAAAGAATAAAATAATTATTTTTGGTTTTTCGTTAGGGACTCATTGGGGAGTTCGTTTATTCTGACAGGCTCTAGCGATAATAAAAAACATAAATTCAGAAACCATTTTTAAATAATCGTTCTGGCCAACTAATGACGCTTTATTATTCACAGATGTAGATCTTTCTGACTGCGTATTTGATAATGTGGTAGAGGTGCTTTGCTTTTCAACATTTCCTAAATTCAGTTGCTTTGATGGTAATGATTGTTTAGATCGAGTGCTTAAGTCAGCAATTTCCAATTTCTTAATTAAATGGAATTAAATACAATTAATAAAATTAGTGGCCGAGACCTTTAAATCATCAGATTTTGGCAAAACAGAACCAACTGATCCAGAATTTGAGGCTTTAGAAACACTTCCTCCTATAAATAAGACGGTACATTTTTTACATTTTAAACTTTTAATAATTTTATAAATAAGGTCAGTTTAACATGAGGCTCTATTTAAGCTCACCAATATTAGCTGACGAGCCAGTATTGCTAAACAAAGATGCTAACGTTGAAGTTAACGAAGAATTTGCGCTAGTGCTTGAATCGGTTGACCCGGTGAGAGTGGTCAGCGCAAGAAGTGTTTGTAACTGTTGATTTAATGTTGAGCTATATGTAGATGAAGTTGAAGGAGATGGGGAAGTAATAAGTGAGTTCAGGAGTGAATTCATTCCTAAACTTGAACTGCTTTCTGTGCCGCTGCAACCCATCATTGCCAATAATTGTAACATATATTCCGGATTATTCATCTGTTTTTAATTTTTAAATTATCATTTATTAATTTTTGTCTATCATGAAATTAATTAGTATGTCAAAAACAGAAAGTGCTACGAAATTGGCGCACCCTGTAAAATTTAGTAATAAAATTAGAAACCAATTTATTAAGTTCGCTCAATGATGATTTATTATAAACAGATGTGGATTTTTCGGATGAATTTATATTTGAAGAAGATGTAGTTAAAACGTTTTGTTTTCCAGCATTTACTTTAGTAATTGAAGGTAATTTTGGTTTGGTGACAATGTCGGAGCTTTCCTTCTATAAAAGATTTGCTTATTAATTAGGTAGACAAATTAAAAACCATTTTAATCGGGGTTTGTTGCTTGTTTTGGCAAAGTGTTTGCATTGTACTGGTATTGGATTGAGGAGCTTCAGAATGCTGTATTGCTGAAATGCCCTGTTTTCCTTTATCCAGTTCTTTTGCTTGAGTAACTTTATCACCAAGTTCAAGTGTCTAAAAAGTGCGAATTCAAGTTAAACATAAAAAAACAAGCCTGGATCCTATGGAGTAATTTGCTTGCATTCCTAAAATCATAAATTTCAAAAATTGCTCTGACCCTTTACCTATGTAAATGTCTTTGGAATATCATGTCGACGCAAATAAATGGTGGCTAAAATTAATAGACATAAATATTTTTAGTTAGTTTTGCAAATAAAAATCATACGTTGTATTCTGGTTTTTGCGCCCAGCCTTGATAGAATTTAGATTTAGAATCGCCGTCTGTGGATGCTTTGGTATCATTCTCAGGCGCCTCAGATTTTTCAGTATTTTTGTCCTGACACTCAGATGGAGTGATTAAGTTCCAAACAAATTCTTGAGTTTTTTCGTCACCTCGAAATTCTCGAATACAATGAAGTAACAAAGTCCTGAAATCAGTAGTATTTATAGAAAATTCAACAGAAGCATCAGCGTCGAAATTCATAAATAATCGGAATAATAACTACTATATTACCATTATTAAATTATCGATTGATTAGAACAAGAGGGCTCTGAAGAGACTGGCTATCGGGTGAGAGAAGTCAGAGAAAAAATTTTTTCTCTCACCAAATAGCCAGTCCCTTCAGGCCCTCTTGTTTCTAATCAATCGATAATTTGCAAACCCAATCCTTTTGGGGCTTGCGGTGTTTTAATGGAGTAGTGCAGCGGCTAGGCTAAATTGTATCGTAACGCGATTCTGGGCATTAAAGGGTATCAAACGATGCCTGAAGCGGGGGCCGAGTCGAGTGGTGCCGACGGCTAATAAATCGATAATTTATTTATAAAAACCTTTGGCTCTCAACCTGACCGCACTCAATAGGTAACAGCTATTTTAATGGATTTCTAGAGCCGATTCATTGCATTGTTTTTTTCTAATTCGCTAGGCGACCCGCTCAATTGGGAGCGAAAAGTGTGTTTTAGTTCGACACAAGGTCTCTAAAGGTATCTCGCTTATATTTTTTGCAATGTTGAATTCTTCAGCAGAAGTTATGAATCCTAATTTACGCAGAACTCGAAGGAGTAAAATCCAACATATTAATATCATAGGGAGAATAATGAAATGAAGTACTAGTAATAAAGGTATCCCATATGCTACAGTGGGATCCAGAGCATTATCTTGTAATTTCGTGCTAGCAATTTTTAAAAATTCAAATGTTATATTTTGTGTAGTGGTGGAAATATTTTGCATTTGTAAAATCAATATATTTTAAATTATCATTATTTATACAACTTTTCAACCTAGATTGGAATCTGTAACTATATGTCTATTGTAATCAATCATAATCATTTGATCAAATTCGCCTAGAATAATCATTTCAACACCTCCAGCAGGAATGGGAGTATTAAATTCTAATCGAACACTAGTAGTTCCACTTTTGAGAAGCTCAAAACCACAAGAGTCATCAAGTGTCGATGTCAAAGGTATCACAAAAAAGGTCCACCCATCTTTAAATCGTGACAATGAAATATCAATGGAACGATCTGAATTAGCCATTCCAAGAGCTTCATACATGTCCACGAAAGCTCTAACAAATAAGTCTTGGGTAAACTTTAGTTTGTAAGCGACCATAGGATAAATATGCCCCCCAGTATGAACAGAGATATCCCTAATATCAAAAGGTTTGAAATTGAATGGGGAAAGCGCAATATCGCCATTAAAGGCCTTATTTGAAACTAAGGCAACTGTAATGCGTCGAGGTATAGCTGAGCTAAAGGCATTATACTCAATTTCAGTTCGCCCTGAAGTAAGATAAGTAGATTTCATTTCAGTTCGGCGAACAGCATACGTAGCAGGTTTAGATTCAAGAGTCTTATAAATGTTCATGTTAAGTGATGGTTGAACTTCAACCATTTTCGAAAATAATTTAACATCGTGCACATAAAGTCTATATTGGTTATTATCGCCTTCTTTGATATTTTGTAATATAAAAGCATCCTTACTTTTGTAAATGCTAAAGTGAATATCTAAATTATTAAGGAGAAATAATTCTTGATTTCCCAAATCAAAATCTAGGCGCGAAAGGAATTGTGAGCGTTTACCGTTTGCAAAAACAGAGCAACGATTTTTGAAACCATCATCTGTAGGATCATCATGTTTTTCGGTTCTATAATATCCAATAGATGCAAGAAAATGCGATTTAACGTTGTCAGGAAATGACAACTCATTAGTAATATATGCTTTGTAAGGATAAAGAGTACCACTATCATAAACTTCAGTATTGCCAACAGTTACCTTCAACTGCTGAACAAATGTTTGTCCAACACCTTGAATCGATCCAATGTTATTATCTGTTGCTTCAATATCAACCCATTTGCCATTGGCTCCCAACTTTTCAATTGATAACTCGAGGTAAAGATAAGTTCGAGACAAGTCAGTCCAAAGATTATCACTGAACAATCGAAACAAATACGGAGAATCTTGTGTTATTGTACTAAGAGGAAGAATTTCTCTAAAAAAGGATCGGACAACAGAAACGTTTGTAGGAGGTACAGAAAAAATACTTAATGCACTATTTAGTGCTAACGGGCTATTTTCATTAATTTGTTTTGGGCAGCTCATTTTAGTATGTTCCTAACGTGTCTACTCGTAATCGTTTTTGGGGACGGGATTTTTTGGTAGATTTTTTAGAATATTTCTTTTTGAAATTGGGAATAAAATTAGGAGGACCGATTCGAGAATATGGATGTTTATTTATAGTTTTTGGTTTAAGTTCCGGTATTGCGTCATTCATTTGGCCGATGGCAGGAGACTTTTCTATATTTTTGTATCGTTTAAAATCAAAACCTTTTCCACTTTGTTTATCAACATTTTCAGCTGCTTTTTGCAGTAAGTTTTTCAAGCCTGATTTACCTTCAGTAACAAGAGATTCTTTAAGATTTTTTCCCTCTAAGACATTGCTTAAAACTCGATTACCGGATTCTAAACCCTGTCTTCCAATAGCGCTACCAATTTCTTTACCAATCGGGATTAAATAACGAAGAAAACTTCTAAAAACTGACCCCAATCCATTACCTCGTTGGTAAGGAACGCCACGGAAAACATTATAACCGCCCCATTGATTGGGTTGTTCAGTCAATGTTGACCAGTTAATATTTGCAGGATCAAAATCAATGTGCATTTTGTATGTTATGAGTATATTATTAAAGTCATCTATTTATATTAAATATCTGAGTAGTAATAAACTCAGATACAAATTTATCAGCATTAATTCCTTTTAGTAATGAAATGATTTTATTCATTGAAAAACCTAAGCAGCGCATATAAAGAAAAAAGATAACATGATTCCCGCATGTACTAGAAAATGGTTGTTGTACCATAACAGAATTAAATTGAACATTGTTAAACTTATCTAAATAGGTTCTAATATGATAACTTATCGGTGGCCAGATACCTAACGAGTCATAGTATTCAATACTATTAGTTGAATTGCAAAATAATGCTATCCAATGGGTTCCAGATAAATTGCTAGGATCTGTGTTAACTACGACACAGAACGGAAAAAAGTTACTCCTATAAGGAATACAGTCTGAAGCAAAACATCCTATATAAAATCTTTTTGTAACAATATTTCTTTTTAATATTTTATCAACTTGAAGGTTATTCATTGTTAAAAGTATGTAGCCTTTTTAAAATGTAAAGTTAATGTACATGTTCCATATTGGAATGGCATTAATGTCCCACTAGAAGTTCTAATTTCAATAAAAATTTCAGAA